TCGGGACAACACACACCAAACGGGGACGCCCGTGACTCGATAGCACTGGCGGTGGCCTCATCATTCCTCAAGCTTCAGTGGTCTGGCCCTTGTTCTAGACCATGACGGGACCAAAAATGATACCGCATGCATCCCTGAACTGAGGGGGCGCACAGTCCCGAGCAAAAGGGTGGGATGATGTTTGTCAGTACTAACAAGCTTTGAAGTGAAGCATGAGAGAGAGGACACAGCTTCCTCGACCACAGTTGTCCGAGCATGGAGCTTGAGACTGTTCCGAGTAAGTTAGATAACACGTACAAGGGTCACAAGAAAGGAATCTTTCTATCCCCAGACCTCCAACATGAATCTACGAAGTGCTTGGTCGTGTACTGAAACAATGGGAATAGGGGTCGCCTCGTCATCCTCCTCAAGAGCTCAAGTGGTTTGACTGGCCCGAACTTGACTACCTATGATAATACCACCACGACACCGCACTCAACAAAGGGCGTGAGACGTCTGTCAGTAAGTACTAGTACTGTCCCAGTATTGTACAAGTACAAGCCAGGCATAGAATCGCCGGGCAAGAACCTACCTTCTCTACCGAGAGCTGTTCCAGCACGAAGCTCGAGGTTCTTTCTCAACCAAAAGGAGATGAAGCAGTGACATGCAACCGAGTAAGGCCCAATATAGGAATAGACACCTCACTTTGAACCCGAACATAAGACATAGTATATCACATCTAGCTGTTACCCATGACAGCGCTACGCAGGACCAAATAGGGTCGCGAGAAGCCCTTAAGCAGTCGAGAGAGTCTGTACATCTTCTCAGTTTGCTTCTTTGTGGCTAGCCTTCTCCGGCAGTACTGCCTGGCTCTATCCAGCACATGCCCGAGGGTCGTTGGTCTCAGAGCAGAACTAGTTTCGCCCCGCTTGACATATGGCAGCCATCCTTTTCAGGGTAAGCAGTTTGTAGGAGGATAGTTTTTTTGACCAGGTTGCGCGGGTCAACCGCTACCATGTGGGCGTCGAGAGAGAAGTAAACTGATGCGTCGGTGTATGTCTTCCCTAAGCGGGCAGCCTCATTGGACGGAGATGTTTCGTTTGAGAGCCATATGACGAAGAACCCGTAGAGAACTACGATATATACACTTCGTCTACCCCTCGGCTACATCACCGGGAGCTCAATGACATGGTCTAGAACCGTGAAAGGCTTTAACATCAGGCGACATATCTGGGTGCCAGGAGTTTTGCATCTGAAAGTGATGGGTAGGATCGCGAGGAGTCACTGAATGGTCGGATGGAGAACCAGTGTTGTTGACATACGGGCCCACAAACTCCAAGTCACGAAGCGTAGGACTAGCAGGAGGGAGCCTCAAGAGTAAGGACATAGACCAGCTTGTAGAAGGGGAGAAGAGAAGTAGGACGAGAAGAAATAGGCTAAACTACAAAGAAGGGAGCGAAAGGTGGAAATCGGGGAATGGAAGGGCGCTGGACGTCGACACAATATGTACATAATGTAGTAACTTGAAACGACAAAGACATAGAAATGGAGCAGGTAGTAGAACTATGGCCGAGCTCTTAGATGGCGGCAAGGACTAGCGCGGCTAAAACATTGACCGTACTGAGACGAGTCGCTTAGAATCCGCGTGTCGAGCACTCAACCTTCCTAGCAACGCCCCACCGTTTAGGATTAGCATACCTTGGCCATGTAGGGAGACTCACCACGGTGTCAACGACAGGTGTCTATTAGACAAGAGAAAGGAGATAGTTCATGATACAAACATAGGGGGAGGTCAGGGCGCCGCAAGCCGCAAGCTAAGTCTCGCTGGATGACATGGAATGGCCCATCCGGAACAGTTGTCCGGAACGACCCTAAGCGTGGGGAACAAAGAACGCTGCTAAGCTCGGCAAATTCCATAGACAGACGAGATGACGAAGAGTGGGCAATTATTAACACCTTATGCAGAGGTGCATGTATTTCTGTCTTGCGAACAGGAGGGAGGGAGCTGAATTGTATCAGGTTTGCATCTCCCGTTGCCCTAAAGGATTACAGATAATATGGCCAACACGAACTCTCCAGCTGAACTCGAAAAAGCCGACTCCACGGCAACATGCTGCGGACCAAGGCGACGGCGGGAACCGGCCTGATATGAGCATTATCCACCTGATCGAGACACTAGCTCACATCGACTTGACCAGCATCTCTGCCTGGCTAACGGAGACACCAAGGCCTCGAATGTCCGGTGCGAACAAGATTACTCCTCGTGCTCGACAGGAGCCTCCTCCTCGTACTCCTCCTCCTCCTCATCAACACCAGCATCCTGGTATTGCTGGTATTCGGAGACGAGATCGTTCATGTTGGACTCGGCCTCAGTGAACTCCATCTCGTCCATACCCTCGCCAGTGTACCAATGCAAGAAAGCCTTGCGACGGAACATAGCAGTGAACTGCTCGCCAATGCGCTTGAACAGCTCCTGGATGGCCGTCGAGTTGCCGACGAAGGTCGACGACATCTTGAGACCGCGGGGAGGGATCGAGCACAGGGCGGTCTGGACGTTGTTCGGAATCCACTCGACAAAGTAGGACGAGTTCTTGTTCTGGACGTTGCGCATCTGGTCCTCGACTTCCTTCATCGAAACCTTGCCACGGCTGGAGAGAGGGAGATTGCCTGTTAACAGATGCGAACAGAAGGAACCAAGACTATCGATGGGGACTTACAAGATGGCAGAGCAGGTCAGGTAGCGACCGTTGCGGAAGTCAGAAGCAGCCATCATGTTCTTGGGGTCGAACATCTGCTGGGTCAACTCCGGAACGGAGACAGCGCGGAACGAGTGGGCGCCACGGCTGGTCAGGGGCGCGAAGCCGACCATGAAGAAATGGAGACGAGGGAAAGGAACCATGTTGACAGCCAGCTTGCGGAGATCCGAGTTGAGCTGGCCGGGGAAACGCAGCGAAACGGTAACGCCCGACATGACGGCAGACACGAGGTAGTTGAGGTCGCCGTACGAGGGGTTCGACAGCTTCAGGGTGCGCATGCAGATGTCGTAGAGAGCCTCGTTGTCAATGCAGAAGGTCTCGTCCGAGTTCTCGACAAGCTGGTGGACGGAGAGAGTGGCGTTGTAGGGCTCGACAACCGTGTCAGAGACCTTGGGGGACGGCACGACGGAGAAAGTGGCCATCATGCGGTCGGGGAACTCTTCACGGATCTTGGAGATCAGGAGCGTACCCATACCGGCACCAGTGCCACCACCAAGGGAGTGGGTGATCTGGAAGCCCTGGAGGCAGTCGCAGCCCTCGGCCTCGCGACGGACGACATCAAGGACCTGGTCGACAAGCTCGGCACCCTCGGTGTAGTGACCCTTGGCCCAGTTGTTGCCGGCACCGGATTGGCCGAAGACGAAGTTGTCGGGGCGGAAGAGCTGACCGAAGGGACCCGCGCGGACGGCATCCATGGTGCCGGGCTCCAAGTCGACGAGGACGGCACGAGGAACATACTTGTTACCGGAGGCCTGCCGAGAAAAAGGCTTGTCAGTAAGCCCGCCTCCAGACTCATTGTTGGGAGGTATGATGTAACTCACCTCGTTGAAGTAGACATTCATGCGCTCGAGCTGGAGCTCGGAGGTGCCATTGTACCTATTGGACACAGTGAGCGGGGGGCTAACCGTGGCGAGGGCTGGCAGCATTCACATACACGCCATTGCTGTCGAGGCCGTGCTCGCCCGAGATGGTCTGCCTGGAGAGAGAGTCAGTCATGGTTGCTTCAGCGTAGACGCTTCTCGGCCTTGAGTTTAAGCATACCAGAAAGCGGCACCGATTTGGTTACCCTGAGGAGCTACTCGTCAGTCCACCCGTGTTTGCTGCAACCGTAGCTCCGGGTCTCATATCGATTCGACTTACGCATTGGCCGGTCTGAAGATGAACCTATACCGAAGAAAAAGCATCAGCATCACACTCTTTCCATCATGGCAGCGTCACCATCGCCTTCAGGTCGGTTGGGACCCGTGAAGCGATGTCGTCCAGACGTGTGGGGTAAATCAGGGGCGCCCCCAGAAAAGTCGGTCCAGGCGCGTCGCAGGATTCGCGGCAAAGCAAGGCTGGGAGGGACTTACGATCTCACGCATTTTGGCGGTTTGCGAAGAAGGGCTGGTTTTGCAAAGCAATATGGACGAGCTGCAGGAGAGAAGGTCGAAGGGTCAAGATGCGCGAGCTGTGCAGAAGCAGTCGTGTTGGTGGTGGAGAAGTCGCCGGGAGAGGGAGATTGTTGATTTTTGGGGCCTGGGCGAGGAAATTGAAGAGCGAGGATCGTTCACCGCTTGCTGCTGCCAAGTGGAGATCGGGCACTGCCAATCGCAGCAGAAACGGGCAAGTCTGGGTGCCTGGTGGTCCCTGCGTTCCCGCTTGTTTACCCGATAGCGCGTTTGTGCTAGGCTGTTCTGGCGAAGGGCACGGACCACACAATATGGGGGGAATATCGAACTTTCACTTCCTGCCTTTCATCAGGTCCGCCGAGCCAGTTTGACAGCCGGAGCAATTCACACAAGACTCAATTGCATTGGTGATGCCAACGGCTGCCTAGGTAGGTAGGTACACTTGTGTAGCTTACTACCTTGCTGTGTTTTAAGGCAGAGAGCCAGAGTATAAAAAGGCATCAGCCTAAAGCTCGTGTACCTAATGGTGGACTTGGGGAAGAGGGGTGCGTCGAACAGTACAATCCACGTACATGTAATTCGTATATTCCGTTGGATCACATTGATATGGCACCCCTAGATCTGCACACGATAATGGAAAGGCCAACACTAGTTACAACATTCTCGGCTTTTCCTACTGCCTAGACATTAGTAAGTCCATGTATTACATGTACATCTAGTCTTGCTCATGGCAGGTGCAGTATCTACCGTGACGAGGACACAGTGACGTTGATGTCTTCACACCGGTGCCACAAGAGAACTGGTCTTCTCTGGATTTGATTTAATCATGTATCTGTAGCTGGGTTGCGCATTCTCTTCCGCCCATTCTAGGACCCTAATGTGCCTTGACAACACCCGCGGCATCGGCCTGAGCCGTGATCCTCTTCTTGTATGCCTGCACATCACCAGGGAACTTCTCCACCGTGCCGTTCTCGCAAACCCACAATGATGTGCAGACGGTCTGCAGCATCGTGACATCGTGGGACACCATGAGCACGCCACCCTGGAACTCCTTGAGTGCCTCGGCCAAGGCATCCATGGCCTCGATATCCAAGTGGTTTGACGGCTCGTCCATGACCAAGATGTGGGGGTTGGTGAGCGCCAGGCAGGCAAACGCTACACGAGACTTCTGACCACCAGACAGCAGCGCCATCTTCTGCAAGCCCGTCGTGCCTGTGATGCCGAAGGCACCCAGTTGCCGGCGGTACTCCTCGTCGGTCCTGCCGGGGTAGGTCTTGGCCATGAAGCTGACAGCGCTGGCGTTGAGGTCGAGCGCATCGACATGGTGCTGCGCAAAGTAGCCGATGCGCAGGCGCGGGTTCTGCGAGATGACGCCGCTGGTCGGCTGCAGCTTGCCGATGAGCAGCTTGAGCACCGTGGTCTTGCCGGCTCCGTTCGGCCCCACAATGCCGATTCGCGAGTCGAGCTGGACGTCGAGATCGACGTTCTTGAGCAGGATCTTGTCCTTTGTGTAGCCGAAGGTGACGCCGGACATCTGGACGATAGGCGGCGACAGCTTCTCGACGTCTGGGAATTTGAACTTGACGCTGTACTCTGCCTCGGGCGGCTCGAGCACCGGCATGCGTTCCAGCTTCTTGATGCGGGATTGCGCCTCGGACGACTTGGCGGCATTGTACCGGAACTTGTCGATGAACGCTTGGAGGTGGGCCCGCTGCGCCATCTGGTTTTCGTACTCCCTCTTGGCCGTCTTCTTCCGCTCCTCCTTGGTCGCATAGAAGGAGTCGAAGTTGGCACCGCGGTAGTAGTCGAGACGCATGGAGTGCTGGTGGATGATGTCGGTAGCGACTTCATTGAGGAAGGCCCTGTCGTGGGACACCACGAGAACGGTGCTGGGGTAGCCTTGCAGGTAGTTGGAGAGGAAGGTGATTGATGGAACGTCCAACATGTTGGAAGGCTCGTCGAGAAGCAGCAGATCCGGCTCGCAGAAGAGCGCCCGAGCAAGCGCGAGACGCATCCTCCAACCACCAGAGAAGGTTTTTGTGGCAAACTGCTGCCGCTCCGGCGAGAATCCCAAGCCTGCCAGAATGCTGGCGGCTCTAGATTCGGCCTTGTCCGACTCCATCTCTGCGAGTTTCGCTTGGACGTCGCCGAGACGCTGGTCCAGGGCCTCGCGCTCCTTGTCGAGCTTTGTGGCATCCACCGACGTGTCCGCCATCGAGGCTCGCTGAGTCTCGATTTCTGCCAGCTTGTTCGTGAGTTCCTGCGCTCCTTGTTAGACCAAGTCGGGCACATCGGGAAACCTTGCGGTGCGGCTTACGGCTTGCTCCTTGAGCAGCACCTTGCGCCAGACGTCGGCATCGAGGACCGCCTGGAGTGCTGGAGTGTCGTCGCCTGTGATCTGTCGGGTCGTTAGCCGGAGCTCAAAGGAAGCGGGAAAAGAAAAACGGCGTGGCGTACCTCTTGTTCGACATGCAAGATGGAAATGTGGGTAGGAATCGGCACCTCTCTGCGGGAGAGCGCTCTTAGGAGAGTAGATTTACCGACACCGTTGTTACCAACAAGACCATATCGGTGGCCGTAGGAGAGAGTCAGTGTCGTGTCGGTCAGGATCCTATTCCCTCCAATCGACACGTCGATGTTGTCGATCTTGATGTCCTTGGACTTGCCACCGTGGCCCATCTGCAGAGGGTTCACGGCCATGTAGAACTCCTCGTACGACTGGGCGGACTCGGTCTGGCTGAGGAGGCGCGAGGCCTCATACTCGACCGTCTTGAAGGTCTTCTTGTTCTGCTTGGCGGCAATCTTGCGCTCGGCCTTCTCGAGCTTCTTCTTGTCGACCTTGGACTCGACCTTGCGCGCATTGGCAGACTCAAGGTCGACAGATCCGGTGGCAACCGCCAGCGTCGAGGATATGTTCCGCTGGGCGCTCACTTGGATGGTCTGATCGAGCCTCTTGACCGCGGGGCCCCTCTTCTCCTGGCTGTTGCTGGCAGCAGCATACCTGTCCACCCATTTCTCCACCAGGCTCCGGATCTTGTCCTGGGTGGCAGCGCCATGGCTCCCGGAGGCAGAGAGCAGCAGCTCGGTGATAGCCGACGCGGCCTCGTCAAGCGGGGACGGCCCTGCGGCGTCCTCTTCGCTGGACCAGGCCGTGGAGGCATGGGTTAGATAGCCAGCCGAGTACTCGGAAATCACGGGATCGATGTTCGGGAGCACAGCCCGGATCTCGGCGTCCATGTTTGGCGGATTCGCGGCGGAGGGCAAATGCAAGCCGAATGTCTGGGCACAACTAGGGATTCTTGATCTAAGTTTAGGTAATCAAGCAACTGGTTGCTGTTACCGCTTGGTCATCCAGAGCTGCCTAGTCGGGAGTTCTGGCCTTCCGACTTTGAACTTGCACTGCCAGTGGCAATGGTCGTGAACCGTGATCGCTTCCGTCTCCGGTCCGTGATTTTGGCACCGGCGAACTGCATGTGGGGCCCGGCCGCATTAACTAAGGTACCAGGTAGAGGTACCTTACCTTATTACACAGTACATACCTAGGTAGATCCGGGCCCACGCAACCGCTGGTAGGTACGGAATACAATACGGGTTACATTTATCTGATCCTTCGCCGATGAGGCCTGCACGGTGCCACGGATAGTACATCGCAACAAGTAACTATCGTAAGAGCAAAAGCTACAGTAAGGCAATGTCGCTCACTCAGCTTTCGAAGGGTTCAGACGAGATTTGCCAGTGCAACGCGCCTGGATCTGATTGGTTAAGGTCCGAGCTGCCCCTGCCGGGCTTAACTAACAGTTCAACAGTAACCTGCTACGGGATAACTCAGGTAAGGTACCTCATATAAAATTTCTGCTCACAAGGTGTTCCAGCCGCTTGTTAGGGCTTTTTTATCGTGCCGTCGGGTGAACTGAACTTGGCCATCACAAGTTGCGCTCCAGCCAACCGGACATTGGACACACCTTCCAGTAATGGCAGGAACACGATAATGGCCGGTGCAGGTTAGAAAGCTTCTGCATGCGAGACCGAGGCGGGCTGCATTTTCGTCCGTCCGTCCTCGGATCCGCCTCGGAACATTCTTTCAGCCCAACCGTGCTTGATGATTGCGTCAAGAGATTGCCCATGCGGCTTGGCACATGTCCGGGAAGGGAGGAACTTGAAGTGTTACGGCTACGGTGAGGCGGCGGGGCCACCGTGTGGTGTGTATCGAACTCGGCCTTCGAAAAGCGGCGGCAGAGACGGCGGCTATGGCTATACAGATACCTGGGTAGGGTAGGTATGTTTGATGCCGGTTGGGTGCTGATGCGTCCTCGAGCCGTCCCGGACATGGTTGAAGGCTTTTCTTTTTATCCTCCGAATTTCACAGCGCGTGGCTAACCTCGACGTCCGCCAAGAGCCTTTTCCCACCCTGTTTCAAAATAACTGCCACAACGGCGGCTAACTAACTAGTAACTATTCCGAAGTTCTGAACGCGAGCCGCCGGCCTCTCCTGGCGGGTCCAAACAGGATGCGCTACAAGCGCACGGACTCCCCAAACATTGAACCAGGGGCGGTCGCCGGGCAACGTGTCTCTGTTCTCTGTTCTCCAGACCCCTGACAGCGCCTGACAAGACCTGACAGCATGGATAAAGCTGACAATACCCAGCATCTGTGTTGCGTTGTTGCCGGATCGGGTGTGCTGACGCAAAGACCCGTGCTGCCGGCAGCCGCTGTGAAATTGACGAGCCTGGCCATCATCCGGGATTCCGGGTTTGTTCATCAAGCGGATTGATTGTCTCTTGACTCGATCAAGTTGTCGTGACCCTGGGTACGCCGGAGGTTACTGTGCCATGTTGCTGCCGTGTGAAAAGCATATCAAGGAATGCCATGAGGTCTAAGTCACAAGCCGGCGCAGTTTCTTATGTCTGTGAGAGGGGCCTCAATCTCATCCATTGATACGGCCACAAGGGATCGGACCCTGGAAACACGAAAAGGAGTCGTCGGAGAAACACTGCAGACGGGTACAGTGTCAGCCTTTCCGAGACAACCACACCAAGGCATCTACGCCGTCATGATTGCCCCTTCACTCCATTCATTGCTGAAGCCTCGAGATATCCCAAAGCAGCGGTTGGGAACTGGACCTTAAAGCTGGGCTCCAATGCTGCTGCTGTAGAAGACCATCGGGTATCGATCGAAGCGGCTTTCCGTCCCATCGCGCTGTAGGATACCCTACTTTCTTTCTTGTGCGCTCATCCCTTCAGCCTCGCGTTAGCAGGTGACTATCTCTCTCGTACTTGACACATGTTTATTAATTGGTCGATAGTCTACCTCGCGCAAGCACGGCATCATGCGGCTTGGACGACCGGATGCAGCTACTAGGTACTGCAATGCGCAGCCGCATCATCCTTGACATTGCAGTTCTGACACTGTACCACTACTCCGTACGCCTGCCTCCTGTCTCAAGAACATGGTCTAGGACAGCTTAGGATACACCCTGTCTTCCAATGTGAAAGCTGTAGCGTGCTAGACTCGCTTCCTATTTCTGTTTCCTTTTACTAACCTTTACATCTACGCTACCTATACTTCACTGGCATTTCACGCCTACGCTCCTGGAATGGCAGCTCCTTTGTCTCCGACCAAACCTATTAGGAAGGGGACATGCGACCTTGTACTTCTACGCGTTAAGCTATTAAGCTAAAAACGCCCTAGTTAACGTCTGATTACATCCTCTTGACAATTAGTGAGCTTTTGGAAGACTAAGCCCCCAAGGACGAGTGCGTATCAACCTCCCAACCAAGGTGGTACTGACTTTATAGGTACCTACTCGAGTCTCCTTCACCACATACTCCGTTGCCGAGTCCTTAATCCCATCTCTTTTCGGAAGTGAAGCCAAAGTGAAAGTGTTTGAGAACTACGCAATGAAATTGTGAGCTGCTGAAGATGACCCGTTACTGATCTTACCACTTCCGGGAATCAACGTCCTCTGTCGACGACACTCCACGCCTCCCCTTTCAGACTCGGCGCGGTGCAGAGGCAAACGTCCAGTCGCTTGGCACGTTCCATGGCGACGCCATGAGTCCATGACAAACTTATTCGTCCTTCGCATGACAAGGATACCTTCCTTGGCACCGACGATTCTTCTTCTGGAGCTTACGAGTTGTTATGGACAGTTCAGAGGCTCTCTAAGTACTGGCAATCCTCGGAGGCTCTAAGATGACGGGTGTTGATGATGATCTTTGTCGCGGACCTTTTGCACGGGCTGTTGTTGGGTTCTGCGAGAGGGGAAATCCGGGGTAAGGTAAGCAAGGGGCATATAGAGACGCATAAGGAATGATGTTGCGATTAAAGATGATATTATCCGAAGGAGACCTGTAAACGGGTTGCACAAGATCCATTTCAACGTCGTAAGCAGTACTAGTCTACATACCTACCTAGGTATGCTTGAGTGTGAGTGTGAAAGACTACCCTTCAATGCTACCTACTGTACCTATATACACGGTATCACCGGAAAGTATCAGTGTAAGCGAACGGGGATTACAACCGCATCATAACTACTGTACTACTAGTACACAGTACGGAGCTCGGATGCTGTTTTTGGAATCATGCTTGGCGTGGGGAGATCGCGTTCCTGACCACGCTCACCATGCAACCTGCTGCTGTCCATTGGCGTTGCTGCATTGCGTTGTTTCGGCCTTGGAAGGATCCATGGAGCGGCAGGAGGTGGATCGTTTAATTGCTGCTTTGCCCTGCTGCCCTGTAACCTGTCGGCCCAGCTCCCCAGATCCAACTGCATCCCTGCAGCCCATTGCGACTTCATGCTCGCTGTTTCCGGTTTGTAACCTCTCTACACAGTATGTACTGTAGGTAGGCTGAGCCGTGGGTAGGATAAGCAGGTGAAGCCAGGCGGGTTAGATGAGTCAAAAGTTGGTCAGGAGCACGCCATGAGGTGCCGTTCAGTGTGCTCTTCATTCGTGCATCATCGACCGGGAGGTCGTGTATCTGCTGTGTAAAAAGGCAGGCGCTCTTGTGGTTGCATGTTGGCTCAGCGTTGCGGGACGACTGGCTGCCCTGATTCAGGATCTGGGGCGGGCTAATTTCTGCGTATGCGGTGCACACACATACGGACCTTGGCTTGCAGCCTGCGCAAGCGCGCAGACCGGATGCCACAGCGCTGTATCTCTCAGGCTCATCAAACATGCGCAGTTTGTCGATATTGGAGGGTGTGGGCGGGCGTGTCCGGAAGCAGCTGAGCTAGATGGGCTTACACAGCATAGGACGCAGGACACAGCAGGGCCGATGATCGCTTCAAGTGCGCCTTCTTAGCGCCAAGCGAATCTCAGACTGAATCGATAGCCGAAAGCCAATCCGAGCGCAGGCCCGCAAGATCCTGGAAAGCCCGTGCAGGTGCAGCCCAGAAGATCTCCACAGCATCCCAGCAGCCTGGCCCCCAGCCCAGCCTTGGATGGAGTTGTTGTGGTTCCAGGATGCCGTCGCCCTTTACCGCATCGTAGAGGTGGATTGCTGGTTGCTGTGCCTTGTACTGTACACAGTTCCCGACACTTTTCCCTCTGTTTGGCTTTCGCGCGTCTTGTTGTCTTTTCTCGGTTCTCTGTTCCGGGAACGTTGCCAGGCCGGGACCTCACTCTTTTCATTCATCGGGCCGTGTTGTTGAGTTTGCGGATGGTCCACCGAGGTGTGCCTTCCCGTGTCGCGTCTTCGGCCAGTGCACCTTGACTTCCGGGTTTGTTTTTTTCTGGCAAACGGGCGGTCTGTTGCTCTTGCCCCGGATCAGTTCGTCCCATCTCAGCGTCGGCGACCCTCACCAATTGCGGCCCGCCTCGACAGGAAGCCGAACCTGGAAGCCACAACAGCGACGGCCGTTGGACCGCCGACCGCACCCCGCTGCCCTGGCCGCCTTCTCCCTCCCTAGCTGCGACCCACGCCAGCACACGGCACCCGGTCCTGCTCTCGATCGCGTTGGACGCCAGTTGACACGGCCTACTGCGTCTCCTGCTCGCATTCGCAGCAGCAGCGGCATTTGGTGAGCCGGTGCTTCCCCCAGGTCACTTGGCCGTTCTGCAGTCGGGCGTGCCGGGCGACAAACTGCAAGAACGCGCCTGCACCATCCGCATTCCCGCATTCCACATTCGTCAGCTCATCGCTGGCATACATACTCCCTCCTCCTCGACAGCTTCTTCTTTCGTAATGACCTGACGATGCAAACCACGACCCTCACGACTACCAGATCCCTTCTCGCCCCTCTCTCCTCTCACGGCTGCTTGTTGCCGTTGACATAAACTACCCACAGCCAGGATGCAGGCCGTGCCAAGCGTAAGTTTGTCGAGAATCTCGTCCGTGTGTTGGACGTCGGGGTATGGATGCAGAGCGAAATTGCAAACGAGCTGCGTTTGTTTGATGCGAACGCGACGGCCAACAGCCCTGCGATAGCCTAGTCCATCCCGTCCTGTATCCCTTCGTGTCGGCAAGCTGAACGGTCCATGCTTGAGGAATGCTAACGTCTCTGTTCACAGCTCGCGGCTACCGGCGCTGCGGCGGCCGCCGCCGCCGTTGGCTTGGCCTTTGGCCAACCGCCCGAGGCCGAAGCACCGTGGCCGAGCTCGGTTCACCACAGCTTCCCCGCCGACTACGACGGCTTCCGAGCCCGGCCAGCCCCTCTCCGTCCCGGCACAAGCGCCGCGCTCATATACCACCCGCCCACCTCGCCCGTGGAGGACTTCCCATACGCCTCCTTCCGCCAACTCGCCGAACCAGCAACCCCAGTCAGCCCCCTCACGTCACACCCGACAGTCTCCACTAATGTCCCACGCCCTCTCACTGGGGTTTCAGTCACATCTCCGCAGTCTGACGGCAGAAGGCACTCGCTCCTACGCCAGGGCGACGTGGCATGCCAGACAATCGCTGAGAATGCGCGCGATTCGGTGTCGTCCAGGGAGTCTTGGATACGGCGGCTGTCCCTCCGGCCACTGTCTCAGCATGGGAGTCGGACATCGAGCATGGGCCCGGATTCGTCGTCCGTGGCCTTCTCACACGGCTCCGGCGTTCCAATGCTTGGCCAGTCGCCCACATCCCATCCCTCGCCGAATAAGCTGGTCAAGAGAGCAACATCTGGGCAGAATGGACCAGTGGCGGGCCATGCACGGCGAGGCTCCAAGTCGCAGGTTTTGACGCTCCGGCGGCCTGCTACAAGCCACCAGCGGTCTGCGACATTGCAACAACAATTTCAGCAGCAAGGGACTGCGTTGGCCGAACCGCTTTCGCCGGATGCTATGTATCGCCTAGACAACTACGCCTTTTCGCCGACTTCCCCAATGTCCCCCCCCTTTCCGATATCGTCGGAGCCGAGCCGACCCTCCAAAAAATGGACGTCATTCTTCCACTTCCGCCGCACATCCTCATCGGTGCGAGAGATATCTGGCCTTCCTCCGGGAACCTCGCCGTATCACGGCCTATTTCCGAGGCGGAGAGTGTCGTTGAACCCCCGTCATGATCTCCGCGCCTACCTCACGAAGCCGAGTGACGTCGACGCCGTAATGGCGAATAACTTCGGAGCAACGCACGATCATATTGCGCCTGAAGGGAAGCAAGAAAGCTGTGATCTCGCCCTCGACCCCTCTAGCCCAACCGACTCGATAGGCGATCGAGGAACAAAGCGGTCATTGTCGATGCATTTCAGTTCAGCCAGCCAGTGGATTGCACGGACCGGAAGCGTCCGACGCCCGAGACGGAGTACAATCGAACCCTTGGCTGTGCCGCACGACCAAACTCCACCCCCCGCCCAACCGGGCCGCGAAGGAATTCATGCGCCACACGACCCTGAACAGCAACCTCGGCAGCAAGCGGAATTTGAACTGAAGCCAGCCGATCTCCCGCGCACTCGCAAGAGAAACTCGTCGTCGCCCTTGCCTCCCCTAAATCGCCTGTCTAGTTTCAACATAGACGTTACGCGCATAGGGCTGGCCACGTCGTCCTCGGCAGCTACTTCGGGGTCCTTTCATCGTCCCATCAACTATTCGCAGGCATCTTCGGCCACCACTCACAGCCGAGGACCGTCAGGGGAGCGATCTGTGACCCTTGCCGGCTCCGATAGCGAGGCTCACGAGACGTTTTATGGAGACGATGGGGATGCAGACTTCGGGAGCGACGCCATGTACGACTCTTTCCGAACGGGGGCTTCCTCGAGCCGAGTGAGATCTGTCGAGACACCGCTGGAGTCAATGTTTGATGACTCGCCTCCTAGCACCGCGAGCAACGGCAGAACGAAGCGGCTGTCCATCCAGGAAATGCTTGGGCGTTCTTGGGACGGCGAGACGAAGATTACGGAAGAGGACGAGGGCGTTCCCACGCCAATGAGAAGCACGCATCCGGCGGAACCCCACGGTCTTGGGTCTCACGATCGGAAACGAGATCATTTCGAGTTTGACACCGCACACAAAATGCCGTTGGCTGACAGCGACTTGGGTCGCCTGTCATTTGATGATGACGACGATGATGACTGGGCACGAGATGACGAGAACACTCTGAGCAACCATCTTTCACCGCCGAGCTCCACTAACTCCCGGCGCGTCAGCCCTACCTTGCGACAGGCCCTTAGGAACACCAGTGGCAACGGCTACCCCGAGTCCCAGCGGCAAAGCCTGGGCGACCGGCCGCGGAGTAACATATTTGATTGGTCGGAACCATCAGTTCACGACAAACACGACACTAATCTGCCACGGCCGAAGACGGTGCACGGGAAACAGGAGCTGGACTTGAGGGGAGGCCGTTCCGTGAGCCGCAAGCCGCCCGGCGCAGCGCATGTGCGGAGCCAGAGTGTCCCCGTCGTGCCGGACCCCTCCGATGGCTCAAAATTGCCACCAAAATTTGGAACCTGGGGTCTAGGAACGAAGAATTCCAGCGAGGATTGGGACGATGACTTCGAGTTCGAGGGGGACGAGTCTGTGGTTTGCTCGCCCGGAGGCAAGGACTCGGCTACCAGCTTCTCCATGGTGGTCCCTGCTTCGATTCAGGCGACACAGCCCAGCGTGAGGGCACATTCCGGCCAGATCCGCGAGCTCTCCTTACTGGTCAACGATCTGAAACGGCTATGTCGACATGGCAAGGACCTCGACATCTTGGAAGGACCGATGGCAGTCAAGTGGGCGGAGGCGGAAAGCATCATTGCTCTGGCTTCGCCGGACGAGGATGAGCCTGAGGACATGAGCTCGAACAAGCCGTCGGTGGAACTGGATCGATCGAAGATGGACGACCTGTTCTTGGAAGAGGGCTTCGACGGTCCGCTTCTTGACTTGTCTGACGACCCGTTTGGCATTCCGGAGCCTGAGATGTCTAAGACGGCGGTGGTACGGGAACGGCATAGTCCCCGGCGGAGATCGGTCTTCTCCCCCGAGGATGACATCTTCGGTAACTGGCCGCTGATGGAAGGAAGTGCAACACCGGGACGGACACACGAACCCAGCAGGGGCTCTAGCCCGAGTAGGAACTCTGCAGTCATCTCGATGGTCATTGAAGCCATGAAGCAGGGGCAGAAATCCGCATCTCAGCGGGCCAAGAGCGCACCCGCCAGAACGCCGGGCGCGAAGCTGTTCTTCGACACCAACAGCCTCCAGGAATTGGTCAAGCGAGCCGGTCAGCTCCGGGACATGCTGTCGGATGCGGTCCGCAAGGCCGAGCTGCTTACGCAGAGCCCCGCTGGCACGCCTCGCCGCGAGCGGCATCTTCGCCACCAGAACCCTGACGGGAGCCCAGCGTTCACGCGAGTCTTCGCGGACCCCGCGTCGAGCCCGCCGAGACGACTGCCCAACAGCCGCAGCAGCAATTCAATCCTGAGCAGGACATCTGTCGAGTCGCCGAGGATGCAAATGATGACGGTTAGCTGAAACCACCCAGCTGCGGTTTCTCCTCCCGACATCTATCAACTACTAGTACCCCAAATTTAATATCCTCATCCGTCCAGCAAGCCCGTGAACGCGGGTTTCCTTTTTTTTCTTTCTACCTGCTCTCTCACGTTCTCCCCGCCCCATTATCCGAACCTGTATATGTATGAATAATTTCTGGTCTGATGACCGGCATGCTGTCACGGTTGCTTTGCATAGGAGAAATGCTTACAACGACAAAAGAACGGAGCGAGGCGCAACTTACGTTACTTCTTTTCCTTTCCGCATAGCATGGTGTGGCATGACAAGGCTGAAGTGGATAAAACAAAATGGGAGTTGGCCAAAAGGAAGTGAAGTGGCATGGAGTGCAATGGAGCACGGGAAAACAAGGCAAAACGGACGTGTGCCTGAGCAGCCCGGCACTTTGATGTACCTTACAAAAACCGGCTGTGTTTTCCCGTTTTCTATCCTTTTTCCTCTCTCTAGTATCGATGATCGTACGGACACTGTGGTAATGAGTCACGGCATGGCATATTGCCTGCTTGTTTTCTTCTACTTGGCATGGTCTTCCCTGCATTCGCGCCTGGAAAACAAGCAGCATGCACGAGATGCGATTTTCTGCTACTTTAGTAATGTTTGTTAGCCTGCTCCATGTGTTAGGGGATACATAAAATGCCGGCTATGTTTCTCTTTCCGTCTCCTCCCAGCGCATTGCAAACATGTTTGTGAAGTATGTATATCAGCTAGACCAAGAGGAAGCCCGACTACATACCTTACCTTAGTAGTAGTATTGGTAGTTTTTACTCCGTCCTAGTAGTTGTCGAGAGCACGACCCCTTTGAGTTGAACGTGCCAGTTGGGGGACGGCGTCATCTAGTACATGATTTTGTATCTGCATCAGTTGCTCAGTATCTCATTTAGGTGCCTTTCTCCTCGATTTCTCCTGTTCTATGTCCATCCTCGAATATAATACCGTCGGCTCGCTTACCGGGTATGCTTTAGGTTCGTGAATTAGTAGTCAAGAACAGCTCATCAACATCCTGGACAAGGTGATTAATATCGAATGAGAATTTAGGAGATTGAATTTCAATGGTATATAGAGAGCTGTTTCCCGCCACTTTTGTTCGCCTGAATGTGACTGCCTTGGATGATAGCTTGGGACCCCGGTCTCCTTTTACGCCCTATAGGTATTGGATAGGAGGTTGTTCAGCTAGCTGTCCAGGCTGCCTGTCTCCCTCAGCTCCATCTAGCAATGCCTTCGGTGGATCGCACCTCAGCCGAGTTCTTGGAGACTAGGTACGGAATATAGCATCCAGGTGGTCAAGACCACAATAGTATTCCTCCTGCTAGGCATCATCCACTCTACCTACCATCCCCTTTATTACAGTGACAGAGAAAAGGGTCCAGAAGATAGCAGATTGAGAGGATATCGGGGGAATGACGAAACTACAGTTAAGAGAATAGCTCTGATTATGTCAACAAAACAAGCTACTATTTAAGCATCAACAATATGACTTCGAGATGAACGATCGCACCCCGCCGCCAACACCCGTTAACCCCAAACGACTGCACGTCGGGACAGGTAGAACAGGAGGTTCCACAATCGGCTCATGCGTATGAAGTGGGATTCGGGGTTCCGCTGTAGGAAACAGCGGCAATTCGCTTCTTGATTTCCGCTTTCCCTCCAGCTGACGTGGCCTTTGATCATAGGAATCAGGAAGGGGAACGTGTAATGATGTTGCTGATTGAAGCTGAACTGGCAGGAATCACTCAGCACTAACAGCCAGCGATATTCAAAGCGGACGAAGAACGAAACAGACTCTCTGCACGGTATATCAAAGGCACCAAATTTGCAATTGGGAATGAGAATCACAATCTGCTTTATTCTGCACTTAAGAGACCCCAAAGACGATAACCACCTGAATGAAACTCAAGCCTGGTCATTTATGAATGACGAGCGTCATAAGTATATCCCAGGGTAGAAAAGACACGGAAAGAACTCAGTCAAAAACCCTCCTCAATGACAATATGAGGACATTGAGGGTTAAATCTACCATTCCAAGAGCCAAAGCCACTCAAAAGTTCTACTCCTTTGCACCATGCGCAAGGGCGATCCTTTTCCAATGATCACGGTCCGCCGTCAGCTCCACGATCTTCTCCTCCAGCTCCTGAAGACGCTGTGCTTTACGCTCGCGCGACTTGCGTGCGGCAAGCGTGTTGCGCGCCCGCTTCACGGCGACAACATCATTCGAGTCCTCCACAATGATGGGAGGCAGAGGCTTGTCGCGACGGCGCGAGCTAACGCCAACAAACGAGGAGGGACGACTAGACGGGGGCGAAGCGCCCGACGACTTGCGGCGATGTTCGGAAGTGGACTCCGTCGCCTCCAGGTCGTGCGACTTCGACGCGGAAGATCCCTCAGTGCTTGTTGCCCTCTGCGGCACTTCCGGCTGAGGCTCGGTTGGAGGGAACAGGGGGTACCAGGTGTCGGTGGAGCCGTTGTCGAAGTCACCGCTTCCGAAGCTAGGGGAAACATCGTAGCTGTCGCAGAAGTCGGGCGACCCGTTATAGATCGAAGGTGACGTGAGAGCGGTCAGAGCGGCGGAGTTGGGTGCCGACATGAACGGCTCATGGACCAGGAGATCCTGCGGCGAAACAGTGCCCATGTTGGTTGTCGGGCTGGAAGAACTGCCGCTCAGGTCGAACACGCTCGGCATCGCCGGTGAAGAATACGCCGAGGTGGAAGCACCGCCTTCGAAGGCAGTGAACTCCTCTAAGTCCAGATCTGATGCAGAGCGTGAGCCTCGTGGTCGAGCATGTGGGCCGCACCAAGCGAGTGTGGAGGAGGGTTTACCTTGGATGATCATATTGCCTTGTGGTACGTTACCAGTGCTTTGCGGGAACAGAGGAACAGGGGGGCGACGCGGCCGGTTCTGTTTCTGTGCGTTCGAAGCAACTGATGAAGATGGAGCAGACGAAGCGTAGAACTGGCGCGAAAGCGGGTTCTGCGCAGGAGAGCTAAACCGATTGCTGAAAGCCGAAGAAGTTGTCTGGTGCCCTGTTGCCTGGATGATGCTAGCAACTCGCTGGTTCTGCAACGAACTTGAGGGCGACGTGGAGGCCTGTTGCGAGAAGAGTGGCTGGTTGCGATGTTGCTGGTTTGGTTCTACACCTCCGTTGGCGGAAGGTTGCGAGATAGAGCGATTAGCGTAACGGCGTGGTCTGGTCGGCTGGTCGAACAAGACAAAGTCCTGTTGAGGCAGATTGTTGCGCGTAAAGTTCAACGGTTGCGCGGATGGTGCCGGCAGGCAGGGGGATCTGGATGGAATCCATGTTGACTGGTTTGAAGCCGTGGTGAAGACTGTAAAGTCTTGGCCGGGAATGGCGGCGGTGTTGTGAGAGGAACTTGAGCGCGAGCTTGGAAGCACGGTGCCGAAGTTCAGTTCAACCTTTGCAGGATGAGCTGAAGGAGTTGATGAAGTGCTGGGTAAACCCTGAAGATGAATTGTGGAAGATATTGTGGCGACTTTGCTAGAGCAAGTCGAGAAACTGGGGGAGGGGGGCGCTTTAACGCATCTTGACAGATGCCTTGGATTGCTCAAATTGTGTGTTGTTGTGGAAGCATTGGGTTGGAGAGAAAACAAAAGAGAAGAGAGCCGAAGTGTGGGCAGTGTGAGACTTTTTAATCAGGCAGCGAGCGCCGCAAGCGAGGCAGACACAGGCTGTGGGCCTGTGGCAGGATTGCCCTGATCGGCTATTCGTGGGAGGCAGGGACAGTGTGTGGCTACCCCTTGCGCAAGTCAAAAGGATCTGAGCTCACTGTGCGAAACGCTCTCTCCGACTTCATCGTCGTATTGACTAGTGTACTATAAAACAAGCGTATGTCTTTTCCAGCTCGCCTTGCATTCCAGGCGAGTATTACAGTATGGATGCGGCTTACGTCCCATCAACGCACGGTGCTGGTTAAGCTAGAGTACCACTGCTGGGCTCCAAACTTTTCCCCCTGCGTGGTACGCGTGTACCGGGCAGCCCTAAATGGAAGGTGTGAGTCACACTCCTCCCACACGCTCCTGCCTCCAAAACTCCGTACCCCACAAGCAAAACGCGAAATTTCGCCAATCTGTGGAGTTATATGTAGGGCTCGCAATGCTCACATGGGCGATCGTTTGTGGAGGACGATGATATGTTTTGAGCGCATGTTCTGAAAAACATCTACGTCTGTCACCTCAATTACCACCTATCTGGAGCAGTGTGATGAGTTGGCGAATGTACCATTGTCTGGTAGGAGCGACTTAACAAAGACCTCTTTTTTCAGAACCGGCCTGCGACTCTGGTGCCCTCTGCCCTGCCATGCCTGCCAGGCGGCCAGCACTGCCCCACTAATATATCTCGTAGCCAATAAGACGTGCAGTCGTGGGAAGGTCCCATGCATGTATTTCTGGCTGGAAACGCCAAAGTGAGGACATCGGACAGGCTTACGCCGCTGGCACGGTCATGGCCTCCACCAGAAGGGCGCACATGTCCAACTATGGTTTTCTGCCTGTTGCGGTCGTGGGAGGCGCCTTTGCAATGCAGGAAAAAAAGATGTCCTCATGAACCTAGTGAACACGTATGGAGGTACGTGTGTGTGCGCCGTGTGGTACGTCCGTCTCCGTTGCTTCAGTGGAAAAGGCCACGAGTCCTTCGGCCACGCACGACTTTCGTGCCCTCGGGCCGGTTCAAGTTCGTAACTTCCAGGTTGCGACCATTGCTTCTGGGGACCGGCTAGCCCTAAACAATCGCCCTTGCAGTGCCCAGCTTTCACCCAGGCCAAGCATTCCATTCCATCTGGGACTGGGCGACTGCGGCTTTTGTCGCACACGAGTTTCCTGTCAGCCGTTATTTTCCTAAGCTGTTGGGCTTCTGGCTCAGCCTCCGCGACGGCTACGAAGAAGGTAGTAACGTTGCCCGTCTAGTCCCGCGTCAGGGCACAACCGCGGGGAAGGGCGATGCGGAAAGATCCAAAGACTGAGACATGATCTTGCTTGATATGTTCCCTATTGCAACGACACTGGGGAGTTGCGCGTCGAATCAGAATGCCCAATTGGATTGGAAGTCCACGATGTTGCAATTGAGTTTGTGAGTCACTCGGCTAGATTCACATCCCCTTGCAAATGATCGCCAGAACCCTTGCTTGGCCTGGGAATGGCTTGGCCGACACGACTCCACTGCGAGATTTCCATCAAAAGCGAGAATGTTATGTCGTCGCGGAGGTGGGGTTCCATGAAGGCGTCACAGTCCCCTGAGCGGCGTTAAGATGGCGATACGAGCAGAGGAACCTAAGCTACGCAACAACATAGTAACTATTTACTATATGTATTCACATGAGTGAGTGCGAGGAGGGTGCAGCGACTGAGGATTTCTTTGCTTCGGAGCTCACCGGGCAGCTACTAGATGAGCCGGCCGTTTCCGTACGGAGCGGCCCCGCAGAGGTGAAGCGGATCGGCTCGGACCTCCTCCGAGTTGAAGTTGTCAGTGATGCAAGTGTAGCACCTGCCAACCTACAATATGGAAGTCAACACCTTATCCTCGCTTCCTTGTAGGCACGGTCCGGGCCGCTCACCTGATTTCCCAGGCGGTTGGGAGGCTCAAGGCAATGTGATTGCTCGAGCCAGGTCCCTTCAGGGTCAATCAGCCGTTAATCCATACAGCCCCGCCCAGCCAATCCAAGAACTCCTCATGATTTAGGTATGTCGTGAATTTCCAAGCCTCTCCTATGCCTTTTCACTGCCGCTTTCAGAAAGACGTACTGCCTTGACCTTGCGGATCCCTCCGCCGAGGTGGCTGCACCTCCTGCAAAGGCACCTGCTGTGCAGCCTCATTCACCTCGTCCCCCATGATGTTATTCTTCCTCGCGACCGCCGGCCACCTCCGATTCTCCTTCCTGGCCTCGGCCACCGCTTCTTTCAACCACCTCTTCCACTGCTCCGTCGCGGGCATCGCGCCGCTCCGTTCTGCCCAGCCGCCGTCTTTCGTCTCCCTGATAGCGTACCACAGCGTCCGCGTAAACGACGGGGTGCCCTCACGTGCGTCTTCCGGAACCGCGGGCTCATCGGCATTCTTCGCATCGGCCGGGGTGACGTCCTCGACCACGTAGCGGTTCAGATCCCAGAAGTACTTCTGCGGCAGCAGGCCCATGAGCCAGTACTATCCAACAATGTCAGCCACTTCTTCCCGGATCAGGGTGTCTCGGGAGCAAATCGGGAGCAAAAGGCCTGTCTCAGGAGCACATTGACTCCCGAGACAGCCAGATTCGGACATGAACAGCACGAATTTGACATACCAGCCCGTTCAGCACGATATAGCTCACGCCGATCAGGACCTGGCTGTTCCAGCCGCAGTTGCCGAGCAGCACGACCGACACCATGAGCAGCACCATGCCCAGTCCCATGAACACGCGGTGGAACTTGTTGCTGATGTACTTGCACTCCTCGGTGCCCGAATACAGCTCCCGGGCAACCTCCTCGGTGCATTTGATCAGCACGAAGGCGCCCTCGCGCGTGCGGATGACGACGTCGCCCGGCGGGACCCGGTTGGTGGCCGGGCGGTTCATCAGCTTGGGATGCCACCACGAGGCGTAGCAGATGACGCTGCTGGCGATGCTGATCAGGAAGGTGGCGAGCATGGCAGTGCCGTCGTTCCAGACACCCGCGGCGACGATGATGCCGACGGTCAGGAAGAAGGAGAGGACGTTGAGGATGTGCACCGGCGAGTAGTAGTTTGGCGGCACCGTATAGCGGTTGTTGCTGTTGACCATTGTCGGGCTGGTCACCACGTCGCTGAGCTTTTCGGCCATGGTGCCCCTGCGCTTGGGCTGTGTGCCGGGTTCCGGCGGCGGTGGTTCTTCTTCTGCGCCGTGGGCCGAGGCTGGTGCTGGCAGGCCAGCCTCGGGGTCGGCTCCAGCAAAGCGGACCGCTCGTGTTGTGTCTGTATGCTTGCGTCCATTCCCGTTTCCATTTTTATTTCCATTGCCTCTCACCTCATCACCCATCTCACGCTCTGCCGCAGCCTCTTTCCTCCTCTTCCAAAACCGCCTCCAGCCCTGATTCCGCCTCTCCTTCCCGCTGCTAGTACTAGCGGGACGGCTAGCCACCAATTCGGCATGCTTGATCTCCAAGACTTTGAAGGCAAACGGCTTGAACTCGTTCAGAGGGTGCATGATGTTCGCAAAGAACCCCACGCTATGCAGTACCACGCCTGAACGCACGCCCGCCATCGTCGCAGTATACTCAGGCATCCGCTGCGGTCTGGAAGGACGCAGGAGTGCCTGGGGCGCTGGGATGATGCGCGGAAGCAGGCACAGAGATGACGCAGTCAGCGTTTGGGCGTGTTCGGCGACCGACGACTCGCCGATAACGGCAAGAAGGGTGATAACGTCGAAACGCCAGCCGGGGAGGTCTTGACGGCCAACGGGAAACCTTGGAAGGCGTTAGTCGACATAGAATTCTGAGACGTCGTCGTAGTAGTAGTAGTAGTAGTAGTAGTAAGAAACTCACCAGGAGGCGTCTCCTGTCGCCCCTTCTTGTTGTCCCGACATGTTGGTAGCCATGGCGACCTATATTGCATTATTCTCGTTAACGAAGGAGAGAAATGGACGCTGGGAATCACAACACGGCCACGGAAACCGCATACAGGGTACTCTATCCCTCCTGTTTTTGGAGGTCGAGCGCCGACGAGGCTCTGGGATGTCTTGGCACCGAGCAAGGCTTGCAGGGTAGCAACCCCATGCTCAGCTGATTCTCGCGGAGGCTTGGGGCATCCGAGTTTTGAGCCTAAGGGCTTGCGCTGCCCAAATGTCTGTTACGGTTGAGGAGGAATTAAAGAGAGTATGTCTAGTTCATGAACCAATACGCCCGGAACGTTGAATACTCCCAGGCCCCGTTGCAGTGTTTAAGTCGCAACGCAACAACAAACATCTCGGAAAATGAGGAGAGCATCCACCCCCGGGAGATCTGCAGCCCCATCTTGGCAGAGAGCGGGTAGCCACAGTAGGCCAGCGCTTATCGCGGGCTCTGGAGGGAGGACTGAGGCCTGCAGCTCAGGCAACGCAAGACGTATGATGGCTCGATGTGCAGTGCAGCCTCGTCAGGCGCCCCGACGAGTTTGCCATCTGGAATCTGAGAATGGTGCGAGGAGGGGAGGGTTATCGGAATTACCGGTATGAAAAGAGAGGCAGCCATGTGCGACCTGCTCGCCCTCCGCTGGCCAATCGTTCCCTTTGATACAGGTTCGCCCCGAACATTGGTTTAGCCGCTCACATGATGTGCGACGGAACGTCTCCCATCCACAGGGTAGACTCGCAAGTTGCCATGAGACAATTGGCGGGAGGTAGATACCAGGTAGCGAGTAATCGTGGGCACAGGAGCAGTGCCTTTAAAAAAAGCCAAAGGGAAAAAAACAAAAAAGGAAAAAGAAGGAAACGAGAGAAAGCAAGAGCCGATCCGAGAACAACTGGAGATAGAAAAAGGGAAGACATACGACGACTGGGGGGTCGCATTAACTCGTGGGTTGGACTCTACTTATATCTTGGTCTCGTAACTCATCGTTGAAATAATAGAAAACATGAACGCGAAACAGAAGACAGGAGAAAACCGGCTACTCCATAGAGAGAAAAAAAAGGGAAATAAGATGCGAAAACGATCCATCTATCATAAATGATGCCCAACACCCGCATCCCGATCTTCCCCAGCGTCCTCCTCAAACTCGTCAAACTCCCCGTCCACGATGCGCCGGCAGAAGTCGTCCCACATCTTCTCCCAGTCTCTGCGCACCTCGTGCCTCAGCTCGGGCTCCATGCAGGAATGCTGGATGCTCCACTCGACGAGCTGGCGCAGGCCGTGGAGGGTCATGTCGGCCTTGCCGGCCATCATCTGGTAGAAGTCGTGCGAGAGGCGGGAGCGGAAGAGCGTGCCGTTGTCGGTGCTGACGGTGCAGGGCACGTTGTTGGCCAGCAGGCTGTAGACGGCGTGGCCGCTCATGCGCGGCGTCAGGCCGAGGATCTCGTTGGAGATGGGGCACACCTCGACGCAGACGTTGCGCTGCTTCATCTGGTCCATGACGTACGGGTGCCGCGGCAGCGCGAAGCCGTGGCCGATGCGCTTGGCCCCGAGCAGCAGCGCGTCCACGAGGTTGCCGTCGGTGTCGGTGCCGATCTCCAGCGTCTCGCCGCAGTGGAAGAGAAAGGGGATTTCCACGTTGGCTGCCTTGCAGAGCGCTTGGAACCGGAGGAACTGCTCTCTGAAGTCCTTCAGGGGCTTGCCTTTGCCTTCTTCCCCGACCAGGTCAAAGCCTATGAGTGGCGAATACGGTAAGTTTCTAGAGCCCTCGAAGCGGATAATCCCAAACTTCTTTAAAAACCCTCTGCTGACTTACCGGCAATGTAACCGGAAAACCTCTTGTGCATCTTAAACCGGAAGCACTGCATTAGAGCTTCTCCTACCTGCTCCTCGCTAAACGAACGCGGCGTGCAGTAGATGACCTTGAGCCCCTTCATGATCCGACGCTGGTGGTCTTTCTGGAAAGCCTCGTACTCGGTAATGATCAGATTCATAATGCCGATGTTATCGATGCGGCTCGATCCGTCGTCCTTCCAGACCTGGTTTGACGACATGAAGTTTGGCCGGATCTCGGCATACTGGATGTTGTCGCCAGCAAACTCTTCGAGGCACTGGCGCGTGTACCTCCTGTAGGCGGTCTCATAGTTGAAGAGGCCCTTCATCATCTGCGTCCTCGCGTTGAACTTTTCCCAGGCGCTGCCACTGATGTTAGCATGACCGCTCAGATCGGTAGAGGGTGTGTATGCAAAAAGAAGAAGAAGAGGAAAGAAGAAGAAGAGGAAAGAAAAGAAAAGAAAAGAAAAGAAAAGAAAATAAAAGAAAGGAAAAAAAGAAAAAAGAAAAAAGAAAGAAAGAAAGAAAGAAAGAAAGAAAGAAAGAAAGAAAGAAAGAAAGAAAGAAAGAAAGAAAGAAAGAAAGAAAGAAAGAAAGAAAGAAAGAAAGAAAGAAAGAAAGAAAAAGAACACGCACCCGTCTTGCGTTTGGAGCAAGTTGTGGGCTTCTTCCTCCTGGAATACAAGCTTTTTTTGCAACCAGCCGTCGGCCGCCGCGGGACCGCCAGGATACGCCTCGCGGAACTGCTGGAACTGCATCACCGTCCCGCCGTGATAATCGCCGTGAAACGGGACGCCTGTGCCCTTCTCCTCCACCGCGGCCGGACTCATGATGCTGAACTGTATCCTGCACAGGTCGAATGCCTCATCCCGGTCCAGAGGGATGTTGCTCCAGATAAACATGTGCTCCATGTCCTTGGCAATGCCGAGCAGCACGCTGGGGAGCAGGTTGGCGTTGAAATGGATATGGAGGTGCGCTCCCTTGGGCATGGCGCGGCAGAGGGCAAACAGCTGCGTCTGCTCGATGAGGTCGGCATTGGAGAGGAAGTGGTCGCCGCAAAACCGCGGATGCTCCTGACCACGGTAGCCTCGCCTTTTCGGGGCCGTCTCGTAGACTCGCGCAACGTCGCTTTTCTTGAGTTGCTGCAGCTTCTCGTTGGCCTTGATCTCCAGCTCCTTTGCGGTCCTGGTGCAGGCATAGTCAAATCCTAGGGAGCTCTCGTAGGCAACGCCTTGTTGGCGCACGGCATCGTACTCCTTCGCCTTTCCCGCCGCATATGCCGTCAGACGATCCTCCAACCCCTGGTTGATCTCGGGGGGGCCATCCCCGGAGAACTCAGCCTTCTCGAGGATGACACGGAGCTCCTGCAGAACCTGCTCCGGAACCTCGAGCGCTTTTTCAATGGCCGGAGAGTCCGGAGAGTCCGGAGAGTCCGGAGAGTCCGCAGCCGCGGGTTTCAACCCTTTGGAGAACTCATGGCCCTGCCCGTTGGGGACATCACCCTCACCCTCAGCGACTGGTCTCCTCCCAGATTGGTCGGCCTTGTTCGAGGGGCTGCTGCGGAACGGATTAGCAATCTTGAAGTCGGCCAAACGGCGGCGACGGGTTGTCTTGACAGTGTCCGGGCGCGCCTGTTTGGGCTCTTGCGGAGCTTTCTCAATATTGCGGGCATGTTCGGGCGAGTCCACTTTGCTGGATACGCCCATGGTCTTGGCAAGATAAAAAGACCGATGTGCACGCCAGCAGACGGTTGCCGGGCGTGGGTCGTCGGGGGCGACGGGGAGAGTCCCAGGTGAGTAAATAAAGGACGAGCCGATGCCTGAGGCGGGGTCCCAGCTTTTTAGCAACGAGAGTGAGCAACGCGCCGAGAGGGACACCTTAGGAAGGTGAGCGACCAATGTCCTATTGCGCCCTGTCCGGCGAAAGAAACGTGGTGTCCCAAACTATGTTATAACGCTGTGACACACAAGCGCCCTCTTAGCTGCACTGGAATGATCGAATCTTTTCAGTTCTGTTTTCAGGCGCCGGCGAGCCTAGCAGACCGCCCAAGCTACGGTCACTGACTGTTCGGCCGGCGAGTGCTGGGCGCACACCTGCACAGCCCGACGTTGTCAGGGCACCTCCGGAAGCGCTCAGCATAAAGCCAAGCCTGGCGAGCCTGGAAGTAAGGTAGGTACGGTACGTACCTGAGTGAGCTGAGTGGAGGTCCGTGCATGTCGTTGCATAACTCCACCAAACGATCTGATGCTCCACTCAAGGATCACAAGGCTGACCTCTTGGCTGAACCTCACCTCACTCTAGCCCCAAGAGGCCAGGTAGGAAGCAGACTCATTAGGCAGCTTCCTGTGCTCAGATGCTCCCACCAGCGCTTAGACAGCGATACCTAGCCTACCTTATCAACACAGTGACCGTTTAGAAAACTCTTCTTCTTTGGCAGGCCGAAGTCTCATCACGTTTGAACTATTGTAGGCACTGGGTTGTCGGGCTTGAGCTTGCGAAGTAATGTTAAGGGTTGAGTACGAGCTACGGCCCTGTTTTATCTACTACTACCCTTGAAGTTTCAGAACATCGCTGGTATGCCTTGTTAGGGGAAGACCATACTGGATGCTCGACCCAGTCTCTGCACTCCATGCTGCACCCCAGAACGCCACATGGTTAGCCACATCCCTCCTTCTGGGACGCACCATCTCTCCCAAGGTTGAACAACTCCCTGGGATGCTGGAAAGCCTAGAACAAGTGACCCTCATTTGACTGTTTCAAAGCTTCTTTTGACCTCTAAGCCTCCCTACTTTGATCAAGCAAACCCGCTTCGAGATGGCTTTTGCTGCAAGGGACTTGTGCCGCGATCCGCTTTCGGTCATTGTTTGCCTTCTCAGTATACCTCTTGGGCAATGGCAAACTACAGGGCATATTTCCAAAGCAGGTGAGTTGTAGGTTGGTTGTGAGCTGTGGATGGTAAACCTGGATTTCCCGACTGTTGATCGACGCATCCCGAACATGCTTGATCATCAACCGAGTGCCGGACTGGAAGACCATGGCACGGCCATAGCCATGGGCGTCACCATGGGCACATTAGCATTCAGAGGAACATATGATTTGGTGGTAAGGATATAATTTTTAGTGGGAGAGCATAGGTAATCTCCCCACATACAACCTCCACCGGTCTAAAACTCTACGCAGCCTCCAGATTGTTGATGCCCAGACATACAAAGAAGATGCTGGGCATAGCAACCTAAAACAAATGCCCGAGACTCCGTGCTATGCCATGCTTAACCAGGTAAAGGAACCTCAGATTCAGCTGAAAGAAATGAATCGCCCCAGACGCGTTAGTCGTCAAACTTAATGCCGCCCACAGCATGGGTATCAATCCGCCCACCACGGTAGCTGCCCTTTTTCTTCTTGTTCTTCTCCTTGGTGAAGCTCTTGCCGCGGGTGACCACTAGGTCCTCGTGCGCCTTGCGGCCCCAGTCGTGGCCCTGGAAGGCATTGGAAGCCAGGCGCGGGTCAACCTGGACGTCGCGCCGGACGCGCGAAAAGGGAACAATGCCCTTCTTCTCATTGTTGTTGCTGCCCTTGCCGCGGTTGTTGGTCTTCACGGAGGCCGGGTCCGGCGGCAGCGGCGCGAACTTGTCGACCGGGTAGATCTTGGGGGAAGGCTTGCCGATGGTGGCGGAACTGTCGGAACCGTTGGCCTCGGGGCTGCCGGACTTGGCGTTCCCACTAGTCTTGGTCTTCTCCTCGGCATCAGAATCCGAGGAGTCGGAGTCGGAGTCAGAGTCCGAGTCCGAGCCCGAGTCTGAACCGGACTCGGGCAGGGGAACTTTGGCTGCCTCTTCAGCATCGTCTTCAGAGTCAGAGGACGATTCAGAGTCCGACTCAGATTCAGAGGGCGATTCAGACTCCGACTCGGATGAAGACGAAGACGAGTCGGAGGAAGAATCCTCATCCTTGGCGGCCGCCTTGGTGGCAGCGGGCTTCTTGGTTTCCGCCTTGGATTCGGCCTCGGACTCAGACCCAGAATCGGAATCAGAGGACTCGGAGGACGACTCGGATGTAGATTCGGAGGAGGATTCAGAAGAGGACTCCTCGGCCGGGGCGGCGGCTACTTTCTGCTTCTTCGCAGCCGGAGGCTCCTCGTCTGAGCTGGAATCGGACGACTCGGAATCAGAGGAGTCACTGCTCTCGGAAACGGCCTTGCGCTTCAGGGGATTCGTAGCAGCTTGCTTTGGGGCAGCAGTGTGCTTTTCGGCCTCCTTGTCCTCGTCCTCGCTCTCACTCTCACTCTCACTGTCGCTGCTACTGTCACTGCTGCTGCTGCTGCTGGACTCCGAGCTCGAGGATTCCTCCTCCTCTTCGACATCCTTCATTTCCACGTCGCCATTGTCCTCGCTCTCGCTCTCAGACGACTCCGAGTCGCTGCTGCTGCTGCTGCTGCTGCTGCTGACCTTGGTAACCTTGCCGACCGCGCTCTTGATGCCTTTTCCGCCGGCTGCATTCAGCGATGTCTCCCAGGCCCGAAAGACAGTGACGAGAGAGTGGTGCTCCGCAGACACGGGTTTATCGGCCGCCTTCTTCCAGCCCTTCTCAGCTCGTTGTTTGGTAAACGCGTGATGCGCATCGGCGAAATCGTGCTCCGAGAGAAAGGACTCAACCAGGTCCATGAGCTGCGCGGGTGGCTCGGCTGTAGGCGCAGGCTTCTCAATGGCACTGGCCTTACCCTTGGCCTTACCAGCCTTGGGCTTCTTGTTTCCCTTGTTTCCTGGCATCGTGGTTTTGTTGTCGCTGGTGATCGCCTTTTGGTGGTTCGCGGTCAGTGCAGAGTTGTTGGAAAATAGCCACGCTGGCGGTGCGGACATGGACGAGTTATCCGAATGCAAGTTCCTCAATTAGCTCTTACACAAGTTGCCCCGCTAATAAAACGAGAGGAAAAACGCGTATCAAAAGGCAGGCGCGTCGTTCTGTCGCAAAGAAATTTTCGAGCACTGGCATTCTTTGCTACTAGTACTTCCTTTTTGCGCCACACCGCCTTTTTTCCGTTTTCTGCCGCTTGAAGTTGATGCTCCGAAGGAAAGGGCCCCCACATATCCGTAGATCTAGCAGGTACGGGAGGGGTATCGTGTCAGGTACCTGACTATGTAATCTGTACGGAAATTACCTACAGTGTATGTATTTTACATGAGAGCACGTAATTACCGACCATAGTGAATCCTGGCCGGTACAACCCAGTCTGTATAGGTACCGTATTTCCCGAATGCCATTCGGAATCACGACCGCAATCGCTGTCCGCATCTACCCGACTCTAGCTGCTCATACATACCAGGTAACTTACTACAACACTCAGGTCGGAACTCGTGCGTCGTGTCGTCGGTTATGCGCACCCACTATCCTCGATTCGGGGCGCAGCTCCACATTGTGCTGTACCGGCGTTTCGTTGTATGACGAGCACCGGAGGGCGGTCCAGTTAGGTCTATTTGCTGCCGTTGATGCACTCGTCTTGGGGTAGCAGTATTAGGTGGCGGTTTGGTTAGCAAACCCTCGCACTGCTAAGCTTCAGTGTAGGTACTGTACCTTGCGTGGGGTATTGTACCCAAGTACTGCGCACCTAATACAGCGGAGACGAGTGTAGTCCATGCGGGATACTAACTTGCTATACAGGAGTCAACGATCTGTAGATGCAGCCGTCCTCACATGATAAATCCACGACGCCTCTTCATGGCTGCTTTTCCGGCCGCCTTAGACCGTCAGCACAAATAGACGGTCCGCACAGCTGTGCCCGCGAGATCCCAGGATTCTTTTGCTATGCCGTACAGACCCAAGCGGCGTGATATACCGGTCGTGATGTCCGTTTCCACCATCAAAGCTGCCGATGGTATAGCGGCGAGTGTCAGTATCCCAACGAAGCGGCTCGCCCTCGGCAGAGATGGTTACGTGCATGGTCTCTGCGGAAAGCACGAGCATGTTGTCTAGCTCTCGGGCCCAGCCGTCTACTTTGTCGATAGCGTCAATATGGAGATATCTCCGTTCGATTCCGATGCCCTTATCCTCTAAGGCAATGAGTGGATAGAGCCCGGTAGTGTTTTCCGTCTGGCCTATTGGGGGATCCCATCGATAGACAACGGTATTGGGTTGAGACCAATCGTTCAACCCGCTCTTGAAGCTCAATCCTGGTGAGGTCGCTTTTCCGCGCGCGTCGGTGACCTCGCTGAAGCCCTGCCAGCCACACCAGCTCCAGCTTGGCAAGTTGGTCGGCGAAGATCATCACGGTAGCCGATGATGTCGAATAACAAATATCTATAGGCATATCGCAATGGGATGCCTTTGAAAAAGGATTGCGAGGTCGTTTCCCCCATCTCGGCTTGGATCGCCTGCAGAGCCCTTAGGACATCTGACGGATGCGTCATTTGTCGCCTCATGTATCGTTTCAAAACATATAGATACGGCTCGTACACATCAGACGGGTCGCGGCCCGGGTTTCTTTCCGCCGACAGGATGCTGTGCTTGACGAGCGAAGAGAGCTGCAGAATCGTGCTCGACTCGCATGACGGAACCCTGAACTGCATCGAGGGCAGGGCTGGGTGTTCGGTGAAGACAGTTTCCCGCCATAGCACGCCCGCGTCATACTCGTGCAGAACTTCGTTTTCGGTGAAGATCAATCGCCGCTGCTCCGGAAGGTTCGATCTCTGCCTGGCGCGACGCAAGAGTGTCCCTCGCTGCAACCGTGTCGGGATGCATGTCCCCGAGTGCCTGTCTGCGCACGTCAAACACCATCTGGGACATGCGGACCACTTGTTCCCGTCCTCGAATATCCCAGAGAATATTCGCGAGCGTTTCCAAGATCCGAAACGGTGTCGACGTGCTCTCTGTCCGCGACTCTCTTTCCTAAGCCACAGCTCTCGAAACGACAGAACGGCTTCTGCGGCCTTATCCTGTTTGACTTGCTGCATCGCGACTCGTCTGATGGCAGGGTACACATCCTCGTGGTCATCACCGAGAATCCGCCGCTTCGTTGCTAACGCTTCCGCGAAGAGTGCCTCGGTTTACATAGTGCATGCCTTGCGCCGAGAGGCATTCCGCGGCCACGTCCATCGTCTGAAGGACGTCCCGGTGATCGGGTCCAAGCATGCCCCGCTGTGCCGTCAAGACTCTGCTACTCAACATAGGTACTGTATGGCTTGCCAACACAGCAACTCATCTTATCGTGCAAGGCGTACTGGCACCGTGTCCCCCTGCAATAATCTGCTTTACCCAGAATCTGCGGGTCTGGATGCTGATAGTAGCAGCCCGTGCCCGCATCCAGCTCCGAGCGTCAATTCGTGCTCTTGTTCTGTAGGAGCTTGCCGGGAAGGGATCTCTTCTAATATTTTGGATAATGAAAGGTATCGCACCTCTTTAAGAATGATTACCCCGTATGGCCGCCTTTGTAGCGGCTACCTCCCTGCCACATCTCTCCCAGACCTCCAACCCCGTCAGAACCGTGCTTCCAAGCATGAGAAAGCTTACCGCTCCCTGCTCCAACCGCACCCAACCGACCACCGACCCAGGAACAGCCAGATCCAGCGCATCTGCCACCACCCTCCTGAAAACTCTCCTCTTCCTTCCCTTTCCCTTCTCCACCTCTCGCTGTGACCGCTTGTCAGCCACCGTCCCTCCCGTAACATACTCCTTAGCCGTCAGTCGCAAAACGCCAGCAAGAAGGCCACAAACCAAGCCGACAAACCAAAACCTCTGTCCATCCATCGCCAGCTCCGCCGCCCTCTGCTCACCCCAGAGGCTCAAGCCAGGCACAGCCAGCGACTCGGCAACAGTCAGACTCTCGAGCAGCAGGTACATGCCCGTAAAGGACTTTGCGCCAAAGTCCATCCACCTCTCGACCCTCGCTGCCACAAAACCACTTCCCGCTGCATCGGGATGCGGAGGAAGTGACCAAACTGACCAGGCAGATGAGAAAGAGTCGAGGAAGCGGAAGATGCGAAAGGCCTGGCGGATGGAAGCGATGCGTTTGCGGAGTGCTTGAAGGACGACCGGGGCAACGGCTGAGTAGGACGGAGCAGAGAGGAGGGGATGGAGGAGGAGCAGCCGAAGGGCAGGGAGTGAGAGCAGGAGCTGGGTGAGAGCTTGGATGAGACGGAGCAGACGTTCCAGGCCATCTTTTGTTTGCGGTAAGAAGGTTAGCATTTGACGTTGAAGAGGCTGCAAGATAGCTGAGCTGACTTCACTCACATGCATCAGTCCCGAACTTGACAAACTGCTCGAACGTGCTGACTTGGACTGTCATTGCCAAGGGCTGTCCTTCCGTGGGTCCGGAAGAATATAAACTTAGAGTCAAGGTATGTAACTGAAGGTGGATTGAATTATTTCCTTGTGAGGTGCAAATCAGTGAGCCTTAGCTTCACTAGCCTACACAAGTACCGTAGTTGATGCCGATGTGAACCAGCAGATGTGAGATCCGAACGGAATTATGATTGCCCCTTTTTGAAGCCCCACTTTTTACTGTTGTCTGCTACCTTAGGTACACCCCCCTGAGCGGGAGCCACCTAGGTGCCTTAGCTAGTAGGATGTTGCCGAGGTTGTTGACCCCATAGGAAAGTTTCATAATACCTACCTGAGGGTTCTATTGGGTCTGAAGCCCTCAACTACCTGAGCAAGGGGCCACAAGACTGTATCCTCACGGTGTTTACGCACACGAACTCATCCGGAACCACTGCAGCCCCCTTTGGTCACTACATCCAGTGGGAAAGACGGGCAGCTTTGCTAAGGAGATGAGCGAGCTTATGTCAAGATGCAGGTACGGATGACAGGCGTTCTAACTCCTCTACTTAATCTTGTTTCTTCATACCAGGCTACCAGCTCCCGGTTGCCATGCCTCCGCCAGGGGCTCTCACCTTGCAATGCTCTTCTCGATCTCAGCAACCCCAGCTAGCGCCTCCCTGATCTTCCTTTTGGCTTCCGCTCCAGGGGGCAGATACGGCCTTCTCGGCATCATCTTGCTCTCGGCATCCTTAACACCAGCCAGCGGCGCCGTGAACACACTTGCCGCATACTTGGTGGCCGCAATGCCTCCAGTCTTGGTCGCCTGCTCCGCCAGCGCAGCTTTTTTGTGCAGCTCTAACGCCTCTAGCGTCTTCCCGGCCTTGTACAGGTTGTACACTTCCACGATCGTCTTGGGAAACACGTTTGCGAATGCGGCAATGCATCCAGCGCTGCCGACCGCGAGCCCCCCGATCAAGAAATCACTCTGCCCGCCAAACACCGCAAACCTCTCTGGGGGGAACTCGGCCGCCAGCCTCGTGATCTTAGCCACGCTCCCGCACGTGAGCTTCACTCCCACAATGTTCTCGTGCCTCCTCACCAACCGCGCAATGGTCTCACTGTCACTTGTTAGCCCATTTTTCTCTCTCTTTGCTTCCCTTCTCCCCCCTGAAGCCCTGTACCCGGCGGTAACTTCAGGCAGGAAAACGCAACGCAACGCAATGCAATGCAAGTGTAAATGGAAGATAGAAGAAACAACACACCTATCCAAGTCCACCCCCCCACAAACGCCAGGGAAGTTATACACCACAATCCTCACCCCCTTCCCGGCCCACGCGTCCGCCACCTGGGCATAGAACCCCTCCACGACCTCGCCCATGTTGGCCACCTTGAAATACCCCGGCGGCAGCAGCAGTACGTAATCGGCACCAGCCTCCACGGCATCCGCGACGAACTCGTTCACCTGCCGGACCGAGTGGCCGCCGACGCCCGCCATGATGGGGAAGTCCGGGCCGAGCACCTTGCGAGCCAGGACGAGCAGCTCCTTGCGCTCCTCGCGCGTCAGGAGGAACGTCTCGGCATTGGTGCCGAGGATCACCAGGCCGGCGAGGCCGGTCTGCTTGCCCAGGTAGGAGTAATAAAGCGACTGGGCGGGCGCGTCAAGGGTGTCGGTGTCGGGGTTGAAGAGCGTGACGGCTGGGCACCAGACGCCTGAGGGGGGTACGTGTGGAGCCATGTTTCTTCTGTCTCTTGTGTGCGTGCGTAGTGGAACTTGGGAGTGAGTTCAAGTCAAGTTGGTGAGTTAGGAATGGTGATGATGTGTTGGCAATAAGGTTGGGGAAGACGACACCAAGCAAGCGAACAGAACCGTTGGGTACCTAACAAGGGAACCGTCACAGTAGAGCGCGGCTAGGGACGGCAACGCAATGGGCTGAGAGAGGATCCAGTTCAACTCCTAGTGGGGCCACGATATCCAAAGTATGTCGATACCTGGGAAGCTCATTGCAGCGGGAAGTCGAGCGTGTGGGCAACAGCTGCGCGCTCTCCTCTGCCAGTAAGCGCCGATGGCCCGGCGGGGCAGAGCGGGGACTCCGGCTGCGGAGCTCGGGTCTTCGGGGCCAGCCGGCTGGCAGTGGGCCGAGTCCGGGTCAACTGGCCCCGAGCGGGACACTCGTCCTCCAGTCGGAGCGTTGCACCACAAACCTCCATATTAACTTGTACAATACAACCATGCTATTCCTGCCGTGACATCCTGCCTGTTGCTTGTTCGAGTTCTCCAACAGGAAGGTATTATTAACAGATCTTTTTATCTCAGTGCCCAAGCGAACCCAATGCCTTGTAGCAAAGAAAAACAGAAGAGAAAAGTGTTTCGGGAATCGCGGGGAGAGAGAGACAACGGAAGAAAAGGGGTGGAAAAGAAAAGAAGACAAATCATGGCCGCGCCCCAACCACACCAGCAAAGCTGTATATTTCCCCTGTGTCGCGTTCTCCCCGAGAGCCGACTTGTTCACAAAGGCGGCTCTCCAAGCGATCTACCATGCGAATAACACAACAGGCAACCCACTGGACTGGCAAGGGCAAGACATCCAAGAAAGCAGTAAGCGCTTAGCCCGCGCTACTAACGCAAGCCAATGACGCTCATCTCCAGCGTCCACACCCTGCGGATCCAGACCTTCAGCTTGGTGCCCTCGGGGAGGCCCTCGACGTTGTCGAGCTCCACGCCCTCCCACCAGCACCTTCTGGCGGGCTTACGCCAAAAGAGCAGAAGCTTTTGCGCCATGCCAACGGCGCTGCTGCCCATGTCGTTGCCCCGGATGTCGGAGCGCAGCCGCGCCAGCGCCAGAGAGCAGATGACGGCCTTGTTGGGCTCGCCCGCCCGGTGGCCCCAGCGGTCGTCGTGGTTGAAGCCGCTAGACGTAGTTAGTTAAAAACCTGCGTGAGACTGAGGGGCGTGCAAATGAAGGAGGGGAACAACTCACCCGGCCGTCAGCATCTCGATCAGATGCGCCTCGGTTGTCCCCGGCTCGTCACTCTTCTTCAGCCCGCTGAAGATCCCGTCCTGCTGGAGCAGTGCCTTCGCCGCGGCCCGTTTGACCTCCATCATCTCGGGTTGGTTGATGTCCTGCTTGGGTGGGATGGCGTAGAAATCGAGGTCCTCGCGCAGCACGATGATGCCAGCTCGCCTGCTGCTCTCGTCCCGCGCCCCGGGGTCGAGAGGCACAACGCCGTCGGCTCCTTCCTGGGTGGGTTCGGCTGGAATACTCTGCGCCACGTTCCGGAAGAAGTCCAACATGTATTGTAACGATGCAGGGTCGTACTGGATTTGTAACAGATTGTTAGCGATATGCATGTTTTAGGCTTCTGAGGGTGACGCCGATGAGAGCACACGCTCTGCTAGCCGTTGGGATTCCCCGGCGGTGCGCAATGTGTCTGTCTGGCATGCCAGCAGAGCGTCATCGTGACGGACATCTTGGTTTACAAGCTGAAATCTGGTGAACCCACATCTACTTGGACAGCATCTCCTTCTGAGAAGCCCCCCATATGCCCCTCCGGGAAGAGGCCGTTAGGAAAGAGCGAGAGGAGGACAAATTCTGGTAGTGTCAACAGCTCGTCTCTGGACAGCTTAAAGCGCGTGCCCCTGTTCGACCAGTCAGTCAGCTGCATGGTTGCCAAAGCGGGATCCGACGCATGTAAACCCACCGCAGGTCCATCACGATCGTCTCATCGCCGGGTACATCTGATCGCCCCGTTGTTAGCCTGGCACTTCCGGATCTGATTCCCGACATCGCTGCATACCTCCTAAGGGGTTCAGGGACGGCCCGCCCTGCTGAACCTGAGTAATAATACTCGACGCGCCTCCTGCGGCAGCCATGAGGTATGTGAATGACTGGAGGGGACTGGATCCCTCCGAATATGCCGGTGGCGGCTCTGCTTCCTCGTCCTTGCTTCTGCGCGACGGCTCGCCCGCGGGACCTTTGGTATCCTGTGGGAGCGCGCGCTTGGTCTCGTCCTGAAGCCTGAGGGCTGCAGACGCGCGATTCGAAGACTCGGGTGCTACCTGGTCGGGTGGCGCATACGCTGGTGCTGCAGCGGAGACCGAAGAAGTTGCGCCGCTGTCGTCGACGGTATGCTTGTACGGCTCGTACGGCTCGAGTACGGATGCCGACGCTTCGTGGTCGTGATAAGGAAAGAGCGACGAAAACGAGGGTGGTGGCCGGAAGGCTGAACTGCCCGAGGCCTCTGAGGCGGGATACTGCGGCGGTGGGGAGCGCTGACGGGATGTTGGATCTTGTTCTTCGTCGGCGGAGACGCTGGTGAGCTCGGTGTCAACCTCGGCGGTAAAGCACACTGGGGTGGTCTCAGCCACGGTGTCGTGCGGCTCTGGAATCCCTGCTTCCTCTTCGACACTGCGCCGTGTGCGGGGGTAGCGCCCGGAGGACGAGCTGCTAGAATCTCGGCGGTCGGACAGCGTGACGGCGGCGAATGAGAGTTTCGCGACGAGGGCGCTGTACTATTAGGAGACTCGTGAATCGTGATACTGACGACACGCCGATTGCAGGTTGTCGCTCGGGTGTTCGGCGGGCCTGTGGGTTGCTTTTAGCTTGACAGTTGTTGGAGAGTGTCGGAGTGATTGGGCGGCGGGTTACTTACAAGATAAGTCGGTGTAGCGCTGTCAGCTACAGTTTGCTCGCGCAAGAAGTGCAGCGAGCCAATGTACAGAAAACGCTCGTCTGAATGATTGCGTCTAACTCATCAGATGGCGCAGAGGATCTCGGGTAAAAAAGAACTACAAAGTTGGATACATATTTCCGTACAGCGGCTGTCCTTTGTTGGCAGGGGGTTCGAGATGAGGTTGCCCCCAGTTCGCTCAATTGGACTGCTTGGCTCCGCTGAAGCAGGTGTCAGGTCCCCTGTCCGCCCAACAGTGGATTGGAGTAGCCGCCCGACTGGCCAATCAAATCTGTCTGGAGTTAAGATATGGGGTTTTCGTCATTTAACGTTGAGATGCTACGTAGAGCTGGAGGCATACGCAGTCCGAGATGCTAGCTCCAGACGCACTGGGCGTGCATCACCAAAAGCCGAAGCTGCTCACAGTCACAGCGACAATTGAAGTCTTAGGTAAAGCTAAAGTGGGCTTCGTTTGGTATTCTGGGCTTGACACACTTCACACGCCCAGTGTTTGCTCGGCCATATCAATGATGACTTAGACAAGCGGATCCCCCTATCCTTACGCTGAGTGTCGCTCAACCCTCGTCATCATCGCTGTCCCCGAATATAGCTCTAAACACATCCTCTCCGGCCCTCTTCCCTTCCAGAGCCTCGTTTCTAGTCGAGTCGACGACCACCTCCTCGGCTACTGCGGCTGGTTGAGAGATATCTTCTCGTTCTCTCGGAGTACCGTGCGATGAGGCAGGGACAAAGCCATACTCCTGCGCCACGGGCTCCTGGTGCGAAAACCCATAGCCCTGATAAGTATTAGGTTTGGAGCCGAAGTCATACTTCTCCTTGCCCGGCCCCGAAGCAGGCGGGTAGTCATCGGGTTGAACGTGCGCGGGAGGCTTCACGTTGAAACGCTTGCATAGTAGCCGAGTGGGATAGAAATCGGCGATAGACCTGGTCATCGGCCCAAACATACCCAATTTTGCCGCTTCTTCAGCGGGATCCTCAGGCTTCGGTTGAGGTTTCGAGAGCAGATCCTTTCCGCTTTCTCCATCCCCGGACTGAGGACTGGGCTTCGTCCTCGAGGTCGTAAATCGACTAGCCATGAAACCAGTCATGGGCTTGAAGATCCTCGCACAGTTATAAAACTCGTGCATTTCTCTCAACCACTCCTCGCTGTTCATCTTCGTGGGCTGTATTCCCGGCGTCTCCTTGAAGCCGGCCTGGTACTCAAGGAAAGAAAGATATCTCGAGCGCTTCGCTTCATCATCTGCGTAAGGTGCGTTGCCGCTGGCACCTCTTGAGAGGGCCGCAACGGCTGACTCCTTATCCAGTTTTGGAACTCGGCTGAGGAGTTCCTGCAAGCGGTCTGATTCGCTGAGTGCGTGTCCTGCAGGAACCTCGCCTCGCGCGGGAGGCAAGTCGGGCCTCCCAGTTACAGCGGCTAGCCGTTCCCTTGCTTCCGCGGACATGAAGTCGAAGACGGACTTCCCAGGAAGCTGCTTTTCACCGAGTATGGCGGCGCGAGCCTTCGGATCAAGCGTTGACGCTTTGGCAGCGTCTGCTGTAGAGACATAACATGTTGAACCTTCCTGTGGTTTGGCTTGTTTTGCTGGTACCCAACCTGGCGGCACCTTCGGAGGAGGATACTTCCCTTCGGCATTGATTTCGGACGTCAGGGCGTCGGCCTCCTTGCCAAAAATGAACCCCTCTGGAGGAAGTCGGCCGTCGTGGCATCTCCGTACTCCCAGCGAAATCTTCGCTAACTGTGGCTTCTTGGACGATGTGAAGGTCGGCTTTGTTCTTAAGGTGGGATTCACGGGCGTTGTGGTTTTCTTCTTCTTTTTATCCCCTCCTATCACGCGGTTGTAGGATATTCGAGGGCCGATCTCGTAGGGGTCCTCGTCATCGGACCCGGTATCATTCAAAATGCCAACCCCGATGCCTCCCCGGCTCTTGTCTCGCTCTTTCTTGCGCCCTGCGCCTAGCGTGAATTTAGGGCGTCCAAGTTTTCCCATACCTTGACCATAGTCATCCTCCTCAGAATCATCTGCCCCTATGGTTTGGGTGGAGAGGCCAATGGGCGCCAGGTTCGTCTCTCCTGCATAGCCAAGGCCCTTGTGGTCGGTTTTGCGGACGAAGCTGATCATCGTCACGTTCTCTGGCGCGAAAAGGTACGTCTCGCCGGCGTCGTTGTTGTCGGTACGAAGGTCAAGGCGTGCCTGCCTCCGGATTTTGGGGCCGATACCTTGACCTTCCTTCCACCCCATCTTCTTGAGAAGCTTAGTGCCCATAGTTTCCCCTTCTACACGAAAGAGGCCCATGAGGGCGCTCGCCCTCGTGGCATCATCCGCGGTTGTACCCAAACCGGAAAATGCGGCCTGGGTTTGGATTCTCTTGTGTTCTTCAGCATCGGCCAAATCCTCCTCGTCCATGAAGTCCTCGGGACGTTGTTGAGTCGCGCCAGGGTCATCCTTGTGCCGTTTGGTCCGGGAAGAGACAAACGTTGAAGGCGTCCATCCTTCCTTGGAGCCGACGGTGTTGAAGTAGCTGGGTAACACGTCAGCAGGCTTATTGGCATTGCTAGAACGAGCGTAGTACTTGCCCTGCGCTCCATCCTCCTGTGAATGCGCCGTGGAGCCTCTTCCTTCCCCGTTCGTCCCTCACCTCCTGCTTCCAGAGCGGTACGTAGGAACCATCATCGCGGACCTCGGGGTCGAGTGGTGGAAGTGGCGTGCCGTAAAGGACGAAAGGGGATTGCTGCGCAGTAAGATCGGCCTCGTAAGTGGCGCGTGACCTCTTGTAGGACATGGGAACGCTAAACGCGCGAAGTTGTGAGCGTAGAGCTGTGGGAAAGGCGCGGAACTCCTGCTGGAAGCTGCGTTGTCTATCGCGATTCAACCGCTAAACTTACTGTGCCATGCAGAGCTGTAGTTCGCTGTGGATGCGGTATGGCGATCCTAAATAGAAGGCGGTGAAGATGTTCAGGGAAAGTTCCGCCAACTACCGAATCCATACACATTACACAGTACGGAAGACGCTACCAAAAGAAATGGTACACCGCCCGATTTGGCCTAGCGGGTTATAGCGGGTTTTCTGCCAGGCAGAACCACTGAGCGCTAAAAGGCGGTGTCCCATTTCTTTTGGTAGGGTCATCCGTACACCGCAGGGTTACGGTAAATACGATGCGGGGAATCGCGGGGGCTTGTTGACTGCCCTGATAGGAGGACACCAGCACCGGTTCTCCAGCTCGTGAATAGTGTCGAGTAATCGAATCACTTTGGCCTCATACTGAAGCAGCCTGCTGAAATGTACTGTGTTTAAACAGAGGTGCTAGCTCGGGAGTGGGCGGTTAGTGTCCTTGTTTCCTTATCGCCAGGCGCCGGAGCTTCGCGAATCTAACCGTCGGGGTTTCTACCACTGGCATACGAAACTCAACTAACAACAGGACTTGGCTTCACCACTCACCACGGTCTGGCAAATAGAATTTGGGGCAAGTGACGGTTGGCACAAGCTGCTACGTAAACTACCGTCATATATCGGAGTTCGGGCGCGCACCATGATATCATCCATGTCCACCTCAAGGCTGTTTACTGGTACTAACTGACAATGATACTGTATTTGAGATTTGATACCCCTGTAATTTCGTGACACGGTATCCATTGGCCTCATATTCGTGCTTGGTCTTCCACCTTCACCACTCTCTGCCTAGGTACCTAACCTAGTCGCGTACATGTATGTACCTTTCGATGGCGATCTATCATTCACCGAAATGCTATCCTGTGTAACTGCCTAGGTTGGACCGTTTGCTCCGAGGACGTCAATGCTGACCCGGGATGCGGCCGCTTGTTTGGTTAAGCCTAGCGCGACCTGCACACACAACATCCCCCGCCGCCGGGAGGCCAATCAAGAAGCAATCAGACGGCCGATGAGCCACGGCTGCAGAACAAAAATGACCAGAAGTCCAGCATGCTGGAACCTTGGCAATGAGGCTAAGGCATCTGTAAAGCAGTATGGTAGCGTACGTAGACAACGGACAAAGGCATGAATCTCGAGTCAGGGAGAAATGACCTCTTGATGGCATTCAGGGGAGGCTGCTCAGAGCCAATCAAGCACTGCCATGCTACATCAGGTACATACCTACATAGGTACGGATACAGGTGGCCGAACTCCGGAGCCAGTCACCGAGGCCCGCAGTAGTTAAGTGTTGGAGGCTTGGAACTGGGACCACTTAGATAGGAACTGGCAGTGAGGTGGACATACTATATCCGTAACTCCATGACATTGTAATCCTCCAACTTGCGAGCGGAAGTTCAAAGGAAAATGACTCCATTACCCAGTGAACCGATTAAGTTCATCATGAATTTAATCCACCGTGTGTTCATCCGGCATGGTATAACTAAAGGGAGCCAGAAATCCTACCAACGAGAGCTTGATAGTTGATGGTACTCTGCGTTCTAAGTTATATGTAATTACGAACCCCTACCCGTAACAAACCACCATCCATTTGCGTGCCCCACTTTTCGGGTCCCTGCTGAACAGGTCCAGCCCAAGCAACCAACTTGTCCCCCTCAACCTACTTCCAAGGCCCCTTCAACTGTCCAACCTCATAGCGACACGATGCCCCTGAAATTGCAGTGCGCATTCAAATAACGACTAGCATTTAGAAGCGGCTCAAATACTGCGAAAAACGCCAATCGCCAATTCTTGTCCGCGGCCGACTTGCATCCTTGGTTTTCTTCGGCTTGACGATCATCGCTCCGCGCCGTCATTTCTCCTGCGCCTTTCACCCAACCGACCGCCCGCCTTTTCCCATCCCTGCCACCCAGCCTACGTGCGACCATCGTAGCGGTGCTTGAAACCTGTGTCACCTGCAGCCCGTTGCATCCGGAAAGTAGCTGAATGGTGTGTCTCTTGAGTCTGGTGGATTTCTACGTCTCACGGTCTCCAGCGGTCAGTTTGCTGGAGCGAGCATAGACCAGTTGCCGCGTGGGCCCAGCTTTTCCCACGCTTGCCATGGCGACAACACTCTCTGCCGGGGCTGAAATGCCCATTCGCTCCCAATCTGTCCGCACGCGACGGCCGCCGACTTCTTCACGAGCAGAGCCAGCCCCGCGGTCGGAGTCGTCAACGAGAGCCGAAGCTTCGCGACCCCACCGCCGCAGCAGTCAGCGATCAACAACCGCGCCGTCGCCCCAGCACCAGCAGCACGCCGAAATGCCCGCTCCTGCCGCGACCAACCCGCCCGCCACCGCCGAGGAGCCGCGCGATAGGGCTGCAGACCCCCAGTCGTCGCAGCGATCGAAGCACAGATACCGCACTGTCATCCCGGCGCCGTCGGGCAACTACGCCTTCATCAAGACCATCGGTCAGGGGAGCATGGGTAAAGTCAAGCTGGCGAGGAAGGAGGGCTCAAATGAACTGGCAAGTCTACACATATACCCCCCTATATCCACGATTACAGTCCCCTCCGTCTAACGCTCGGCTCGTTGGTGCAGGTCGCTTGCAAAATCATCGAGAGGGTATCTGCCGACGACGGACGCCAAAGCAGGGAAGATCGAGAGAAGGCCGATGCCGCCAGGGAGGACCGCAATGCGCGCGAGGCTGCCATCGTCAGTCTGCTCAGCCACCCCTATGTGTGTGGGCTGCGGGACAACCTGCGGACAAGATGGCATTGGTACATGCTTTTTGAATATGTCAATGGCGGTCAGATGCTCGATTACATCATCTCCCACGGAAAACTCAAGGAGAAGCAGGCTAGGAAGTTTGCGCGCCAAATAGCGAGCGCCGTCGACTATTGCCACCGCAACAGCATCGTCCACCGCGATCTCAAAATCGAGAACATCCTGATCAGCAAGACCGGCGACATCAAGATCATCGACTTCGGCCTGAGCAACCTGTTTTCCCCTGACGAGGATAGGAAACTCAAGACGTATTGCGGCAGTCTCTACTTTGCCGCGCCGGAGCTGCTCCAGGCGCGTCCATACACCGGCCCTGAGGTTGATGTATGGAGCTTTGGCGTCGTTCTGTTCGTGCTCGTCTGCGGTAAAGTGCCGTTCGATGATCAGTACATGCCAGCTCTTCATCAGAAGATCAAGAAAGGCGCCGTCGACTATCCCAATTGGCTGTCAAGCGGTAAGTGCTCTCTGGGCGGCTTGCGTGGCGCATTCTTGCTGATGGATGATTAGAGTGCAAACATCTGATTTCGCGGATGCTGGTAACGGACCCGAAACAGCGCGCTACGATGCACGAGGTCATGAACCACCCCTGGATGCTGAAGGGGTACAATGGGCCTCCCGAGAACTATCTTCCCCAGCGCGAACCCCTGAAATTACCGCTCGACGAGGAGGTCATCGCACATATGACGGGATTCAAGTTCGGCCCCCCAGACTACATCCGGGAGGAGCTGACCAAGAAGATCACGTCGCAAAAATACCAAGCAGCCGTCCGGCGCTTGGAGAGGGAAAAAGATCAGCCACAGCCAGCGCCCAGGGATGCCGAAAAGAGGCGTGCCTTTGGTTTCGACTTCTATAAGCGGAGAAACTCAATAACGAGCAAGGATACTCTGACCAACACCAGTTCGGAGGGCTTGCCCATGGGCGACGATCCGCTCAACGCCTTTGACCCTATGATCTCCATCTACTATCTCGTCCAGGAGAAGCTCGAGCGGGAGAGGCAAGCAGCGCAAGCAGCACAGCCATCAGTGCCGCCCAAGGTGCAGGTGCCGCCCTCTCCGCAGCAAGCTCAGTTACCTGTCCCGTCGTCGCCCATGCCGCGGCCAAAGGAAAAGCATTCGCTTGCCGAAATTGTCCCGCCACAGCCTGCACACACCGAGGGCAGTTCACAAGCGCGGCAAAGAGCGAGGTCGCACAGCGAAGACCAGGTTAGGGAGCCGGCTAAGAACGGGCTGCTGTCGCCGGACATGATCCCGCAGAAGAAGGGCGGCAATGGGCCGGTGTCGCTCCTGCGGAGGCTAAGCACCAGGGGTGACAGGAGGAAAGAGTCGTCCGAGGGGAGGACCAGCACATTGATGCAGAAATCCGTGTCGATGCGCGCCAAGTCGCTCGGCCACGCCCGTAGGGAGAGCATCCAAGCCAGGCGGGCCAAGCGCGAGGCCGAGGCGCGCGATCAGCAACAGCAACCGCAGCCGCCATATCAGGAACCGGTGAAGGAAGAAACAGATGCCGAACTGGGCTTGGAAGCCGAGGGCGGCGACACGAGCGGCGGCTCCCACGAGCGCCTCGAGCCGGAAGACCCAGACCTTGCCAAGCCCGTCTACCTCAAGGGCATCTTCAGCGTGTCGACGACGTCCACCAAGCCGCTGCCCGAGATCCGCGCCGACATCAAGCGGGTGCTCAAGATGCTGGGCGTAGACTACACCGAGATCAAGGGCGGGTTCAGCTGCTCGCACGCGCCGAGCCTCGCCGAGGAAGAGAGGCACCCTTCGTACCACTCGCAATCCCGTCGGTCTGAGGCGAGGGTGGCGGACGGCGAGATCCGCTTTGAGATTGTCATTGTCAAGGTGCCCATCGTGACCCTGCACGGCGTGCAATTCAAGAGGGTCGGCGGGAATACGTGGCAATACAAGGCTATGGCGGAGCAGATCGTGAGGGAGCTGAGGTTGTGATAAAGGCTGGTTGGATCTGGCGGAGACTTTGGAATGGGCACTACGGAGACAATAGATGGGTAGACATGGCTGGGAAGAAGGGATAAGCGCGGTAAGAGGGGCGGGGATTGACGAGGACTTTTTACGTTCCATGTGTCGTCACGCTTGGGGATCTTGTCTTCGCTTGTATTTTTGACTGTCCGCGGCTTGTTCCAAAGCAATGTGGTTATATTCTAATTAGTAAGGTACTTAATATTGAGAACTGCGATGCCTCCCCTTCAAGTTTGTCGCTCTGTTCGCCTGGCATGATTCTTCGCTGGGGTCTCTTCCTGTGATTCCGCGAGGCTGCTCTGACTGGAAAAGGAGAGGCGAGTCTTCTTGCTCAAACCAACCAAACCTCCGGCCCGCTGACCTACCCAAACGATCTCAGAGTTTATGTAGCATCTGGAAAGCGTCAAATGCTACAAACCCTTACGAGGCTAGTCCTTAGCCGGCGCCTACCTGCTTGATTCCTTCTATGTTTTCGCCAACGCAACCAACCATCAGTATATCCTCTCCTCAATCTCGCTTGTGGCTACTTATCTAACCAGAATTTAAAACGCATATCAAGTTGAAGTTCGAGGCTAATCTGGATTGCGGGCTAATGAGAAGCTTCACCAGGGCATGACAGATCTCAAGGAGACTCTAGGTTTGTATGTCTATGTTGTATTATACGCTCCACTATTCCTTTCACCAGGTCCGGTATGGTTCATCTGATTGAGCAGACTATTGCATGTATGTATATGGATCTACTTGTAGGTTTCCGAATTCCCCAACGTCCCTCAAAACCGATGCATGTTCCAGGCAGTAAAAAAGCCATCTTCCCATGTTGTTCCCGTCCAAGCCCGTAAGCACCGTTGCGTCCTCCACAATCATTCCTAAGACAAACGACCCAACCCCTTCATTGAACCTTCCAACCTCGGACTTCGGCACATCTAAAGTTGCCGAGTTCTCGGCGCGTCTGACATAATACACAGAGGTGACACGGCCAAATCCTCAAGCGCCCCTACTCAGGGCTACCCTGCCTCTTGTTGTTGTTGTCCCGGCCGGTGATCTTGGGCCAGAACTCCATGATGGCGTAGCCCTCGGCGACGGCGAGGAGGGCGAGACCGGCGCCGACAGCCATCCTCACGCGGGGATTCGGGCTGATGCGTTTGAGGGAGAACGTCGGGTAGGAGGAACTAGGGTTCCCATTGGGGCCGGTGCTGCCGCTGAGGGCGGCGCGTGTGGTTGAGAAATAGTATGATGATGATGATATTTGGTTTGGGAGTGTGCGGCTGGTGGCGACGGGCCGATGAAGTGGGAGGCGGACGGAAGGAGAGATGGTTCTGAAGCTTGGGGCGGCGGCCATTTGTCTTTGCTTTTGAGTGGTGTTGGTTCAACTGGCTTTGGTTTATGCTTATCGCGTAATGTGTGTAGTATAAGAGAAGATAAAGGTACTTGAGTGAGGATGCTTGGGATGATGACGGAATGATTCATCGTCTGTTCCGGCGGACGAGAAGCGTTTATATAACATCCTGTAGGAAGCGCTTCTCAGTGTAATTGCCCCAATAGGAAATAGCAAGTCACTGGTACAGTCCGCTGGGGCTCCGGGAGAAGACGGGTGGTGCAGCATAACGCCTTGGCGTCAGCATAACGCATACAACGCATAATCCGTAGTTAGACCGGCATCACCTAATTTAGGTCATAACGCATCCGTCTTTGTTCAATGTTAATGCCAGGGACGTCTAAGCATCTGCCCATTACAACCATACCGAACGGGAGCCAGCTCACACAGTGGTTGTTATTCCATCGCTTTATGATGTGGCGGGAACGAGAATAACTGAGCGCCATAACTAGCGTAGCTTATCCCTCATAACGCTTCATCAACACCCATTACGACCGATTGATGGTCAATGGCTTGAACGGCTTACGCAATCTCTCAATCGGCGTGATCCTCTCCAGGCTCAGACCGGTAGGTCTCTTAATAGCGCTGCCAAGTCCTTTGGGGATGTTGAACGTCGTCGCGTGTAGAGAGCCCCCAGTGCGGGTTTGCTGAGGTGGCGGTTCAACATTGTTGGGTTTCACCGGCTTATTCCCTTTGCCACCTTCTTTTGCGGCCGGCCGGGGCGGCGAGCTAAAGCAGGCATACTGTGCTTGTCTGGCGGTTTTCTCTTCGTTTGGAACAGATGGACGAGTCATCAACTTCCCCCTTCCCAACTTGTGCCCGGCGAGACCCGGATCGATTGCTTGAGGTTGTTGAACGGCAAACGGTTTTCGAGCGGGAATCGCGTCGTTAGGCTTCGCGTTTTCTGGGGGCCTGGCTGCGGCTGGACGAGCAGAGCCAGAAGTGGTCCGAACAAACCCGACGATGCTCTTCTGGTCCGCGGGTCGTCGGCTGCTTGAACGCTTGATCTTTTCGGCCTTTTGGGCGGGCTCGGAGGGGACGTTCGCAGCAGTGATGGCGGCCTGATGAGAGCCGACGCTGACAAAACCGGGCAGAGAAGCGACTGTCGATGCCAAGGACTGTTCCAGAGTCGTAGTATACTCCCGCCGCCATTGGGTCTCCTCGCCGTGCGCTTGCCCTGCTGAAGGGCCGTGTAATCTGGGTCTTTTTACCCGCGATGCGTCCTCCGCGGGTTGGCCTTCTCTCGACTCCTCCGGGTCGACGGGAAACAGATTGTCCTCGGGGCTGAACATGGCAGGCAGGTTCTTGAAGATGGAATCCTCTGGCGGCAGCTTGCGCTGCAGGATTCTGGCAATCTCGCCCAAGACCGGTCGATCGAAGCAGGGTCCTTTCTTCAAGAAGGAACCGCTGACGGGTTCAACAAAGGGCGAAAGCTCGTTGCGTTCGCCGTTACCGTTTGACGCAAAGACCGGATAACTGAGATACAGCAGGCTTTGGGCTCTCGTCATGGCAACGTACAGCAGTCTGCGCTCCTCGTCGGCGTCTTCCGCGCGCATGTGGGGCATCGACCCATTGTACACGGCGGGGACGAATACAACGGGCCATTCCAGGCCCTTCGCGGCGTGTATCGTCGAGAGAGTCACCAGCGGCTTGTTGTCCTGGTTATCGCCTCCGGTCTGGGCGTCCGAGGCCAAAGCTACGGTGGCGAGAAAACGCGGCAAGGCCTCTACCTCTCTAGTCTGCTGGACGCCTTCAATCTCCGGCAGAGCATCGTCATCGGCGCGGCCCATTTCCCGCACGAAGTCAGCAGCGAGGCTGATGAACTCCTCCACGTTTGCCCACCTCTGTTCATGGTCATCTGCGTACTCCTTCTGGAGGTGCTTCTGGAAGTTAAGGGTGGTGAGAAGCTGCTCAATCATCTGGACGAGCCCAAAAGGAGTCCCGTTGGGCCCGGATGCTTCTCGAATCCGCTTCCTGATATCTTCCAACGGACGAAGGAGGCTGCCACTGAGCTTCTGCTCGGCTGGCTTTGTGAGATTTGTTTTCGCTATCCGGTCTCCCCGGCAATGTTTCCACAACACGGCCCAGACACTGAGGGATGACGTTTCGGCTTCCTCGAGGAGGCGTCCAATGGTGACCTTGCCAACTCCTCGCTGCGGAACGTTGAGGATCCTGGCGAGTGCGTCGTTGTTCTCCGGCTGGTGGATGACGCGCAGATAATCAAGTAGGATTTTGATCTCGGTGCGGTCGTAGAACTTGTGGCCGCCCACCATCCTGTAGGCAATGCCCGCCTTTCCCAGGGAGCTCTCAATGTGCCTTGACAGCGCGGCCGACCGCAGTAATATCGCGACGTCGTCATGGGTCAGCATCGAGCCCGACATCATCATCACCCTCTTGATCTCCGAGACAACCCAGTCTGCTTCCGCAGAGGCGCTTTTCAGCTTCCGGAGGACCGGACGCGAACCCTTGTTGTGCGTGGGCTTCAGCGCTTTCTGGTACCGCTTCTTGTCCTGCTGTATCACGAGCAGAGACAGGTCGAGGATGGACTGAGACGACCGGTAGTTCTCTTCGAGCGAGACTTCGTCGGTGTCGGGGAATTCCCGCAGCAGGCGCCACAGGTTCCTGATCTCGGCAGACCGCCATCCGTAGATGCTCTGGTCCGGGTCCCCCACGATTGTGATCCTCCGGTGCCGCTGAGCAAACAGCTTCATCAGTTCGTACTGGACGCCGTTCGTATCCTGGTACTCGTCGATGAGAACCGCCTGGACGTTGGAAACGCACGCCGGAAACTTGCGCAGCAGCTCGACACAGCGCACCAAGAGGTCATCGTAGTCGAGGAGGTTCGACCGCTGCAGCTGGTCTTGGTACTCCCGGTAGCACTGCTCGAGATGCTGCAGCCCGGGATTCTTGGCGGCGGCCTCCTGGCGCGCAGACTTGGATGGGGCGGCGTCGGTGCCCCTGGCCTTCTTCTTGCTGATCCAGGCGCGAGCGGCCACGGGATCGATGCCTAGCTGCAGCCTTTGGCAAATCCGGCCGATGATGGCCCTGGAATCGGCATCGTCGCCAATGCCGAATTTCTGGCTGAGCCCGATGTGGCGTCCATATGCGGCGAGGTAGCGGCGCGCAATGCTGTGGAAGGTGCCCAGGACGATCCTGTTCTCGCGGCCACCGCCCAGGGCCTTCCCGATGCGCTCCTTCATTTCGCGGGCGGCCTTAACGGTGAAGGTGGCGACGATGACATCTTCAGGCCGAAATCCCACATGGTCGACCAGCCACACCACCCTGGCCGTCAGGGTGTGTGTCTTGCCGCTTCCCGGCCCCGCGAGGATCGCGACAGTGGCCGCATCAGATGTGACTGCGCGGCGTTGCGCATCGTTGAGACCCCCGACAATTGGGTGTTGTGGCGTCGAGGAAGGCATCATACCTATGCGCGGAGCTGTCCAGCGACCACAGCGGGCGCTGTCCGTTGGAGGACGCGGAGTGTCAATCGAAACTAACAAGCAAACCGTGGAGCGCGCGGCGATAGGTGGGATCCACCCGACATTCCAGCAGTTACGGGAGTGGAGCCTTTTGGCGCGCCCTCACGTGAAATCTCAGGTACGTACCTTTTCTCTCAGGCTCAGTCTGGTCAAAATAAGCCGTCCATCTCGCATCACTGTTAAAGGGGCACACATTCAGAAACCGACTTCTTTTCTTTTCTTCTTCTTTCTTCTTTATCGTTTTTATCTTGTTTTCTCCCTAATCTTTTCTCTTATCTCCTTCACCTGTTATATATTCTTCTTCTCTTTCGTCTGTTCTCCGTTGGCCCCATTTGCTTTACTCTCAAACTAAACTGCTCTCAGCGTTAGAAGCTCGGTGTACGGCTTTTCTGCCAAGCAACGAGCTACCCCAGCTTCTATCTGTCCGTGCTATTTGCGGATGTCATACTCGGGTAAGCTCGGGCTAACATTGTATTCAGCACTCACACCGAGAGAGCAAGACCGAGGAGGTCAACCTCAGTGTCATCCAGGATACTGCGCCGCCACGTGGGCACTTTCTTTCTCGCCAGTGGTGTTAGCAGGGACTCAACGTGGATAGCCGGGCTCCATTCTATTGCGATGTTACCTGCAAGGCGCTTTATAAGGCGGCCGGACAGACTTGCATCTGTCATGGCTTCTATCTTTGCGACTCAGCTAAGACCTCGTCGCGAAGCCATCCAGTAAGCCGGCTGAACAACGAGTCAGACTCGGCTCCGACTCAGGGGTGCAGCATGGAAGTTAAAAAGGATCAATGAGGCATGGCGAGGGATGGCTGCTTTGTATGTGCAATACAACAGCCAGCGGCGGGTTGACATCCGAAGTTGAGACTAGACTCAGCGCTCTTGCGTCTCTCTCTCTCCTCGTCCCGTCTCGGCAGGGCCAGCTTCCCTCCTCCCGACCTTCTTGACGCCAAACCAACGGCCCATTTACGATGCGCTGGCTGCAGGGCATCGCGCTCTGGGCGCTACTTGCGCCCTTTTCACACGCCAAGGTGGATGACCCGGCCGGGGACGCTGCGCAATACCACAAAGAGTTTGTGTTGTTCCGCAGCGCCAACATGGCATCCCCGGACAAGCTCGCCAGCGGCATCGGCTTCCATTCTTTTCGGATTCCGGCGGTCGTCAGGACCAGCACAGGTCGGTTGCTCGCATTTGCGGAGGGGCGCAGGCACAATAACCGCGACTTTGGCGACATCAACCTGGTCTTTAAGCGCACGAAGACAGCCACCAACAATGGCGACGCCCCGGGCGACTGGGAGCCCCTGCAAGAGGTGGTCGGCTCGGGTGCAGGAACGTGGGGCAACCCGACTCCCGTCGTGGACGGCAACACGATCTACCTGTTCATGTCCTGGAACGGAGCCGACTACAGCCAGAAGGGCGGCGACAAGCTCCCCGACGGCAGGGTCACCAAGAAGATCGACAGCACGTGGGCGGGTCGCAGGCACCTGTATTTGACCGTCAGCAAGGACGATGGCAAGACCTGGTCCAAGCCCGAGGACCTCACCAAACAGCTGACACCGGACGGCCGTGCATGTAAGCAAATCCCCCACCTACGACAGCGATTGAATGATAACATAACATTGAACTGACAAATGGTGGCAGGGGATGCGGTCGGCCCCGGCAACGGCATCAAGCTCACAACCGGAGAACTCGTGGTGCCGGCGCAGTCCCGAAATATCATCGGCCGCGGCACTCCGGGCAACCGCACCTGGTCGGTCCAGCTCCTCCCGGGCGGCGGATCCGAGGGCACCATCGCGCAGACGCCCGACGGCAAGCTCTACCGCAACGACCGGCCCGGCGGTAGCGGCGACTATCGGCGCGTGGCGCGCGGGACCCTGACCAGCTTTGGCTCCTTCGCCGACGACACGGGCCTCCCGGACCCGCAGTGCGAGGGCTCGGTGCTGTTCTACAACCAGAAAGACGACGGGCCGTCGCGCGTGATCTTCCTGAACTCGGCCAGCAAGGACAGCCGCCGCCACATGCGCGTGCGCATCAGCTACGACAGGGACGCCGCCAAGTGGACCTACGGCCGCGCGCTGAGCGACGCGCCCGTGTCCGGCGCCGGCTACGAGGGCGGCTACTCGAGCATGTGCAAGACGGCCGACTACAAGATTGGCGCGCTGGTGGAGAGCGATTTCTACAATGACAAGGGCGGTGGCGACTCGTACCGTGCCATCATCTGGCGCAAGTTCAATCTCTCGTGGATTATCAACGGGCCGCGCAACTAGACGGGTCGAGAAGTATCTGGGCGTCATTATAATTAGCACCATAGTATCTCATTCTTCTGTACATATCAGGACTTATACATAGGTTGGCTACGAGAGGGAATGCTAATTACGGGCTTGAGATAGCCTGGTATTCCCAGCACTTGAACATCACACTCGGAGATGCCACTCGTTTATGTGCTCCCAGCCAGTACTATACTATACTATATCGGCACTGGGACGGCCTTTTATTAGTTGGAGCATTACACATGGCGCTTCCCTACATTCCATTTGAAAGTTCAATAGTCACGTTTATCTGTCTAGCGTACCAGGTACGTATGTTCGCTACACCCAGGGACCAGGGTGAAGGGTCTGGACGTGTCTTGCCATCTATCGACACTTATCCGGCGAGTCGTTATCATTGGATCACGCAAGACTGTCTCTTACCACTGGCCTTAAGTGTTAACCATCGATGGCAGTGTACTGGTGTAGCAGTTCATATTATGAATTTATCAGTGAGTTGGCTGTCTGGGAAATCTCAAGATGCATTGCCGGCCTTCCTCGCTCGCTTGTAGCTGCCCGTCATTGCATCCTTCATGATTGACCAAAACGATGCTCGTGTTGTCACCGCCCCCATACATGCCTGCTTGATTTCCGCTTTCGTGTAGCTGTTGCGACAGAGGCGGAAGATGTGATAGCACTGGGCGAGCGAGCAGCATCTGCAAGAATCAAACGGTTATGGGTTAAAATCCAAGTCAGCAACTACCACTACTACAGTACTACTACCATAACCCTAGTAGACCGTAGTAGACTTACAATGCAGCGAACGCAAAGGAGGTGCAGACAATCGTCATGTCGTATATATCCGCTGCGTGTGTCTTCGGACGGCATTTGCGTGAACCATATTTACTGCCGCACCGAACGAGCTCTCCCTGGGGGTCCCGTTCGTCATAGTGCTCCCTGGTCATTGCGAGCACCGTGAAGCCGTAGAGGGAAGCCGCCAACAACGCCGCGGGAGAGATCGCAATGATGGTCATGTATAGCTGGGATGGCAGTGCGCTGGTGAGTGACCTCGGCCTGACGGTGCGATGAGCTGCTAGGAGGACGTGAAGGATGGCCTTTATTCATTAGCATTCAATACCTCTCCGCTTGTCAGTAGGACAGCGTAGGCGCCAAAGTCACTGACTGCAGTGCACAGAGGTAAAGGCCAGAGAAGTGAAAAGAAAGAGCATATGATTAACGTTAGCTGAAAAGAAATAATGACACTCACACAGCCAAGAGCATAGGCTGCAAAGGGAAAGACCGTCGAGATGGGCTCCGTCGAAGCTACAATTCGAGCTGCGGAACCCAGCATCGGGATGCTGAAGAGGCAGCGGACTGCCGCGCAGAGGTTTGTGTTTGCGTAGAGATCCCAGATTGGTTTGTTGGCCCCATGGTGGCTGCGCTCATCAAGGGCGCGAGAGCTTTCGTCAATTTCAAGTTCGGACGCGGCCGGCTGAGCTTTAGGCATTATCATCCTAGACTCTTCGTCGGACTCCATGGACTCCATTGTCACCTAGGTAGAAGTTGTGCAGCGTCACGTCTAGCGCGATGGACATTCAGAGTTCTAATTCCTAATTTGGCCGAGACTTTCGATACATTCCCGATTCATCTGTCGGAGCACCAACCATCTGTTGCCGAGAGTTTCGGAGGGCGCCGAGCTGAGTCTACATGTACTTGACCCTTTGCAGATCTTCACCAGTTTACTTGGCTTCCGCGGGTCATCATCATTCCGAGTCTGAAAAGCTGCCACTTCCTGACCGTCCCACACCAATGTCAAACGAAAGCCGTAGCTTTACTAGCTTATCCCCCAGACACGTGCTCATAACGAGTAAGGCATATGGAACTAAAACGACGATTCTATCCTACGACACTTGGCTGAGCGTCAAGTTTTTATTTTCCTTTTCTGTGTCCCCCTTCCCTCAGATGTACATCTTGTCAAAGCCGATCGTTTCCCATCTCCCCGTTTCCGTGTTCAGTGTGAAGTTCGTCCCCGTCGTAGCGCCTCCGCGTAGGAATCCTGCCTCCACCTTCCCGTCCGCAACGGGCCGCGAGAGGTGGTTCTTGCCAGCCGCGACCGTGAAGTTGGCCAGCGGAAGATCCCACGCATTGCGGCTCGCGACACTCGGCGAACCTTAGAGAAATCACAATCGTTAGTAGTGCTTTATTTTGCAACCTCAATCTCAGACGGGGCTCAAGTTTACCATAATACTGAGCAGTGACCTTGTCTTGGCGGACCGAGAGAAGAAAGTAACCCCGGTAGTACCCCTCTTGCCACTGTAGCACCTGGTTCTGCTCAACCCGGGCACGCGCGGCGTCTCTCGCCTTGAGGATCGGACCGCTCACACCGCCGGAGCTGACGGCCGTGCCGGCAAACTCGACGCCGATGGCGCCCTCACCGGTCGTGAAGTCGTACGCCTTCTCGCCCAGCCACGCGACATCGCTGACCCAGTTCTGGTGGCTGTCGCCGGCCAGGAAGATGTTGTTGCCGATCTTGTTGCCGTACAGGTGCTGCAGCGTCCGGTTCCGGTTGGCAATGTATCCGTTCCAATTGTCGCCGCTCAGGCCGAACGACTCGGCGATCTGCGCGAATATTATCTGGCTGCCGATGACTCTCCAGGCGGCACCGCGCTTGGAGGACCGGCTGAGCTGGTTGTAGAACCAGTTCTCCTGGCGCGACCCCATCAGTGAACGCGAGGCGTCGTTGCGGATGAGATCAATGTATTTATCGTTCCACCCAAGGCTGGTGATGCTGCGATCGTAGTTGCGCGTGTCGAGCATGATCAGGTCGAACAGCTTGCCCATCTGGAAGGACCGCCAGATGCGCAGGTTGTCGTCGAGGTCGACCTGCCGGATCGGCATCCACTCAAAGTAGGCCCTGACAGCGTTCATCTTGCGCTGGTCGACGCTGATGGATGGGCCATCCGTGCGGAAGGACTCTTCGGTGTTGTTCAGGCCGCTGAAGCCGTCTCTGTAGCCGTTGTTGGCGACCTCTGCGTGGACCCGGGGTTAGGAAGAAGAAAACAAACATGAATATGGATACTAAGGCAGTGAACAGCGAGTGTTGGGTGGAGATTTGGTATTTACCGTGATCATCCCACGTCGGGATCCAGGCAAAGTTCTGCGCAAGGAGTTGCAAGTCCAGATCTGTGCGATACTGATTGAGTTGGTTAGCTCATCGCTCTTCCTAGGACCAGGCACGAGAAGTGAGAGGTGAGAGGTTCATATACCTGTCCATGGCGGGTCCTATAGTCAAACAAACTGAAGAGAATCCTTGGCGGGTTATGAGCACGCTTTCCGAGCTGGGCACCTTCGTAGATATAATCGCCCAGGTGGACCTGATTTGGGTTTATTAGCAACCCCCCCTTCGCACAGACATGTCTCAGCAAGTTTCCAGCTTTACCACATAGTCGTGTTCGTCCTTCCGCGCTGCGTTGCCATACGCGTTGAAATACCCGTTGGCTGCTTTCCCAGTCAGCAAGCGATATCTTAGCGTGACGTCTGAGCGGAGTCAACGTACGGTAGTTGCTGCATGAGAACACGCCGAGCTTGATCTCCTCTAGATTTGCATCGGCAGAGGGTGCTGTCTTGGTCCGCCCCACTGGGCTGGTAATGTTGGAGCCACAGATTGTGAACTGGTAGTTGTAAGTGGTAAACGGCTTGAGGCCGCCCGCCTCGACCTGTCTGCGGGTCAGCATGGAGCGAGCTCATAATGAAATCCTCAGAGAGGAGCCAAGAGGCATAGGCAGGTTAAATACTAGTAGTTGACATACCTTGACGGTGTAGTCGATATCGCTCGTCGTGTAAGCCGTGCCCTTGGACACAACACGGACGCTGCCGGCGCCGTTTCCGGTGTGCCGCCTCGAGGACGCGGCCTCCCAAACCTTCCAATCGACGCAGATCGGGTGAGGGTCGGCCTTGATGTACTTCTCGGTCTCGTGGTTGTAGAGCGCAACAGTTCCCTCCACCGTCACGTTGCTAAGGTCAGACGCCAGAGACGGCGCAACCCGTGTCCACAGGATGACGCTGTCGGGATAAGGGTCGCCTGATGCGATGCCGTGGGTGAAGTTCAGCTCGGATGGTTTGTAGGGCACAGCACCGCGCTTCAAACTCCGGCGCGACACCGCCGGAACATCGATGCCGAGGTTGACATGGCGTCGCGAAGGACTGTCGTAGTTGAGGTTGCCGTCGAACGAGGCAGACGCCAGTGGCGCTGACAGGGCCGCGATGCCCAGAACTGACAAGAGGAGCATTGTGAATTCGAACTCCTGCCGGATGTTCCTGTAAGGTCTTACGGTCCGGGACGGTGGTGTCAACACTCCAACTTATATCACATCCGCAGGGCCAACACAATATATATATCAGCATCGTCAACCCCTCACCCTCGGTGGATCATTACAACGTCCGCCTCGTGTTACACATTCTTCTTCCCATACCATTGCTTTCCTTCATCAACCATGCATAGCCCCAGGCTGGCCACTCGCCGCCAAGCAGGAATACAGGGGCTCTGTCTTGCAGAGTTGATGATGCAATTGCACATGGCGACTGGCACTCAAGACAACGTGAAGCAGTGCTGAAGATTTATTGGACATACCGTCTCAATGCGGGGTTTCTCTCAAACCCAACCCGGAAGGTCGCTACTAATAAGACCGGTAGCACTGCATCCCGGCACGGTAGCGATCTGCCGTTGGTACGGAATGCCTAGGCGTTTGTAGTGAAAACTGAGAAGGGTAAATCAGAACTGAGAGGGACTGAGCTGTCCTGGCAAACACAAATCTTCGTCTAAGCTTTCATCTCGACGTCATGCCTGCCCGGCCCGGACCCACTTTGCACGGAACCGGGCCAACACGTGGTGTAGGGTTTGGCAGCGGGTAGTCGGACGGGAAAGCTCTCGAATTTCCGGCAGCGGGCCCGTCGCATCCACCAAGTCTTGGCTGATCGTCGACTCGAATCCCCTTAGTCCATGCTAGCATTGGATAAAGTACGATAGACAAAATTTTAGAGTGCTGTGTAGCTTAGCTAAGGCAGAGCGGGCTGGCAGGGCATACACGTGTAGGGTACCTACCTTATAGGTGGTAGGTAATCTGACTGAAATCTGGCGCCCCCGGCGGTTCACGGGGTATCCACCTCGGAGCCGCGGGGTGGGGAGGGACGGCGCGGGTCCGGCGTCCGGCGTCGGATGCAGTGGGGCACATTCCCTGGAAGATGGGCTCAGTCTTGAGTATGTAGGTAATTGAGGCGGAAGTGAGCACAACCGGAAGTTGCATTCTAGGCCCGCGCAGTTAGACCGGGTAAGCTAGGAGGGCCCATTCCCTTTACATTAACCGTGCCCCACGATCGGGTCGGCAGATGATCGCAGGCACCATCGATCGCATCATGCAAGACGAGACAACTGGCTCCCGGCGTGGGGATGGGTGTGAGTGACCACGGCAGTGTGCACGGGTGCTATGGTTTCTGCCACTCTGCGGCTTCGCTTGCTCCTATCACATTGATCGGCAGCACTATTATGCTCAGCACACCGCACCTGTGATGGGAGATGATGCTGTACCTTAGAGCAGGCTCAATCATCCAACCTTATTAGGCAAGGACATCACCTCAAGAGCCTATCGCATTACCCTCAGATTCCGTTTGGCCCCTTCACATGCACGGGCTGTTCAAGAGATGCTCCTGCTCCCGGGTCCACATAGTGTCCACCGCCACGCCTCTTACATACTGTGATATGCGATATGTGCTCTTTGGAAAAGAAACTCGAATGTTGAACCGTCTCTTGTGGAATAGGGAAGTGATGGGAAGAGGGGATGCTGACAGCCTGACAGGGGGAATGCGGTTCGATGGCGGGGGATTGGCGGACATCACAAAAGCGATCCAATCACAGTGACGGTTTTGCCGCTGGCCCGTCCATGCTCCAGCCAACCAGCCGACGGGACGGCCTCGCAACTCTTGTCCTTTCGTGCAAGAGCAGACGTCGGGGCGTTGTCGAGGTCACTCACAGGTCGCACAGCGTGGGCGCTATTTCGGTCGAACCCTGTCCATCATGCAAGTGCGGATGTGCCTGAACGAATGCCCGGCAAGTCAGAGGCCATTTCACACTCTGCGGACAATGGCGACCCAATCGCCAGCAGCGCCAGTGCCGAGCCGGGCGCCCACTCGACACAGGGCCGGGCTCGCGTGCGCTGACTTTGTGTCTCAACAGCCGCTATATACCCAGTCAGACCGGTTGACGGTGGTAATCGTGCCTCCTGCCGTCCGCCATTTGCCATCGCCAGAGTAATTGATTCCTGCGTATCTCAATCACATTGTGTTTCGGCACGGCGGGGACGATGATCCATCCTTGAAGTTGGATTCTCACTGCGACGGCGCACCCTTTTCCCGGACCTGCCCCTCAACATCATGCGGTGTGGTGTGCCGGCCTATAACTCTGCCCTTCTTCTGCTCGTCGCTCCGTCTTGGCCACTGTTGTGTGCTGCCGCGCCGTGGACCGGACTCCTGTCTCGCCGTCAGCTGCTCTTAGACTATTCGCCCGCTCCGCCGCCTGAAGAAGGCCCTCCAGCTTCGGCCGGTGCCCTTCGTGACCCAGCTTACCTCCCTGCTCAGATCGGTGGCATTGTCGGGGCCTACGCCCTCTCGCTGGTGCTGGTCGCCCTCTTTCTTCTTGCCTTTTCCAGGCGCCGCCGCGAGCATCTGAGAAACCGGGACCGCGACCAGGACGACGTATACTTCGAGTTCAATCCGTTTCCGGAGCCGTTCCAGCTCGAGTCCGAGGAGGAATATAAGAGACAGCTCGAGCAATTCCAGCTCGAACAGTTCCAGCTCGAACAGCTCCGGCACTTCCAGTTCGACCACGCGCAAAACGAGCGGATCCAGAAGCTCTCTCTCCAGACTGATTTTCCGAGGAGCCCCGTCAGGAACTTCTCGCTCCCTGCCTCTGCTTCGCCCCTTAGCCCGGGTCGGTACGGTCCACTCAGCCCGAGCAAGTCGCATCGCTCTGCTTTTACCGAGTCGTCGCCAACTTCGACTGTCCTCGCCGCTGGCATCGATCTTTCCGTCGATCAGTCGATCGTGAACCGGGACAGAGCCATGGCGCAACAACAGTTGGAAGAGATGTACAAGCATGTCATGGAGCTGGAGCGGGCTAAGGAGGAAGGGAGAGAGTATCAGGGGCCGCCGATTCCCGCCCCGCCCTCCGCCTCGGCGAGCGCGAGTCCCGCAAAGGCCGGGACCACGAAGAAAGGAAGAAACAAGCCCTCCAACTTGAATCTCGCACAGGACGACAAGTCGCAATCGCGCAGCTCGTCCATCTTCTCCTTCCTCAAATCCCCGCGGAAGAACAAGGCCCCAAGCGGCTTGAACATCTCGTCCCCAATCATGACGCCTATGTCGGGAACCTTCCCACGACACGATGACCAGGAGATGAATGCCATCCCGCCTCGGCATTATGCTCCTCCCGCACCGCCCCCGGTACCGTCTGATCTGCCCTTCCGCCGGGCGGCGACGGCTTCGGCCGCCGGGAGCAGCCACCTCCCAACCCCAGACATCTCTCCCGTCAGCACGCAGAGCATCGACTCGCGCATTGACGCCGCCATCGGCCAGCCCCCGAGCCGCGCCGCCCGCCGCGAGCAACGCGGCCGGGAAACACGCAGCGACGACAGGCTACCGGCCCACTCGCGCGACGTCTCCACCGCAACCAGCACAGCAGGCGAGTACGAGCCTGTCTCCGCGGTCTCGGAGAACTCCACCACCGCCCTCGTCGGCCTTCCGCAGTCCCCGCGTCCGGGCGTCAACCGCTTCCCCAGCCTCGACTCCCTACCCGCCTCGCCGCGCCCGGGCCAGCAGACGTTCGCCCACTCGTCGACCTCCTCCTTCCCAAAACAAGCCTCGGCCGTCCGCGAGGGCGGCGCTCTCCCGCTGCGCGCGTACGAGCCCTCGGTCAGCAGCCCGACCGCGTCGAGCTTCGCGACCAAGCAGACGGTGTTCACGCGCGCCGCGCCCGGTCCGCTCTCGCCCGGCTTGCCGACGGGCATGCGCACCCCCTGGACCGGCGCGCCGGTGCCCTACACCCCGTACCAGCCTTTCTCGCCCGTCGTGCCCATCACCCCGACCGTGGTCACGCGCGCCGACCGGAAGAGGATGAAGAAGTTTGAGCCCAAGACGCCGACTGTGGAGATGGTTAAGAGTTCGGACGAGATCTGGTAGATTCACCCTCCCTTCGTGCATGCCATTCTTTTCCAATTCTTGATGATATTGTTTGAGAATTTGGAATCCCGAGTTCCGAATTATGTGCCTGGGAGGAAAGAGGGGGTTTAATTCGTCCTAGTAGAGTGGTATGGCTGGCTGGGCGGGCAATACAAGGACAGACATCATGACATTGCTGTCCAGTAAAGGAGGATTTGATATCCGTCATGATGAACACTTATTGGAGGTTTGGTCTACTGCAAATTTAAGACTGCCATCTTTAATTCGATACCTGGTGAAGAGACATGGGAGAGATGTGATGTTTCAGGTGGAACGAGGTGAAACTGTTGACATTGACCCTGTCCGTATGAGTTGGTGGAATGAGCGTGATTCAGCCGCCGGATTGATGCATCATCTTCGGGACCAAAGCCTCATCGCGCCAATGACAAGAAAAGCCGTACACTGCCTTCGGAGCGCGATTTCAACAGTCTCGGCAGACTGCGAAACAATATGTGGAACAAAGAAGGAAGAAAAGGAAGAAGTAAATGATACTGATAAAGAAATAGAAGAAGAATATGGGAAAGTTGAGATTGTTGAGATTTTACCGGTAGTTAAACGAGGACGACAAATTAGTAACTACCTTACCTGAAAGAAGTCCGCTCTAATAAAGCTCAGCGAGGCTGGATGATCCGTGGTTGTTTGTCAATATGTACGATCTTTTCCGGCCAGAGGGAGCCCACTTTCAGCGGCCGACTGCAACTGCTTGACCAGCCCGCCAGACCGAACCGGGCTGCAGGCTAGGTACTTTTTACCTTAGCAGCTTAGCTACCAGGTATGACGTCGACTGAGTTTTATGCCGGGCCGTCGCCGACACGTGAGGTGCCGCGGCACTGTGCACAGCAGGCAATAACTCAAGGAAAGTACACACATATTCTCCAAGGTGCAACAGCTCTACCGCATCATACTGCGACGACTTCCTCGGCTCATCACCGACGAAGTATGTATGTGCATCGACTAGTCTAAATCACCTGCCGCGTCGCTCCTTCCTGAGTTTGATCTCCCACGTTCCAGCAGTATTCATAGGAAGATCCAGTGCAAGGTTGCAAGCTGTTTGCCATCGCCAAAATGCACGGATGACTAGGTAAGAAACTTATCAATTTCGACCTTACGCTAGATTCCGCAAATACTCTCTTCGTTCCTGTCCATATTAGACTATTGACTGCAAAATGCATGTCCTGAAAGCCGGGTAGAAAAGAATTCGTGGACGGTGAACCCTAACCCGGCCCTCGCTAACTGCCTGAATACGGTTAGCTGAAATGCCGAGAAAGATTCCACCCCACTTGGGAATTGAAGCTTCCAATTCAAAGTTCCAGACATTGCATCCCGCATCCCCCTAGTGAGTCCTTGGCCTCTCGCTCGGCTCAGTCCGCCTGCCCATCATACCACTTTGGAGCCGAATCATTCCACTCAATCTTCGAATTCTCCGCCAGCCACCGAAAACCGCCGCTCGACAGAACATCACGCCGCGCCAGCTCTGCGGGTGAGAGACGATCGCCAACCCTAGCCCCTGCTTGTCCGTATGGATCTGTAGAGACTGGGTATTAGTTAATTGAACAGAGCGAGGGAAATCATGGCCGACCGCGTCCAAAGCTCATTTGACCTGGACGGCGGCTTGGACGGCTTCGATCTTGGGAATAGCACGCTGGGAGATGGCAACAACCTTGTGAATGGCTTGCCTGGTAGCGACTTCGGCAATTCACCCGCGTCAGCTACCGCTGGCTCGTCTACGGGGGGTGTGAATGCCGCTCCCGCAGGTGGGACTCCATTGGGCTCACCTACGGCTGTTACCGCCTCATCCCACCAGCAGCACCAGCCCGCTTTCTTCCACCCCGTCGCCGCCTCGTCATGGGTCTTTCAGGACACACCACCGTATGACTTCCCCGTTGGTGCTGCGCCGCAGCAACAGTGGGAATTCCCGCTCAACCTGAACCAACCACTTCTCCAACAACAACTGTCTTCGTATCTCCAGCCCACCGCTCCCGCTGTCAACCGGAATATCGCGCCCGTCACTGGTGCGGCAAATGTTTCCTCGGTAGCATCGGCTTCTACGCATACCCGCAACGTCCAGAACACGCTCACGCCCGCACAGCGTGAGCTGCTCAAGACCATCGCCATGCCCCAGCATCTTCAATACGGCTCCCCTCGGAGTGCTGGCGGCAGCCCGGAGTCGGCCTCAAGCGGCCAGGACATCAAGGCCGGCGCCTCATCTCCGGAGACCGCCGAGCCATCTAAGACCAATAGTCGAAAGCGAAAGTCGTCTGCGGAGGTGGACGATGACGATGACGACGACGAGCTCGAGCAGCCAGTGAAGAAGACAGCGCATAACATGATTGAGAAACGCTATAGGACCAATCTCAACGACAAGATCGCGGCTCTGAGAGATAGCGTCCCGTCACTGAGGATCATGTGCAAGAGCGCTCGGGGAGAAGACACAACCGAGGACAGAGAGGAGTTGCATGGCTTGACGCCTGCCCACAAGCTGAACAAGGCGACGGTAGGCCTCTTAAATGATTTGTCCCGGTGCAGCCGCTCTGACAATCGCTATCTAGGTCCTCAGCAAGGCCACCGAGTACATCAGGCATCTGGAAAAACGAAATAACCGCCTAGTGGAGGAGAATAACAATATGCAAGCGAGGATTGCGGCATTTGAGAAGCTGTTCATGGCCGGTGCCATGACGGGCCAGTTGCCAAATCCTCTCCAGCAGCAGCCACCTACACCGATCCAATATCCCCAGGATGCCACGCCTTTCTTAGGCACGCCACTGGGAACACCAGTGGGACCGGACCCGCCAGGATTGATCCCCATCCCGGACGACATGAAGCGCATCCTGGCCGCCCAGCAGATGAACGCCGGCCGCCCGTACCCAGTGCCGGCTCAACACTTTGGCCAAAATCCGGCGCTGCTGCGGCAGCAACAAATCCAACAGCAGCAGCAGCAAGCACAGGCGCAGGCGAGCCGGTGGAACCCGTACCTCGGAAAACTGATGGTGGGTTCTCTGGCCGGGTTGATGCTGATCGAGGCGCTCGCCGAAAACGAGCAGAGCAGCGAGACGACTCAAGGGCGTGGTCTCTCCATGCTCCCCGTCCGGTATTTGACCGCATTTGTCCGATCTACTCACTTCACTATCGGAGGCTACCACCTTTCGGCGATGGACTTGATTGCCAGTCTGAGACTGGTCTCACTTCTTGGGTTCTTCTTGTGGATCGCTTGCTCGTCATTCCTTGACACCTCCGTCTTCCGACCCTCCCACAAGTCGCAGCGCACCACTTCAGTTGTCGAGGCGGTTCCGTCTCTGGCCTCGCCGATCCATGTCAGGAGACAGGCCTGGCTCACCGCGATCCAGACCGTCTGGGTGCCAAGACACAACTTCCTCCTCGAGGCTGCTGCTCTCTTGCTCAAGACGGTAAAGTACACCTTACGGAACGTTGTCGGCTCCCACGGCTACCTCGCACTTACCGGCCTCAGCGAAGAGCAGGAGGCTGCGCGGATCAAGGCCTGGTCCATTGCTTTGGACGCCCAGCTCGCGGGTGGCGACGTCGAGATCAACAAGAGCCGTCTCACACTGACCCTGATTGCCTCGGGCACTTTGCCAGATACCCCACTCCGACTGATGCTTAAGGCCCTTCATGTCCGGGTCCTGCTCTGGCGGCTCAACGGCGCCTGCTTGGTAGCCAACCTGATTGCCGCCAAGCTTGCCAGGTCGAGGTGGGACGAAGCGAGACAGCTGAACCGCATCCTCAACTCTCTCCCCGAAGGCGAGAAGTCCCCTGACGATGCGCTCCCGGAGCACCTGGCTGTCTTGCTCGAACAGGACTGCGACGAGGTTCTCAATGACGACATCATCCAACGCGCGCACAACCTCGCCTGGAACGAGCCCACCACGTACAACGTGGTCAGCAAGATTGACGGTATGGATACGGTCGTTGACGACGCCGCCGTGCGCTCGCCGATGGACGCCGTCGCAGCGTGGTACTCGAACCTAACCCTCCACCGCGTCCTCGTCAACAGCCTGCGCAAACCCTGCGACGACCCCGACGTGGCGTCCAAGTCCGCCGCTGCAGCAGACGACATCGCACTCGCCGTCAAGGTCGCGCCCATCGGCTCCAACGCCCAAGTACGCGCTCTCGTCGCCCGTGCCGTGCTCGCCGACGGACGGCGCGGCCCGCACATCATTGCCGCGCTGCAGGCGCTCGGCCCGGAGAGGCACACGCAGTATCAGTACGGCAACAGCAGCAGCAAGAGCGCCGTGCTCCCGCTGACGGCGGCGGTCCCGGATCCGGACGCGCGCATGGCGCTGCGCTGCGCGATGGGCATCGCACAGCTGCAGAAGTTTGAGCGCCCGCCCTCGGAGGCGTACATGGTGATCGACTCGATCCTGCCTCCCGGCGCCGACATCGAGGCCATGTCGCTGCTGGCTTACACGGCGGCGTTCCATCTGATGGAGCACCTGTGGCAGCACAGGATGGCGAGGGAGATGTGCTCGAGGACGCTGGAGCGTTTGGCCGGTAGCTTGCGGATATGGATTGGCAGCGAGACTGCCGGCGGAGAGAAGGCTGGGGTCGAGGAGGCCATGCGGAAGAACATGATCGAGCAGTGCTTGCAGGTCGCGCGGAATGTGGTGGGTATGGTGAACGATCCGGGATACGCGAGTATGACAGACTGCGACGGGGATGGGGACGGATGCTGAACCTGACCTGGAAGATGTTGGCTTGTCTGCTGCTTGCTGCTTACTACCTGTTTAACGGGTGGGTTTCGATTCTTTCTATATTCTATTCCTCCCTTTCCCACCTTTTCTTCGCTGTCCTGGCTTGACAGTCGGTTATAGTTGTATACGACTAATATCTTCGGTTCATTTGATTGTGCTTCTTGTTTCTTCGGTTCGCATTTGTTCCGACTTGGTGTACAATGGCGATGGCGTATATAGGCGGTTCAAAGGCTCAGCGGGCATCTGCAGGAAAAGGAAGAAAAATCACAGCGAAAAGAGTCCCAAAAGACGGAATAGGAGGGGAAAAAATATGCAGTAACGAACGCGCTTGAAATCAAGATAGAAGAGGTAATAAAAATATGGCAACAGATAAAATCCGCTCTCTTCCTCTGACAAAGTTTTGTCGTGTAATCCGTGTCTCGGTATTTGGCGTGTGGGATCGAGTCAGGGGTAAAGGTGCCTTGTCGGGCACATAAGTATCAGGGAGTACGAAAGGCAGTCTAGACAAGCGAATTGCACCTGGCATTAGCTATTCTCCTTAATCTATTCGATTGGTCTTAGATGGTACTCTGATATATATTGCTGTATCTTGAATTGAAAAGGGGCGCATCGGAGTCTACCGTACGCGCCGATGAGCTTTGATAAATATTTCTTTAAAGCCGTTTTTCCGCCAGACACGAAGGGCCTGTCTACGACACGAAATGTCATGTCTTCATATCTTATGATTGATGCCTCGAGACAAACGACAGACTCCAGAATGCCAATGAGTTCGTCACGAAACGGGGAAAGTGAGATGCGGCAGGGTACAATACAATCTGGCCCTTTGGTATCATTTACCGTGTAATTCTATGAATCCGTTGATACAAATAAGAATATCCAAGAAACCAACAGTTACCAGGATTGGTGTTTTGCTTAGTGAGGTCAAGCTGTGATAGTTGTCCTTGGGACAGAGTTAAGTAATTGCTGCTGCTCCGGATTAGGGGTCAACCGCCGCAGCAGGGCCGGGTCTTCCATGCGCTCCGCCATGCGGTCCGGCACGAGATCGGGAGAGGCAGAGCGGGAGCTCACGGTGTACTGGGCGTCGGAGTCCACGCGGAGGTGGCCGCGCGGGGTGAAGTTCGGCTCTGGCGAGGGAGAACGGGAGCGTACGGGGTACTCGGTGGCCGGGGTGGCTCGCAACAAGCGCGAAGTGGTCGGCTGCGGAGAGTGGATTGTCGGTGCCGGGAACTCGTCCGTGACGATGGTTGTGGGCACCGTGGCTGGCCCGGTCCTGATCTTGGAGGGGAGGATCTGCTCGAAACCTTGGGCGCGGGCCACTTGTTCGATATCCTTGAAGTACTGGATAGAGGGGGATGTTAGAAGAGAGCACGTGAAAGACCTGGAGAAGGATCTACTAGTAAGTTACCTTGACCGTCTTGACCTGCAACTCAAGCGTGGCATCCTCGTCGCAGACAATCATGGAGTGAGGGTGCAGTTGCAGGGCGGACAGAGTCCACATGTGGTTGACGCCCTGCTCGACGCAGCGCTGCAGAGCGAGGGCTTTGCGGGCGCCGAGCGCCATGACGACTACTTCACGGGCCTCCAGCACTGTTTGGACGCCCACGGTCAAGGCCATCTTGGGCACCTTGTCCATGTCATTGTCGAAGAAGCGGCTGTTGGCAAGGATGGTGCCGTACGCGAGTGTCTTGACACGCGTGCGCGAAGCCAGGCTGGAGCCGGGCTCGTTGAAGGCAATGTGGCCGTCCTCACCCATGCCGGCCAGGAATAGGTCGATGCCGCCGGCAGCCTGGATCTTGGCCTCGTACTCGACACACTCGGCCTCGAGATTGGGCGCGTTGCCGTCGAGGATGTGGACATTGCAGGGATGGATGTTGACGTGCGAGAAGAAGTGCTTCCACATGAAGGTGTGGTAGCTCTCGGGATGGTCCCGGGGAATGCCGATATACTCGTCCTATGAGGGACTGATTAGAACGCCGGTGTGGTGAGATGCCGGAAGGTCTTGGGAGTTCTTACCATGTTGAAGGTCACCACATTTTCGAACGAGACCTGCCGAAACATTCCATGTAAGCACGGTGCCGTCTAGACACAGACTCATCCGAATCCTAGTCTTCACTATACCTCGCCAGCCTTGTACTTCTCAACCAGCACTTTGTAGACACCTAGAGGAGTGGACCCCGTTGGGAGGCCGAGGACGAAGGGATGTGCCGGGGTCGGACCGAAGTGGTTGATGCGGTCGACGATGTAGTTGGCGACGTGGGCGCTGGCCGCCGCCGCATCTTCCCGGATGAAGAACCTCATTTTGGGTCGGATAAGGACACGGCAGGAGAAAGGAGGATTGTTAGGAGCAGTTGGTAGGTTTGGAGAGAATAGGGGAGCAGCAGGTGTGAAAAGGGGGTGCGTGTGTAGATTTGGGTTCTGAAAGTAGAGAGGGGCTGCGAAACAAAAACAACTACCATCACGGGCGTCCCGTGTCTAAGAATGTCAGCGAGACAAGGAACATGTGACTGATAGCGTCACCGAGAGGCCATCAACGGCTGTTCGGGGACTGCCTAGTACTGTGCCCTATGACTGGGTCTGGCGTGGGCCATACTGTGCAAGTGTGTACCTTCCCACAGCAGCAGTCGCCGGGCCTGCCGGGTCTCGAGGAGCCCCGGTGTTGGAGCCATGGAGTCACAGATGGAACGTTCTGCAGATGCTGATACACAGTGGCAAAGAACGTGCGTGGAAGGTTGGACGGGGACAGGCCGGCCTTTGATCCGTCGAACAGAGGGTAGTGACGGCCGTTGGTATCCAATGGCAGTTGAGGGGGCCGCCCCGAGTAATCCGGTCTTGAGACCCTCAGAGACAAGAGCCAGGTCCCCAATCATGCAATGCCATCCGTCACGCGCGGTGGGAGGTACGACTCTTACCGATGGAAGGTGAAGATGGCCACACAAACTGTCAGACTTTGTCTCCCAACCCCGTGTTCCGGACTTGTCGTCAACTTAATGCTTAATGCCGCCGCGACATGTGGCAGAAATTGAGGCTGATGGAAAGCAACCAGCCTCATGCCTCTGCAGCCAGCCCAGATTACAGCGTCTAGATTACGTGCAGCTGTGTTTGATGGGCTTTGTTTCAATCAGATGCTCTCCAGAACGCTGCAAGCAAGATTAAGCTTCTGTGTGGCCCGTGCGCACCCTGGGGCCCCACACTGCCGCCGCCCCGCCAGCCCGATCGACAACCCGCTCCCGTCGCAACTGGCACATGGAACTGGAGCCGACCCAAGGCAACGTTACGTCCCCTCTGTTCCCGGCGGAGGACCGCAGCGCGGCCGGGATCCCATCCCAATTTCGCCGAGATGGGCAAGTGCTCCTCTTTTTGGAGCTTTTCCTGCGGCGACGGGCACCCAGTGTTGTGGGCGTTGCGTCCAGTCGTTCGCCGCTCTCGTGTCCGTCGCTGTCTGCGCATTGCGAGCAACCACAAGTCCACAGCTCCCCTTGACAACGAGACCCGTTCGTTACACGGAAACGAAGCCCACAGCAGCCCACGATTGGCCCACGCTCGTTACCCCTGATTTCGGCCTCTCTGTTGCCATTGTTGCCATCTCGTCCATCATCTGTCTCAGAAGATTTGCCTGTTCTCGAACTGGCTGTCAATCGTTATGACGGATCCGTCAGCCGAAAGCCTCCACACATCTGACGAGTCTCTCCTGTAGCCTTTGCATCTCCCACAGTACCCAGGTAAGGTCGCGCTGCTGTCCCATCTCCGCGCCTTTTCTCTCTCTCTGTCTCTCTCTCTCTTGGGCGGCGGCATCGGGCAGGTTCCATTTTTCCGTGTCAGCCTCTTTGCGGCCGCGGTAGTGGTGTGTTTACTTGGCACGCTGCGTGCCAATTGCCATAGTAAGGTACCAGTGCTGTGCTCGCAAGTCCAGGTCTAACCAACAACGTACAGTCCAGGCCGGCCAGCACTCGCCTGCCACCTACGGATACCTGGTCTGCCTTCGTTGGCTCTGCGGATACTTCGTTCGCAGCTATCTTATCCGGCAAGCACTTCGTATAGCAGGAATGTGCCTCCCTTAAGGTTTCAACGCCATTCTCCCTTACGCTGCCCTTCCCCCCCTCAAATCCCGGGTATGACTTAAAGCGAGACCCTGTCCGCCGCAACTCCATCCGGGTCTCTTAGTGTCATGCAGCTATGCCACTCGTTTCTACCATGACGTCGCTACGGGAAGCCCTCGTCGCTGCTCTCAAGTCGCTTTTCAAGGGCAAGTCGTTTCTGAAAGCACTTCTCGCCTTCTGGACAACAACGCCCGTCACACCCCAGGATGTCGGCACGACAACCAAAGTCAACGCCGATCCTTTGGCCGACTTCCTGGCCGAGGCTGAGCACCTTCTCCTTGGGTACATCGAGGCCGGCGGACTGAAGAAGTTCTCTCGGAAGCTGAAGCGCCAGTTCCGGGAGCGTCTGCGGTCGAATCCCGCTTGCATGCTGCCCTCATACAACTCCCAACTACCTACCGGCAACGAGGCCGGCCAGTATCTCTCTCTCGACGTGGGCGGGTCGACACTGCGCGTGGCGCTGGTGGAGCTCAAGGGGCGAAAGGCATCGGGTTCGGACAGCGGCATCATCCGCATGGATTCGTTCAAGATCGACAACGACGTCAGGAATCTTAGAGGGACGGAGTTCTTTGACTGGATGGCCGAGAGGATACACCGCACTGTAGCCCAAGACATCGGGAAGGGCCACGGCCCAGACCATCCACTACTCGCCGGGTTAGCCTGGAGTTTCCCCATTGAGTATGTTCCCATCCCCGATCCCACCTCACACCATGTGCAACGACTAACGGCTGCAGGCAAACATCCTCAAAAGGAGGGAAATTATCTGGCATGGGTAAGGGCTTCCTTGCGGAAGAAGGTCTCCTTGGGCAGGACCTGGGCGAGATCATCAAAACGGCGTGCCAGAAAAAGGGGCTGCACGTTGAGCTCTCGGCCATCGTCAATGACTCGAGCGCCGCACTGCTCTCGGAAGCATACATCACCCCGTCCACACGTTTCAGCCTCATCCTCGGCACCGGTGTCAACATCGCCGTCCACCTTCCCGTCACAACCATCGACCAGGCCAAGTTCGGCGACCGGCCCAGCAGCTGGCACAAGAAAGCAAGCCACGTCATCGTCAACACGGAGTTGGGCATGTTCGGCCACGACATCCTCCCGCTGACCAAGTGGGACAAGCTGCTGAAGGCCGCCCACCCGCGGCCCGAGTTCCAGCCGCTCGAGCACCTCGTGAGCGGGTACTACCTCGGCGAGATCTGCCGCCTCGCGCTGCTCGACGCAATCCCCGCGACGGGCGTCTTCGGCGGGACCGTGCCTCTCTCCCTGGAGAAGCCCTACTCCCTCGACACGGAGACGCTCTCCCTGATCGAAGCGTATGTTTCTCCTCTCCCGTCCCTCCCCACTCGCTTTGTGATCCCCTAATAAGTATTACTTTTTTACTAACTCAGCTTTTTAAACAGAGACACAACCCCAACACTCTCCACAGCCCTAGCAACATTTACCGCCCGCCACCCAACCCCGGGCTACCAGCCGACGACCGCGGACCTGTCCTTCCTGCGCACGCTGGCGTCGCACATCGCGCGGCGCTCCGCGTCGGTCGTAGCCGCGTCGCTCTTCGCGCTGTGGGAACTCAAGGCCGAAGCGGAGCAGGACCTCCTGGCCAGCCTGGACGAGACGTCGTCGTCGTCGCCGTCGCCCTTCGTGGCCGAGACCGAGGCCGAGGTGCGCACGGTCGAGGGCAAGACGACGGTCGCGTTCAACGGCAGCGTCGTGGAGCAGTACCCGGGGTACCGGCAGTATCTGCAGGGCTATATTGACGGGCTGCTTGCCGAGCGGCGGGAGGGCGATGCTGCTGCTGCCAAGGCGGGGCAGATTGCGCTGGTTGAGGCGCGCGAGAGTTCGTTGCGTGGTGCCGCAGTCGCGTTGGCTTGTTTATCTTGAGTCGAGCGGCCCAAAGTAATTGCCTCGGTGTTGTGTTGGATGTGAAAGGTGATAGTAATAATGGGGGAGCGGGTAGCATAGCATGGGATCGTGCTGGGCTGCCTACCTTAGATACAGAGGTAGCGTAAGGGAAAGCGATACGATGTACATAGACGGAGACGTATAGTGACCCGTACCCTGGTGTTCGCGGGTCGTGAAGCCGGAGTTCATGTGTTGAGCAACGGACAGACTCAATACCCATCCACTTCTCCGTCGCGGCGGACTGCGTACCATGTCATTCAATGTATTGGGTATCCATCCACCACTGCCTAATAAGAAACCCAAGCCGACGCAAAGTCGAAGGCCAACTGTCACATTCCTTCAGACCATCCATCACTTCACTTTCATCCACCCACCCCGGCTATCCGTACAATGCCTCACGTGCCATCTCCGACACATCACTAGACCAAGACCGCATATAAAATCATCCGAACAATGCCACCCATCTTCCTTCGTCTGAACGTAACTAACAGCTTTCTTTTCATCCCAACGTAGCCAACAGCCTATTCATCTTCAAACTCCGCCGTTAATGTTATACTTAGGCTATAGCAATGCTGGTGAACGATGTAGAGGTATACCGCGCAAGCGTTTACCACTCAGGCTCGAATCCTCCCCCACCGCCCCGGCTTAATCAGCAGCAAAGTACCGCTTGGATTTACTCCGTATCTGCTGCGCTTTCACCTCGGGCGGTACAATGGTGTGGTGCACGACGTGCGGTCGGTAGATTGCGTCGACGGGCGGCATCCTATATTAGTAGTTTGCTTTAGTGCCCATTGTTATAATCTCCATCCACCGCCCAAACATTCTCCCTCTCTGCATTGGTCAGAAGCATGGAGGAAATCTCAAAACTTACCAGTCATCCAGACTGAGAGGGAAGTACTCATATAGCATGTCCTCCGTCTCCAGCGGGCTGGTGAGCGTATTGTGAGCGGCCCCGCCGCTCTGCCCCTGACCGGGCAGGCCCGTCCCGCCCGTGGAGAGCATGGATGATTTTGCCCGCTGTGGGCTCTGCGAGCTGTCGTTTGAGCCGGCGCGGTTCGGCGGACTGCGCTCGTCTTCCGAGAGGGAGAGGCTTAGTGATAGGGGCTGGGGTGCCGTGTTGCTGTTGCTATTGCTGCGTTGCGTCTTGCTGGTAGCCGCGATTGTCGACGGCTTGGTGTCTAATGATCCCCAGGAGGGGACAGGCGGTCGGTTCAGATTGGGTGAAGATATGGCCATCTTTTTGCTGGGGTGTGGGTTGGGCGCGGTGGAAGAATAGGGGGTTGCCCAGTCGGATGGTGATTGCTGCAAGAGGTGTAAGCGATTAGCAGAAGCAAAGGAAGGGAAGACCGAGGTCGCATACCTGCACCGGGTTTGAGTTATATCGCGGCAATTTGGGTGTTAGCTCTCCATTGTCGGGACCTGCCAGATGATTTTGCTGTTGTCTTGAATTTCCACCACTACCCGCTGACCCCTCAGTGCTCCTCCTCTCGAGTGGCCTCTTATCCCCCAGCGGCACCTCCTTTCGGCTGTCGAAGTTCCTCGGGCTCCGCCCTCTCACAATCACCGGACCAGACTGGATCTCGGCCACCTTGATGTACTCGCCGCTCTTGGCCTTCACGAGCAGATTGATCTGCACGACATAGTGCTGTTGCAGTCCCTTCCTCCGCCCATTATTCGCCGTCGCATGCTTGAACTGCAGCCGCTTCCAGGCGACGGGCACCGACACGCGGCTCCCGCCGTCCACCTCCTGCCCGCTCGCCAGATCGACCGGTACCACCGGCGGCGTGCTCACCACCTTGGTCTCCTCGGCGCCCATGGGCGCGTTGCTCCCGCGCCAGGGGATGGTGATCATCTCGGCGACCCTCCCCTCGATGCTCTCGACCGCGGTGATGGACGCGGCCAGCTCCACCACAGGCGCCCGCCGCCCTTGGTCATCCACATACTGCGCCACGTGCCGCGGCAGCGTGATCTGCCCGGAGATCTGCCACAGGTTGCGGCGGTAGCACGTCAGCTCGAGCGGGCGGCCCGTGGTGTTGCTGTCGGCGCCGAAGACGTCCTCGGCGACGAAGAACATGCCGTACAGCTCGCCCGTCATGGCCGGCTCGACGAACTGGCCGGCATCGGTGAGCAGGCTGGCCTTGCCCGGGATGGGCGGGCCGAAGCCGAGCAGCTTGTTGTCGAGCTCTTGCGGCGACGAGGCATCGAGGTGGTGGTAGCCTTCGGCGTCGAGCGCGCCGGCGCCGGCGCCTTCGAAGGGGCGGGCCGGGTACGAGAAGGGGTCTTCGAAGGTGGTGCTGAAGGTCTCGAAGTCGTAGGTGGTGGGCGTGAAGGGGATGTTGTGGATGCCGTGGACCGAATCGCTGGGGAATGGTCAAGTTGTGATAAGTCAGCGAAACTGATCGCGGGCGGCAATAGTGCGCCAAGACAGGAACCCCCCCCCCCGGCGCCGGCCCCCCAAAGGATACTCACAAGAGAGACTCGTCAAACGCCATCGACGCATCGAACGATCCCATGTCCGGAGCGGTCATCGCCATGGCATCAGGGCCCGGGGTGGCGCCGGACTGCATCGCCGGCATGGAGTTGAAGCCCGCCATGGCATCGTAGGTCGCTCACGTGGAGCCCCGAGAGCAAGGCTCATGCAGAACTGCGCGGCAAGCGACGGGGATTCGGGAGATTGACGACAGATAGATTGCGCTATCTATCCAGCGACAATTGGCGATAAGCTCTGGTCCAGCAGACTGATGAGTGAGTTCCCGTCGTTCACATCCCATGCGGCTGGAATCACCGGCGCGGGCAATTGGCGGGTGATTCAGGTGGAAGGAAGTGGCAGGTGGAGAAGGACAATGGAACCCTCGCCAAGCACATGCAGCGCCCTTGATGCAATGGGCCACTCAGCGGCTTCCGATTGCCCGCCGCCTGCCCCCTTTCGGAACGGCCACACCACCTCCCAGAACCTCACAGGACGGCCTTGCCTGTGGGGTCTTACCCCGGAGAGTGACTCGCCAAGGCATGGATGTTCGAATGATAAAAGATCTCAGGGGGCAAGGGGCAAGCAGGGTAGCTTTCTAGTGGACTTCGTAGGTTGCAGTGATTCCTTAACTGTGCATACAGTACGTAACGGTAGGTAACTCTGAGTGAGTTGTTACCTAAGAAATGATTCCCGAGGTCTACTATGTGTACAGCAAGGGCATCTGTGATCAAGGAAATGCCCGTAAAGGCGGATAGAACGTGGAATCGGCTACGGGGCAAACAGAGTGCGGGGAGCTCCACTCAATCCCCGGCGTAGTATGTAGAGTAGGGTCTGGGTCCCAGGCCCTCTGAGAATACTAGTAGCTACTAATACCGGGCAGATCTGAGGTTGAACAACCGATTCCCATGTTGAGAAGAGAAGCGTTGAGGGGATCTTATACTATACGCGGCAGTGAGGTATACATTTTGTGAGAATTCCCCATACTTGGAGATCAGTCCAACCTTGCAAAAAGGGAAAGGTGATGATGTTGGTTACGGATAGATCACAGTCATACAATACCACAACCACACTAAAACACCCAGTTACCCCTGACGCTGGAAGTCCCCGAGTTCTGCACTGTGCACATCAGCTTCGACAGCATGCTACCAAACCTAGGTCCAGCTAAAAGTATCCAGGTGCAAAAAGCCTACGCAAGATCGTGCCACTAAAAAATAATCAGCACCGCAGACATGAAATAGCCGAGACATTAGCAGAGAGGGGAGTGCTCACATTGTCAGGCGAGTTCGTAAACTCCTCAAACGCCTGCACCACCTCGAAACCCATCGCCAACAGCGGCTCATACGCGTCGTCCGGCACCCAGCTCAGGACGCTGCGGAGCGACTTGTGCGCCTTGTTCTGCCTCAGCCCCATCAGCGCGAGGCCCTGCAGGACCAAGGCGCCCTGGGGCACCACCGCGGCGGACCCCACGATCGGCGCGATGATGCCCCCGATCATCTCGTCGTCCGACGACGAGGGCTGCAAGGGCGGGATGAAGCCGGCGAGCTGGCTGCCGGGGCTGCAGATGATGACGGTGCCCAGCAGGCTGTCGGCGTGGCCCTTGGCGCGGACGACGCCGCACGTCTTGGTCTCCTGCAGCGCAAAACGGTACAGCTCCAGCACCTCCGGGTTGGCGTGCGCCTTGACGTGGCCGAGGACGCTGTCGGCGCCGTCCGGCCCGCGGATGAGGTCGAAGCTGATGTTGGCGCGCTGGATGCTCTGCAGGAGGCCCTCCGGGGCGCTCCACGTGCTGAGCGTGCCGATGGTCATGTTGGCGATGCGGCGCGGGAACTGCAGATCCCAGCCGCCGTTGGCGAACCACTGCTTGAGGCCGGCGCCGTCGTCGGCGGGGATGCCGAGGAAGACGCCGGGGAAGGCCATGCCGAGCTGGATCTTCTTGACGCCCGGCTTCTGCGTGAGACCGCGCAGGGCCCGGCGCTGCAGCGACCGGCCGATCGACACGTTGCGCTTGGCAGGGTCGACGAAGAGGGCGCCGATGATGCCCGTGCCCTGGACGGAGTAGGTCGCGCAGAAGCCGTACAGGGCGTGGGTGCTGCTGTTGCGCACCACGAAATGCGCCTCCTCGATGTTGGGGTTGAACAGCTCAAATGTGTGGGCGCTCGTCGTCTGCAGGAACCGGTGGGCGGGCGCGCTCGCCCTGGTGAGCGCCTGAAGGAGGTCGTCCAGCCCTCGCGCGTCTCGGTCTCGGTTGTAAGCCTCGACAAGCCAGTGCTGTCTGGATTTCAGCGCCTTCCTGCTCTTTCGCAGCGTGCCGGGCAGCGTCCCCTGAGGCTTGAGCTTGCCGCATAGTACCCGCACAAGCGCGGCCATGGCGGTCTCGGTGAAGTCGAAGGTGCAGATGTAGGTGCCGATCGACTTGTCCATGGCAAAGTCGTAAGGGGAGCTTACGGCAACCACAATCAGGGACTTCTTTTGGCCGCCCGCACGCAACATCGAACACATCATCGAGACATGTTTGGTAAACCCTGCCTGGTAGAGGTTCCGATTGGCATCCGCCGTCACGATGATGATGCACGATGCCCGGTTGATCAGGTTCTCATGCACTAGCTCGGCAATCAGTAGGGAGCTTCTTGCTTAAAACCACATGGGACAGGGACAGGGACAACACCAACCGGGTCGAACGCCGTTCGCGGTGTAGGAGGTATGCAGCAGTTTCCCATGCCGGGCTCGAGCGAGGGATCTGCCGAGTTCTCTGAACACGCCCTCACCACTCATGATGGCCCCTCGGCCGCCGTGTAACCAGCCGTCGTGTACATTTGGCGCATCGGCTCTGTTATTCTTCGCCTCCAGAAGCGCCTTGGTCATGGAGGACGCCGGCAAAGGCTTCACCAGGGGCGTCAGCAGCAGCAGCTCCTCTTCCTGGTGCATCGAGCTGGTCAGTGGGAGGAGTTGTTCGTTATCGCGCATCACGGCAATGGAGTCATCGTAGGCCCTGAGCGACAGAGCAAGGTGGCTGGGGTGAATCTTGGACAGCAGAGAGATCCCGCCCGGGTTCAGCGCTTTCTGCCACGACGTGCACGCCCTCTTCATGCGGAGGATGCGCTTTAGCGACGTGTAGATGCGTTCCTTGGTGATGAGCTCGTTCTCTACTCCCAGCTTGAGGCCCGATATGGCTTCGAGCTGGACATCATAGGCACGGCAGAGCATCACCAGGTCACAGCCGGCCTCTACGGCCATGACGGTGCCGGTCTTGACGCCGATCTCGTTTCTCAGGCCCTCCATTTCGAGGCACTCCGAAACAGCGACCCCCTGAAAGCCAAGCTCGTTTCTGAGCAAGTCGTCGACCACCTGGTCCGAAAGACAGGCGTGGTTGACGCTCATGGACGGGTTGTTGATGCCGCAGCCGCCGACAAACACGGCGTCCAGCTTGCCCGTGGCGATGGCATTGCGGAAGGGGACGAGGGCGCTCAGCGACAGTTCCTCCAGGGTCTGCGTGATGATGGGGATGTCCAAGCTGGAGCCCAGGAAGTCCAGGTTCCCGTAGGACGGGAAGTGCTTCCCGCAGGTGGCAATCCCGGCGTCCTTGTACCCGTTGATGGCGGCGATGCCGTACTGGGACGCCTCCTGGGGGTCATCACTCACCGCCCGGACGCCAGTTGGCTGGTAGCGGGCATTGTGCAGAACATCCAGCACGGGTCCAAGAATCAGATTGACGCCGACGGCCGAGATTTCGGTGGCCGTGGCCTTGGCGATCTTGTAGGCCAGGTCAGCAGTTCCGGCAGCGGCCTGGCCCATGGAGCTTGGGAACTGGCAGATGTAGTCCTCATCGTACAGACTGTTGACGCCGCCGTTTTCCTGGTCGAGGGCAATCAACAGCGGTTGGGGATGGCCGGCCTGGTGAGCAATGGTCTGCAGCTCCTGGACAAGCTTGGCCGTTTGCTGGGCCGCTGCATGGCAAGAGCACAGTTAGCGCGTCACGGGGCAGCGGACTACGGCCAGAGGCAATGGATGGACAACAACATTTGAGGTTCTTTGCAGTCAACAGGACCGAGCCCAAGTGGTGTTGCTCGATCAGGTTACGGATCTGGGGCGTGACTTCGGTGCCGTCCCACCCCATAATCAGCATCTGCCCGATGGCCCTGGCAGTGAGGGTTAGCAGGCTACTCAGCTACAGCATTGCTACTGGCTCTGCATAAGTTCTTGTTCTGCATGCTTGCTCTCATGAGAAAAGGAGAAAAGCAAAGCCTCCTTCCGTCGCCCTGCGGAAGGGCGCAACACTTGCGAGGGCACGCTCCGCGCGAGGAGACGGACAAAAGAACACAAAAAACATCACAACACATACCAGTCGAGGTCCTGCCATAGTGGGTCCGACTCGGCGTCCAGCTCGGTCATCTTGAGACGTGGGGATCAGAGCAGCGGGTTCGTCGAGAACGGTGCTCACGCGATGGCGGCATAACGTTGACGGCTGGCGTGAGTGGTTCCGCAAATCGTCAACGGCAGGTGTAACAACGCCGCTCGCAGATTCCATAAGGTATGTGAGCCACACTGCCCGTTCTGGCGACAAAGACCCAGGGCAGCGCTTATCCGTCGCGAGCTGAACAGTATTCCGTACCGGTAGCACCACCAAGCGCTCAGGTAACAGGTTGCACCAATGAAAGATACCTTGGGTGATAGCGCCGAAGGCAGCCGAGCTAAGCAAAAGGACTGCGCTAGCCCTATTCGGCAGGTTCAATACAACGTTTTGGTTAGCTCCAACCCGGCAACGTTACATCCCCACTTGCCGCAGAAGCTCCATCGAAGCTCCATCCTCAACTGCACATCAACTGCAAGTCAAAAGAGACAACCACGACAACTTCAACACTCTGGATCCGCTGTAGCAATTTGCGCCGTCGACTCAAGGGGATGGAGACGCCTAGTGTAATCTATGTACATCCGCGGAGGCTAGATTAGCGCCCGTATATTGCAGTATCCACCTCAAGCAGGTACCCTTTCGCTCGTTGCGCTTCGGTTGGGGAGTGGCGCCTTCTGCCTCGACGAATGCAACAGTCGGTGCAACACGGCTGCCACACCATCACACCATCCATACACTGTAAGTGGATTTCTGCTTGAAAGGACGACCGTCTGGGCCTGTCTGGAGCACTGGGGCAGCAACGGATGAGTAAAGGATCTCCCTCCCCCCCCCCCCCCCCCCCCCGGCTATCTGCTCCAGCGAATGCCGGGACTGGCGGAGCCCACGCGCGCCTCTCCAGTGAACCGAGTGGGCTCCGAGATAGATCACAGTAGCGCTACTGTGTGTGGATGTACACAATATGACGTTCTGTCGCAGGCGGCCAAGGACCGTCCATTGGCTTTTCCATTGTCTTCGAAGTCACGGGGCCACAGACACTCCATCAGGCAAACCCGGATTAGATCCCTGGTTTCCGGTATTCTCTCGAACACAGTAGGACCAGATAACGTTATGGTTCTCCGGTGACTGGCCGAAGGTCGGTGGCACGCTGCGGGAGGCACCGGGGCAGCAAGTATGCCCTGCGTCACCTTTGCTGGGTCCCTAGAGTTGAGTTTCTGCCCAGGTGTGAAGTATTTGAACTTGGCATTGCCGTCTCATCCGTTACTTCTGGTATACTATGGCGTACACGCTCGACAACACGGGGCGACTTGATGCCCTCTGGCTCCCCGAAGACAGTGCCTATCTCCGAAAGTCTGCACCGTCCTAGCAATATCCCTTCCTCCTTCCTGACCTCCTTCCCTTTATCGAAGGCCCTTCCAGCACAATGCCGTCATTAGTCCGCTCAGCATCCCCTCGCCACAACGGCATCACCAAGCTGACCAACTGCCGGCTCGTCCGCGGCGACGAGCTCGTGTGGGACGATGTCTGGGTCAGCTCGGCCACGGGCAAGATCATCCGCAGCCAGGCGGCCTTCTACGATGAGCTCATCATGCCGGACGAGGTCATCGACCTGGGCGGCCGCATCGTGTCGCCGGGCTTCATTGACTGCCAGCTGAACGGCGCCTACGGCTTCAACTTCTCCACCCTGCTCGACGACATGACGCAGTACGGCAAGCAGGTGCGGGATCTGAACAGAAAGCTGGTTCGCACAGGCGTGACCTCGTACATCCCAACCGTGACAAGTCAGACAAGTGATCTCTACAAGGGGGTGAGCCAGCTTTCATCCCTTTCATCTGTCGTCCTATGTTACTCACTTCCCCCGCCCAGGTCCTCCCTTACCTCGGACCCTCCGGCTCCTCCCGCCGGCCACACGACGGCGCCGAGTCCCTGGGCGCCCACGTCGAAGGACCGTTCCTCAGCCCAACCAAGAATGGAATCCACAACCGCTCCGTCCTCAGGGTGGCCTCCTCCTTCGCCGACCTCGAGGAGATGTACGGCGCGGCCAACATCAACCCCCGGTGTCCCAACCCCGAAGTAGAAGTCCACTCGCCGAGCAGTAGCAGCAGCAGCAGCAGTAACAACAGCAGTACTAGCCTCCCTTCGTCCCCCGTCAGCTCCTCCTCCTTCTCCTCCGCTTCGTCCAGCGATGCGCAGGCCGCACGCAACAGCACGATCCCCGTCAAGATGATCACGGCGGCGCCCGAGCTAGGGGCCATGACCAGGCTGATCCCGGAGCTCACGTCGCGCGGCATCGTCGTGTCGGTCGGGCACTCGGAAGCAACGTACGAGGAGGCGTCGGCGGCGGTGTCGGCGGGCGCGACCATGATCACGCACCTGTTCAACGCGATGCGGCCCTTGCACCACCGCAACCCAGGCATTTTCGGGGTGCTGGGCACCAACACGACTACTCCTAGTACTACTAGTAGTAGTATCTCTACTGCTGCTGCTGCTGTTCCTGCTGTTGCCACTTCCCAAAGACAACAACAACAACCACAACAACCACAACCACAGCAACAACAACCAGGACAAAAGAGGAGGAGGCCGTATTTCGGGATCATCTCAGACGGCATCCACCTGCACCCGACAACCGTCAAGATCGCGTGGCACGCGCACCCGCAGGGGCTGATCCTGGTCACCGACGCGATGCACATGGTGGGCCTGCCCGACGGGCGGTACGCGTGGACCAACGGCGAGGGGGAGCACTACATCATCAAGAAGGGCAGCGTGCTCGAACTGGAGGGGACGGGGGGCACCATTGCGGGGAGGTAAGCTTTTTTCCTTTTTTTTTTTTTCTTCTTTTTTCGCTTTTCCATCCCGATCCTTCCAATCTAAACTAGTGTTTTGTTTGTTTGTTTGCTTGTTTATATGTATGGCATCATTGGATATAACTCAATATCAATCCTAATACACCATCAAAACAGTGCGGTCACGCTCCTCGAATGCGTCAACAACTTCCTCCACTGGACGGGCGCCACCCTTCCGCAGGCCCTTAAGGCCGTCACGGCCACGCCGGCGGCCATGCTCGGCGTGCAGGGCGTCAAGGGGAGTCTGGAGGCCGGGGCGGATGCCGACCTGGTGGTGCTGTCCGAGGCGGCCGGCGAGGAGGGGCGGACCGAGCTGGTGGTGGATGAGGTGTGGAAGTTTGGGGTGAGGGTCTTTGAGCGGAAGAAGCTTGTTTGATATCTGCGCCGTCGGTGGGCACGTGGGGTTTGATGCTTTGAAGCAGACTTCGAGACTGGTTACTAGTAAGTCAGAAACATGAGGGCATGGACCCAGGGAAGTACGGTAGTTTCTCTGACCCTTGGGCATGCCCTGAACCCCGAAATAGTTCTTCACGTTTGTAAAGTAGGTAGTATGCATTAGACGTCCGAAAACAGGGCAGCCATCACATAGATCACTAAGTATTTATAAGCAGACACTGGCATTTACATACTTGCATCCACACCCGTAATGCTCACGCCAAGGTAAACGAGTTACTCGTCCCCGTAAACGGCTTGATATCCCCAATCAGCGGCTTCGCATCGCCATAATACCGGATGCGATACGTGCCCGCCGCGTCCCGGTCCGCATCCGTCTCCCAAGAGATGGTCACCTCGCTGTAGCCCAGCAGCGTGTTGGTCCTCTTCCAGCTATACACCAGCCGCCAGTCGTCATCACTCAGCACCTGCGCCCAGGTGGTCCCGTCACTGCCCAGCCTCTCGACGGCCGCGAAGGTGCCCTCCAGCCGGAGATTGTTGCGCGGGTTGGCGCCGACAAAAGTGGCGTTGACGAAGGCGCCGCGCGCGTACGAGCCCGCAGGCTGCTGCGTGACCGCGCCGAAGCTCTTGCCGATGGGCGCGGCGTCCAGGACGACGCCCGTGATGAAGCTGAGCATCTTGTCGCGGTTGTCCGGCGGGGAAGGACCCGGCGGCGGGCTGCCGCCGCTGGGTGCGGGAGCCAGGGACGGCAGGCCGCGCAGCGTCAGGTTGATGTAGGCCGGCAGCTCCCACTGGCCGTACAGCGTGCTCGCGCCCTCGTATCGCTGCACGGCGTACTCCTCGGGCGTGGTGACGTAGTGGGCGTATGTGTTGGCCGGCCCGCCGAGCACCACGAAGGGCTCGCGGACGCCGGTCAGAGACGACTCGGCCGCGGCAGCCTTCACAGCGTTGCGCCAGCGCCGGCCGGCCATGGTGGTGGCTTCGGAGGGGGAGACGATGATGATGAACTGGCCGACCCGGAAGGTCTGCACGTCGACAATGTTGGGTGTCCACGCGTAGGGAGTTTCCATCTCGCCGACGTCCAGGAGGATGGGCTTCGGTCCCTGGCACTTCTTCTGCTCGGCGCTGGGCACCCGCAGCAAGCCCGACACGACTTGCCACAGCGGGTTGTTGGGCGCTCCGCTGTCGCCCTGGGTGAAGTCGAAAGCACCAGGCCAGTCCGAGGTGCCGGCTGCAAAGGAATACCCCAGGGCGGCCGGGCAGGTCTGCACCATGGTGCCGTTGTCCAGGGGGAACGTGTAGTACCGCATGTCGTGGAAGTAGTGGAAGGACCGGACACTGGAACCCACAACGGCGGTTGACTTGGAGTCGAGCGAATCCTAGGTTTTTTCTTGCGTTAACTCAATCAATCACTCGTCAAGCTACTAAGTACTAGCTACGTAGTGCTTAGCATTGCAAAGGTCCTCTTCCTTACATAGAGCCTCTTGGCCCCAGAGAACTGCCTCCGGCCGATCTCGAAGCAGCTCGAGACGCCCAGATCGAGCTTCTGGAAAAACGGCCCTCGCCCGTGGCAAGACTGCGATTTGCCGTCGGCGCAGGTGCTGGTCTCGAAGTCGCACATCTGGCCCGAGCCGTCATCGCACCAGGCACCCAGCACGTTTGGCGTCGTGTCGCCCACATTGGCCTGCGAGAAGCCGGCCACAAAGCCGTCGGTCGCCTGGCTGTTGCCCCTGACCGACTGCTCGAACAGATAGGCGGCCAGGCCCTTGTTGTCGCCGCTGACGTGCGTGTTGTTGCCGAGCATCGACGTTCCGTGGACGGGGAACCAGGTTAGCACGCCGATGTTCTTCCCGTCGGACGCGCGCTGAAACCGCAGCAGGGTCAGGTCCTTGTCGACGTCGTCGGTGTACTGCGCCCTCTCCGACTCCGGGTTCGCAAGGTACGCGAACGGACTGCGGTTGATGTTGGCGTCCGGAATGCGCGTTGTTCCGAAGTCGAGATACCCCTGAGGAGAACGGTTAGCTGCCAGTTGGCAGTGATCAGGATTCAGGACTGCCAAAGAAGGGAGTGTGGCTGGGGCCGCACCTCCTGGAGAGATTCGTGGGCTCTCTTGATCGACAGCACAGTGCCGTTCACGATGGCCTGGTAGCCTTGCCGGTCGAAGCCGAGACTGGTGACCTGCGGCAGGAGATAGTTGAACCAGCCGCCTGGGCCGCTGTGCGAGTGCGTGCCCGTCACGGCCACATTCGACTGCCCGTACACGGCGTAATCGGACCCCAGCGCCGCCACGCCCTCGAGGATGCCGTTCCGGACCGCCGTGTCGCCAAACACGGCATCGATGACGACGTAAACGAAGCGGTTCTTGGGGTTGCCGACCTCGCCGACGATGAAGGATCGGGCGTACATGCGCTGGCGCAGGCCGGTCCCGACCTGGTCCGTGTTGGCATAGCCGCCGAAGTTGATCTCGACCACGGGCCCCGTAATATCGGCCTTGCCCACGCCGATGAGGTACTTGTCGCCGGATGCAGCAGCCCGGGCCTTGGAGAGGAGAGGGTTCAAGTTATCTGCGTGTCCGGAGGCCTGGCCGAACCTGGCCGCAAACCTTCCTTCCTTCGACTGCGCATTTCCGAGTTGGGCCAGGGCAACGAGCGCGAGGATGAAGAGTGACGCCACCGAGACGGTAGTAATCAGGAGGGCTCTTCTTGGGGCTGGGACCCCGGGCCGGCGGTGTTGGAACGGCATCTTCGCCCTGTCTCGGTTCCCGTCGTGACTCGTGGAGAGGCGAAGATCCGCGACGCGTCCCAGGGGCGTGCAAGTACCTACTTATTATGCACCTGCGAGATCCTGTGTTGTACAGCCCGAGGCAATAACTATCCGTACCTGATAACTAGCGGAAGCTTGTACGCGTAGGGCCCCGGGCCAGGCCACACCGCAGAGATCGGGCAGGGATTCCCCGCAGACCGCTTGGGAGCCAGGGCTTCGCTCGACCTGTAAGGTGCACTGTCAAGCGTCAACATGGCCAAGGCAGTTGGCTATCGAAGCGGCACGGGGCGGGCCAACCGGGAACTTTGACATCATTTGACATGGGTTAGCGTAAAACAGGCAAGAACCGTGGTGACCGTCGGGGGAGCCTTCCGCGTGTATGATAGGCGAGGTACTAGTAGGTTACATGCAACCATATGCAACGCCGCCTATAGTAGCCAGGGTTGCTGAAGACAAGCATGACAAGTCACAGGCTCACAGCTGCACCAAACAAGCGACTGGCACCTTTGAGTCGCAACGGGCAGGTCTTCGAGCCATCCGGTTCGTGCTGTTGTGGTATCGCTAAGGTAGGCTAGCGTGGGTGTGACCGAGTGATAACCTGAGATGTGTCGGTGATCAAGACAGAAATGCAAGTCTCGAGTCTATACCAGTGACGATGCGGGTTTCTCACTATTTGAGGTGACACAAGGTCTAGATGGCATGTTGACAATGGATTGCTCTGAGAGGAGGCTACTGTCATTCGAGTGCTGCAGTGGTACTTACTGTGAGGCTTCTCCCTTCACCTGCCTCATAGGGATAGGAACATAGTATATCTTGATGGTCCGGGGTTCTCAGCGTGCTGGTGCTCTCTGGGTGGTATAGGTAGCGGTGTATAAACCACAGGCGTTGGGATAGCCTGCATTGAACAGATTGAACAGTTAGCACGGATACAAGAGTCGAACTTATCACCTCCCGAAACCTTCCGCCTCCCTCCTACAAAGACCACGTCACCACCTAACAACATCCGTACGGGTATCTCATCCTCCTATTCACTACACTACCCTGTGTTGGCCATTCCTAGTGATCTACATACATGATATGAATACATCAGAGACAACCACGCCAGCACCAAAACCACCAGCACTGACAACAGAAGCAAACAAAACGACAGCCAGAGAGGAAGCAAACCATGTCCCCCCCCCCCCCCCCCCCCCCCCCCCACCCCGTCGCTCGCCTTCGCTCTAATACCCCCGAAGTATAGTGTATCCGAACAAAAAGGGGACACAGGAAAAAAAAAAGCAACCGACCCATCCTTTTGCTATGCGAAGCCATCCCCCCGACTTGTAAACCCTCCTAACCACTCTCGCCGAACACCAAGAAACCCGAGTGAAACGCGGGAAACATGAGTAGAAGGGGAAGGCAAATGGTATGTAGTCGAAGTAAGGATGATGAAAAGGGAGATAAAGACACCCGAGGAACGCCGCCCGCTTGTGATGTGGATATTTCCTTCCCTCATGAACATAAATAAGGCTTTTTCCCATGCCCCACCTCCTTTTCCGTATGGCCCCATTTTATCCCCCTCCACAATCCACTGCCCATCCAGGCCCCTTCACTCGGCCAAATTGCAAAGGTTGACACTGCAAAGGTGGAGCCGGTTGAGGCTTCTATATATGCAGATGCTGAGCTTCTTCGCCCCTTGGGAAGAAGCTCGGGCTTCGCGCTGAGTGTATAGCTAGCGCGTGTCACTGCTGCTGCTTCCAAGCTCGTTGGTGTGGAATCCATGGAGACCGTGGCCGTCCGGGCAATGGATGCCCTCGAGTCAAGGTAGCGCCGACGGCGGACCTTATAGAAATGGCGCATCATCCACGTGGTACAATAATCCCGATCTTTGTTATCGTGTCTCGAAATCCAAAGCCGCTGCGGGTGGCCGGCTTACCAACCTCTTACGCTACTAGAGTCCAAGGGGGCCGACGGTGGAGTCCATCGTACTTTCCGACAGATTGATCAGCAGCTGGGCGAGGCAACGTTTTGTCGCCGCATCATCGCGGAGGACGTTCGAGAAGGTGTTGTCGCGGAGCGGTTCGGGAAGACATTGCCGCAATGCTTCGCGCGCACGAGCATTGTCGCTGAGCCTGAAGGATTGGGTGCGGTTAGTTTGGTCTGTATTCTGGAGGGGTCAACGAGGTGGGGTTTGCATCTCTACCTTAGAAAGCATCGAACAACATGCTTCAGCAGCCTGGCGGTCTGCTGCTCCACCAGCGTAACGACCATGTTGCTGAGGACCGTACCCACAGCATAGAAGCGCTCGTAGGTGGCGCAGATGTAGTTGAGGCCGTTGTCGTCGAGCAGGATCTTCTGAACGATGAAGATGGCAACCGTCTTGCTGAGCTCGGAACCCGTCTCCATGATGCGCAGGCACAGCGGGATAATCTCGGTGGTGAGCAGGAAGTTGATGACCTCGGTAGAGTCATTCTTGACGAGGGCGCCGATGACTCCGAGAGAAGTAAGTCGGAGATACTCAAACGGCCGTGATTTAGACGTCGTGTTGAGAAAAGGATACAGGTAGAGGGGAATGTGCGCTACGCAGAAATGTCAGCCAACTCGGCTCAACAGTGAGAGGTTCTGCCGAGGCGATGCATCGGCGCTTACCGTTCAAGAAAAGGGTGCGCGTGTCGTTATGCGATGCGACACACTGAAGGAGAGCCAGGGCATTGCAGACCCTGTTCGAGGCAGCTGCAGTGAGCTGCGACGGACTCAGAAGATTGTACACGCTGATGATCTCCTGCAGCAGCGATGTCATGACCCCTGCACCAACGTTAGCTCAGCCGTGTTTGTCGCGCAAGACTGCGAAGGTTGCAGGTTCGCGAGTAGGCGTGACGTACCGAACGAGTGCCACAGAATCAGGGCGAGCTCGGGAACCTGCTCCCGTTTCTTACTGAGCTCGAGCAGCGCGCCCTCTCGTGTGTTCTCGTTCAGCAGGTCGGCGATGTACTGCAGCGTGCGGCGGTTGTCCTCCGACACGGAGCCCTCGAGGGCGCTGTCTTGGGTATGGCCCTGGGCGAGCGCGCCAACGGTGTTGTGGGCGCTCGCGATCCGGTTGTAATGCTGCTGTTGGGCGACACTGGCGGCGGCTGCGGCGGCCTGAGCGTGGTGCTGGTGTGACGTCTGCTGGTGCATCCAGGCCGAGTCGGCCTGAGGATACTGATGGTGGCCGTAGACGTGTGGGTTTGGAATCATCTTGGTCGGCGTTCGGTTGGGGTCGGTCGAAGAGTAAAGCACGAGGGTCCGCGTGGCGCAGGAACGTGTAGATATCGGCTTCGATGAGGGTTATTTCAGGTTGTCGCCCGTAACGAGACGATACAACAGTCTTGGGCTGAGCGTCATGAGAATCGTACAGATGCGGCTGCTTAGTTGAAGATTGCGGGTCTTTCGCCGCCGGTCGGGTGTTCCGCACTCGCAGTGGTGGGTAGGTGGGGGACCGCAAGGCGTGAAGTCTTCTTGTTGCGTTGGAGTGGAACTCGTGGAAGACGCCAGACTGATGAGCCGCAGCCGAATCGTTCGGCGAATTGCGGTTGCCGACGGGTGTGCACGGACCGGATGTGGGGTAGGTTCCAGGCACTGGTCAGGTGGCTCCACCAGAGAGATTCCCGATCGAGAGCTTTGCTGAAGAAAGAACATTCAGGTATTTAGTTTCTCAAAGGAATTCACTTGAGCTCGAAACTACACTAAATTAGCGAAAGCCATGCTGAGTATGCAGGCTCAGCCGCATCAGAAAGAAGAATAAGAAAACAAGCAGTAAAAAGAACGCCAGCCCTGTAGAACGCCACCGTCGCACCCTCAAGGCCTCGGCCCAAAGCGCCAAGACTGCCCATCCGAACGAACCTTTTACCACACTCTATGGATACGCCATTACCCTGCTTTTGTCTATCACAAGAACACAAAGAAAAGCACCGCAATGCCGCCAAGTAGCATCGCCGTAACCACTCCCGGCGGCGCATCTTTCATGGCTCCGGCGACAACGATGGGCTGGGGCATCGGTCCGGAGCTGGGAGCGGGGATCCCCCCGGTGCCGGTTCCGAAACCGCCGGACGGGTTCGGTGTTGATACGCTCGTCGCAGACCCCGCGTCGTCCGGGTTTGAGTAGGGCGGGATGGGATAGAGCACGGTCAGCCTGGAGAGAGTAACGCCAGCTCCGTATGGCGCGGTTGTGGTGGGTGTCGATGTGATTGTATCTGTTCCTTTGGCACCGGCGCAGACATCGCATGGGCTACCGCCGCCGCCCGGCGCCGGAGTTGGGGCGGTCATCGAGCTCCCCGCTTTCCCCCCGTCCCCGCCAGAACCATTGGCGCCGCCGCAGCCGCCCGAGCACCCGCCCGAACACCCGCCGGTCATATTTCCGCCGGCACCAGCGCAATCGCCGCCTCCGCCGTTGTTTGAGCCATCATTGCCACCAGATCCGCCAGCGCCTCCCTGTGATCCGCTGGGTGCCGGAGTTTGGCTCGCTCCGCCCGTAGCGCACGGAGTCTGGGGCGCTCCAGAACCGGAACCCGGAGTTTGACTTGCTCCGCCACCAGAACCCCCATTACTATCACCGCCGCCAACACCTCCGCCTTGTGATCCGCCAGCCCCCGGGGTCTGAGTCGCCCCGGAACCCGAGCCCGCAGTTTGACTCGCTCCGCCGTCAGAACCCCCGTCACCACCACCCTGTGACCCGCCAGGTCCCGGGGTCTGGCTAGCTCCACCACCAGCACCCGAACCCGGAGTTTGGCTCGCTGCACCGTCCGACCCCCCGTTACTGCCACTGCCACTGCCACCACCAACACCACCACCCTGTGATCCGCCAGGTCCCGGGGTCTGGCTCGCCTCATCACCCGCGCCCGGAGCCGGAGTCGGCGTCGACGCGCCGCCGCCAGTCCCATTCCCCCCTCCCACACCACCCCCCATCCCCGACCCAGTCCCGGCCGTCCCATTCTTCCCACCGCCAGAACCCCCATCAGGTAAGGAAGTACCGACCGGCACACCGGCCTCGTTCACAGTCACCGTGGCGGTCACGGTCGCCCCGCCAGCCTCGTTGCAGATCGCCCCCTCCGCCGAGATGGTCGACACGAAGGTGATGGTGGACGTGTACCGGCTCTGCGGGCTGTCGACGATGGTGAGCGTTACCTCCTCCACTATGGTTGTGACCGCGTGGGTTTCGCCGGCGCCGGCTGCCGCCGTACCGTTTCCTCCTCCTCCTCCTCCTCCCACACCGCCACCGGTGCCGTTTGCGGCGCCCGGGGGCGGGAGCACGCCCGGGGTAATGGTGGTCACAATCGCTGTGGGCGAGCCGGCCGCATCGGTGGTGCTGAGTGTTAACGGGGTTCCACCTCCTGCGGAGGAGTCTCCGACGGCGCCAACACCACCCCCTGCGCCGGGTGTGACGGCGGAGCTGATGACCGTTGGCGAGCCGGATGCGTCGGTGGTGGTTAGGATGGTGGCGCCGGCGTCAGAGCCTTGTCCTTGTCCTTGCTCTTGTCCTTGTCCTTGTCCTTGTCCTTGTCCTCCATCTCCTGCTGAATTGCCCTCGCCACCAGCGCCGGCTGCGGGAGTTGATGTGATCGCTGCCGACGAACCGGAAGCGTCGGGGGTGCTTACGGTAGTTACAGAGCTCACGCCTTGGTCACCTCCGCTTCCACTTCCGTTTCCGCTTCCGCTTCCATTTCCGCCTCCGCCTGCTCCGGCGCTTGCGCTGCTCTCCGCAAGGGCGGATGTGACGGTCACTGGCTGGCCGTTCGCGTCTGTGGTGACGACGGTGGTGAACTGCTGGCCGCCACCGCCTGCACCACCACCCCCGACTCCTCCGGCCGCCCCGTTCCCTCCGGGCAACGGGGTTGGGGTTGACATCGGAGTCATCTGCGCTGTGGGGGTATTCGCTCCTCCACCAACGCCGCCGCCAACACCACCACCACCTGCTCCACCTTCGCCCCCTCCCATGCTGCCTCCTATTCCGGTAGAGTGAGTGCCGTTGACCATGACCCAAGTCGTCGCCTGCAGATTGGTGATGAATGCCGTCTCGCAGAACTTCTCGAAGTTGAAATTCTGGCGCTGCGAGGCGTCCGCTTGCATGTTGCTGAAGCCTTGCATGAACTTGTCCCCGATGATGAGCGGGTGCGGCTGGACGTAGACCAGGGTGATCAGGATCTGGGGCTGCTGGCTGCCCTGGTTTGCCATGTTGAAGGGCACGAGCGGGTTGCTCTCGGAGATCAGGACCGGGTTCTCGGGGGACCTCGCCAGCAGGCCTGTCTGCAGCCAAGAGAGGTAGATTGTGGACGACGAAAAGATGGAGAGGGGGTCGGTGGAGGTGATGTTGAGGGATAGCTGTATGCCCATGGCGATGTATGTCCGGTTTCCATCTGCCCCGGGGAACAGGACGATGGGCTCGGAAGAGACATCTGGCGCCATGTTAGTCCTTTGGATCCCCGTCTCCAAATTCGGCTTGAACAAAAACCTACCATCCCAGGTACATCGGCCGCCCGGCGCATCGATGCTGGTTGAGCCCATCTTCATCATGAGGTTGTTGCTCGTGCTGTACTTGCCCCCGGAACTGGACCCAGACCCGGTGCTCGAGCCGGATCCCGAGCCGGAGCCATAGCCAAGGAGATACGTCGACTTCTTACTCCAGAAACTTCTCCCTGCCTCCACATTGCTGGACAGGAGCGCTGAGATGAGTAGTGCCGCCAGTGAGGACGGCATGCTAGTGGTAAAGATGCGCATCTAGAAGATGCTCGGAATATGGAATAAAATGGGGCAACACACTATCAATCAAGGACCGTGTGTCATAAACGGAGTGTGGAGGGGATCACGGTCTGTCGGCCACGCAGTTTGGATGGCAAAGTGATCGAGTTGGGCGAGAGACAAGAGAAAGCTCATGCTTCAAGGGAAAGCGGCCGTTGATAGTCCAGAGATGAACACAAGCTACTTCCGAGGGAAGTCCGAGGGTCATTCCCAACCTTAAACCAACCCAGCCGTGGTCACACTCATTACGCCCATCTTTCTCCATGAGCTTTTGCATGAGGTGAGGTTCGAATCTGAAGCCCATTTGACCAGTAGCTGCGACCCTCCCCTTCCCGATCGCGGAATAAGCGCATAACGAAATGAGAGCATAGAACGTAGAGGAGAAGTCGGAATAGGTAGCGGGGGGTTTCACGCGTTTGGTAACACGGCCCGGCCATTGTCTGGACCCGGACCGGATAAGAGAGCCGGCCGGCTAGGACAAGGCCGGAAGGCCCCACTTTACTACCACCCGTCTTGCCGGGATCGAGTGAAGTACACATAGTACAATGTTCCGATCTTCTAGAACATTGGGCTGACAGGACTGTGACTCTCGTTTGCCCTACGGAAGGGGGCATGGGCGCGGCCGCCTCAGCGAAGGAGACTGTCCTGTGAGGGTCCATGGACCGGGCCAACAAGAAGAACTTCACATGGCTGGCAGATCTGCTGCGCCGTGCGGCACATGGGACGTGATGCTGTGGAAGATGCCAAAAGGAAGCTGGGCTTCACTTGGCCCGGGCAAGGCTGTTTTGGATACCTAATTTGGGCACATTGAGCTTCACACGGATCCGTGACTGTTTGTCCTCGGGAGGGAAGAGCGTTGCGACAACAGCGGGGTTCCGTTCTCTTGCGGTCTGGGCAGGGACACTGCTATAGCAGCCTGGGTTTGGTGCGCTCTCATATTATCAAGCGATAATATGTTGCACGAAAAGGTGTACAGAAGTAGCAATAGCAACCTACCTGCAACTGCGAACTGTCAATTTGTGGTAGTTATTAGTGGTCTTATCATCAACGGTTGAGAGGGCGGACGTTGTTTGTCTGTTGCCCGTTTTAGAAGCAGCAGGCCTGGTGTTACGTCAGTAGCGCTGGGTCTAGACCGCCGATGCGCTACTACATAGGGTTAGGGTTGCTTGGTTTTTAGTGTATCTGGTTGAGCTAGGGCAGTTCACCGCCTCAGAATGCAATACAACTTGAACTGTCTTGAACTAGGTAACAATCCCATAGAATGGAAGTTACTTATGTTGAGAGACGCCGCATTTACTAGGTAGTTTTCCATTTTGCGAGCGGTCATTTCCCTGGTCTTTGTATTATCAGCCATGAGAGGGCTTCTCGAGAAATGCATCGTCTGACCTTAATGGTGGAAGGCGCACGCTGAGCAAGCGGTCAGCAGGACAAAGAAGCTCAGCTGCCGAGCACGCCATCGGCAGGCATCACCCAGTTGAAGCCCTGGTCCTCTGCTCCCTCTACCAACCTGCGTGAGGTATGTATCTCGTGGCTGTTTCAGGAAGCAGTGGCCCTTCCCGGAAGCAGAATCTGGGCGCAGTGAAATCGCCTGTCAGGCCCCCGGCATCCGCATTGCCCAGCAATCCGGGGCGCGCTTTCACATGCAGTCGGGTGTGAGATGCATCCACACGAACCAAGCTACCCCGGATGGACGCCCACCCGCGCATCCATTGTAGGATGCTTGTTGGTTGGTTAAACCCACCGATTGAGCTCTGGGCGGTCGGGAAGGCTTGATGAGCGGAGAGATAAGGACATGGTCGACTCGAACTGACGACCTTCATCGATGCCCTTCTTGCTCTGTCGGCGCACTGTCGCCAAGTTTCGATGACTTTCGACTTGTCCTGACGCGCACTGGTCTTTTGTTCATAATAAGCCCTAGCACAACTAATCCTGGTTAGACTCTGGCCTGCGACTCTGAAGATAAACGTCTCTCCCGGCACACTCCATTCTCCGCTAGATCCTGTACGGAACACTCGCGCTGACACAATGGCTGGCGGCGGCTCGACCGCCGGCTCGGGGGCGCCTCCTCAGGCGGGCGTCCTCGAGGGCGCCAACCCGATCGCCTACGCGCCATCGAATCCGATTGCTCTGTTCATTATTCAGGCAAGTACAATACATGCGCACGATATGCTCCCGGTGGTGTTCTCCGGGCTCTCCGTGGTGGATCCGTTATTTCGGTGCACAGGCCGAGAAATGGAACCAGACCCGGGTCCCGGTCCCGGCCCGGCCGGGCAGGCTTCGGTACTAGGCCGCAGTTGCGCTAACAATAGCACCAAACACAGGCCATCATCGTCATCCTGTTTTGCCAGTTGTTGCACTGTGAGTTGTTCTCAGGAAGAAGCGCATTGGGTGATCGTCTCTGGCTGACTGTTCCGCGCGCGCAGATCCGCTCCGGCTGCTGAACCAGCCCAGGGTCATTGCCGAGGTCATCGGCGGTATCCTCTTGGGCCCGTCGGTGATGATGAGGATACCGGGCTTCAAAGAGAGTACGTAGTCTGTCCGAGTCATTCGATGGTTTTGCGCCGGCTGACCACGGTGTGTGCCATCACAGCCATCTTTCCGGCGGAGTCGATGCCTGTGTTCAGCAACGTGGCCAACCTAGGGTTGCTCATCTTCCTGTTCCTGATCGCGCTGGAGGTCGACATCCGGCTGTTCACGCAGAACTGGAAGGCCGCGCTCAGCGTCGGGTTGGCGGGCATGATCCTCCCGTTCGGGCTCGGCTATGCCATCGCCTGGGGCATCTACCACCAGTTCCCGATCGCGGAAGAGTCCATCAGCTTCGGCGTCTTCGGCCTGTTCATCGGCACGGCGCTAGCCATCACGGCCTTCCCCGTGCTCTGCCGCATTCTCAGCGAGCTGAACCTGCTGCGCTCCAACGTCGGCGTCACGGTGCTGGCGGCCGGCATCGGAAACGACGTGACGGGCTGGGTGCTGCTGGCCCTCTGCGTGGCGCTGACCAACAACAGCAGCGGGCTGGCCGCGCTGTGGGCGCTGCTGTGCTGCATTGGCTGGACGCTGTTCCTGGTCTTCGTCGTGCGGCCTCCGTTCATCTGGGTCCTCGGCCGCACCGGCAGCCTGCAGAACGGCCCCACGCAGGGCATGGTCGCCCTGACGATGCTCATGGTGCTCGCCTCGGCCTGGTTCACCGGCATCATCGGCGTCCATCCCATCTTCGGCGCCTTCCTCGTCGGCCTGATCTGCCCGCACGACGGTGGGTTCGCCATCAAGCTGACCGAGAAGATCGAGGACCTGATCTCCGTCCTGTTCCTACCGCTGTACTTCGCCCTCTCGGGCCTGAACACCAACCTGGGTCTCCTGAAGGACGGAATCACGTGGGGCTACATCGTGGGCATCATCGCGTGCGCATTCGCCGGCAAGATTGCAGGCGGCACCCTCGCGGCCCGCGCGAACAGGCTGCTGTGGCGCGAGAGCTTCACCATCGGCTGCCTGATGAGCTGCAAGGGCCTGGTTGAGCTGATCGTCTTGGTAAGTCTGCCGACGATTGAACAGCGCGGACTACAGTAAGTAGTGCTCAGCTACAGTAAGTTACTAACACACGGAAATAGAACATTGGCCTCCAAGCTGGCATTCTGTCGGAGACAACCTTCAGCATGTTCATTGTCATGGCCCTGGTCACCACGGTCGCAACCACGCCTCTTACCAAGGCTCTGTATCCTCCCTGGTACCAGAAGAAGGTCGAGAAGTGGAGGAGAGGGGAGATCGACTGGGACGGCAATCCCATCGACCACTCGGAGACGGGCCAGGGAGGGCTTCCGCAAAAGCCCGTCGAGTCCCAGATCCGGCGCCTCATGGTGCACCTCCGCCTCGACAGCCTCCCCAGTCTCTTCACCTTCATCACGCTGCTTAGCCCGGAGACCGTCCTCGCGTCCGCCCCTGTCGACGCTACCGCGGAGGATCCCTCCAAGAGCAACGAGAGCCAGATCCGGAAGAAGCCACTGGAGGTCCACGGCCTGCGCGTCATCGAACTCACCGACCGTACGTCGTCCGTCATGCACCTCACCGAGGGCGAGGACTTCTACTCGCTGCGCGACCCCGTGGTGAACGCCTTCCGGACCTTCTCGCAGCTCCACGACGTTGCCGTCTCGGGCCGCGTGGCCGTCGTCCCGGCCGACTCGTACGCCGAGACGCTCATGGCGCAGGCCTCGGAGGTCTCGTCCGACTTCGCGCTGATCCCCTGGGGCGAGTACGGCAGCGTGTCCGAGGACCAAGCCTTCCCCGTGGCCACGAGCACGAGCGAGCGTTTCCGGTCGACCACGCACCTGGAGTTCATCGCCCAGACGCTCGCCAAGGCCGCGGCTACCTGCAACGCCGGCATCTTCATCGACAATGGCTTCGGCGGCATCACCAAGCCCGCCGACCACCACCGGCCGGAGCTGTCCCGCACCAAGAGCGCCGCCGCGCTGTCCATCCGCAGCTACCGCCCGGAGCCGGCCGCCCTGCCCGTGCTCAACAAGTCGCACCATCTCTTCCTCCCCTTTTTGGGAGGGCCCGACGACCGCGTCGCCATCCGCCTCGTCCTGCAGCTCGCGCGGAACCAGCACGTCACGGCGTCGATCGTGCGCGTCAAGTGGCCTACCACTACTACCACTACCACCACCACCACCACCACTACCGAGGGAGGAGGAGCCACCACCCCGTCTTCCTCTACCGGCACCGACCCGAAGGCGGACTCTAATAACGCTAGTACTACTATCACTAACAACAATGCCCGCCAGGAGCAGGAAGACGAGGTCTTCTTCTCCACGATGCAGGCGTCCCTGCCCGCGGAGCTGGCGTCGCGCGTCGTCTTCAGCGAGGCAGACATCTCTTCTTCTTCTTCTTCGGGATCTTCTTCTTCTGCTGCGGCCGCCGCGCTAGCAGAGATTGTGGTGCTAGCTCAAAAGACGGTGGGCCGGCAGCCCAAGAACGCGGGCGACGTCGTGGTGCTGGGCAGGAAGAACGCTCGCTTTGGCGCGGCGGATGGGGCCGGGGGTGGAGGAGGAGACGGCAGTGGTAGTAGTGGTGTAAGTGGGTGGGGGCCGGATCTGAAGAGCACGGTTGGTCCCGTGGCGGAGAGGTTGATCACGGCGGGGATCAAGGCCAGTCTTTTGGTTGTGCAGGCTGGTGGGAGGAAGGGGTCGTCGGATTACTAAGTACTAGTACTGGTATTAGTAGTGGTGGTGTATAACGGTATCTCCCCGTGCTTTCTCGGACTAGTACGGTATCTTGGGTTCACGGCGGCTTATTACGGGGTATCGCGGTTGGGGTTTCAGGGTACTACTACGTACACACATTGGGGGTTCTCCTGACACGATCACGTACGGGCATGACGCAAGACCTATATAGATATATAATTTCCATGTGTTGATATACGTATGTACGCCACGAAAGGATTTGTCTGACATCTCGTTGATCATCTCTCGTTTCTGTCTTCGTGACAGGTAATCTAGAAATCTCGAATCATAGGTATACACACAGATACATGAAGTGCTATTAGTAAGCCCGAACACATGCAATGCGCCTCCTAGTAACCTGGAAATACTCCCAACGCCAGCTCACTCAATCCAATCCAACCCTCCGTAGAAGGATCTACACCGCCCCCTCCCCCCCCCCCCCCCCCCCCCAAAAAAAACGTCTACCACTCCGGCGCCGCTCCACACGCCCCAGCACTACCACCCATCATCAACTCCACCGGCTTCCGCATACTCATGGTACTCATCATATTCCCAACGGGCTTGACACCAGGCTTCTTGGCCCGCTGCCCGACAAAGCCGATCTTCTTGTCGACCTCGGCGAACTGGCCCGGCCCGGCCTCGCCGCGGCGCACCATCCAGCGCTTGGTGCCCAGCGCGGCATCCAGCTCGTCGACGGGCGGCAGCTTGAGGTAGACCATGCCGTCGGGGCGCTCCTCGACGTCGAAGGTGGCGATGGACATGTTCGGGTCGGCGTCGTTGCGGCAGGCGCCCGAGGAGAGGTCGAAGTTGCGTTTGTGGTGCGGGCAGGAGATCCACGGCGCCTTTTTGTTTTTGTTGTTGTTGTTGTTGTCATCCCCTCCGGAAGAAGATTCAGAAGATGTAGAAGAAGCAGGATCCTCGCCCAGCAAACCATCCGACAGCACAAACGCCCGCTTGTGCGGACACATCTGCTGCGTGGCATAGTACCGCCCCTTGAAGCGCCACACGGCCAGCTGGGTGTCCCCCCGCTTGATCGTGGCGCTAATACCGTTGGGCAGCGCATCCGCGCCCCTAAAGTACGACGCCTCCAGCACGGGCTGCCAGGTCGTCTCGGACCAGCGCTCCCGCAAGCCCGCAAAGTCTTCCTTTGGCGCCGCCGCCTGCGAGTCCTGCGAGGTGTTGTTGTTGTTGTTGTTGTTGTTGTTGCTGTCCCTAGGCCACATGGCCGGGCGGGTCTGCTGGCGGTCCTGCTCGGGCTCGACGCCGTCGACCGTCTCGGTCGTGTTGGCGAACTGGCGGAACTGCGCGGCGATGGCCGGGTTGCGCAGGGCCTCGGCCCACTCGTCGAAGTACGAGTCGACCAGCTCCTGCATCTGGGCCTCGAGCGACGCGTTGATGCCCAGCTTGTCGTGCAGCACCACGTCGCGCAGGTACTGGATGCCCCCCGGCAGGGCCTCGAGCCAGCGCGCGGTGCGCTGCAGCTTGTCGGCGGTGCGGATGTAGAACATCAGGTAGCGGTCGAGGATGGGGATCACCTCGGTGGGCGGCACGTCCTTGGCCAGCAGCTCGGCGTGCTTCGGCTTGGCGCCGCCGTTGCCAGCCACGAAGATGTTGAAGCCCTTGTCGGTGGCGATCAGGCCGAAGTCCTTGCTCTGCGCCTCGGCACACTCGCGCACGCAGCCGCTGACGCCACCCTTGAGCTTGTGCGGCGCGCGGATGCTCTTGTAGCGCTCTTCCAGCCGCACGGCCATACCCACGCTGTCGCCGATGCCGAAGCGGCACCACGTCGTGCCCACGCAGCTCTTGACGGTGCGCAGCGACTTGGCGTACGCGTGGCCGCTCTCCATGCCCGCGTCCACCAGGCGCTGCCAGATGGCCAGCAGGTCTTGCTTGCGGGCGCCGAACATGTCGATGCGCTGGCCTCCCGTGATCTTGGTATACAGGTTATAGTCCTTGGCCACCTGGCCGATGACGAGCAGCCGGTCCGGCGTGATCTCGCCGCCGGCCATGCGCGGCACCACGCTGAAGGTGCCGTTGCGCTGGATGTTGCCCAGGAAGCGGTCGTTGGTGTCCTGCAGCCCGTGCAGCGGCCCGTCCATGACGTGCTTGTTCCACAGGCTGGCGAAGATGCTGGCCAGGCACGGCTTGCACACCTCGCACCCGGCGCTGTGCGGGTCGGTCCCGGCCTCGCGCATCACCTCGCCCAGCGTCTTCAGCCGCTTGACCATGACGATATGGTACAGCTCGGCGCGGCTGTGCGCGAAGTGCGCGCACACGTGGTTCTTGACCTCGTTGCCCATGTCGCGCATGGTCTTGTTGAAGATGGACGTGACCAGCGGCACGCAGCCGCCGCAACCCGTGCCGGCCTTGGTGCACGTCTTGACGTCGCCGACCGACGTGCAGCCGCCCTCCTTGACAGCCTTCACCACGTCGCCCTTGGTCACGTTGTGGCAGCTGCAGATCTGCGTGTCGTCGTCCAGGTCGTCGCCGTCGTCGCCGCCCTCCTTCTTCGCGCCGAGGATGAGCTCCGACGGCGGAATGTCCAGCTCCTTCTGGTTCTTGACCATGGGCACCAGCTTGACGTAGTCCCTCGTGTCGCCGATCATCATGCCGCCGAGCAGGTACTTGCCGTCCGTGGTGAAGATGTACTTCTTGTACACGTTCTGGAACGGGTCTCGGTACGTCAGCGCCTTGACCAGCGACGGGGACAGCCGGTCCGTGTTGGCGCCATTCGATGTGCCGTTGGTCCCCTTGTCCCTGTTGGCTCCGTTTGCCGCCCTCTTGGCCTTCGCGGGCAGGTACTTGGGACCCTCCACATCGGCAAAGTAGTCCCCGAAGCTGGCCACCTCGACGCCGAGCAGCTTCAACTTGGTGCTGAGGTCCGGGCGCTTGTACAGCCGCGGCTGGTGCAGCTTCGCCTGCGTGAGGTTGAACGACAGCAGATCGGCCATCTCCACGCCCGGCGCGATCAGGCCGAAGGTCATGCCCTCCCAGTTCGCGCACTCGCCGATCGCGTAGATGTCCGGGTCGCTGGTTCGCAGGCAGTCGTCGACGATGATGCCGCCGCCGCGGTCCGCGCACTTGAGGCCCGCCTGCCGCGCCAGCTCGTCCCTGGGCCGCACGCCGATGGCGAAGCATATTGTCGAGCAGGAGAAGGAGTCCCCGTCATCGAAGGTAATGCCCGTCACGTTGTGCCGCTCGTCCACCTCGATCGTGCTCACGGCCTTCCTGAGCAGCACGTCAACACCGAGGGCCCGCACTTGGTCGACCACCATGGCGCCCGCGTCGGCATCCAGCTGGCGGCTCAGCACCCAGCCGTTGCGCTCGATGACCTTCACCTTCTCGTAGCACTCCAGGTCCATCAGCGCCTTGGCCGCCTCGAGACCCAGCAGGCCGCCGCCCACCACAGCGCCAACCGTCCCTTTCTGGGACGCCGAGAAGGCTATGAGCTTGTCGATGTCGTCGACGGTCCGGTACACGAAGACGCCGGTGGCATCGTGGTTGGGGAGGAACTTTGGGAGGATCGCGTCGGAGCCGGTGGCCAGGACGAGGATGTCGTACTCGATCTCTTTGCCGTCCGAGCAGCTGATTGCTTTCCTTGCTCGGTCGATCTTGGTGACTTTGGTGTTGACGTGGTAGCTCAGCGCTCCGTCGAGGATGCTGTCATACTAGGGGAGCAGTTAGACAGACTACCTAACTAGTAGGGTTCGACAACCATCGGACGACAAAGCGGGTGACCTACCCAATCTAGGGGGTTCAGGTACAGCTTCTCGACCTTCCGGTGCTCGAAGAAGGTTGTCAGCCCAACACGGTTGTACGCCACGTGTTTCTCCTCGCCGACGACGGTGATGTTGTATTCCCGCGCCCGGGCGTCCAGCTTCAACAGTTTCTCTCTGCATGTCAGCGTGCGGTTAGCCCAGTAGCCAGAAAAGTCTCGACTGCATTGTCTGACGCACATGAAGCTGATGCCGACCATGCCCAGGCCGACAACAACGATCCGTTTCCTTGCTCCCACCGCCATGTTGGGCGAGGCCAAGGGATTGGTGCGGCACAATCCAGCAGACAACAGTAGAGGGTATCAAGCAACACAGTAGTAGTAGTTAGGAAGGTTCGCAGTCAAACACGGCCTGCTGCAGCCCGACTCGCTCGGGGTCCTGCTTGGTATGAGATAAGATGAGATGAGAGGAGAATAGAGAGGAAGCATGGAAAGGGTAACATGGAACGCAAGGAACATAGTCTATTATGAGAGATATATCGTGAGACCTATGGAACCTGTTTTGCCATGCTGTCATGTCGCCAGTCATCGCTCGTGCGGGAACTGGAATCGATTCCACAGAGAAGGAGCGCACCGAGGAAGTCTGCATCTCCGGCCGGTTTCCCTGATAAATCCTCGCGCAATGCGAACCGTATGGCGAGACAACGGCGGAGAAGCCTCAGCCGAGCGCGGGATGCTGCCAGCCTTGCATTTCCACGGGCGTAGCATTCTGGCGTCCGGGGCGTGCAATTGAGCGCTTGTTGGGAAGATCTCAGAAAGATATGCCCCTGGGGGTGTACGGTGGATCGAGATAGGAAGTACCCGGCTGATAAGAGCGCTGGCCAATCAGGTGTCGCTAAATGGGCCCTGGCTTCCTCCTTGGGACGCCCGCGGAGATGGCTTGAGGTGCATGTCACCTTATCTGCACGACTTGGAGTGTCACTTACCTAGTACCTACTTGTTCGTTGTATCAGTTTGCCTCCCGGCTCTTCAACGCTCCTCGTCCGACCCGGTTGGTTTCAGGTACACGCCCGGCAGTCGGAACGCAGAGCGGAGCAGCACACCGCACACGGACACCGTCGTATGATACATCGTTTATAGTGTAAATCGGGCCCCATCAGCGGAGTCCTCTGCTGATGTCCATCCAACTACATACCTAGTAACCGCACACAACTCCGACAGATCTGGTCGACTGACACTTTGCCCGCCTCACAGTTGGTAATAAAGGCTCCCGGCCAAGGCAAATCCTTCCTCATCTGAATTTGGCCACGACGTTCAGGGACGAGATGCCTGCCTACACTTCCGTACACAGTACTACTATTAGTCCTGGGTTCGGATTGCCCCCATCCTCGGGATGAGCAGCCGAACCCAAGCTCCGGTTGGCCCGGCAGAATCTCGGCGTCTGCCGCCGTATGATGCCGATTGTTGGCCGTTAAACTCCTTTACCACCTACAGTGCAGTGCCATAACGCCGTAAATACGACTCAGCTAACCGTTGCACCGCATCTCCAGCTTGTATGTATACAAGGTAGTATGCCGTGGAAATGCTCGTCACAGCGTCAGGCCACGTTTTCCAATCCATTACGGCACAGGTTGCACCCGTTCCCGTTCGTTCTTGACCTGACAGTGGCATGCAACGCTCACCGGTTTATATGAAGTATGATGACGTTCTGCTTTCTTCCTCTGTGTAACTGAGGCTTTATTCCATTTTTCTGGCTCCGGACTACTGAGTTTTGAACGTGCCGTGCCCGTCTTGTGGCCATCTATGTTGATAGCGGCTCTGTGGAGAGACCATGAATAACAGCGCTTGCAGTCGAGTTCAGTACGAGTACTTGTTATTAATAAAGCTAATAGAATAGCAGAATGCATATGCCTGGGGAATGGGGATCCTGGTGGCATCTCAATGGTCCAGAAGGGATCATATCTCACATCCAGACGCTCCGCGCACGCATGATCATCCACGGCCCCGTGCAGACGAGCGTACCTCAAGTACAATACCTACTAGTACTTACAAACACCAGCCAGGGGGAAACACATACATACAAGCGGCCGCCACAATCCGGGCGTAGTTCATCACACCACGCCTCTCACAACATGGATAGGTATCCAAGCACTCAATAAGTAGATACCTAAGGCAGGGCAGGGTAGGGTATATACACTCCAAAAAGCGCGAAAGCCACCCCTCCATCCACCCCTTTTCCCCCGGCTTCCTTCATACTACTAGTACTAGTATGGTACAGAAGCAGCCGGCTCAAATCAAATATCACAAAACAATAACCCCCCTCGTCCTCTTCACACACAAACACTGCCCAGCCAATCCCTCCCTCTCCCACTCCTACTGCTGCCACCCTCCCTGTGAAGACCGGCCATTGTTGCCACACTCCACAATCCCACCCCTCCAAAATCACCACCAACAGCAACCGGATCCGGATCCAGCCCCTTCTGCATCGCCCTGCGCCGACAAGGGGGCTGCGCATCGTTCCCTTGCTGCTGCCAGGATGGAGCTATGGACGAGTGGTTGACTACCCTGGGTGTGGGCGTGGGCGTCCAGAGACCGGGACGGGATGATCCAGACACCGGCCTACTAGGCGACGCAGCCCAGAGGAGCGGCTTTCCCTTCCCTGAGGCTGTTGACTTCACGCTCCGGGAGGAAGAGGAAGAGGAAGACTCAGTCTTACTAACGTCACTAGTAGCAACCCCTGACCTCGACACTGAAGTCACAGCCACACCAACCCCGCCCCGGGAACCGGAACCGGAACCGGAAGCAGACGAAGGCGACAAAAAGGGGTTGTGGGCCAGGACAAGCGACTGCCGGATCTGCGCGCTCAGCCGCCGCTGCAGGTCCTCGACCGTCTCTGCACCCGCCGGCATCATCATCGTCGTCGTCGTCGTGGTCGTCATCATGGTCTTGTCGGGAGCAGTGGGCGTGGTGGTACTACTAGTGGTAGTGGTAGTGGTTGTGGCAGTGGTAGAGAGCGCGGTTGTGGTCCGGCGCCGGTACTCCTCCCTCGCGGCACGTTCCACAAACAGCCGCTCCTGCTCGAGGGCTTCGATCTGTGCTTGGATGGCATTGCTAGGATGATCGGACTGGGGGAGGATTGTCTTGTTGCTGCTGCTGGCGTGCGATGATGTCTCCTGTCCTTCTTCTCCTTCTTCTTCCAAAGCGCGGGACTCCTTGCGCAGGGAATCGTCAGCCTGCTGCGCGTGGCTAGGTCGCTCCTTGGCTGCGTATGCCGACATGGCAGGGTGCACTGCGACTGCATCGGTACTACTAGTAGTAGCAGCAATAGCCAGCGAGCCGAAGAAGACCGGGTGCCGCACGGCGGGGTCCAACGCCGGGGACGGGCGGGTCGAGAGCCGGATGGCTTCCTGCAGCGCAGATTCCCACTCGGCCGGGCCGCTAGCGGTGACCCGCCTGAGTGTCTTCTTACTGGCCGCGATCGCCTCGTGCAGAGCCGCCATCCAGTCTCCGCTGCTCGCTTGAGGTCGCTGGTAGCGGCGGCGTAGAGTACTAGTACTAGTAGGAGTAACTGTGTTATGTGCTCGGCGCGTAGTCTTCGGCGCGCCCAGTACTACTAGTATCCAGTTATACTCCCTCAGCCTGGGAGACGGCGCAGGCATCCAGAGCTGGGTCGACGCCAGCCTGGCCAGCGGCATTTGCTGAGCGGCGCGCGGTTTCCGGGCCACGTACTTAGCGGCCGGCTCCTCCGATGTGCCGCGGTAGCTGGGCCGGTTGCAGCCGGGCGTAAAGAGGCCGTTTCGTTCAAGGGGCTTGTCAGCTTGGCTCGGTGGATGCCACAGGTTAGCTGATGTTGAGACCGATGCTGATGCTGATGTCGACACCTGCTTTATCCAGTTCCGCTCGCTCTGCTTAGAAGTAAGCAGAGACGCCCAGAGCTCCGTCGACGTCAACCGAGCCAGGGGCTGTTGCTGAGCAGGGCGCGGTCTCCGGTCCATGTATTTCGCGGCCGGCTCCTCGGACGTGCCACGGTACCCGGATGGGCTGCACCCGGGGACGAATAAGCCGTTTCGCGCAACAGGCTTATCAGCTTGGCTAGCAGGTTGCCACAAGCCAGCTGAGACTGATACCAGGACCTGCTTTATCCAGTTCCGCTCGCTTTCGCCAGACCTGTTCACCGGCGTCCAGAGCTCCCTCGACGACAACCGATCCAGGCGGCTTTGCTGAGCAGGGCGCGGCCTACGAGGGATGTACTTAGCGGCGGGCTCCGCGGACGTACCGCGATAACCGGACCGGTTGGGCCCTGGAACAAACAAGCCCCCGCTTGTTGGGGAGGAGGGCTCATCCGCTCGCCAGGGTGGGAGCCACAGACCGGCTGATGGTTGTTTGCTCCTCGCCTCGACCCCGGAGCTGCGGTCTTGCATCGGCGACGGTTCCGCCTCGGCACGGGGAACTTGAGCGTCCAGCGAGGCTTTCGGATTCGCGGGCAACCCTACCACCCTAGCATCAGGCTTGGAGGGGGAGGGAGAGGGAGACTTCCTGGCTTCCAAAGCCTCGCCGAGCATCAGGAGGGTCGAGCTCTCGATGGTGGCCGAGTCGCGCTGCTGCTGCTGCTCGAGAAGCAGCTCCCGGGGCTCAGCCAGGCCGATGACGATCTGTTCCCGCGGCGACTCTCCGTTGTCGTCGTCGTCGTTCGAGCTGAGCTCCGAGTCGTCTTCGGCGTAGTCATCCAAGACGGAATCGCTCCGGAGCGAGGGCACGGAATCCGTCTTCAGCAGGCTGGCGATCTCCCAGAGGGTCGTCTCGTCGAACCCGTCGTCGTCCGATCCATCCTCCTCGTCGGAGTCCAAGATCGGATCGTCATCCTCCTCGTCATCATAGTCGTCAAAGAACGAGGACGAATACCCGGAAGCCGGCTCGGGCGGCTTAAAGGCGGCGGCGCCAAGGGACGGCCCGCCCGAGGTCATGGTGCCGGGCATGGCCATGAACATGGTGGGGCGGGCCTGGATGGACGCCGTGTCGGACTTCTCGCCCCAGGGGAACTGGAAGATGCCGAGCGTGCCCTGCCTATCCGGGAGCGGCTTGGGGCTCTCGAGGATGTCCGGCAGCAGCGTCACCCGCTTGTTGCGACGCGGGGGTCGCTGCGTGACCGGGCGTGGAGGCTTTGGCGATGGAGAGGTGGATGATGTCATCTTCGACGGCGTCCGCGTGATCGGCTCAGCGGGCGGCGCCGCCGAGGCCCAGAGCGGACGCCAGAGCCCCGAGGTCGAGCGGTTGGCGGCTTGGTACGGCTTACGCCAGAGGAGCGAGCTTTCGATCCGGAGAGGCGCCTCCTCCGTTCTCTTTGCCGGCCGGACTGAGAGCCCTGGGAGCGGGGCCTCGGTTTTGACACCGGTCTTCAAACCAGGAGCCCAAAGCAAACTCGTCGACGCGGCCGGCTCCGTTGATGCTGGCTTCCAGAGCGAAGGGCGCTTCGGCTGCGCCTGGCGGGACCATTCTGTCGCCACCTTGCTCGGGAGGCTTGGGACAGGCGGCACCTCCTCGTCGGACTGGTCGGACTGATCCGAGTCCGGAGGAGTAGGGCTGGCCAGCTGGGCCCGAGCAAGGTGCAGGAGATTGACGTTGCTGCTGCGGAGGTGCTGGACATCCATGTAGTCCATGTGCGCCTCGGTCAGCCGCTTTTGCCAGTTGCTGAGCTGGGGACTGGCCGACTTCCGCACCGAGACGTCCGGGATCCCGAGATTGCCGTTAGTACTACTACTGGGAATAATACTGCGTGAGGCTCTGCGTTCCGCCCCGATGCCAGGCCGCCGAGGCGACTCGCTGGCCACATGGCTGCCGGCGGCACTAATCAGCGACTCGCGCCGGGACGTGGTCTGCATGCTGGACAGAGAGTCGCGACCAATGTCGTGCTTGATCTCGCGCCAGTGCTCCGCCTGCTGGCCCATCTCGCGCTCCAGGTCTTCCAGCAGGGCAAGGCGCCGCGTCGCGCTCTGTGGAGAGGCCGACTGCTGCTCGAGCTCCTCGAACTTCCTCAGCTGCGCCCGGATCTGCCGGATCGCCTGCCCGGGCGACTCGAGCGGAGACGGCTCTACCTGGATGGCGATGGTGTGCTTGGCCGTGACAGCGTTCAGCGACAGCGGCGGCGGCGGCGACATCTTCCTGGACCGCGTCTTCCTCGTTCTGACCGAGAAGGTCGGGCATTCGTCGCCCACCCGCCGGTGCCAAGTCGACCGTTCGGGGGTCGCGGCGGCCTCGCATTCGGAGGGCGGCACAGTAGAGGTATCGAGGACGAATGGCACAGTAGCGCTACTGGTGCGGTTGTCGGTTGGCTGGGGCACGTGGAGTTGGGACGCCTGCGTATCCTTCCGCGCGGGCATCTGGATGGACGCCGGCAGGCCAGGCCTGTGTACCACCGGAACACTCACCGCGAGCTCGGGCGAAGGCATGGCGCTCCAGTTGGTCGCATCATCTTCGGATCTGTCATAGGTTGTCTCCGTCCAGGCGGACACACGCACGGGGACATCTGGAATGATTGGAGACGATGCGCGTTTCCCACTTGCTTGCCTTGCAGGTTGCCGCCGGATCTCATCCACGTCCAGGATGCTCTCGGTCCGCACAGACGTCTTGGTGGTGCGATCGGAGGGCTGGCGATGAGTTAATTCGCCGGGAGACGAGTCCACATCCAGATACGAAGCAGGGATGCGCGGCACTTCCGGGACGGACGATCTTCTCTTGATGGATTTCGCGCTCGGGGGGCTGGGGAAGAAGAACGTGAGCTTCTCCTCCAGCGTCATGCTCCTGGTGTCGTTGGGATGCGGCCGGACCGACACGGTCGCGCTTCTTGTTGGCAGCGGGGGCAGCGGTGGGAGCTGCGACGGGCTGCCCGGGGTCGACCTGAGGAGAGACCCCCTCCCGATCAGAGAGCCGCTGGATTTGGTTCGCCTGTGGACCAGAGATGGCCTCCGCGGGATGGGGCGTGGACGGTGGACGACCGAGTCGGACGTTCCAGGAGTCTCGGCGACGGGCGCAGGTTTCGTTGAGCCGTTGCCGGCGCCTTTAATGATGGCCTCAACCGCAGCCGGGTCGTTATATTCGATGTTGTTGACAAACAGGATGGTTCGGTGTTGCGACCCAGACTCCTCGGCTACTTGGACGCCCCGGGCCCTCGGGTTGGACGGGAGGCCGATGGTTGGCCGCCGCTGGAGAGGGGTCTTGGTCGGTTCGGGAGGCGGTGCCTTCGCGGACGGCGGCAGCATCCTTGAAGGTCGAATATCAGTCTTCAAGAGAGGCTGCTGCAGGGTCAACGGCCGGTTGGGCGGCGATTCGGACCGCGACCTCATGGATCCCGGGGCCTGCACCGGTGACACTGATCGTGGTTGAGCCGTTTCCTCTGGGAGTGATGGCCGCGGGGACCTCCGGCGGGTCTCCTCTCCGCCCGGAGACAATTGCGCGGACGTAGTAGACGCAACAGCAACATCGCCAGGCCGGAGTGCCCCCGGGAACACGCTCTCTCGCGTGGATACCGAAGAAACCTCCTTCCGCTTGAGACTGACAGCACGCTTCACGCCTTCCTCCGGTGACATGGACATCCACTGCCTAGTGGGACGGCCGGCAGCCTCTCTCTCATCGTGATGCATCCGGTTTCTCCTCTCCCTCTCCGCCACCGCAGCCTCGGCCAAGTCCACGACCGCAATCTTCCGCAGCGGGTGCTGAGGAGCATTCTCGTGGAGAATCGGATGGCTGATAGTTACCTTGCCCTTCCCGGAGGTGAACAGGCTCTTCTTCCGCGCAGGGGCGGCCGTGGAAAACGCGCTTATCGGCAGCGGCGGCATTGGTTCCCCTTTAAGCCCGTTTGGCAGCCCGCTCTCTATTCCCATCGCCCAGCCGATGCCAGTAGTCGGGTCCTTGGCTCTGGGTGCTTCCCTGGGGTTGACAAACGTGGTTGAGGACCGGAGGGCAGCTTCCTTGAGGTCCTCAAAGCGGGTCGGAGGGTAGTCAGTGTCGGAGGTTGAGATGTCGCGGCTGATGTTGATCCGTCTCGGCGAGGGTGCCTCTGGCGGCTGCGCTGTCACGACTCGAGACGTGAGTAATGTCCCAGCACCGCCTGCCACAGAGACTAGAAGCCATGTTAGTCCCTGGAGAGAAAGGGATGCATGGGCCATGCATGGGCCAACATACTAATCACCACTAACAAGCCACTGGCGGGAAGGGCGGTCCTGATGGCCAGAGCTAAGGCCCTGAAGCCAAGAAGAAGTGGCACGCTGGTCTATAGATCTGTTAGGACGGTCCCAGAATGAAGAGGATTACGACGCACCCCTGTCCAAAGCGCTAGACTCAGCAGGACGAACATGAGCGCCCTGGCTCTGTCCCCATTGGTGGCTTTGCCCCGGTGAGTGTCCGTCACAGCTCCGCCTGCCGAATATGCTCTAACAACGAGGAGCAGGATGATGGCGGCGTCCAATGCCGAGACCAGTATCCCTACAGGAAGCGCGGAGGTCCTGGCGACACAAAAGGTATCCGTCTGAGGCCGGGTGAACCCAACAAAGACAGCGCCCGCGACGAACCTGCCCAGAACCAAGATCTGGGCAATCAGCTGTAGAACGGAGACCTTGGCCCCGTTGCTGTTGTTGAGGACCCAGAGGAGAAACTGCTCGATCGAGAACCTGGCTAGCTGGTCGAATACGCTAGAGAAGATGACGCCGATCTGGCAGGGCATCGACGACGTCGTGACGTCGAGGAGGATCGTAATGAAATCGATTTGAGCCCACAGGGCCGCGCTGAGAAGGAAAAGAACGAGGACCAGCCTCTGGCTGTCCCGGCATGCCGCGGCGACGCCATAGCCCCGGAGGTAAAGAACGAGCGCAGCGGACGCCGCGTTCAACACGATTCCGCTAGGTAAGCCTGTTAGTCGAGCCAGATTCCCAGTATAGGATCTACTAGTACTCCTTGGGTTGATGTGGTGTTATGGTTGGGATGCTCACAAAAAGAAGGCCGCGACGAGGGCCTGGGTCGCACCCTCGACCGCCATTGTCGGCGTCGGCTACAAAAGAAATAAGGGGCGAAAAAAAGGGGATAGAAGAGAAGGGAAACCAGCCCAAGTGAATGGGACAATTAGTATAGGGGAAAATACAAATATTGTCAATACAAGGAGCGTATCATGGTGACAGGTTCCCGCACGTCAACGCCGTGATGTCGCGATCAAGCGGCCACACGCGGTTGTGTGGGAAAACAGTGAAGGAGTAGTGTAGAATCTTCATCGAGAGCGAGAGGGGTGGAGCAAGGGGCACGAGTCGACTGTGTCAGGACGACGATATGGGGGGATGGGGTTGTGAAGCCGCCCAGACTTGGAACGGACAGGCATCTTGCCGGTTCACCTTGGCCTTCACGACTCACGAGGCTCCGGTCAACCCAAGAATATAAGCGGGCGATCAGTCAGACTAGCCCCCCTGCTGCCGCCGTCAATGCGAACAGGTGGGAGAGCACCCGAGAGGAAGTCATTGGACGGCATGCAAGGCTGACAAGGCCGTCGCTTCTGGTGGTTGCATTCGCACCCCAGTTCGTGGTGTTTCACTTGAAACTTCAGGTGTTACATCAACCACGGACTGGTTGTTGAATCGGAATTTTGCCAGCGCGCAGCAGCCAATCTGAAGAGCGAAAACCACTCGTCATCTTTTGGTATAAAAAGACGCATCCTTCTCACTTCCCCAATTGGCAACAACTGGAACTTAGCTGCTGCGAACCTGGTGACGGGTGAGTCGTGACTCTGTCGGGAGCCGGAGACGCGCCAGAGGTCCCACACGAGATGGTGAGTGCATGTACAAGTACGTCCGGCGCGGAATCAGATAGTAGGCAACCGAGTCCAACGTAAGTCCAGCAAGATGTGCTGATTATTTGCTCATCAATCTTTTCTGTCGGTGCTTCCAGGCGACTCTGTGGTACCATATTTCTGTCAAGGTGACAGTCGGTTATCATTATGGAGCTCAGGGGTTTCGGGAATGGGAAAAATGGGTGGAGTCAGCCTGGGCTGCTGGCGATGCCGCGCCGCACAGGCTGCAGCGCCTGAGAGGTCAGGGTTAGGGTACACTTACACACAGGCCGCCTTGCACCCATAACTTCTACTCAGCTTTATGATGCTGCACTTGGCACAAATCAAGCACATACGACCATACCTGGTAGAAAATACGGGATCCCGTCCGCTCTCCCTTAGTCAAGCTGCCAAGGGCCGAATCAGTACTCAGGTCGGTGACGACTGGGGAATCCTCGGTGTTGTATGTTTTTGATGATCTTTGCTCCACCGCGAACTTTTAGCGGAGCCTTTGTCCTGCGGCGATATGACCACCTGCAGACTGTCCGGCGAAGCTCTACATGTAGTGTATGTCAGGCATAAGTTTTGCTATGGCTATGCTATGCTTCGAAGCCCTCTGGCATGGCCTCAACCACCATACCGACCTTATTACTAGTAGGCAACATGATGAGCATGACCTCGCTACTATGTCATGAAAGAAACAGAACGGGACGTCGATTATAAACTGGGGAGTTAGGGTACGGGAAAACTTAAGAGACTGAAAGCCGGAAATAATGGGAATGTAGGTAATCTAATACGGTACTCTCAGTCAGGCTTTGGCCCTGAGTGTTCAATTTCTTGAGACACATTACCATTTGTGGCGAACGATCCCTAGCACTAGGAGCAGCGGAGAGCACCTAAAGCAGAAGATCCGACCGGCAGAAGGCGAACATCCCTACAACCATCGACGATGAATCTGTCGTTAATCTTCATCAAGTCTGGGGAAAGTCTACAAGGTGATTCGATCACACATGGATGTACTACATAGTACTGTGTTACGCGAGACGAGTGACAGGTTGAAGCCATGGATGGATATTGATCGGCTGTTGAGAATTTGCAGGACGTCGCGCCCAATGAGAGGTTGGCTGATGAACGGAAGAGGAAGGTGAGAGAGGTGCCACTGTTAACTTGCGCTCTACACGGTACACATCTACCTTACACAGTCAGGTATTGTATATGATATGATTCGCTGACGGATAGGGGTAGCCGTTAGCTATTATTCTTCAATCTAGATCTATTCATAGAACTCGAAGCAAAGCCGTGAACGAAACATCAGAAGGCTGCGGAGCGCTAGCACCGAAGCTGCCCGTGCTATTGGTTGCATCGTTGGCTTCCAGTAGGCCTGAGACTTCCCTGACTCAACTCGGGTCATTGGAAGCGCGCCAGGAGAAAACTGAAAAAGAAGTAAGCTAGAACGCGTCGTTGCGTGTGACTAATGAGAGGACGGATGAAGATTTATCCGCACCGCAATAGTTCTTGAGGCCATCTCTATGTTTTCGTTAGGTCATCCATAACAGTAGGTAGGTACAGTACGTAGTACTGTTATGGAGGGGAAGCAGCCCTCTGTGGTTGCGAGCCATGTTTCCGTTGCATTAGTCTGTGCAGCACATATGGACCCAGACATGATATGATCCCCTCCATTTCCAATCCAAGGTCCTTGAACGCCAGCTTGGTACAGTCACCGTTTCGGCCAGTTCTCCGACAAGTTTCCCAACATCCACCAGCAGTTCTCCATGGTAGTCGGATACGGTCGAGTTAGAGACAACCAACTTGGCCGGCAGCCAAGACCCGTCCGGCCCGTGGAACCAAGTGATCTTCTCAAGGGCGCACCGAGTCAAATTGCGGGTAGCTTCGGCAGGCCGTGCGGGGCATCCCGGTTCTCTCCCGGTAATACATACAACCATCGGCGACCGGGGCCACTTCTGCTTGCTCTAATCGTGACTCAGAGTGCTCGTTCGAAGTCTGGTCCCTCAATAAAAAAGCCGGCTGGTTCCCTGAACTGGACGTCGCTGCTCTACTTCCAAGCGGGCCCCTAAACCACCCCCAAGCAACAAACAGCCTTCCAAGATGCCTCTCCGCGAACTCCAATACCCGACCGAACCTTACAACAAGGTCAACCGGCTCAAAGACCGGGGTGAGCTTCTTCACCCGACGCCACACTGAGAGCCCATGTCTGATCCTTCCTTTACAGCGGACTACAGCCTAGAGACGATCCATCAGATCGTCAACTCGTGCCCCATGCTGCACGTCTCCTTCCAGCCGCCCGACAGCCCCTTCCCCGCCGTGCTGCCCATGATCGGCCAGATGGGCTCGTTCTCGCGGCCCAGCGCGGACGTGGGCGATGTGTTGGACCTGTACCTCCACGGCTACGTCTCGTCGCGCATGATGAACATGGCCCGCAACAACCCTGATGCATCCCAGCAGCAGCAGCAACAACAAGCACAAGCACAAGAAGGACGCGGCCTCCCCATCACCATCTGCGCCTCGCACCTGGACGGCCTCGTCCTGGCCCTGACGCCCAACAGCCACAGCTACAACTACCGCAGCGCGGTGCTCTTCGGGCACGCGATGCCCGTGACCGACGCGGCCGAGAAGCTGTACGCCATGGAGCTGATCACCAACGGCGTGGCGCCGCAGCGGTGGCAGAACACGCGCGTGCCGCCCAACGCGGCCGAGATGCAGAGCACCAGCGTGCTGCGCGTCCGGATCGCCAGCGGCAGCGCCAAGATCCGGAGCGGCGGGCCGCACGACGAGCGGGGTGACATGGAGGATGGCGCCTTGCTGGACCGGGTGTGGACCGGCGTGGTGCCGGTGTATAGTGTCATGGGCGAGCCCGTTGCCGGCGAGTATAATAGGGTTGGGCAGGTGCCCGCGTATTTGGAGGGTTGGAGGCGGGAGGCGAATAAGGACGCCGAGGAGCATGCGAGGGAGGCGGCTGGCGGGGGATCTGCTGCGAAGAGTTGAGGTGGCGGTATGAGGGCGTGGGAGAGCGCGTCGGATTCTTTTTGTGCTGCTCGGGATATGGTCAGTTGGAAGTCAGTAGACTTGGAGATTTGGACTCCTGAAATGCTACGCATTCGAAATAGATGCCTGGCAATGGTCAACTTCTCGTCACCAAAGTCAGTTCGCGGTGCTTGGCAGAGTCGAAGGAGCCCTCATTCGTACTCCGTGAGCGCTGCTTCCTGTATCATAGGTTGGTGACCCCTGGTTTCAATCAACTGAGACTTGGATACCGCCGGGAGCCATGCAAAATAATATCAATGTACTGTACCTATCGAGCGGGATCTTCAACTCGAACAAGAATATCACCAAGCTTCCCAGACAACTTCCGGCAACACAGTCCTCATCACAGCCCAGTGCCCCAACGCGCTCATCTCATGCCACTTGACCAACCGCCCCGTCTCGTTCCTCCTCAGAATCCCCTCCCCTTCTTTCCCCTCGACAAAGTCCGCCTCCCTCACCTCGTGCTGCGGCAGCAAGAAATGCTGCCGCGACGGGCTGTTCAACAAATCCCTCTCGTTCGGAGCGCGGAACGAGATCTGCTGGCGCTGCTGTTTGGTGCAGAAGATGACCATGTTGGTGAAGTCCCGGCCGGTCTTAGCAAAGTCGTCTTCGTCGCGCGGGTGCTCGCGGAAGATGCGGCAGGTCGGGAAGACGGTCCTGATCGTGTTGACGACGATGCGAGGTGGCGGGAGGGCGAAGTCGCCTGCGTAGTTCTATCGTGTGTTTTGGTTTAGCAGGAATGGAAGGGGTTGATAAGGGGGATCCAGGAAGGAAAGACGCACAATGGCAACCACGCCGTCTGGCTTGAGCAGGGAGTTCAGGTTCTGCAGGAACTCGAGTGTAAAGAGAGCGATGGGCTCGGCGCCTCCCGTGAAGACGTCGTGGATGATGTAGTCGAAACGAACTGCGCTCTCGTCCGCGGCGAGGCGAGAGGTGTAGCTCACCGCATCTTCGATAACGGCGGTATGGTTGCTGGGGAGCTGGAAGTACTTGAAGGCAAACTTGTGCACCACCGGGTCGAGTTCCACCACCGTGGTGTCGATGCCGTGGGCTACCAGAGCCGCTGGCGTTGTCCCGATGCCGAGTCCTCTAGGGGATATATGTCAGACCTGCCAAGGAACGGTGCAGACAAGAAACTCACATCACGAGGGCCTTTGCCTCGTTGTCGAGGATGGGGCTTGGTGTCTCCACCAGCCGGACGGCCTCGAGCATGGCAAATACACCGTAGATAGGCTCGGCCACCTGATTCCCCTTGAATTGTGGCAGCCCCAGGAACTTAACCCACTCGCCGCCCAGCAGACTGTGGTCACATCTCATGACGCGGTATCCATGCTTAGGGCTGTCAATCACCGAGACGTACCCTGTGATAGACTCGGCCCTATCCAACACAACATACCCAGCCGGCTCAATGCCGCTGTTCAGCCTCGAAAGCGCCATTGGCGTTGGGACATGTGTATTCAGGAGCGCCGTGTGCAGTAGTGCCGGCACCGTCCACGCCAGCAACTTAGACGGCGCATACAACGCATACGACGCCCCAAGCAGCATCTCCATGCCCAGCCTGGTGTTCAGGAGCGTCCGCCCAACATTCCGCTCCACCAGCCCTCCCATCACCTTCTCCGCCGCCCTAAAGAACCCGTACGACCCCAAACCCGGCACAGCATCCGCCAACCACCCGGGCAGCGCCGACAGATCCGCCAGGTCCAGATACGTAGCGACGCACGCCGCCGACAGCGCCACAAGCGGAAACAGCGTCACGGCTTCGGTCACCAGCGGGCCCCAGGTGGCCGTCAGCAGCCCGCTGACGCTGCCCAAGAGGAACTGCACCGCGGGCACGCACAGCGCGATCACGGGCAGCAGGTGCTCGGTCCTACACGGCAGCGCCCGATTCAGGAACAGGTTGGACGACCAGCCCGCAAAGCAGGCCGCCATGAGCAGCTTCACGTGCCATCGCGCGGACGGGATGGAGCCGTAGACGGGCGAGAGGGCGAGCTGGGAGACGGTGGAGTAGACGGCGCTGAGGGTGAGCAAGGCGGCGGATTTGAGGTAGACGCTGGCTTGCTCGCGCACCCATTTGCCCCGGGTTTCGGTCTTGGCTTTCGCCGCGAGCGCTTGCAGCTCGCGCTCGAAGGCCTCGGGCGTGAGGGAGCTGGAGGGGTCGATCTGCGGGACAGACGTGGAGGACTTGGGGAGGGAGTTTTTGTTTCTTTTGTTGTTCGTGGAACTGGAGGGGGAGGACTTAGGAGCCATTGTGGCTGGGGAGAGGACTCGAGAAGAGACCGAATGGTATCATTTGGAGTTGAGCTTGAGCATGTCAAGACTCTCAAAAGTTCAAGACCTCCCGTCAACGTTGACAATGGCAATGTGGTCTCACTTCACGCAATTGGTTGGTTTGAGGATGCGACACAGGAGCTTGGGGTCCGAACCATATCAGGGGCTACGGCGGAGCCGCGGAGCTACCCCTGTCGGTGACGTTGAGTGGGCCAGCCGGCAAGCGACGGCTTGGCGGCCGGGGTTTCCATTCAGCCAGGTGTTCCACAAACCTGGATTCTGAGCTCTGCCCAGCTTCTGTCGTCTATCAGTTTGTGCAACACCACAGCGTCTTTCTCTAGATCCGTTCCTTGTGGCCAGTACTCCTGTTGGTCGCTTCTATTGCCATGTCTCTTCCAGTGCAGCTGACCGAGCTGGTCGATTTCAACCAGCGGAGCTTGTTTGGTATGACTGCAAAAGCAAAGAGGCCAGGTTGCCAAGTCGGAACGTGCTGACCGCGACCACCAGTTTCGGCCGCTGCCATCGCCTTCAACCCGACCTTCTGGAAGTATGTTTCGCCCTTTTGCACCGCTCTGGGACACGAATTGCTAACGCTCACTTGTCCAGCATCGTCGCCCGCCGAGGTTCGCGCGCGCAGTCGATATCCTCCTTCCGTGCCCACGGCTAACACTCACCGACAGAATACCGCACCAAGTTCCTTACCCGACTCTTTGGCGGAAACTCCCAGGCAGCATGCTATGCCCTGGCGGCAACCATTTTCTTGCTCGGCCTCGTCCGTGATTTTCTCTACGAGCGCGCCCTCCGCGACCAACCGTCACACCCGGCTCTCGATGAACCCCTCGTGAAATATGCCGCCTATGCGCTGCTAGCTGTCGGCAACATCTTCGTCATCTCCTCCACATGGCAATTGGGTATTACGGGTACATTCCTGGGCGACTACTTCGGCATCCTCATGGACGACATCGTGACGGGCTTCCCCTTCAACATCACCAACGCTCCGATGTATTATGGCTCCACCATGAGCTTCCTCGGCAGCGCGCTGCTGTACGGAAAGCCCGCTGGCATATTACTTACGTTGCACGTGTTGGTGGTCTACCTGGTCGCCATCCAGTTTGAGAACCCGTTCACCGCGGCTATTTATGCCAAGCGTGACCGGGAAAGAACCAAGCCTGCTGGGGAGAAGTTCGAGAGCAAGAAGGAGCTCTAAGTTCGGGAGTGCTGTGGAATAGCTCCAAGGCCCTAAACGGAAAAAGCGCTGAGCCCCGCTGGACGTCTTGCCATGCATATCTCGCGCGGTAGGCCGATCGCTCACACTCACCGCGGCCTTACAAGCCATCGTCCGCACGCCGTTGGCCAGGCGGTGCAGCCCGGCGAGCGAGATCTAAGCATGCGGCTTCACATTTCGCAGCGTCGGTTGCCCAGAGTCCTCCCCTCAACGATGGTGGCTGTGGTGCGAGAAGCACCCGGTAGAGGATTGGCCACAGCGAGGGTCGAGGTAGCTCCGTCCAATGTCGTTGGTCATCAACTGGCCCAACAAGCCAAACAAAACAGACAGATGCACAATTGAGAGTTGGAATAGAAATAACCTTGGAAACCGTTGATTCCATTTGAAGCTCTATCTTTCTCATCGATCCAGCAAACACCGTTGATGATGGTAGACACTGTTGCGCACGCTGGCTTCCCTCGGTGCCTTGGTGGGTCCCGCGGAGATGTCTCGGCAATCTCCGCCGCCTTTCGCCCCCCTGCGATGCCACCAAGCTCCACGTCACATGCTCCAATTTCGAAGTTTGGAACTCGTGTGAGAATGACGGCATCACCATGGACGCTGCCAGCGGCCTTATCACAGTGTGTTGGGAAGGTGCCTAGGTGCCTACCGCTCATCGCGAAAACTGCGACCGAATTGAATCACTTCAAGACAGGATGAGTTGCGGGCCGTGCCTACCTCGCAAGTCACGGTTTGGTGGGTGTCTACTTGAGGGGACTATGTCGACAGCTCGGAAGGAGAAGTGAACAACTGGAACCATTCCATCCCAGTCACAGTGGGCTCACGTTCTGGCCGAAACCGGAAACCACAACGACCGCGTAGGTGCCCAGTCAGTACACGGTGCACGCCTTCTCTGTTGTGCTACAGCAGTTGCACCTTGATAAGCAAGCTGCCGCCTCGTTCTTGTCAAGTCTCTTGCCATCGTGTCGATTGTCGAGTCTTGCATCCCTTCGTCAAGGGCTCCCAATAACGGGCTCTTGCTTTCCCCTTCCCTTCCTTTGTCGTTCCCCTCCCGTGGCCGGCTCCAGGAGAGGAAAGCACGGGTCAAGTACAGTACCCGCAGCCAGACATCGTTCGCCAACTGACGTGAATGTCCAGGATGAACCGCCATTCCGGAACCGACGAGCGGCGGGCCGGCGACGGCTGTAACCAGAGTCCTCCGCAGTTCTCAGACCACTTGACGACAAATCAGGACCTCGATGGCATCTCTAACACCAGAGCCATGCTTAGAGAGGAACACCCTGCAATGACAGATTCAGGGGAGGCCGATCCCCCGGGCCCCGTCTCGCTGGATGGTTCGAGCAAGACAGGGGCTGCGGCAGTCGCCGAGCCACGCGCACCTGCCGCTACCATTATTTCGGCAACCGAGGCCCGGCAGGTTGGGACTTTCGATCCGGATCCGGGTGAACAGGACGAGCATTCGGTTGTCGCGGCGGGAGGGCCCAACGGTGACGAGACATCGCCATCTGCATCCTGGCTAGGCCGAGCCAAACATGCCATCTTGACCTTTGCCAAGTTCATTGGACCCGGGTTCATGGTGGCTGTTGCGTACAGTATGTTGTCCATCCAGAGTCCGTCCAAACACTCGAGTACAATCACCACTGACACACCTCATTGCCAGTTGACCCGGGGAATTATGCCACTGATGTAGCAGCGGGGGCTTCCTACCAGTTCCGCTTGCTCTTCATCGTCTTGCTCAGCAATATCTTTGCTATCTTCCTCCAGAGCCTGTCCATCAAGTTAGGCACCGTTAGCGGGCTCAACCTTGCAGAGGCCTGCCGGGCCTTCTTGCCTCCCTGGCTGAACTATGCGCTGTACTTCATGGCCGAGGCGGCCATTATCGCGACGGACATTGCTGAGGTATGACGTTCTTCGTATGGATGTCTGTTGACGGCAAAACGGCCGGCTAACCCTGTGCAGGTGATCGGAACGGCGATTGCGCTGAATCTCCTGATACCACAGATCCCGCTCGTGGCGGGTTGTGCGCTCTCCATTCTGGAAGTGATGCTCATTCTTGTGTTCTACCGCCCGAGCGGACCGATGCGAGGGCTACGACTGTTCGAGTACTTCGTCATGGTCCTCGTCTTGGCCGTCGTGGTCTGCTTCTGCATCCAGCTCTCCCTCATCCAAAACACGACCCCACGGGAAGTCTTCCGCGGCTACCTCCCCTCTAGCGTCTTAGTCGAGCGAACCGCGCTGTACCAGGCCTGCGGCATCCTCGGCGCGACGGTCATGCCGCACAGCCTCTACCTTGGCTCCGGCATCGTCCAAGCCCGCCTGTACGAGTACGACCGCAAAGCCGGTCTCCTCCCCCCGACGCCCGTGGAGTCCCCGGCCCCTTCGGTCCTCAACAACAGCGACGGCGACGGCCCGAGAAAGGAGTACATCCCCTCGCTCGCCGCCGTGCAGCACTCGCTCAAGTACTCGGTCGCCGAACTGGCCGTCTCCCTGTTCAGCTTTGCGCTGTTCGTCAACAGCGCCATCCTGATCGTCGCCGGCGCGAGCATCTACTCCACGCCCGGTGCCGACCTCGAGGCCGACCTCTTCGGCATCCACGACCTGCTGTCCGCGTCCATCGCGCCCGCGGCGGGGACCGTCTTCGCGCTCGCGCTGCTGTTCTCGGGCGTCAGCGCGGGGATCGTTTGCACCATCGCCGGGCAGATGGTCAGCGAGGGCGCGCTCAACTGGTCGCTACGCCCCTGGCTGCGCCGGCTTGTCACGCGGTCCATCAGCATCACGCCGAGCATCATCATCGCGGGCGCCGTCGGCAGGGAGGGGCTGAACGCCGCGCTCAACGGCAGCCAGGTGGCGCTGAGCGTGGCGCTGCCGTTCGTCTCGGCGCCCCTGATCTACTTCACCTCGGTGGATCGCTACATGATGGTGCGGCCGGGCCTGGCGAGGTATGGGGGGCGCTACGGGAGCGTGTCCGGGGAGTCCGGGCGGGGCGGCGCCGCAGAGGATGTTGCTACGGTGCGGGGTGCTGGGAGTGGTAGTAGTGGTGGTGGTAGTAGCAGTAGTAGAAATGGTTTGTGGGGCAGGATCAAGGCTTGGCCGGCTTTGCATCGTCCCTGTCAGCGTTCTGCTTCGGATCGAGACCGAGGCGCCGTCCGGATGGCGAACAACTGGCTTGTGGCGTCGTTTGGGGTGGTGGTCTGGCTCATCATCGCAGTCATGAACGTCGCCAACTTAGTGTTGCTCGGTAAAGGAGCTTAGGTAGGTGATTTATTCACAGTGATACACACACAGCAACCATTTCTGCCATAGAACCTTTGGATAACACTGCTGGCTTGTCTTACAACTGAGGTAGCTCTTTATGTGGCTCGTTCTCACCAACGTGAGATCTCCAGTTGATATAACCCCAAAACAGCAGGTGCGTTTTTCCAGGTGTGTTCCGCCCAGTTGGCTGCGTATGAACATCCTGATGCAACAGGCCGTTCCTCACTGGCATTTTTTCGCTGCCGCGTTGGTCCTGACTTTCGAGTCCAACGATACCGGCCGGTGCCCCTTCCTTGGGTCTCATGGATGGTCAAGAGTAGATCATATCACCCCCCATCCTTCCGGCAACTGGAACTGGTCCCGACCAAGGCCAGCCCTTCCCCCAATCCAAGTCAGTCAGCCTACCTACTTGGCAGGAGCTCAGCCTTGCCTCGACGCGGGAGGTGCGTTCGCTTCATGAAACAATGTGGCTTTCCTGGATTCCTGCTCAACCGTGGCCGTGACTTTGAAGCTGTTACTTCCCTTTTCTCAGACCATGCAAACAGAGAGGTATCACGGCAAGCGTGAATCCTCGCCTTCTGTTGTCGGCCAGTTGCGTGAGGGAAGGCCGGCACATTGTGCAGCGCCCGGCGGGATGGCGCCACGTGGCTTGTGCTGCTTACGTAGCTGCGTTTGACTCTTGGGGTATGTATGCTCGTGTGTATTGTATGTACATACAACCGACAACATATGGTGTGGAGTCTGTGGACGTGCAGAGTTCAAAACTGAAGGCTATACAGTACTGTACCTCTGGGTTACCCGCGAACGGGCGCAAGCGGAGGTGGCAATCGTGGATTATCTGTAGCGAATAGAAACGGAAAGAAAGAAGCTGGTGTGAAGCACTCAAGCAAGAGGGAGGAAGCAAGATGAATCTAGAATGTGCCTACTGCCTAGCGTGAGGCCCGCCACTGTCACCAGCATTGAGAAGCTCTTGCTGGCTCATGAGTTGCTTTGTCACCTCTTCACCTGTGCTCTCCTCCGCGTGTGTATCGCACCCACTGGGCGTGTTGGCAAGTATGCATTGAGGCCAACTGCAGGAAGGAAAACTTGTGATGCCCAAATGTCTCTTGTCATCGGGCTGAGGTTGCACACCCTGTCTGCCTGGCGCCCATTCAGTTATTTTCCAAGTCCAACTTTCTTTTACAAGACACTGGTGTGCCCTTTCCCCTTTGTTGTGGGTGTGCGTTTACCCTTGCATCATGCTTCATGAGTTCCTTCCAGGTTGCTTTTTCTCACGATCTCATCTTTCCAAAGGTACGTAAGTGAGCGTGGTCCCTACCCTAGCTGCCGGGCCACCATTGTGAAGATTCCGCTTCCTCTTTCCCTAAAACGGAAAATAGCTGACCCTTGCTTGCCGCTCTCACCAGCGGGACCCCCAAACTGTCCAGAGTTCAGACAAACGAGGAAGGCAAGCCTCATTCACCAGCAAGCACACAACCTCATCCTTGCTCCCAGCTCTCCTGTGACTCTTTCCCTGAACGTGTGATCGCTCCTGTCACTCACGCTTGGTGTTGACTTACTTGAGATCATTGACGTCAGCTTTGTCCTGCCCGGGGATCACCCTCCTTAAAGTTGCTCGGCTCGCCTCTCTGCATTGGTCGCAAGACTTCTTCGCACATCATCAACCATTGGCATCATTTTTTCAGTCGCTCCCGATGTGCTCAATTCGCTTATCACAGTTGTGGACGCGAACGTCTCTTTAGTTCAACAGCTGCATCGACACCAACGAGCAGCTTTCTGAGGCGTCTTTGCCGGCTCGTTGTCAGCAGTTCATACGTTGCTGTGTTGCAAAGCTCGCTGGTCTAGCAAGCAACAACTGGATATATTTTTGTGGCATTCATTCAACTCTCCTTCTCTTTTTTCTGCCCCCCTCCTGGCAAGCACTTTGTCACACACATCCCGCACTTGTTTTCATCGTCGTTGACTATGTCTGGCTACCGCGGCCGTGGTGGTGGTGGTGGTGGTGGTGGTGATGGTGGTGGTGGTGGCGGCGGTGACCGTTACCGTGGCGGCGGCTTTCAGGGCGTACGAGGGGACCGCGGTAACTTTAGGGGACGTGGCCGAGGCGGTGGTCGTGGTGACGGCGGTTATCGAGGAGACCGCGGCGGTCGTGGTGGCGGCGGTTATCGAGGAGACCGCGGCGGTCGTGGTGGAGGCGGAGGCCGGGGCGGGTTTGGCCAAGATGGTCCTGCTGTTTACAAGTGAGTGAGCTACAAGACCCGTGCCACCGCGTATTGATGTTGACGACTTGCTATGTAGCGGCTTGGCTGGGACACCTCCCAAACCTGATGACAGCATCACCACGCTTGAGGATGCCTTGATCAAGAAGCACGGAGACAACTTCAAAGACCCAGAACTCCCTTTTCGGCCCCGATTCGGCACGGTTGGCGTTCCGGTCATTCTTTGGGCCAACTACTTCAAGCTCACTACCAAGGCCGACTTCTTGTGGAAGTACGACGTCAGAGTCACTAGCAAGAAAGTGACAAAGGCCGAAGATGACAAGCAAACGCAGGAGCAAGCTCAACAGCCGGCACAAAAGCAGGGCGACAAGGAAGATAACAAGGAGCCAAAGGGCAAAAAGTTGGCCAACCTCATCCAACTCGCCCTCGGGAAGTTGAAGGGTAATCCCGTCGTGGCAACGGAATACAAGCAGCAGGTGGTGTCCCTCCAGGCACTTCAGCTTCCAGAAGACCGCATCGTGAAAGTCGACTACGAGGAGCCCAACCGCAAGACTGAGATCTGGTATGTCCGCTTTGACGGACCGATCACCATGCGCGTTGGGGATCTCATGAAGTACCTGACAACCATGGACGATCCTGGCAGAGACACCACGTTTCCCAAGTTCCCCGACGAGCTGGATGCTCTCACCGTGGTGCTTGGCCACACTGCGAGATCGGACGCGAAGGCCACTGCTGTCGGCCGGAATCGGTTCTTTGCCATCGACCCTGCTCGGAGAGAGACGGCGCACTCGAGAGCCGAAAGGAGTCTTGTGGAGATCCTCCGTGGCTACGTCCAGAGTGTCCGTCCGGCGACTGGTCGACTGCTGCTCAACACCAACGTCACAGCTGGTGTGTTCCGCAAGGAAATCCCCCTCGCGGATCTGTTCAAGGACTGGCAAGTCCAAGGGATCGACAATGCAGACGCCGAGAGAGACAAGCGGACATCTCTCTTGACGCTGCACAAGTTTCTGGCCCGATCGCGGATACGTTGCAAAACGCCCACCGGCAAGAAGCCTAACGACTTTAACGAGGCGGAGCGGGCGATTGCGGGTTTAGCTACCAGTGAGGATGCGAACAGGTCGGATCACAGACCGCAGTTCACGTGCGCTAAAGCCTTGTTCGGCACCCCGACAACGGTCAAATTCTACCTCAGCGCTCCCAAGACACCGGACACGGGAGGTCCTACGAACCTCAAGCATGACGCCTATGTCTCGGTCTCGCAGTATTTCTTGAGCAGTAAGTGCTTCTCATCCCGCGGCTTCGCCAATCATCGGAGGTGTGATTAACGTATACATAGAGTACAATTACCGTGTTAAACCCGATCTTCCGCTCATCAACATGGGGACGAAGGACAAGCCCACGTACGTTCCGGCCGAGCTTTGCACGTTGCTCCCTGGACAGTCTGTGAAGGCGAAACTGTTGCCGGTGGAGCAGGATGCAATGATCCGGTTCGCCTGCCGGAAGCCGTCTGAGAATGCAGTGTCGATTACGACGTCGGGCAGGGAGCTGCTCGCCTTGAACAACAACCGATTGCTCGTGAGTGGTCTTCGGTTTTCCATACATGTGGCAGTGGAACATGTGTGCTGACGATCTGCAGGATTCTTTTGGCATTTCGGTCGATAAGGAACTCATCACAGTCAGTGGCCGGCAGCTGCCCCCTCCCCAGGTGCAATATCGCGGCGCGGATCGAAGCAGCCGGGTTATTCCCAGGGACGGTTCCTGGAATATGACGAGGCAGAAAGTCTGCATCGTCGGAAAGCCGGTGCGGACTTGGACGTACTTGATCATCGAACAGGGTAGGGAAAGTCGCAGGGAGTACAAGGATCAGGTCGTGAGAGAAGTCAAGAAATTTGTGCAGTTCATGAACAAAAACATGGGGCTCACCATCAGCGGGGAAGCGAGGCCATCAGGTGGCTTCCACTGCCTCTACAACGATCACGCTCGCGGCGAGAAGGACTTACGCCAGGTGTTCGAGAAGATGTGCGTGCCGGGTTCTCGTCCAGACCTTGTTGTGGTCGTTGTTCCAAGGAAGGAAGCATTGCCGTACAATGTGGTGAAGAAGCTTGGAGATGTCGACTTCGGCCTCACAACTATTTGCATGCGCTCGGAAATGATCATGAAGGCCCAAGGACAGGAAGGATACTTTGCCAATGTCGGCCTCAAGCTCAACTTGAAGCTTGGCGGCGTCAATCACCGGGTCCAAGATCCGACCGGCGGCCTGATCCAAAAGACGATGTTCGTGGGTTACGACGTTACCCACCCCACGAATCTCGCGCCTGGGACCGGAACCAACGCGCCCAGCCTGGTGGGCATGGTGGCGAACATTGACTCCTCCCTTTCTCAGTGGCCGGGCGTGGCCTGGGAGAACGACCCCAGAGTGGAACAGGTAGGCAAGGTCGACAAAGACAGCAAGAACAAGGACAAGGCCGAGGAATTCAAGAACCACTTCAAAGGCCGTATCGCGCTATGGCAGAGGAACAACAACCAGGCTCTGCCCGCTAACATTGTCATCTTCCGCGATGGCGTCTCTGAGGGACAGTTCCGGATGGTGCTTGATGAAGAGCTGCCGCTCATCCGCCAGGCATGCCGAGATCTCTACAAGTCGGGGCCCAGGATCTCTCTCATTGTCTCCGTGAAGCGGCACCAGACCCGGTTCTTTCCCACGAAGGAAGAACATACTCACTTTAGATCCAGGTCGCCAAAGGAGGGCACCGTCGTCGACCGCGGGGTCACAAACGTGCGCTACTGGGACTTCTTCCTGCAAGCACACGCGTCTCTCCAGGGTAAGTTCACCTCCGCTCAAACTCCCCTAGCACTCCACTGCTGCAGTGCGGCTAACGCAGACTCCACAAAATCACAGGCACGGCTCGGCCTGCGCACTACACGGTGCTCCTTGATGAAGTCTTCCGGGAGGCATTCGGCGCCAAGGCGGCCGACAAGCTCGAGGAATTGACACACGCCATGTGCTACGCCTATGGCCGTGCGACCAAGGCTATCAGCATCTGTCCGCCAGCGTACTATGCGGACCTTGTTTGCACGCGGGCTCGCATTCACAAGAGCGAACTCTTTGAGGAAGATCAGTCAGCCGCGGCCAGAGACGCCGTCAAGAGGCGAACGGTGCACGCAAACCTGGTCAACACCATGTATTACGTCTAATGGAGAGGAAGAATGGACCCTCACTCGGGGGAGCAGCGTTTGTCGCTTGGGTGATGGCCTCTGCACGTCGGGTAATGCCCAGGCTGCGGACGGGGCTGGCCCCAAAAAGGAAAGAAAGACAGCGGACACTTTGAGTTTTGCTCTTTTGGCTCACAGGACTGAGCCATATTTTGGGCTGAGACATTGCATAATGGGCATCTTCACATAACACCCCTAGTTAGGTTACTAGAGCAGCGAAAGAATCCTTATTCACCAAACAGTTGTGTGATTCGATACGTTGTTGCGAGTGTGAGACCGCATGCAGTGTGCACCGTGAACCGATTTCAGGGGGCTGGGGGGCCTTCTCATCTGGGTTAGGGTTAGAGGGGAGCTCAGCTTTGCACGTGATCTGACGTCTGATCTTATGGCAAAAGTCGAGCCCAAGTCCAGTCAGAGCTCGCCCCCAAACGGCTCCAAGTGAATAACCCGTCACGAAAACGAGCCGTTGCTCACTTCGGCACCAAACGCACCGCCAACCCCTCTCCACTCTCTCTGCTTCGGTTGCGCAACATTCCACGCAGGCACATTTTACGAAAGGTGCCCTTCCAAGCGGCCGACTGCGGAGCGTCTTTCTCGACCAAAGCACCTCCCATTTGTTGCCTCTCAATCGGCTTCGGAAAAGGCTCACCCCAGAGAGACGCCCGAGGGCAACCCACACTACAGCAAATGTCGGCCATCCGCCCAAGCGTGAGCAGCGTCGCTCGCGCGGCCGCTGCTGCACGCGCCTCGTCGCCGTATTCGTCCACCGCTCTCGTCCCCGCCCGCTTCCGCTACTTCTCCGCGTCCGCCCGCCGGTCCGGCGGCGGCGGCATGCAGTACGACCCGCCCTCCGGCTGGCTGTGGGGCGTGCGCCCGGGCGAGAAGTACCAGAACGAAGGGTGGGAGGGGCCGTTCTTCTACGGGTTCTGGGGCAGCATCATCGTCTTTGCCATCGCGTATGCTTGGAAGCCCGATACCTCGTAAGTGTTCACTGACACACAACAGTCGGGGAAGTGAAGGATGAATGGATTTGGGGCTGCCGGGGCGGATGGTTTGGCTAACTGTGATGGGTAACAGGATCCAGACGTGGGCGCTCGAGGAGGCGAGGAGGAGATTAGAGGCCGAGGGAATCTTGGAGGATCCGGAAAAGAAATAGACGTTGGAGAGACACAGGGAGCGGTGGTGAATTCACCAGCTCGGGTCTGTACGAGGATGGAGGCCCGCGGATAGAGAGGGGGGGGGGAAGAGTCATTGGGAATGAGGCAGGCAACAGACATTCGAGCATCACATCTACAACGGATGTACATTGTTTGTTTTGTTTCGTTTCGAGTTCCGCCGGTGTCATCATCGGTTCCATGAGTCCGATAACGGAACCCCAAGTCGATGACCTGCTGTGAGAAAGAGGCTATCGTGAAACCAGCTCGCGTTGAATCGAGAGTATCGGAGGTCCCAGAGGGCCTGCCCAACTCAGGCATAAAGGCCCCTGCGATCAGCCGGGTCTACTAAGGTATTTGTGCCGTCGTCCTATATACAACGTCTATAGTCAACCATGTACTTGTACGCTCATTAACGCTCTAGCAAATGTAGCTCCACTCGTGCTCGTCATCACCGTACTGCCGCGCCTCGATCCAATTCTTCATCTTGGTGGCGATCTCGCCCGACTCTTCATGGTCCTTCAGCCCACAGTGCACCAACTTGCCCTTCCAGCTGATGACCCGCACAGGGCTCACAATGGCCGCCGTCCCGGCGCCAAATGCCTCAATCAACCTGCCCTCGCTGGCCGCCTCGTCCAGCTCCTTCATGGAGTACTTGCGCTCCACAACGTTCCACCCCTCGGGCGCCAGCCTCTCACGGGCGAGCGACAGCACCGAGTCGCGCGTCACGCCCTCGAGGATGGTCCCGTCGAGCGGGGCAGTGACCAGCTCCTTCTGGCCCGTCTGCTTGTTGCGCATCGCGACAAAGAAGTTCATGGTCCCGACCTCGGTGACGTACTCCTCGTCGCCAAACAGCCACAGGTTCTGCTGGAACCCGCGGCTCATGGCCTCGCGCTGCGGTACGATGCATGGGGCGTAGTTGGCGCCCAGCTTCTTGTCACCTACGCCGCCTGGCCAGGCGCGCACCGCGTAGTCGGTCGCCTCGAGCGAGACGGCCTTGAAGCCGGTCGGGTAGTAGGGCCCCACGGGGGAGGCGATGACGAAGAGCAGGGCAGACCCCGGCGGGCCGACGCCGAGCGTCTTTTGCGTGCCGATCATGGTCGGGCGCAGGTAGAGCGAGTAGCCGCGCTCCTCGGGGATGAAGCGGCTCTCCATCTTGGTGAACTGGGCGATCAGGTCGATCAGGGCCGTCGAGCTGAAGTTGGGGAGGGCGATGCGCGCGGCCGACTTGTTGAAGCGCTCCATGTTCTTGTCTGGGCGGAACAGCCGGATCTGGCCGGCCTTGTCCTTGTAGGCCTTCATGCCCTCGAAGCACTCGAAGGCGTAGTGGAACACGCAGGTGGCCGGGTCGAGCGACAGATTCTGGTACGGCACGATGTGAGGCTTTTGCCAGCCCGTCGTCTTGTTCCATTCGACGGTGAGCATGTGGTCTGACGAGAGAGACAAGATTAGCGCTTGTCCTCGTCTTCATGAGTAGCGGGAGGGAGGGAAGTCTTTACCGGTGAAGTTGCGCCCAAAGACCAGGTCCTCGGACTTCAGGAGTGGCTTAGGGCTCGCTGTCCTCTTGACAACCAACTGGCTTGGGTCAATGTCTTGCAGCTTGGTCTCTGATGCCACCTCCGGGCTGATGCTGTACTGGCGCGCAGCCTGGAACAGCCCAATGGGCGAGCGCCGCGGCGCAAAGAAGGCCAACGCCCTGGGCGCGCATCGTGGGAGGAGTTGCCGCATCATCTTTGCGGCCGTTGACTGTAGGACGACGACCAACTGGCTGTTCGCACGACCATACACAGAGGAACCCACGCAACCCGAGACCGAGCAACTGAGGAATCGACCCGTTCAGTACTGCAGGTGAAAGGTGAAGAGGAAGCGGCAATGGGTATACGGGTACCTACGATGACACACAAATTCTCGGAGCGTAATCGGAGTTGCCCGAGATAGGCGAGACGGGAGCCCCAGAACACCGACTGGGCCCGCCCACCTTCGGGTCCTGGACCCTTGAGATTTGAAGTGGGCTCCAGGTGTGTTAACTGCCGCTAGCCGAATGAGGCAATTACATTTGCCACAAGGACAATTCTTGGCCTCATATTCTGTAATGTACTCGTACTTCCTGAGTTTAATACCAGTACCCGATAAATCTATTTAATTCATTGACACTATCCATTTCCTTCCTCTCATATGTATGAGCCATAGCCGGGGAACCTGAACGCTGGTTCCAAAATGTTTGCGACTTCAACGAGACCTCACTGAGAGCAGCGATATGTGGGATATCTCGCGAACAGGGGTCCGCAGTCCCCACCTGATGAATTGGGCTCGAGTTGCGCAGCTCCAAAGTTAGTTCCAGCTTCTACCAAGCTTACTAGCACCCCGGCCACATCACACGCGATCGAAGGCATTGGCCTCCAAATGCCACTTCGTACGCAATCCACCACGTTAGACCCTACAGGCCTAGAGTGCGGGAGCGTTAGTCCGATCATTCCGAGCAGCAACCCGCACTAGCGACGATCGCAGTCAGCGACTCGATACCGAACCAACGAAAGAATGCCATGATAACCAGGTGACGCGAGGCCCGCCATGTTCGCCAACGCGTTGAAGTCGATTTCGTCGACAAACATCTCTTCCAACTACACCATCTCGTCGCATCTCACCTCAACCGCCGGCCCGTGGAAGATCTACCCGGCCAAGAACAAGAAAACCGGGAAGGAGTGCTCCGTCTTCGTCTTCGACAAGAAGTCGCTCGATGCCCACCGCAGCGGGCTAAGCCGCGCAGAGGTCGCAGAGTTCAAAAGGGCGGCCGATGCGGTGGTCGAGCGGCTGAAGAAGGAGGCATCGGCCATTGCGAAGCTGCGACACCCCGGGATCTTGGAAGTGGTTGAGCCGGTCGAGGAGACTCGCGGCGGCGGACTGCAGTTTGTGGCTGAGGCTGTAACAGCTTCACTCTCAGGACTCCTGCAGGAGAAGGACGACCAGGAAAGGGGCGGAGGTGTTGGGGGCCGGGCAAGTCGATATGTGACCGAGGACGACGATGGCCGTCGCAGGAGGCGGGAGATCGAGATTGACGAGCTGGAGATACAGAAGGGCTTGCTGCAAATTAGCAAAGCGCTGGAATTCCTACATGATAACGCTAGTCTGGTCCATGGAAACTTGACTCCAGATGCCGTTCTGATCAACGCCAAGGCAAGCCCCCAAACCTGTTGCTGTGATATCTAGGATCACCGAGCTAACCTAGAATAGTCGGACTGGAAGCTGAGCGGACTTTCATTCTGCAGCCCCTTGGAGTCATCGACTTCCCAGAGCTCCGTCCAGCCTATCAATCTGCGGGAGGTGCTTCGACACACTCCTAGCCTGCCGCGGACCGTGCAGTTGAATATCGACTATACATCCCCCGACTTTGTTATCGACAACAACCTGACGGCGTCTGCCGACATGTTTAGCTTGGGTATATTGATCATATCACTATACAACTCCCCCCACAAGTCACCGCTATCGTGCAACGGCAGCCTGTCTGCCTACCAGCGCCTCTTCCAGTCCTCGCAGAGCATCCCGAGCTCGACCAATAACTTCCTCTCTTCCCGTCCCTTGCCCAAAGAACTCACAAACCATGTGCTCCCAAGGCTTATCACGCGTAGGCCGGCTCAGCGGATGACGGCGACCGAGTTTCAGCAGAGCGAGTTCTTTAACAACATCCTGATATCGACCATCCGCTTCCTCGACACCTTCCCTGCCAAGACGCCGAATGAGAAGTCTCAGTTTCTCAGGGGTCTGGTCAAGGTGCTACCGTCTTTTCCCAAGTCCGTCATGGAGAGGAAGCTGCTGCCCGCCCTGCTTGAGGAGCTGAAGGACAAGGAGCTCATCTCGTTGATCCTCCACAACGTCTTCAAGATCATTGAGCTCCTGCCGTCGGGAAGGAGAGCGTTCACCGACAGAGTGCGGCCCAGCCTAAAGGAGTTATTTGTCACCAACGTCAAGCAGGCCCAAGAGAGGGACCCTGCCCGTGACGCCGGCCTGATGGTCGTCATTGATCATCTTCCTATCATTGGGGACAACTGCGCGGGCAAGGAGTTCAAAGATGGTAAGTTTGGATACAGCCGTGACATACTTTACGTGTTGGAAGGAAAGGCTAACGCTGTTCTCAGATATTCTGCCCATAATCTTCAATGCTCTGGAGTCCCCAACACCGTCGCTCGTGGACGCAGCGCTGCGGAGTCTTCCATCCGTATTGCCCCAGCTAGACTTTAGCACCATCAAGAATGAGCTATTTCCGGTCATCGCGACTATTTTCAGCAGGACAAACAGCCTCGCGATAAAGGTCAGGGGTCTCCAAGCCTTCGTCACGCTCTGCGGTGGTTCCAACGACCCAGCCGGTGACGACGGGCTAGATGGGCTCGCTCCTCAGAAGAAGAAAGCGACCTCATCCAGCGCCCTCGACAAGTACACCATGCAAGAGAAGATCGTGCCCTTGATCAAAGCGATAAAAACCAAGGAGCCTGCCGTTATGATGGCGGCGCTCGGGGTGCTCCGGGTTATCGGCAAGGTGGCGGATGCCGAGTTTGTCGCCATGGATATCCTCCCTGTTCTCTGGAGCATGAGCCTAGGCCCGCTCCTAGACCTCAAGCAGTTCCAAGCCTTCATGGAGCTCATCAAGACACTATCAGGCAGGGTTGAGGAGGAGCAAACAAGAAAACTGCAAGAGCTAGCTGGCAGCAATACCAGCGCATCCGCCGTGAAAGACGACTTCATGTCCTTTGGTCCCGTCGCTGGCTCGTCTCTCGATGCGAACGGGACGACCGAGACGGACTTTGAACAGCTTGTCAAGGGAGAGTCGGGCGCTGCCTCTGCTAACCCGCTTGAGCTAGGGTGGGACACGATGGCCTCTAGCACGACGCTCGCCTCTCCTTCAAGCACTAGAAAATCCACACCGACAGCGACCTTCTCCTGGTCAAGTCCTCCCGCAGCCCCGGCGACGGCCTCCTCCAACCAATTAGGCGCCGTCAAAGCCCAGCAACCTAGCTTCAGGACAGTCACGCCCGACCTCGGCAGCTTCCAGCCCATCACTCCCACCGTTACGCAGTTCTCGCAGCCGCTGCAGCCCACCACAAAAGCAACTAGCAGCATATCACAGACGCCATCGACGCAGCAGACCACATCTATCAACTGGGGCGCTGCAGCAGCAACAGCACCGATCAGCAGCAGCAGCAATACTCTGTGGTCGTCACCGCCTGCTGCTCAGCAACCACCAACAGCCGCCGTCGGCTCTCTTTCCCTCGGCCAGCAACAGCAAGCCCAGCACCGCGCTACTTCCTTCTCGCTCCCGCCTCCACCCGGTGCCAGTGGCGGTACCGGTGCTTCCTCAAGTCTATCCAGCTTTAGTCTTGCGCCTCCCCCGGGTACACAAACACAAACCCAGCGACCGCCCATCTCGACAACAACATCGACGCCTGCGTTTGGCGGGCTAGGCGCCATGAACAGTATGAGTGGCATGAATAGCCTTAGCAGCCTGGCTGCGATTGGGTCAAATCCCGCGTCCGGCACGGGGATGGGGATGGGGATGGGAATGGGAATGGCGGCGATGAAGCCCATGAGCACGAGCACGAGCGTGGGTAATGGTACGAGTATGAATAGCATGATGGGCATGGGGGGGATGGGCCAGCAGCTGGGGCAGGGCCAGAGCCAAAACCAGAAGACAGGGTTGGATAAGTATGAGAGTCTCTTATAGAGAGACCAAAGAAAGAGCGCCCCTTTGGGATGTGTCTTTCCGAAGTCTTCCGAAGCAAGCGCGCGCTTGAGGTCTGTATTACTATCTAGACATGTGGGTTTGGTTGGTGCATGTGCAAAGCGGGGCGTGGGACGAGGAACTTATGAATGGATCTGTTTATACTCAGCACGAACGACTTCGCGGGACTCTTACCAACCTGCGTTGGATGAGTTGGATTGTGACGAAAGTGCATTCAGGCTGCTGCCAGAATGTGGGATCCGTGGCAAGTCCAGGTACAAGCTTCCCCCTATCATAAGAAGTGGTGCGGTGATTGCGTCTGGCGCTTTGGAGAGAACTGTCCTAATTCACTCCCGTGTCCTGTCTGGCAGTTGATCCTCCCACGCCTTCTCCCAGACGCGCAGCACCTCCATCACGTCGAGCCGTTCGTTCGGATCGTCTGCCATACAACGATCCACCATCTGCCTCCACGACTCCGGAATATCCTCGGCACCGTCCCAATCAGGGGTGAGATCGTTGGGGTGCTCGATCTCGTCGAAGTCCATGGCGGGCTGTCGGAGGACAGGAGCATCCACATGGACCCGGCCCAGGCTAAACACCTCTGTCAACTCGAGCGCAAGCGGGTATTCCGCCCTCCAGAGGGGGGAACACGTTCCATCGGTGCCAGCTGCCGTCGGCCACCTCCTCTTCGGTATTGCGCCGCGGCGGCCCTGAGCAAGGAACGTGCGGAAGTCGATGATGCACTTGAACATGAACAGACGCTTGTGTGGATCGCTGCGGATGCGGACCCGGGTTGCACAGCCCTTTTCCTCCAAGCTGCTCGGAGCGGGCCAGCTGGGTGAAGTCGATGGTGGTGTGTAAGTGGCCGTCAGCGCCGAAAGCGCTTTGCCCACTTATGCGCTTTTGTCAGCGAGGACCTCTGCTGGCTGGTGGGCCAAGCAAACAAAGCATCGTAGATAGTTCACTCACGGTCGTCGTCGCGGAGAAATCTGCATGTACCACGGGAACAGTGGATGATGGTAGACGGGCCCAGGTGATGTTCTCGGGCGAGCTATCTCTACCGTCGGTATCGACGACAGCATCCGGCTCGGAGATGGCCGGGTCTCGCAGGCATTGAGGTCCCACGACGCCGACGGCATCCCACAGTGCCTGTCGCGTGGAATTGGAGTTCGGAAATGGGTGACAAAGAGGTTGCCAACGATGGACCACAGAGCGGCTATCGCCCCGGAGGGTTCCGCATTGCGGCCAGCCTCCAGAACGGGGGGAAGGGAGTTGTAGTGCTGGGGCGAGTACGGCAAGAGTGCCACGGCCATGGCTGGTTGTCTCAGGGTTTTCAATTAAATGGAACGAGCGGGTTGTGGGAGCTCTTCAGCGTTAGTTTGAAGAAGGAACTGACACAGCGAAGGCTACCAACAACAAGCGTGCTCCGCTTATATAGGTATCTGGTTCCCAATCTATGGAGGAGCGCGCTACGAGAGCCTTGCGAGCCGGAACAGGCATGCGGCCATGCAACGACAAAGGATGCTGCGGGTTACACGATGCGGTGGGAAGTCAGCGCCGTTCCATCTCGGTAGATGCGTGGTTGGCAGAAACACTGAGCCTTGAGAATCAAACATTCGATGATATGAGGGGCTACAAAAAGAGCACATTCGGATGATTTGCCGGAGATAGGTGAGACGTAGACACTGGTAGTTGGCTGGTTACCGTGGTCTGAGCATCGAGTTGAATAGTACATTATGTAGATCAGGCTCAGTACCCCGGAGGAGACCAAACACAATTCTGTAAATGCAAGCGGAAGTGGTGGGTACTTATTGTTGGAAGTCCAACTGCCACAATTCCACGGCTACACGGTTGATGGGGGCTTACAACTGACGCTTGGATGATGTTCGGGAACAGGCCACTGCCGGCATCTGAAGGCAGTTACGTTGGTTATGGACTGATGATTTATCCTCTTCCAGTCAGGTTCGAGCTTCTGGTATTGTATTGTACATGCAGCAGTTAGAGGCACCGGATTTGGAATACCTGAGCTACCTAGATGCGTTGAAATAAGCAGGTTATGAACTTCTGATTCTTATTTAGCTGTTCTTAGCTGATCGATTATCTTGTTCAGCAAACACGCCGCCGGCACGGGCCACAACCACTGGCATATGTTTGTTCCTCGATCGTTAGGGGGGAATCTTCTGAGTCACTATGTTATGGAGTCTACCCTCGCAGAAGCCCCCTCAACACTGTGGACAGAGCTAAGATGATAGACACCACCTCAGTTTTCCTTTAGCCGTAGATTTATGTATTGCGCTTTGTCGCTACGAAGAGAAACATCTAGCCTCCCGGTGGCAGGTCCTGGCTGCAACCAGAAGCTGCGCTATATAGCGGTAACCCCTAGTGATTCCCAACACCGGCTATGAAACTATGTGTTTTGCGCTCGCCGCAACATTGGCTTTACACGCCGAAATCTCGTGGAAGATATAGAAGTCGTTTGCCAGTACAACCTCCGACGCTGCGAGCATCGGTAGCTTACATTTACCACGCCGCTACCATCTACAGGCCTAGGTACGTAACGGTACATCTTAAGCTTAGTTCGTAGCATAAAGAAAGGCATCCGGTGGCACTCCGTTGAAGTCTTGGACGTCGTCGGTTACGGGCATTCCTTATCCACCTATAGAGGGAAAAGCGTCTGTGTCCTTGGTGAGGATTTCCGTTCGGTTCGTGGCAGAAAAACTCACCCCTTGCTCTCTACAGAATACCTACCGTACCTCCTTGGAATAGGCTCCCGTCTCTACGCATTAGAAGCAAAATGGCAAGGGAGGCCAAGGACAGGTCAAAAAATCGACAAAAACATACAACACCGAGGATTCCCCAGTGGTCACCCACCTGAGTACTGGTTCGGCCCTTGGTAGCTTGACTAAGGGAGAGCGGACGGGATCCCGTATTTTCTACCAGGTATGGTCGTATGTGCTAGCTTACTGGGGAAAGACGCAATATATTGAGGCTTGCCACCACTTACGTTGCAAGTACTGACTGAAACGAGGCCAGGGGTTGCCGTTGAGAAGCAACATGCTCATGCGTCGCTTGGTGGCGGCGGCAAGGACACAGAGGGGCCATCGGTTGAAAAACGCTCGGAACCCCAAGTGGTGTCTGCAACAGTATCCGTACGGAGTATATTCAGTGCCCATGTCTACCTTACCTCGAGCACTTGACACTCTCCAAGAGCCGTTTTGCTCATAGGTAACAGCTTTGGATCTCTTTATTGCTCATCAATATAAGTAGGTACCGAGTAACTACCAGGTAAATACCATGCCCGGTTTATGTCGTGCAGGGCAACGGATCTCTCATCAAGTTGTCGGTCGGCTGTGAGCCGTTAACAGGTTAGGTATTTGAGGGGTTTCGACTTTCGAGTACTCGCCGGGGCACCGACCAACGCTAACCGCCTTCACCGTTGTCTCACCACAAATAGGTGGCGATGTGATCTGTTTAGATAGGTAGGTGTCCGGGTTTACCACTTTACTAGTAACCACTGAAAGTGTTCAGGGGAAAATGCTGGCTGCAATGCTCAAGTGCTCGCCGAGTTACTGACACTTTGCCTTTGGTACTGTGTGCAACAGCTTGATCGGTGCTCTTAAGGCCTAGTACTTATGACCTTGCAATTCGTGCCTTTCGGATATTTCTGCCTAACCAGCGTGCAAAGTCTCAGTTTAGCGAGTCAGCGGTGCAGTGTCATTCTGGTCAGTATAGACTTTTGCGTGAGCTCGAGTCAAGTGTCAAGTGTAGGCTCTCTCTTCCACAGCACTCATCCAAGCCATTCTCTGCCAAGCCCACATCAACTCGGATCGATCGCTCCCCAGCTCTTTCCTCCTGATTTAATAATCTCCCAACGCCAGGCAGCCTGTTCTTTACAGATCACGACAAACCTCGCTTGCCCGTACACATCCCGGGCTGTCTGCGTGTTGTTGCTTTACCTACCTTTGTTGCTCTCTACTTTTCTTCCTTCGCGAGTCGTCTCGCTGTTCCCTGGTCTTCATCCCTGTCGGCGAAGTGGTTCTGTCACAACACACTGCACACAAGACACATCGTACCATCACACCACGTAACAAATGGACTCATCGCGTCGCGGCGCGAGCAAGACCGGCTCAACCAACGGCACTTCCACCACCAGGAAACCCAGCACTCGCGTCAAGAACGAGGTCAACTATGACGAGAAGCAAGCCTTCAAGGATCTGACAGACTTCGGCGATGCCAAGCCCAATGGTGCCCCCAACTCGGGCCTGGCCGAACTCGAACAGCGCGTCAATGACCTCAACGAGTCGTGGGAAACCGAGTCTCTCTTGCGGGATTGCTTTGAGGAGATCGCCGAGGATCGCTTCTTTACTGAGGGTGAGTTTCCACGTTTCTTAATAACACTTTCCGTTGCGGAAAAGGAGAGAGAGAGAGCGAGGGAGAGAGAAAGGGCATGGGGGAAGAAGCACTCGAAGAAAAGAAAAAAAGACAAGACCCTGAAGGAGTGAGAGCCAACAGTAGAAAAAGAAAAAGATAAAAGGGGAAATGAAGCAACGCTGCATCTTTCTGTCTTGTCATCAACCCATCATTAACACAACCTGCAGACCCCGATGCTTGCACGCCAGAAGAGGCGGTTGAATACCGCCGGCTACTGCGTGATGTTGGGCCCACCATATTCTGCGAGAGGACCATATATGCCAAGCGCATCACGGCCAAGAAGCTACTCACCGCGTTTGGCATCCGTCCGCCTGCCTTCCTGGAGGGCGCCGAGGACGAGGATTACTACTCGCTGTTGAGTCTCGCGTTGAGCCGCGAGCTATCCAAGCGGGCCAAGCTGGTCAAGTACAACACCATCGATGATGCCGTCGGCCTTCTCAAGAAGTCCAAGAACATCATCGTCCTGACGGGCGCCGGCATTTCCACGTCGCTCGGCATCCCGGATTTCCGGTCCAAGGGCACGGGTCTCTACTCCAAGCTGGAGCATCTTGGGCTCAACGACCCGCAGGAGGTCTTCGACATCACCGTCTTCCGCCAGGATCCCACCATCTTCTACTCGGTCGCGCGCGACATCCTGCCGGACCACGAGCGCTTCTCGCCCACGCACGCCTTCATCGCGCTCCTCCAGGAGAAGGGCAAGCTGCTGACCAACTACTCGCAAAACATCGACAACCTGGAAGCCAAGGCCGGCATCCGTCCGGACAAGCTGATCCAGTGCCACGGCTCCTTCGCCACCGCGTCGTGCGTGAAGTGCGGCCACCGCGTGCCCGGCGAGACGCTCTTCCCCGAGATCAAGGCCGGTGAGATCCCGCGCTGCCGCAAGTGCGCGCAGGGCAGCCGCACCACGGCCAACAGCAGCCGCGGCAAGGGTGGCAACGGCAACAGCAACAGCCGCAAGCGCAAGCTCAACAAGGACGGCACCGAGAAGAAGGCGCGGCGGCGGCCGGGCGAGTACGACAGCAACTCGGACTCAGAGTTCGACCATGGCGGCGCGCCCGTCAACTGGTCCTGCGGCGTCATGAAGCCCGACATCACCTTCTTCGGCGAGGCGCTGCCGGACGAGTTCTCGCGCCGCCTGACCGAGCACGACCGCGACCGCGTCGACCTGGTCATCGTCATCGGCACCAGCCTAAAGGTGGCGCCCGTCAGCGAGGTCGTCCCCTTCCTCCCGCCGCACATCCCGCAGATCTACATCAGCCGCACGCCCGTCTCGCACGTCAACTTCGACATCGACTTGCTGGGTGACTGTGACGTCGTCGTGGCGGAGTTGTGCCGCAGGGCCGGCTGGGAGCTGAAGCACGAGATGGTACCCGAGGGTCAGGTGGTGGAGACGACCCTCGCCGCCGGGTTCCCGAGCCGGCACATCTTCACGCAGGTCAAGCCCGTGGTGAAGGTTGAGGAGGCTGAGGCCGGAGCTACGACCGATGGGAAGGCACAAGAGAAGGAGATAAAGAAGGAAAGGAAAGTGAAGAAGGAGCAGGGCGTCTGACAGCAGCGACGGCGTTCTGTTGTGGCTTGCTTTTGCTTTGATCTATTTGCTGCTTGTTGCTGTTTGACTTTACTCGGCATTTGTTCTCTTATTTCCTGTTGCTCTTCTTCACCCCTCACCCTGAGACACATACATGATACCCCCGCTTGTCTTCTCATCCTCTCTTCTTCCTCCCCCTTTTTCCCTTCCCTTCTCACCAGGCAGGGGGTGGGCTCAACTTCGCCCTCGGGTGAAAATACACACAACAGACTCAGGGGGGTTGCTGCCGGCCCAGCCATTGGGCTTGCTCTAGTAACTGGTTGACTACTACACAAGCAGGCAGACGAGTCGCGCTTGGCAGTTGTAGATCTATGCTCGTTGCACAGTGTTCCCTCCTGGGAGAGTTCCCATTTCGCCTTAGGTCTAGATGTCTTGCATGGAGTAACGGTGTATGGGCGCCTACGGAGACAGGTGCTGTGATCTTCCTTTTCTTCCTCTTTTTTTTTTTTTTTTTTTTTTTTTTTTTTTTTTTTTTTTTTTTTTTTTTTTTTTTGCTGGCTTACTATAATGGGGACTCTGATGATCTCGGAATGACCAGGTGGCATGCGATACAAATACAGTAAATGTAGAGTTCTGTACATGAAGACCACATCTGATGTTGCTTGGTTGTATCCTGAGTGTTGGGAAATGTGGTGAGCTGCCTTCTGCATTTGTCCCCCGGTGAATACACACTGTGGATGGCCAGTTTTGTTCTCATCCCGCCTGGTCATATACTACCAGGTAATAAACTATTGACGCCCAGCCCAGTAAGGGAAGGTCTCGACACCAGAACACACAAATCCATTACGAACTATCTTGTCAGAAGAAAACACGCTGCATGCCAATTCATGCCATATGGCTCTAAAGTGTATTCGTGACTATAACTAACGAGGTATCTAGTAACTGATAAGTCCGGGAAGCAAACCCGATACTGAATAAAAAGCGATATAAAAGGAAAACTGGCTCTCGTAGCGAAAGTAAGCCGACCGCGCGGAGTACGTCGAATGAAACGAATGAAACGCCACGCTCTTGCTGGGTAATATTGCCCCATCTACAATATCTTCGCCCAGATGCGGAACCCCTGAACCCGCCCACAAGACAGACAAACAAGCACACAAAACGCCCTGTACGACGCCATGAACTCCCTTGTTTTGTATCACACCCAAACCCATTACTCAACAGTTCCCTCTAACCTCTGATTGCTCTATCCCTTGCTGGTAACCCATTCCTTCGCACTTCGCCTTGGTGCTTTCTTTGTACAGCCCTTAATGGTACAATATAGACAGTTTGACTCGGCGCGGGCCGCTCTCTAGTTCACTCGTCCGCCTTAGGAGGTGGGCCACCAGCGGCAGTAGGGGTGGCAGGCGACTTGGGCGGCTTGGGCACGCTGAGGATCGGAACGTCCTGGTTGACCACGGGGTCCGGCGTGGCAGCACCGCCCATCTCCTGTGGCTCGTCTGACAGGACCTGCTCGCCGCCAAAGACGGACTGCTTGTTGGCCTCTTGCTCGTGCCCGGGGCTCGGCCGCGGGAACTGCCCAAAGTCGGGCTCGCCCCGGCGGTCGATCGGCGACCAGCCCGCGGCGATGCTGCCGGCCACGATGCCCGTCATGACCGTCGCAGCGCCAAGAGCGCTGTTCGACCGCGAGCGGATGCTCCGGCTGGGCCGCCGCGAGTCGGGGGTCGGCGCAACCGAGCCGTAGCTGTCCTCGCGGGTGGGCGTCTGCGGCAGGCGCGCGCTCGAACCCGACCGCGAGGGTTCACGGCTGGGCGCGGGGCTCCGGCGGGGCAGGAAGGTCTCGCGCGGGTGGCGCATGGCGAACTTGAGGTTGTTGAGGCGGCCACCCTTGAAGCGCTTGAGCCAGGCGAGTTGATCCCTGACGTCGGCGAGCGGCTCGGGATACGCAGCGAAGCGCTCGTCGTCGTCGCCCGACACGGTGACACCGGGCACCTTGGAGTTGGCCTTGCGCTTGAGCGACTCTGGAACCAGGGCCTCGAGGAGCTCGTCGGGGATGAGGCGGATGATCACACCCACTGGGATCGAGAGGACGCCCAGGACGATGGCGATGCCCCACATTACCGCTGTCTGGCCCTCGTCCGCGATGCGGAATGCGTCGCCGCCCACCATGACGATCAGGACTTGGCCTCCGCACATGATGGCGCTGATGCCAATGAAATAGGGGTTCTTGAGCATGCCCTCGAAGATGTTGAAGTTGTTGTCCAAGCGTCGGTTGCTAAATAGCAGCGTTCGTTAGCAAACTCGGACTGCACATAAAGCGATCTCCGGACTTCTACTTACTTCCACTGATTGAAGATCTGCATCCAGACGAATGTGTTGAAGACCAACGTGTGGATCTGCGCCTCGGTCATGTCATCGGGACCCGGAAGGACCTCGACGCCACCGAAGTATATCAAGAAGGTGATCAGCAACTGATACACGGCCTGGCCGAGAATCATCTTCCACATGGTCGTCGAGATGATCGAGGCGCCCTTGCGCTCGGGCTTGCGGTTCAGCACGCTATCCTGCGGCGGGTCTGTCGCGAGGGCCAGCGCAGCGAGCGTGTCCATGATGAGGTTGACCCATAGAAGCTGCACGGCCGTCAGGACAGCGGTCTGGTCCGCGCTCTGGACGGCCGAGACAAAGGTGAGAACCACGGCGGTGACGTTGACGGTGAGCTGGAACTGGAGGAAGCGCTTGACCGCATCGTTAACGGCACGGCCCCATTTCAGCGCCTTGACGATCGAGTTGAAGTTGTCGTCCATCAGGATAATGGCGGACGCCTCCTTGGCAACCTCGGTGCCGGCAATGCCCATGGAGAAGCCGATGTCGGCCATCTTCAGGGCGGGCGCATCGTTGGTGCCGTCTCCGGTAACCGCAACGGTCTCGCCCTTGTCCTTGAGGCGCTTGACCAGAATGCGCTTGTCTTCGGGGCTGGAGCGCGCCAAAACGTGCAGGCGGGGGATAATCTCGTACTGCTGCTCCTGGGTCATGTTGCGGAATTCGGGCCCTTCAAGGACTATGCTGTTGGGCTGGAGGATCCCGCAGTCCCGAGCAATCGCCTCGGCCGTCATCCTGTTATCTCCGGTGACCATACGAACCACAACACCGGCGTTCTGGCAGAGCCTGACCGCCTCGGGGACGCCGGGGCGTAGCGGATCCTTGATACCAACCATGCCAACGAAGACCATATTCCGGCAAATGTCTTCAAAGACAATATCCTCCTTCTCACCGGTGCGACGAGGGTTCCTCGGCGGCCACCGGTCAAAGTCCCGGTAGATGATGCCGATGGTGCGCAGCGAATTCCGAGCGTACGTTTCGATCAGCTTCGTGATGGTTTGGCGGTTATCCTCGGTCATGGGCGCAGCGGACAGGCCGGTGGAAGGGTCGCGTAGGATCTGGGTGCACTTCTCCAGCATGATCTCGGACGCGCCCTTGACATAGAGCCGCGCCTTGCCGTTCTCCAGTTGGACGACCACGCCCATGCACTTGCGGCCGGAGTCGAAGGGGATCAGGTGCAAGATCTTGGCGTTAGCTCGCTCTTCGCTGACCGGACCCATCGCTAGGTGTTGCCGCGCCAGGATGAGCAGCGCCGTCTCGGTCTTGGAGCCGATGAATGTCATCTCCCCGTTGTTGTCGCCCTCGAATGCGGTCGAGTTGAGCGAGATGGACTTCAGCACCAACTCCTTCACCTCGGGGCTGAGGGCCGAGACAAACTCGGCGATGGTGATCTCCCTCTCGGCAGGGTCCTGTTCTTCGTCCGGCGCGGACGTAGTACCAAACCGATGGGTCGTACCGACGGTGCCCGCAACCACTTGCATCTTGTTCTGGGTGAGTGTGCCCGTCTTGTCAGAGCAGATCGTGGTCGCATTGCCCATGACCTCGCAGGCCTTGAGGTGACGGACGAGGTTGTTGTCCTTGAGCATGCGGGTTGTGGCGAAAGCCAGCGCCAGGGTAACAGCGAGCGGGAGCCCCTCGGGAATAGCGACGACCACGATGGTAACCACGACGATGAAAATCTCAATAAAGTGTTGTCCTTTCTGAGCCGGCGTCAAGGGTGCATACTGTCGCGGAAGACGGACGAGGAAGATGATGAAGAGGACGAGGAACAGCAGCAGCGCCACGGCGCCACCAAGCTTAGCGATGTACTCGGCGATGACGTTGAGCTTGGACTGCAGAGGCGTGATTTCGGGATCCTCATTCAGGGCCATCATCGTCCTGCCGTAGCATGAGTGGATGCCCGTCGAGGTGACCAGAAAGCTGCCGGCACCCTCCATGACGCGGGAACCGGACAAGATGAAGGGGTCCATCTTCTTGAGACTCTCGCGGTTCTCGATGGCCGCGTAGACCTCGTCCGCAGGCCGCTTGCGGATGATATCGCTCTCACCGGTTGCCTGGCTCTCGTCGCACTTGACGCTGAAGCCCTCGATGAGGATGCCGTCGACAGGGACCATGTCGCCAGGCTCAAGCTTCAGGACGTCACCGACCAGGACGTCGAAAACTGAGATCTCAACCGTCTTTCCGGATCGAACCGCCTTGACCAGGCGGTCCTGCTTCTTTTTGTTCAGCTTGGCGAACTGGCGCTCCTTCTGGTAATCGTTGAGAGACCCGACCATAACGACGATGACGATGGCCACGATAATCGCCACACCCTCGACCCACTCGACGGCCGGATTCTCGGGGTCGTGTTCCTGACCGAACGTTTGATAGAGACCAATGGCGAGCGAGACGAGTGCAGCGGCGGACAGCAGGATGAGCACCTTGTCGTTGTACGTGATCCACATCAGCTGGAGCAGGCTCTTCCCCTTCTTCTCGGGTAACCTGTTGTCCCGGAAGACGCGTTTTCTCGAGGAGAAAGCCTCGTTCGGCGCGTCTTTCCTCCCCGACGCGGCGGGAGGGCTGTCCGGTCTGCCAGCCCCGACACCCTCGGTCAGGGCTTTCTGTGAGGCGCGCGACGTCGCGTCCTCGAAGGAGACGGAGCCGGGAAGGGCGGCCTCGTCGACGCTCAAACCCGCGTGTCGGTCGGTTCGCAACCCCTTCTCGATTCCAGCAAGCCCTCCCAACTTGTAGAAGGCCGACAAGCTCTTGGGGTCGAACATCTTGCCGAGCATGCCGGGGCTGAACGCGAACGGGTTGTCCTCCACCTTAAAATCGTCTTCCCTTCCCTGGTCCGGCTTGAGCGCGTCTGGGTCGTTTATGATCTTGTCGGTCCCCGATCGAAGTGGAGGGCTACCCTTCTCCCCTGACGACGAACCAGCAACGTAGGTGTCCCCTTGAGAAGACGTGAGAGAGCGGGCATCGTCTGTCGAATTGACCGAATTCTGGCGGGAGCGCTCCGTGTTGGGGACGGCGAGGAAGCCCTGCGTAGGGCCGTTTCCCCGAAACGACAGAGGGTGGGAGACATTGTGTGGGCTGGTTGGCCGGCTATCCCTCGCCTCGGAGGTCCTTGGGGCTTGGGCGTCGACTCTTGGTTGGGAGGAACTGCGCTTGTGGGAGCTCGATGCACCGTCGGTGGGGTTTGCGCCGGCCACTGGCGGGTTGGACGCGGCAGGTGGGCGTTCTCCGGTGTCAGGCCCGGGTTCGGTGGCCTGGTCCTGGCTCACGTCTGTCGTATCAATGGTAATGGTAGGTCTGCGAGACATTGTCAGGACTCGATTGATGGCAGTAGCAGGAGAGACGCATGCGCTGCAGCAGCGCGGACTGAAGGGGATACATACGCTCTTGGGCGGCGAGCGGGAGCCGAATCGCCATCCATGGCAGCTGATTGAGCGGGCCGCAGTCGTCACCGACGCGACTCAGCCTCTGCGGCGAATGGGGCAGTAGACGCGCTGTATGGAAAAACCTCGCGAGTGGCGAAGGTGGTGGACGTGGGAAAGGGCAGGTGAGCAGATCAAGCGCAGAGGCCTCGTTCTTCCTGCGCGTTCTGCCTTGTCCAGCCACGCTTGTTGTCCAGCGAGTTGCCCTGTCTCGCTGTGGTAAAAAAGTGGTGGCCGCGTAGATGTACAAACCAAGTGGTTCCAAGTGAGCTCCGCAAAGAACAGCGGCCCCGAGCTCAGGGGTTGTGGGTAGTTATTTGGAAACTGCAAGCGGAGCATGCAAGGAACGCACTCGTAAGGTAACGGTACGCCCTGTGTTGGGATTGCTCCTTGGATGGGGCTGGCGGAGATTGCTCAAACTCAAGCAGCTTTTTGGAGTCGGCGAATTACGTGGTGAGTGCAGAGGATTCGACTCGAATGGCTGTGCAGGGGCCAGCGCTAATAAAGACAGGTTTGCTGGCAAGTCGCATCACCATCGTCAGTGACGTCTTCTGATGGTGGATGAAGCCTAACAAAGAAATGGCAGAGAAAAGAGATATCCCGACTGACGATGGGGGGCCACTCGCTCTCCCAGAGCGATGTTAGGCTCCCCCAAGAATTGCCAAGGGAGGCAGTGCACTTACGCCAAGTGTAAATTTCAATTGGATCGGAATGCAGACTGTGCAGAGCATTGAAGCGATGTCCAACATGCGGTTTGCCAACCCCTGCCGTCCTTCCAGAACCATACCGTATCCCGTGCCAAGTACCGGCAACATGCCTTTCCTTCCTCTCTGGTATCGTAGCTCTGATACGGATACGCAGGACATTCTTCACCTGCCTTCTGCAGTCGACTGCAATCGTCTTCTATAGCGCCATGCATGGATGTTTGCGAGCGACGGATATGGTCTCTAGATGTCAATCCACTACGCATATATACGGTGGTACAGTATCAGTGCTAACTGTGACGCGAACAATTCGGGCGGAGCTACAGGTACAAACCGTAGCATGATGGATAAGTACTGTCTACTTAGACCCCAGTAGGCGACTCTATGCGGAAATATGTGACGTTCGTGGTTTGTTACCTGATTGGTGCATGGTAACACAGGGTACTATCTGCTGTGCCGTTCAGACGCAGGCGCCAGAGATCTCTTGTCTGAGCGCCAGCACAGTACCCGCACACCGACATTGGTTCAGTTCGCACGGTCAGCTTTGGGGGAAGGCGCTTGTTGTTCTTGTCATAGTACGAAGTACACTAATAATATTCATGATAGTGTCAGAGAACACCGATATTCATCAATCTGTACCTTACGAAGCGCACTGAGTCGGTCAATGTGCCTCAGAAAGCGTTTGAGATCCAAGGTCTCCACCAGCAGCAAGTGCTCCACATTAACTGACTACCTCAGTGGGGCAGATCGACTAGCCTTAAGGGGGATTGCCGAGTCAGAATGGGGGAAGGGGGAAACGCGCCGACAGAGTCCAAATGCCTCTCTGTCCAGCAACACCAAGCCACCGCATCATCAGGTTGAGTGGGTTCTGCAGAGTAACCAGGCACAATGGCAGACTTTCTCCCCCAATTTTTGGTGGTTACACCATCATATTTCTTGCACCTTCCGCCCGGGTTCGGCAGATGCATGCGCCACAGTCCGGGGAACCGGCGATCTCAGGGAGTGTCTTTTCTAGCGCCGGCCGCAGCATCACCGAAATCCTCTAACAAAGGAGGCCTCACCATCGAGTTTTATATCATTCCGTTGGCCCTCCGATGCTTTGCTCATCGACATGCGCGCGCTGTTGCCTTCTGACCGCCAAGCACGGCACGGGAATCTGGCATGGAGACGGGACAATCAGGCGCGTAATCGGGGCGCAGCATCTTCAAACGCTTCAGTTCGCCGCTTTGCCGCCAACGGTCTCGACTCCCTCAGTCCGGAGGTAACCGTGATGCCGCGCATTGCCCTGTTTCTGCTTCGGCTAGTTTTGCCGTCTTGTTGTGCAGTGTGATGGAGGGGAGGAATGGATGTTTTCATGAAACACTTGACGTTGGCCAAGAGCCAGTCTTTTAACCTTGGACAGGGAGCCAGCTTTCCAGAAACAGCTTCAGATGCAACGAGACGTCACCACCAGCGCCTCTGGAGCAGCCAGCCTTCTGCGGCACTTATACCGTCAAGCTTCGGCACGTGGTAACGGACAGCTAATGAGTTACAAGTGGGATAGTGTTGTCTGATTCGCCGTTGCGCCTGCACTGCATCTCCGAGGCCATGGTAAGCCGGCGGTCGTCTTTGTGTGGTGGAACTCAGTGTTGTCCGGTGATACTGGGTACCTAAGTTAATAACCACATGATATATTGTATACTAATACACAGCATTTAATCTCTCCTCGGTGATTCCGGACTCGGCCTAGGGTTTCGACTGTGACACGTCGTGACGTCCACCAAATGACGTTGGCATGGTGGTGCAGGGCGCCCTAAAGGATACACGTAAACTAAACTGGAAGCTCTTGTGGCAGCTACGGCGGACGGCAGAAGCTGTCGGCTCGTGGCCATCCCGGGCAGCCAAATGTCGACGTTATGCTACAGGAACGGTAAGGGCACCGCCGAGTGGCAACCGCAGCGGCTCAACATTGCCGAACACAACCTGGAATGAGTCAATTTTGCCGTGTGTCATCTTGCGGGCCGCCATGCCATCCTCCATTGCTCCGAGCTGAGATCGTCTTTTCCCTTCTCGCCGTCGCCAACGTTGGATGGTAAGGTATATCGGAATTAGCCTAGTTATGTATGGACTTTCTAGGTAACAATGCCCCGCCGCAAACCACACCAGATCCGTGGATTTGGAACTGCTCAGCCAATTCTGCCTTTTACCGACACGTCAAGGCAGAGTACACGTGTATGCTGCCGATGCCTTGTGACAAGGACGAAATGTACTGTTCAGACAAAATCGCAGCATCTCGCTGACGATATCTCAAGATCTGCCTATCCCCCTCGCCCAATGATTCCCAACACGGCAGGTACATACCAGCATGTACATAATGCGATTCGGAACATGCCGAGGATCCCTGAACTTGAAGTGCTGATGAATGATACCGTGTACTCGGATTACAGTACGGTAAAGTTGTGCCGACTGGGTACTCCCACAGATCGCCGACCAGGGGGATTTAGATGTTCGTGGAGGTTAATTACATAGCGTGCAGATGGATAATATCATAACCTTGTATTTCCATTCTTCTCTTTTTCTGTTCTTTTCATTTGTTATCACCTCGCGCCCTGAACTTGTGTTTTCCTGATGAGAAGTAGAGGACGGCTCACATCCATCAGAGAGCTAGGGTCTCCTGTGCCTAACTTTAAACCATTCTGTGAGCCCAAGAAAAACTCGGGCACACCGCTGATCTGTGTTAGGACCCGATCTTCAAGCCTTCAAGTATTAGGTCCTAGCTAGAGCGTGCCTTCGCAGCAAGTTGGCCACGTGCTCTAGGGTAAAATACGGTAACTATTGAGAAGCCCGACGAGCTGGGAACAGCCAGAACTTGAACTGCATGCCCAACTTCCCCGGTAGCCACAAGTTTTGTCTCGCTCGAATCTGGATTGATAGTTACCGATTCCCCGGACCCAGTCCCCTAGGAGACCGAACCTCGTACCGTAGTAGTACTCCAGGCCCGCCAACTCAAGCGATAAACGTAAAACTCCCTCTTATCCATCAGCCAATTCTTCAATAACAGCGTGAGAAGTCTCTTCATCAAGGCAAGAACGGAACGGAGAGTCTCTCACCCCGCTGCCGAGCGAGGCGGTGCAGAAGAGCAGCCAATGCGGAGCACCGGGCCCCAAGAGATCCCCGGGCAATACATACGTCTGTATCTTGGCGCCACGGGGCATCGTGGCGAGCGTGGGAAAGAATGGCAAAAAGTGAGTTGGCATGGGTGCGTTGTCTCGTTGGTTGATCTTGTGTATATCGACCGGCCGGCTCTGTTGGTTTACTACATTCGTGCTGTTTGGGGAAAGAGACTAGTACATAGATTGCTCTGAGACAGACTAGTCATGCCGAGGTTCTGGGCACAGTTTCCCAAGAGATTGGCAAAGGGGGCGGTGAAAATGAGTAACGCTATAGCAAGTATTGTATGTACTTGTACTTGCTGCTCCCTAGATATCCATAGGAGGACGAGACTGACTGTCACCTTTCACTACTTGCAATATCAATACCCGCCGGACCAGTTCAACCTTGAGATCAAGAGCAGAGTAGCAAACTTGGAAGCAAGTCAAAGAAAGATAGCCTCGGAGTAGTAATCCTACCTACACTAGCTACTACATGGAGCGTCCCACGCCGAGATTTCCCCCTGATAACAACATTCTTGGCTACACACGACACGGAGAACTCAAGACTCGCTTCCACGATGCAGACATCTTCGTGCCGCCAAAAAACCAAGCACGGAAGCGTCGGGGCCTTGTGTTGAGCAAAAATCCAACAGATTGGCATCCATTTCCGGAAGTAAGACGTCTAAGCCTCTTTTTACCAATACTACGACGGTGGCTGACCAACGTTCCATATGCCACGCGTTTTTGTTCCCGTACAACACATCCCACACAGAGGGGTGGTATCGACTAATAAGAAGAAACTAGGTAGGTAACTCATGACCGTGTTTGTAACAAACTTGGTCTTGTCAGAACGACCGGGGATTACCTACGCCCCGGCCGCCGTCCCAGATCAACCTCCCTAACCAAGACCATCCCATCATCCTCCTCCTCCTCCTCCTCCTCCTCCTCCTCCTCCTCTTTATCCGTATCCCCAGTAGTAGTACTAGTACTAGTACTAGCATTCCCAAGAACGAAAGGCCTCACAGCCCTTCTCACCACGCCGCTCCAGAACCCGGCCACGACGCCCGCCAGGCCGTCGCCGGTCTGCTTGAAGTCGGGAAAGGCGTTCACCTCCAGCAGCCAGGCCTTGGCGGCGTCGTCGACCAGGAAGTCGAGGCCGTACACCTCGAAGGCCTGGGGCAGCGGCTGGAAGTGGATGGGCATGGCCCGCGCGGCCGCCTCGAACAGCTCGCCCGTGACCTCGCAGATCTGGGCGAAGACGGAGGCGGACTGTTCCCGGGACAGCGGCAGGGCGGAGAAGCGGTGCACTAAGCCTAAGCCGAAGTCTGAGCCGCTTCCTTCTTTCTCTGTGGTAGACATTGTAGGTGCTGAGGAGGAGGAAGAGGAGGAGGGAGAAGAGGTTTGTTGCAGGCAAGTATTAGTCAGGTGGGCGTCCAGGTCGATGTCGGCGCTGTCCACGGACCCGGAGCCCGGTGGTTGGTACGGCTTGGCGGCAAATAGCGCTAGCATGTCGCGGTAGACGTAGACGGACAGGCTGCCGACGCAGAGGACGTAGACGCGGATGTGGAACTTGCGGTTGTGGAACTCCGGGAGCAGCAGGGGAGGGTGGATGTAGGGCTGGGCGATGAAGTGGCGGAGGTGGGAGGTCATGATGGGTTCGTCTTTGTCCGCTGCGGTGTTGCCGTTGCTGTTGTTGTTGTAGGCTCCGCCACCTTGGGCGTCGTCATCGCCATCGTCATCGTCATCGTCATCGTCATCACCGTCATTGTCGTCGTCGTCGTTGTCGCTGCCGACTTCCCACCCGTCAAAGATGCCCTGCAGCTGCTCCATGGTGCTGAACAGCCGGATGCCCTGGCCGCGATCGCTCATGCTGGGCTTGAGGATCCACCATTCGGTGGCATCCTCCTCCTCCGCGGCCGGCGTGGCCTCGGCAGTTTGCTCCGCCACGCTCTCGGCGTCATTTTCCTGGCTGCCGGTCCGGCGGGACTCGTTCCTCTCCAGGCTCTCCCGCAGGTCAAATGCCTCGACTAGCGCGTCGTCCAAGAACTCGGCGTAGTCCACTTCGAACGCCTCGCTGCGCTTCACATGCGTCTTGAGGACCGAATCGGGGTGCTTCGCCACCCAGTTGTCGACGGTCGCCGACAGGAAATGCTTCCGGATGAGCGCCTTGCGGATCACGTAGCTGTTGACCAGACAGGTGTCGGAGTGCCTCGATGCGTAGTCAAAGTCAATGCTCTCGTAAGGCATAATCTGAACGACCTTGGCGCCGGGCTCGGGGACAACGTCTGCCAGAGAGATGTCCGGAGACGAAGAAGACCAAGACGACGGCGGCTTGACCAGGGCGTAGCTCTTGGGCGGCAGGAGGGACTCCATGGCTGACAGGATCAGGGGCTGCACATAGTCGTCGTCATAGTCGATCAAGGCGTAGGCTTGGGGTTTCTTCTTCGCCTGGAGAGGCAGATTTCGGGTTCCACCGGTAGAAACGGTTTCCTTAGAGACCGTCGAGGCCGAATGCTTGACCACAGCTCCGAAGGTTGAACTCCTGGTTGGGCGGCCCCTGGGAAGAGAGAAGCATGGTAAGAACAGGGCCTGGCTACTCGGACCAAGTATGACAAAGGTTATTTTTTCCCAAATCGGACGGGAGGGCCTCAGCTGGGACTGCCTCATCTAGTATTGCTAGATCGTGTGCTTCTATGTTCTATCTGATGAGAACCGGAACGCGCCATGATCATACCACGCCGTCCGTCCGATTTTCGCCACAGCGTGCTGCAAACACGGGGGATGATGAGCTCCATGAGCTCCATAAGTAGGTACTTACAATGACAGCTCTTTGCCGTGCAAGTGTGTGGCAGTCTGGAAAAAGTTGGCCTTGAGCGGCGTGACACTACATAAGACGGAGAGAGTCAGTCACCAACCCATCAAACCCAGGATCACCGGCAGCAAGGAATGAAGTCAACCATCACTCACCTTGTATGCCCCTCCTTCACCGCCCACCCATCATTTCCCGGCGGCGCCTCCTCCACGCTCTGGTAGACATCCGTAAACCGCGGCGACCACTTGAAGTGCTTGTGCGTGTGGCACGCCGCCGTGCCCTGGGCAGCCGCTACACCTGCGTCGTCCGCCTCGGCGTCGCCCTCGGCCTCGCGGATCCTCTCCTCGTCCTCCTCCTCGCCATCCACACTCCCATCCACCTCGGTGAAACAGCTGCCCGCGCCCCAGTAGTTCTGCAGCATCTCGGTGAACAGCACTTTCCCCTCCTCGAGCCGCTCGAGCAGCGGCACGTTGACGCTGTACAGATCGACGCTACCGTCGGCGGGCCAGTCGCGCACCAGGGCCTCGATGACGCGCACGCTCTGGCGGCTGGCCTTCTGGATGATGGCCGTGTCGTGGTTGCGCGAGAAGAAGGCGTAGCTGAGCGCGACGGCGCGATGCCGGCACACGGCGGCCTCGAGCGCGCCGCCCAGCGTGCCGCTGCTGAGCGCGAACACGGCCGTCGTGTTGCGCCCGTAGTTGGGCCCGCTCACCACCAGGTCGACCGGCCCGCGGTCGCGGAAGAAGTGGTACAGCCCGATCTGCACGCACGACGCCGGTGTGCCGTCGACCAGGATCCATTCCTCTGTTCCAGGGCGTGTGCTGGGCCGGCTGTGCGTTGTCCCGTGGCGGGCCTTTCCGTTCTGTTCTTGGGTTCCGGTGCCAGTTCCATTTCCGGTTCCGGTCTGTTGATGGTTCCGGCCGTCATCGTCGTCGGTCAGGCCTGCGGCGGGCGCCGATGGTGGAGGTGGGCGATAGTACAGTGGCTTGACTGTCTGGCCGATCATATGCGCCTTGCCGATCCACGAGCGCTGCGTGTGCGGGAGGCAAACGGACACGACGTGGCCGTGTGACTGGAGCTCCCGAACAAGGGAGTGGACATAAGGGGACGAGGTAGGCGACGGCGGACCGTCGTCGTTGACCACAAGAATGTGCATTGTGTGTGTGCGTATGTGCGTGCGTGTGTGTGTGTGTGTGTATTCGGGAGGTACTAGGTATCTTTCTGGTTTGGTAATGGTTGTTCAAAATCCTTGCAGTTGGATGTCAAGTGGAGTAGGTAAGAGGAAGGCCGGGTTCAATGTCGCCGCTCAGAGGTCTTATAGAGGGGAAGAAGAGTCAAAGCGTAGGTAAGGTAGTGGCAAACTTGAGATGTGAGGTTGGTACCTGATGAGTATCGCACCAAATTGCCCCTCTATTGACATTGAGTGATGCGTGGCGGTGGGGCAAGCAAGCTCGGCTCATAGTGCGGGAACCGCGAGAAGCGCTCTGACCGCGTAATGAAGCCATGACAACACTCATGATGCCTTCATCTGGTTGTGACGGCCACGTCTGTTGCCTGGGCCTGTATTATCTGATGCTGCTGTTTGCATCTCGGCCGCGGCTTTACATACTGTACAATACAAATCCCTGTAACCCTTCCGACTTACCCATTCTCCCTAATTCTGAAAATGACATTCATGAAGTTCCCGGTCCTGATATTCATCCTATCCAGGCCTTTGTTGCCTATGGTTTCTGATATTAAGCACCAAGGTAAGCCTGTGGAAGAGGAGGACGCGAAAAATGGAAAACAGAACGGAGCAGCGAATCCATGCCCATGACCCTCCAAACTCCCGTTCATCACACAAAGCTGGATGCATGCTGGAACCCGTGCCAGAAAGAGAAACTAAAAAACCATTCATGCTGAAATCGACGCCATGTCGCCACCTTCCTATGATGATATCACCAGGTCCAATGTGCTGGTAATTGCAGGCTGGCGTCTCGCCTCCCGATGAATCATTAAGCCCTGGTACGCTTGGACGCGGCTGCCGGGATATCCTCACCCGACCGCTTATGGCCAGTGCTCTGTGCGCCGGCCTTCGTCCGGCGCCAGCTATCAAAAGGGCTGCCTTTCGCGGGCTTGGCCTTCATCGGGCTGCTTTCCGTGGCCTTTTTGCTTCCGAAACGCGTAGTACGCGCTGTGGCTGGCGGAGAAGCAGGTGCGTGCCGGGGGGCCTTGGGGGTGCCAGCCGCCTCTTCGATCAGATCCACCGGGGTTTCGGGCTTTTCCGCCTCCAGCCCCGCCAACACATGGTCCTCAATGTCGGTCGGCGCTTCCTCGTCAGCATTCTCCAGCTTCGCCTCGTCCGCCATGGCTGTTGGAAAGAGCAGCCGGGGCTTGATGGATGACCGGGTAAAGTGCCGTCTCGGCGCTTCGACAGCGCTTTCCAGGCCGCCCTCACCGTCATCCAGGCTCTCTTCCAGCTCAGAAAACTTCCGGAACTGCTTCTTGCCTCGGCTGCGAAGACTTGTCAGTAATAGCGTCAAGAGAATAAGCTAAAAAGAGAGTCACGTACAACGTAATCAACATGCCGTCCTCGCGGCGAACAGCCTCTTCGATAGACACCCTGCCCTCGCCGGGAATAGTAACAGTGTTGCGCTTGCTTCGGCGCCGCGGCGGCTCCGGAACTGCAGTGTGCTCCCCGACGTAGAAGGGATTCTCAGCGCTGGTGTCCTTCTCGGGAACGCGTGCGTTGGAATCGGTGTAGATCTCGAACGATGCCTCGGCAACTTCCACAGAGTAGAAGCTACTCGGCCTCTCTTCGTCGTCGCTGTGAAAGAGATTGCGCGCGACCGCCTTGACCTTGTCCTTAACCTTGTCGTTGGGCGGCTTCGAGGGGGTTTTCGCCGGCGTGACGAGATTGCCGGCACCAGTCATCGCGCTTGTACGACGGGAGCGCGACTCAGGCATGGGCGCAGGTGACAGTCCAAGGGCGACGGCAGCGGTTGCGGTTCCCTCAGCCGTGAGGGTACCCGAAACCCTGCGCGACGAATCCATGGGAGGCATGCGCTTTTTCTGCGGCGAGAGGGCAGGCGTAGCCATGTTGGAAGCGAAGTGCTTGTTTGTCGACTTGGGCGAACCGAGCGAGCTTTCTTGTTGATGGCGACGCGATGACGGTTGTGGTGATGGTGTTCGATTTGCAGCCCGTTGCGCGATGCGGGTTGACTTGCGCGGGCCGGGTGTATAGGGCTGGTAATTGTCTGAATAACCGTGTTGGGGCGCGGGAGGTGTGTGAATTCGCGCGGTCGGTCCTGGGGAAGGTGTTGATGGCACAAATGGCTCCATTGTGCCCACCATGTTTGAGGCTGCGTGCACCTGATCTCCAAATCCAACGTTCTTCTAGCTGGCAACGTGCCGTTCAAGGTTGGTGGACGACGGATGAGTGCCGGTCAAGACAAAGAAGCTTTGTATAGAAACCGTGGAGTGGAAAGCGAGGTGTTGAGCGTTTGGAGAGAGGAAAGGGATCGGATGTGGCTCGAATGCCGCGGTGGAACTCTGTTTAGATTTCAGCGATTGCGAGCAACGGTGGAACAAATCGCGCAGCGCTCAATGCACAATAGCCGGCGCCTAGGGCAACAATAGCTATGCTAGGGTCTCCGGTGCCAGAATAAGAGCGAATGTCGATTCGATTGTTCTAGGGTTGTGTTGTGGAAGAAAATACGTTTAGATCCGGCAATGGAACAAAATGGTGGAGGAGAATGGAGGCGAAGAAAGGGTTGGGGGCGGTCTGCATTCGATCAGGAGCACGGCCCAGCCTCCCATTGGGCTCCCAGCCCCCTGGTCAGTTATTAAGTGGCCCGACAGCAAACGCGAAACCCCACAATTTACGCGACGCGTCTCGGTTCTTGCACCCTTGTCAGCCCCTCATCCCCTCCAATCCGATCCAAACAACGCATTCAGTACGATGCCGAGCACAACAAAGCAACGTCATCCATATGAATGCACAGGCGACGTCAATGCAGGATCGAAATCAGGAAATCAAGCTGGCAAGCCCACCGTAGCGTGTCTGGACATAGCACAACCCAAACATTAAACTACAAGGCGTTCTATTCAGCATGGCCAACGCATTCGACAGCTCTGATAATGAGGACCCGTTTGCATCGCCGCCCAGCCCAGCGCCAGGTCGTTCTACGATTCCCGCCAATCAGAACTTTGATACCGACGAAGCCCGCGAGGCTGCGTTGCGCAAGGAGCTTGAAGGGGTCAGGAAGATAAACGAAGTGATAGAGGGCGTCATTGGGACGTTAGAGCGGGCCAAGGGCAACATGGGCGTAGGTTGCGACTGTCAAACGATGCTGCACTCGTGTGCTAACCTGGTCTTTTGACGTCCAGACCGTTTCTAAGACAGTAGACAACGCCTCTACGCTGCTCAACACCTGGACTCGCATCCTCTCGCAAACGGAGCATAACCAGCGCTTGATCCTCAACACAGAATGGAAGGGCGCCACGCAGGACCTCGTTGACATGGAGAACGAGGCGCTGCAGAAGCAGCAGGAAGCCGAGAGGCGGACAGCTGAAGCGGAACGGCGGCGCGAAGAGGCGCGGGGGAAAGCACAAGAGGAGGAAATGAGGAGGGCGGCGGGAACCTCATCGTCATCGAGGGGAACTGTCCGTGGCGGCACAAGGGGAAGGGTCACAGGGCGGACAAGGGGCGGCGTATCGACGTCATCTTCATCGACAACGTACGGGAGTGATGCAAGGCCGAGCAGCGTTGCCGGCTCAAGAAACACGTCGGGAATAGGAAGAGGAGGATTCGGGTACGCGAGGGGAGGACGGTCAAGGGGCGTGAGATGAGGGTCGACCTCAGAGGAGAAAACCATACATATTCATATTATATCCATGCCGCGATACAGGTCCTGAACGCCTACCCAGACCGACTACACTACCGCTCTGCTTATATTGCAGGATGATACAGGCCTAAGATAAATGAGATACCCAAAGAAGCTACGTCTTCTTTTTGAAGAAATCGCTCATCTTCTTCATGCCAGACGTGTTGACCTTCATCAGTTCCTTGACGCCCCGGCTCATGCTTGCTTTCTTTGCCTTTTCTTCAGCCTCCTTCTTCCTCCGCTTCTCCGCCCGGTCGTCTTCCTCCTCATCCACCGCCCTCTTGCGCGAGAACTCGCCGGACCTTGCCGCCGTGGCCTCCTGGCGCAGCTTCGCCAACCGCGCAAGGTACTCATCAAGCGGCTTGAAGTCGACTTGGTCAGTCGCCTTAGCAAGGTTCTCCTGTAGCATCTGCGCTATCGCCGGCGCCACATAGCTCGAGCAGATGAAGTTGAAGGCGACCCTCAGTCGCTGCAGCTTGACCACCTCCTCGGATGCTTTCATGGCACTGGCAACCTCCCCTGCCCCCACACCATCGTCATCCGCAACGGACGTAGCAGCCGTTGAGACCGCCGACACCGCCGAGGCCGAACTCGCCGTTGTCTCCACAGACGAGACACTCGACTGAGTCTCGGCGCTCTCTTCCCCAGGCGTACTGCTCCCACTCCCACCGCCAGTTCCCTCCCCCGCCGCAGCCGGAGCCGCCGCTACATTCCCGTCCCTCCCCCTAGCCACCCTGACGCCCAAGACAGGCGCCTCCAGCTCCCGACGCACGAACCGCTCCTCCATACTAGGCGGTAACCCTCCCCCAGTCCCCTCCCCGTGCTCAGCCATCCTCCTCGCCTTGCGAAGCATCTCAGCCAGCAGCTTCGCCTCGCTGACGCGGTACATATTCTCGTCCCCGGCCTGGACGACGTCACACACGGCCGCGAGGCGCGTCTCGACCAGCGCGCGCGTGGCGGGGCATGACGCGAGCAGCTCGCCAAGGTGGCGGGACGGGTCTGGTAGCGTGTCGAGGTGGTCGTCTGCTGAGAGGAACATCCTCTTCGTTGGAGGGCTGGCGGTGCATAGTAGCGCGGGGAGGAGGAGGAAGAGCGGGTCGAAGGGCGTCGCGACGTGCAGCGCGGGGGACTGGGTTATTTGCGTGTCGATGGGTGGTTGGTCGTTGTTATTGTTAGTGTTCGGGGTAGTGCTGGCAGGCTGGATGAGCCAGCTTCGCGGGGCGGATTTGGGCGGGCAGATCTGCGTGAACTCGAAAAAGCCGGCTTTGGGGCAGACCAGGTAGCGGGTTGGTCTGCTGTAGCGCGGGTGCTGGAGGGTGGCGATGCGCGCTGATGGGGAGGCGGTTCGCGGGAGGCTGAAGAGTTTCGGTGGGTTGTCCGACTCGGCGGAGAGAGTGTAGACCGAGACGGCCGGTTTGGCGACCTTCTTGTCGGCGCTGGCACCGGCCGTTCCTGCGGCGCCCTTTGAGCGCGTCCTTGCCATGGCTGTATTAATTATCGCGGGCTTGAGATAGCAGTTCCATCTGACGGTGCATTGGCTCTGTTGAGTCTGGCAGGCTGAGCACCTGCCGAGTTAATTGCAGGACCTCGGGAGCATCTTTGGCGTTGATGCAGGGATGCGAGCGCCAAGGGGGCCCTGTAAGTGCGACGCGACATTGACGCGCAGCGTAGGCGCGTTTCGCGTTCACAATGCGACTTCCAGGTTTCATCAAACGCCTCATTCACGGCTTTTACATCACACATCACCTTATCAACGGGAATCGCGCTTATCGATCTCGATCGCAAGAATTACGAGACTCGAATTCCAGTGAGTTTTCCCGGCCAAATCTCGACCACCACAACCCTACTGCATGCGCTCCTGCAAGCGCCCGAGAATGGTCGTCTTGTCGGGCATTAATTGGCTGATACGTCGACACCCCCGGCACACCTTGCGCTGCCCTGTTTCACCTGAACCATAAACAAAAACCGTGATTACTCAAGTACGGATCCGTATAGTATTGCTGCTCGAGATTTGCACTACTGTAAGCCCGGACTTCTGCGCATTGTGTCGGTTGCGCGACTCTTCGCCCGGCTGGAGCTGTTTAAATCGCCGATCCCGCCATGGCTGCCCAATGGCCGCCGCGGTCGCCCCACGAGGCCCTGCTCAGCACCCCGGGAGGGAGGGAGAAACTGCGGCGGATCGAGGAGCGGTCATCCCCCTCGCTTTCCCCGTCCCGGCTCAGGGCATCACGGTCGGTTTCAGCGCTCGGTCCCAGATCAGGAGCAGGCGCGAGTGCGGGGGAGGATGCGCTCTTCGAAGGAGGGGATGACGACGAGGAGGAGGATGACGAGGAAACGTTGCAGCTCAAACTCCAGGCGATCCAAGCCCGGTTGAAGCTCAAGAAGCTGCGGGCAGCCAAAGCGCAGGGGAGGTCCACGGCAGCATCAAAACCTCACCCCGGCGATGGAGGGGCTATGAAGGGTCTTCCCATGCAGTCGAAACTTGCGGCCGTCCGGGACAGAATGGAAAAGCAGGCTTCACGCGATATCGTGCAGGTTCCGGCCTCGCCGGTCAAGAAGGCGCTGCCTCCTCCTGAACAAACGTCGCCGCAGAGGATAGTATTAGGGATTGACAAGGGCCTGAGAGGCGCGGACGTGTCTCTCAAGCGAGCTCCCAGCCAAAGAAGCGCGAGGGAATCGCAACCAAGTCAGCAAGGAAGCTACTTACGACGGGCAAAGTCACCATTGGACAGCCAGATCCAGCAAGAAGCACGTCCAATGAGCTTCAACGAGCGACTCGCATCTGCGCGGACCGAGGAGGTTGCGAGGCGCGAGAGGAGAGAACGGGCGGAAAAGGTCCGGAGTACCGCGTTTAGCGTGGGAAGGCAGGAGATGGAAGAGTACAAGGCCAAGGCACTCGAGCTGCCAGACCTGCCTTCAAAGTTCCTGGAGTTCTCGAGAGAACAGATTCTCTCCTCGATGGGGGGATCATCGGGGGCCGGGCAGTTACAACGCAGCAACACTGCGCCCAATGTGCGGGCAGGGGCGCGGGTTGGGAACTTCAGCAACGCTTCGACAACGACGACAAGCGCGGTCGAAGACACAGATCCAGGCGGAGGCTTCGAACCATACTCCGGGCTTCACCTGTCGAAGCGCATACTTCCCCACAACGTCCTCGCCCGGGCCGTGTCGGGGAAGAAAGCCTACCTCCTCAAAGACCTCCTTCGCCAAATCAAGGCACCCGACTGGTCTCTTCCGGACGACGAGACCGACATCGTTGTGTTCGCCATCGTCGCTTCCAAGTCAGACCCGCGCAGCCACCGCCCGGGCCCCGGCAGCGACGGCAAATCCCAACAGGACCGCGGCAAATACATGGTGATCACGCTCGTCGACCTAACCTACGAAGTCGACCTCTTCCTCTTCAACTCGGGCTTCGACCGTTTCTGGAAGCTGACCCCAGGCACGGTGCTGGCCATCCTCAACCCGGGCATCCTACCCCCTCCGCCCGGGCGGGAGGCGACCAACCGCTTCGGGCTGGTCATCAACTCGGACGAGGACACGATCCTGGAGATCGGCAACGCGCGCGACATCGGCTACTGCAAGAGCATCAAGAAGGACGGCACGTACTGCAAGAGCTGGGTCAATGCGCGGCGCACCGAGTACTGCGAGTTCCACACGAACGAGGCCGTGCGCAAGGCCCGCAGCGCGCGCATCGAGATGAGCACGACGGTCGGGCTCGGCGGCGGCGGCGGCGAGCGCTGGAAGCACAACTCGCGGCGCATCCACGCCAAGTCCGAAGAGGAGAAACAGCGCGGGCAGTACGACCGCGCCACGCACAGCCAGTACTTCATTAGCACCGCCCACCGCGCCGCCGATCCGGACGATGAGCGCCTGAGCGGCATGGCCGACCGCAAAGAGCGCGAGGAAGCGCTCAAGCTGCGACTCGCCCAGAGGGAGAAAGAACGCGACATCGCCCGGCGGCTGGCCGAGGCCGGCGGCGGCGCAGGGAGGGAGTATATGAGCCGTGCAGCGGGCCGGATCACCACTACCACCACAACAACCACCACTTCTACAAACACAACTGCGGGATCCAGCTTCTCCTCCGCCCCTTCCTCCTCTTTACCCTCCTCCTCCTCCTTCTCCTCCGCCGCTCCCATATCAGCCACCACATCAGCCTCCTCCATCGGTACCACGACCAACCCCCACCCCCAGGACCAACCGCGCAAATGGGATGCCCGCGCTTTGGGTTTAGTCGGCCGGCGCGGCGCCGACCAGCCCAAAATCAGCCTCGGCCCCCCACCCTCCACCACCAGGACCACCACCGCGGCAAAGCGCAAGCGGCCCGAGTCGGCCGGGTCCAGCTCGACGGTCAGCAACCTGGGAACCGGCGGAAACAGAGTAGCTCCGCTCGGCTGGGGCGCGCAGCTCAAAGATAAGCTGGGGCGGATGAAGGGCGGGGAGAGGCTCGATGGGCGGGATGGCGCGAACATGAACGGGGGGTTGAGTGGCGCTGCTGGTGGTTCTGGTTCCACGGGCGTTCCGTCTCTCCCTCTTCCTCCTCCTCCTCCTCCTCCTTCTGAGGGTGCCGCTGCGAGGGGCGATAAATCGCCCGTGAGGAAAAAGACGCGGTTTGTGACGGAAAAGGGCATCCGCGAGGCCGGGAGGGACAGTCTCGGGGAGCCGATGCTTTCGGCGGCGGTTAAGACCCGGCTGCGGCGGCAGGTCGTGCCCTTGGGGGATGATGATGACGACGATGATTTGATTATTGTAAGGTGAGGATCGGGTACGGGGCTGGTGAGGGTATGGCATATGGGAAAGGCGGTGTTTGTGTGAGGCGGGTGGTTGGGCACGCGGTACCTGGTATGAAATAGAAGTACTGTCAGAGGCATGTTTGGAGTTAGAAGGCTATATTGGGCTAGGCTGGGCGGCTTCAAGCATGGATAGGGGGTCATGTCTGGATAAGGTGCATGGTTTGAATTCATCATTGGCATTTGCGTCCGGCTCTATTCTAGTAGGGATCGCACTGAACCAACTCCCTTGTACATGTATGTGTGTTTGTGTTTGACTGCTTGCCCTAACAGCCTCTCATCAGTACCTAAGGCTTTGTTGGGCTTCCTATTTCGTATTTTATGCGGGCTTCCAAGTTGAGACGGACTCGGAACAGAAACAAACGAGTGTGATCAAGGCCTCGAATAAGGGGTGGTGATGATGTGACAAAGTGCCCCCCGTGAGTGTAAGTGGAAGAAGGGTTGGGGTTAATGATGATCCACCCTGCCGACCCCGCAGCGGCAGCCGCTTGGTTACCTTGGTACCCAACTTGGGTGCGTTTTCGTCATGTTTATTGAGTAAACAGTTGAATGAGGGGTCGGGCTTCAGCACGGTCGCCAGCCTGAACTTCAACCGCGTAACCACCGCGTATCAGACTTGCCCACGGAACCCACCTAGCGTTAGCAGAGCTCTTAGGCTGGTTGCATACTGAAGGACCGTTGATGAGGTATGCAACGCAGAACAATACCCCCGCGGGATCTCCCTACAACCCCAGAAGAAGCTAACAGGATTGTCGAGCGCAGGAAACCGGGGTCTGCCTTTGCAATCCAGCCGCAAAACAGCCTCGCATCAAACGACAGCCGAGACTCTGCCCGTCCGAACAAACCGAATAAACGATCAGCCGACAGCACGCCGCGCAAGTCGCGGGCAGAGCTGAGACAGAGCTTCTACGACCTGATCCAATCCACGACGATCACGTACTCCTCGCCGTCTCCCCCGAAACGCTCAGACAGTCAGCTCCTGCCCGGCCTAGAACGAGACACCATGGCTCGATTACGGAAGGAGTCGTTCAGCGATGACGATCTCGAGATCCTGAGCTCCCAAGCAGCCAACATGTCACTCGGTCCTCCCGAGGTGCAAACGCCCTCGAGGCCGAGAGGTAGACCAGAGCCCGAGGTCATCGACCTCTCCAACAGCCCAATTCCAGTCATCCGAGCCCCCGCAGCGGCAACGCCGACGCCTAGTTTTGGCCACCCAACAAAGCTGGTCCCGCGGTTCGGCCAGCGCAAAGACGACCCCAACAATGTGTTCATCCAGCGGAAGACTCGGCCTGAGTTTCACAGCGACATGTATAGGAGTTCGGGTCCCTTGAAGCCCAAGACCGAGTCCAAGAAAGCGCCGGCATTGCAGATGTTCAGCTCCATGAGCGAGGAAGCCCAGCCCGCGTACCAATACAGCCGGCCGGCGGGATCGGCATTTGGGAATACGGTGTTTTACACAGATCCTGCCAAGGCTTCAGAAGATCTGAAAGCCTTGCTTGAGGGGAGTCTAGAGGACGAGGACGAGGATGAGGATGAAGAGGGCAGCGGGGTGGACAAAAAGGAGGGCGACAAACCAAAAGAGGAGACTATCGAGGATGGATCTCTGGAAGGTATCAAAGTCAAGCTTCTCCCACATCAAGTAGAAGGAGTGAAGTGGATGCGCGGACGCGAACTCGGGACCGCCAAGAAGGGGAAAGCGACGAAGGGAGGTATCCTAGCAGATGATATGGGTCTTGGAAAGACCCTACAGAGCATCTCGCTGATCGTCAGCAACCCGATGCCCGGTCCGGAGGACGAGGAGTGGCAAAAGCAGTTTGGACACGTCAAGAAGGCGACACTTGTCGTTGCGCCTCTTGCCCTCATCCGCCAATGGGAAGCCGAGATCAAGGAGAAGGTGGCTCAGGGCCACGAGCTCAAGGTCTGCGTACACCACGGCCCCAATCGGACGAAGGACTCAAAGGTTCTCGCCAAGTACGACGTGGTCATCACCACGTATCAGATTCTGGTATCCGAGCACGGGAACAGCAACCCGGACCGGACAAGGAACCCCCAAGTGGGCTGCTTCGGTATCTCGTGGTACCGCGTGATCCTGGACGAGGCACACAGCATCAAGAACCGCAACGCCAAGGCCACCAAGGCGTGCTGCGCTCTCCGCTCCGTATACCGCTGGTGTCTCACGGGGACTCCCATGCAGAACAACCTCGACGAGCTCCAGTCGCTGGTCCACTTCCTCCGGATCCCGCCGTACGACGACCTCGCCGAGTGGCGCACCAAGATCGACGGCCCCATGAAGAGCGGCAAGGGCCACATCGCCATCCAACGACTGCACACGCTCCTACGCTGCTTCATGAAGCGGCGGACCAAGGACATCCTCAAGGAAGAAGGCGCTCTCGTGGCAGGCGGCAAGAAGGCGCTCGACGCGGCCGCGGAACAGGCCAAGAAGGAGGGCCACTCAGCAAAAGACTCGGCAGCCGCAGCGCCGACGCCTGCGTTCAAGGTCACGCAGCGTAAGGTGGTCACGGTCGAGACGCGCTTCTCGCCCGCCGAGCGCGAGTTCTACGACGCGCTCGAGGAGCGCGCCGACAAGAGCCTTGAGAAGATGATGAAGGGCCGGAACGTCAACTACGCCAACGCGCTCGTCCTGCTACTGCGACTGCGCCAGGCGTGCAACCACCCGCGACTGTCCGAGACGAGGCTGGAAAAGGACAGCGATGCCTTGGGTACGGTTACCGCGGCGCAGCCTTCTGCTGCCAAGGCGAGCGCCGCGGTATATGATGTCGATGACCTCGCGGACGCCTTTGGTGGCATGGGTTTGCAGGCGAGGCAGTGCGAGATGTGTCTGAATGATCTGAGCAAGAAGGAGGTCGCCGATGGGCTTATGCGGTGCACGGAGTGTGTCGAGAGCTTAAGGAAGGTGAAGAGTGAGAGTCCTCGGCGGAAGAAGCCGGAGAAGAAGGAGAAGCGGGTTAGTGTTGTGGAGGAGGAGATCAAGATTGAGAAGATGACCAAGCGGAAACCCAAGGGCCGCAAAATCATCACAGACAGCGACGACGAGGAGGAAGACATGGAGGGGAGCTGGTTGGTGCCGGAGGATGAACGCGGTTCCCTCCGTCTCGGCAAGGCCGGGGGCGAGGAAGACGAGAACGCGGAAGGTGGCGGCGAGGACATCGCGTCCGAGGATTCAGACCGGTCTTCCGACAACGACGACGAGGAGGGGAGCCAGCTCGACAGCTTCATCGTCAAGGATGAAGACGTGCCGGAAGACGAACTGGCTGCAGCAGACGGCTCCGACACAGATTCGGACGACGAGACGTTTGTGTCGGTGTCTAAACTCCGCTCGCAAGTGGTCTCCGAGCCAGGGGCCGACGACAGCGAGATAGAGGCCTCGGAAGAGAGCAAAGATGAAGCGATCTCCGAATCCGAGCTTCACTCTGGCTCAGAGGGCGACGACTTGCCTATCCAACGTGGTCATCACAGGAGGAGCACCAAAACCCGTCCTTCCGCTTCCAAGGCCAGACACCGCCGAACCAGCACCGACGACGACGACGACGATAACATCGGGATCACGGCCTCGGCCAAGATCCGCGAGCTGCTCTCCATCCTCCGCAAAGAGACGGCCGAGCACAAGTTCATCGTCTTCTCGCAATTCACCTCGATGCTGGACCTGATCGAGCCGTTCCTGCGCGGGCAGCCGGGCCTGAAAGCGGTGCGGTACGACGGCAAGATGGCCAACGACGCGCGCGAGGCGGCGCTGCACGCGCTGCGCACCGACCCCCACACGCGCATCCTGCTGTGCTCGCTCAAGTGCGGCTCGCTGGGGCTGAACCTGACGGCGGCCACGCGCGTCGTCATCGTCGAGCCCTTCTGGAACCCGTTCGTCGAGGAGCAGGCCATCGACCGCGTGCACCGCCTGACCCAGACCGTCGACGTCGTGGTGTACAAGCTCACCGTGGCCGACACGGTCGAGGCGCGCATTCTGGCGCTGCAGGAGAAGAAGCGCAAGCTTGCCGAGGCGACCATCGAGGGCGGTATGCGCAGGAAGGGCAAAGGCCAGCTCAAGCTGGGCCTGCAGGAGATTCTGGAGCTGTTCAAGCACGATTCCAGGCGCTCGTTTGGCGATGATCCGTATGGTGGCCTGGATGAGAAGGTTGTGGTCCAGGACGAGAGGGCCATGATTGGGCATAAGAAGAATAAGCAGGGGCGGAAGGAGCATGAGGTGTATGGGCGGCGGTGGTGACGTGTTGCGGGCGTGTTTGGGATAGACGGGACGGCGTGGACGGGAATGGATAGGAATAGGAATAGGAATAGGATACGATATAACGGGGTCCCAGGACAGGAAGGGGATAGGATGGGAGTTACTAGTACTTGGTTTGCCGGAAGCAGGAGGATATGGGTAGGCTTTGGGTCAATGGATTTCCTGCGTCAGAGTTTTAAGGGATTACCGAAATGTTTTGTTGTCTGTGTAGATGTCTGGGCTATAGGGCGGAGAGTATCTTGCGGTATGCTCACCGTGATGCGATTCCTGTGGATTGGGGGTCTATCGTTGAGTGCTACTTGTATGTGCGAGCGGCTGTCACCCAGCCTTGACGTGACTAGCATACAATATCAGGATTGTTAAGCCTGAGCATACTAGGCTTGGAACCTGAGCTCTAGATTTAACCATTAAGAAATGCTATAGAACAAGTATGTCTATGTCATATCAGCCCCACCCTTTGACCTGATACAATCTACACTGTTTGCAAAACGTCGATACTTTGATATATCCCCTTTGAACCTTGCAAACCCCCTGACCTGACTGCCCAACCGGCCCGTTGATCCCCCCCAAACCACATATCCCCCTGTAATCTCAACGCCCTAATAAGTAAAACCTGGTATCGCAACGCCACGAATGAAAGAAAGCAACCTCCGAACCGGAGACCCAGCCCCATCTCCAACGCACACCTGCTCTCTTTTACTCAAATTATTTTTTTTTAAAAAAAAGACCAGCCCAGAACGAGGACTTAAATACTTAATACCGCCCGGAATCCTTCATCTCCTGTGCCCTCGTCTGCCCCTTGACATACTCGCTCAGGCGCATCTCGTTGCTCTCCCCGGCGTGCCCGGACATGCGCCGGCTTCCCGGGCGGTAGGGCGGGAGCATGGGCTCGGAGGGGCGCATCCCGTCGGAGACGAGCGCGGAATCGGCTGACTGATCTTCTTGATGATGATGATGATGATGATGATGATGATGATGGTCCTCTTCGGAGAGCATGGGCATTCGAGGGAAGGATAATGACGGGTGATGTTGGTGGTGGTGGTGGTGGCTACGCTGGTGGTGGATCTGTGGTTGGTGCTGGTGCTGGTGCTGGTGCTGGTGCTGGTGCTGCATCCCGTCTGCTACGAGCGCCTCTTCCGCGTCGTCTTCGTCTATGGGGACGGGGACGAATCCTATGCCGGGGTTGTTTTCGTTGGTGGTGGTGGTGGTGGTGATGGTGGCGGAAGAGGAGGATGGGGTAGGGGAGACCGCGGCTAATGGTCTTCGGGGGAATGGAGCAGGCGGTGGTGGATGGCTGCTGTGGGATCGGCGTGGTGGGACTGACGGGCCTCCGTAGGCCCCGGCTTGTGAGGATGTTGATGAGGTTGCTGTAGTGAAATTGCTGCGGAGAGAGGTGTTGCGCGTGAGGACGCCCTCGCTTGACGGTTGCGGAGGGGGTAGGCTTGCTCTGGCGGTCTCATGAAGTCGGGATGGAGACTCGATGACCTTGAGGTTGATCTCCTCTGCCCGCTCGAGTGATGAGAGCAGCTCGTCGACCTTGGTGTTCTTGGTGTATCGCTTCTCGAAGATGGTAAGGGTAGTCACGGTTATGGTGAACATGTAAGAGAAGCTGTCGGTAGTCAAGTCAGGACGTGAGAGCAACAGGGCGTGATCAGGAAAGACGGACACAAGGGCAGTGGCAATGACATAGTAGGAGCGGTCCAAACCGCATAACTCGTCCAACATGCCGCGATGGCCAGGGGCTTCGTCGCTAAATCGAACGGTGGTGTAGCCTTTAGGGGGAGACTCGGGGTGGTCTTCGGGACGAACTGGAGGTATGTGTAAGTGACGACGGCAGAAAAAGATAGCCGAAGAGCAGCTTGGGCTAGTACTGACAGTCGGTCCGCGTCATGCCGGCGCAGTGTGTCGGGAGGCCAGCACGGGCGAGGGTGGTGATGATGCCGAGCACCACGACGCAGAAGAGGACATCGCAAACGGCAAACCCGGCCAGCCAGGATGTCCTGCTGGACCGTCGACCGGTGTTTTGGAGGACGAGAGCAAGTGTTGAGTATCCCGTGAGAGCGCAAGCCTAGCATGTCGCAAATGAGCCGGTGCAACAGCAAAAACAGCAACAGAAACTCCGGTTGAGCATACCAACAACTCGAGGGCGGCCATCTGATGCGATAGGCCGAGCTTGCCGGCATAGACTTTGACGGTCAAGTAGCCATGCATGCTAGTCGCTGCTAGAGAACCCAGTAGCTGGAAAGAGCGGCCAAGCGCCAGCCATGTTGGCAACTCCCACCCCATCGTTGACAGGAGATTACCTAGGTTAGGTATTTTGTTGACCAGCTTCCGCCTGGAAGACCCCGAAGGCAGGGGACGCGGATTCACAATTGACACCCAAGGTCATCAGACTCGTCAAACCGAAAACAGATCCAAGCAAAGCACGGAACCACTGAATTCATCTGGCAGCACAACCTGTGTTTGTATGTAGGTTTGCTCTCTTTCTCCTGGGCTAAGCAGCCGAGCGACTAGATGCGGGAGGCTGGGGCTGTGTCCCTGTGCCCCCCGACCGTTGGGCGCGATCCTCTCTCACCTCTCCATGCGGAATGGATTGAGCGGTCGGCCGCCAGCGGGACCATCGTTCGGTTGACGGGCGTAGTGGGGCGGCAGTGACGGGACGGCACCTCATTTGCGGTGCCGGGACGCCGACCTGCAGCGCTCACGGTGTCTGGTCTTTGCCCTTGTCTTTCTGCCTTGATCAAAGTGGCAGGCGCGGGCGGTGCTGTCAAGATTTAACTTCGCTCGGGAAGAACCCGTGTTTCATGTTTCAACCGTCACATCATCATGATAAGCCTTGTTCCCGGGCGAATGCAATGGACGGATGGGTAGTATTCTTCAAATCTCATGCTCTTATTCTCAGTCTTGACGAGGACGCGTCAGCTGCATCTCCCGCCGTGGCTTCTACACTAGCGGCTGCCCTGGGCACAGCCTCAACCAAGGGGAAGAGACAATCGTCTGATTGGCTGGCCGGCGAAGATCCAAGCCGGGGCCTTGGCAAGAGCAGCTGAGCAGTGCCGAGCAGTCTGCTGCTTACTCCGGGGTTTCGGACACGGGGAGTCAAAGGGACTCGGATGTTTAACACCTGCCGTAATCCAATCCACTGCTGTTCTCAATGTTGTGTAATCTCTAGATGATCTTTTGGAGTCAGAGTTTCGTGCTTGCAGCCACACACATTGAGACGTCCAAAGATGCGCAGATGCACCTTCTTCTCCAGGTTCTGCTCGCGGCCGCCAAGGACCGACGACGGGCTTGGTGAAGACGGCGAGGCGAACAACGAGAAACGTGTCCGGAGCCCGCGGGACTGGTCTGCCATCGCCTTAGCAGTGCTTCGATCCCTCCAATTCCTTTACGTTGCCTTTGCGTACTACTCGCTTCAAGACTTCCAAAGATCAAGTTACTTCCGTGACGATGGCCCCTGGCATCATCCACCAGACCAGATGCGTCAATCCTGGCGGACGTTGCGCTGGGTCCGGACGCAGGTACGAGCACAGGAGCTGCCCAAGTATTAACTCTGACGACACCAGACCCGTCTAACCTTCTGGACAGGCGTCCGTGATCCTAGTCTACCACACCTTCATCATCGTCATCCCTGGGCTGCTGCGGCTCCTCAAGCCGACGAGACGGCCGTTCACGGGCTTGTCTGCCGTGTTTGGTGACGGTTGTGCCATGGTGGCCATGCTCAACATCATGGTCCAGCTCGACACTGCCCATGAGGATTACTGCCATCGCCCTCCCCCGAGAGCAGGTACGTTGTTGTGTGCGGCTAGGTGAGCCCTGGGCCCTCGCCCATTTTGCTAATACGGGCCCAGACCCCATCACGCACGCAATGTTCAGCTTCGGACGGAACGATCAGCATCACCACCACAACATGGACAGGCACAGAGCAGTGTGCCGCTCACTGGATGTGGTTTTCGGCCTGGGCGGGATCATCATGTGCGTCGCCCCTGAACCCCTAATCTCTTCCCATCTACTAGTAACCCGCCCGCCCACTCACACATCCCACTCCTGTGTAGCGTCTCCTATCTTTGGTCAGCCCTCGTCACGGCCTGGCGCGCCAAGCAATCATCGCCACCTTCGGTGCATGCGAAGGTTGAACAAGTACGCGATGTAGAGCAGGGTGTCACACCGCGACCGGCCGTTGTTATGCCAGAAGCTGCTACTAGACCGCAAGCGACATCGTCCCAGAGACAAGACTCGCCGCCACCCCCTTATCGCCCTGCTGTCGCAGAGCTGGCCCAAGAGCCCGATGCAGGAACCGGCTACCCCAGAGGCCGGGTCTCCATGGAGACGGTGTCGTCGGTTGGTCTCGATAATTACCTGGTGTCAGACGGCTGGCGGGCGCCCGAAGAACCACCAGTCTACTCGAGCAGGCCACCGAGTTTGCATCATGCGCACTTGTAGTTGCAGCTTTATATAGTAATCCATAATAATGTTGCTCAGGCTTTGCTCATATTTGGACGAGCATCGTACGAATGACTAAGGCACCTAGTTGACTAGTAGCCTGCCTTTGACTCACCGGTCAGCCGAAACATGGTCACGAGCAAGTTATCTACCCACCTACTTAAGGTAGGTATCTATCTCCCGACTACAAAAAGCCCCCTCAAATCCCAAACCGCTGCCTAGCCAACTCCCTCAACCCCTCCACCACCCTGGCCTCCCTCTCGCGGTAAGCCCTCACCCGCTCCTCCCGCTCCGCCATTCTCGCCCGCTCCGCCTCTTCCCGCCGGCTCACCCGCTCCTTCCTCTTCTCCGCCCTCGCCCTGACAATCGCGCGATACTCCTCCTCCGCCGTGGCCCCGCCGCCCAGCAGCTCGCCCTCGGGCACGTCCCCGACCGGCCCCCCGGGCGACTTCTCGCGGAACCCACGCATCTTCTCGTTGACCTCCCTCCGCTTCTCGAGCCGCCGCTCGCGCGTGCCGGCGTCTGCCCGCGGCGGGAGGGCTTCGTCCAGCAGCGCCTTTTGTTCTTGCCGGTGGGCGCGCCGCGCGAGGCGGAGGGCCGTCAGCTCGGATTCCCGTAAGACGGCTAGCGCTTCGTCGCGGAGGGAGAGGTCCGCTTGTGTTGGGATTGTTGGGCCCGGGGCTGTGGCTGCGGCTGGGGTGGGGATCCTTGACGCTGATGGTGTTGAGGATGATGATGTTGCCATAGAGCGGGTGAGGTGGTCTGTTTGAGGCGGTGGCGGGGGAGGGCCGTAGTCGTCGTCATCGTCATCGTCGTCGTTGTCGTTGTCGTTGTCGTTGTCGTTGTTGTCGTCTGCTGCTGCGTCTTTGTCTTTGTCTTGGCTGAATGGGGCAGCGGATGCGGGAGAAGGAGAGGATGGATGATCATGGGTGTGTGTACCCAAGTCCTGGTAATCTTGAGCGGCGCGCTGGAAGATTTCCGGGTCGTACCATCCCTCTGCGAGCTCTCCTCGATTCCACTTGCCCATGAAGCTCTTCCATCGGCCGCGGATCTCAGTTTCGTCCATGGAGTCGATGTCCAGGGTTTTCTGCAGGTCCAGATAGTGGGCGAACAGCGGTCTAAAGGTGGCCAAGTCGCTACGCAAGAGCTGGCGCGCGCCAAACGGCAGTTCTTTTCGAGAAGAGGTCGGATCCGTCAACCCCTGTGTTGCTGAATCATGGCGGTGACGACGTGGACGGTCATGTCGTTGGTGATGATGATGATGCCGCCGGTGGCGCCCAGATCGCCTGTCGCTCTCTCTACCACCGCCTGGCGGATATGAACGTTCCGTCTCCCGACCTCCATGGTCCTCCCTTGAAGCGCCCTCCCTTAGCCTCACCGACCCCCCAGTTTCTTCACGATCTCGCCACCGATACCTATCCTTTTCCCTCCCAGCCTCCGGCACATGGCCCCGGTGAGGAGATCGTGAGGGAGAACGGGACCGTGGTATCCTCTTTCCAGGTCTTGACCGTGACCTTGACCGGCTCCTGCGCCTGCTTCCAGCCGAAGCATCGGTATTACATGGCGACCTCATGATGACCTATGCACTCTGCTTTCCGTGTGGTTCTGTCTCAAAGGACTCCCTGTGTGAAGGATTGATGAGAGAATACACTCTCGAATATGTAAGCCTCAGAATTCTACACAGCCAGTGTCGCGCTCAACATGAAGTGTCGTTATTGCAGGGTGTGTCTTGGCGAGGCGAACGGTGGCCGGTGAGAAGCGAACTGCCGGGGTTGATAATGAGTAATTGTGCACTGTTAGTGCAAAACGCCAGCCGCTCCGTTATTAATTCGCTTCCGTTTCCGACTGCTTCACAGCTCTCTGCACCTGGTTTTGGATTCACTAACCGACGGCATGGCTGACGCTGCATATCTCAACCAATGGTCGCAAGATGAAAACTTGGTTACATATCTCGTGATGAGGCTGAGTTTCTGCAATTACGCATGCTTCTCGCGAGTTATACAAAGGAGTTCTACCTAGCTTCCAGGTAACGATGTTCCCGCGCAGAAAGGGTATCAGTTCATGCAACAAACGACAGTGCCCGCCTAATAAGGATAGCCAGTCATGGCGAACACATTGAAAAGATCCATGATAATTGGAACCGAAGAGCAATGATGACGCGGTCATGTCCTCTCCTGCAGCTTGCTACACCCTCTCCCATCCTGAACACTAGTAAGCACCATTGACCGCCACGTCTGGCTCTACAGTTACCCCGTCCGGGTCACAACTACACCTACGCACTACTAGTTTCATCACCATTCGCCATGTTGATAGCATAGCCGCCTAAGCTATATCGTCCACATTGAATATCCATTACCGAAGAGTCCTACGCCTGCTGCAGGGGAACGTTGTGCACCAAACACCCAGGACAGTTACAGCTGTCCCCGCACGGACAAGACTCGAGGCTGCCGCCGCAGAGCCCCGAGATGGGCAGGTTCACAAAGAAGTAGTCCATCGACGACAGAAACTGCTCTTCGAGATGAGGCGACCCTTCGCTGCCCGCCGGCGTGGGCGCTTCGGCCGGCGACTCCTGTCCGCCGGTCACTGTCTGTTGCGTCTGTTGCGTCTGCTGTTGCTGGCCCCACCCTTCTCCTTCTCCTCCTCCTGCTCCTCCTCCTCCGCCGCCGGAGATGTCTGCAGCGCCTGGGCTGCTCCCATTGCTGCCACTATACGCATTATTGACGTACTGGAACATCTGGGCGTTGAACGGATGAGCTATGCAGCCCACGCATCGGCAGCCCGGACCGCAGTTGCACTCATGGCTGGTGCCAACCTCTCCTGTCCCTCCTCCATTGGAGAGAGGTGCCATCGGCGGCGCACCCAGTGCGACGTGCATGCTGGTTTGCGCGGCGACCTGTTGCCAGATTCTCGGGACGACTGGTTGCTGCCAAGAGCCGTAATCCCCGGGGTATGTGAACACAGTGGGACACTGGAACTGGGGCACATATGGCTGGCCGTATACTTGCTGCTGATGGTGAGTCATCGGCACATTGCTTGTGTTCATGAATTGAGCTTGAGCTTTGCTGCCACAGCAGCTCGAGGTGGATGGTTGTGGTATGAATGACTGCGTGTATCCTTGCTGGGATACCATTCCAGAGTTTGGAGCAGAATGTGATACCTGTGCCTTACTAGCACAACAGCTACCATTTTGCGGTGAACCCCCGTTAGGCTTCGGTACCGAGGACGGGCTTTGCATGGCTGCTAGTGGTGGGCTGTTTAGCGGTGTCGCCGTATGACAACACCCACTGATGAAAGGTGGTGGCATCGTCGCGGCTAGACTCCTAGTAGTCGCACCCGGATAGAGCCCGCTGTTCTCCATCTCCGGCATCGCATGCTGATGCTGGTCCGCTTGCGTGTACTGAAGACCCATAGTGTAGGGCATTGGTGAGCCGTAGCTGGAACTCTCCGGAGACGCATATGCATTGCCAGGTCCGGCTGGCATCGTTTCTTGAGGTGGCTGGTACCCAGCCTCACCAGTCCGTGGAACTTCGAGTTGGGAGCCGCCGTTACTCGGCATGGCCGTCCCGTTGGTGGTCCCGTTGCTAGTCCCATTGCTGCTCGTGGCGGCTATCACGTTGATAGAGTTCGGATCCATCCTCTCCAGGTTGACGAGATCAACGGAATGCTTCCGCGTGCTGGCTTTGGAGCCATTCGGCTTGGCAACTCGGAATGATTGCCGCGATGGTGATGCCGGGGTCTCAGCCGGAGACGGCTCTTTCTCATCTTTCTCCGTGTCATTTGCACCTTCGCTAGGGCATCCGCACTTCTGCTTCTTGGGAATCGCGACTCGCACGCCCCCGCAGACACACGGTCGTCCGGGAGGGCAAGGGCAAGAGCTCAGGGGCCGGCCAGGTTTCCGCACCGGGAGCATAACCCGGTCATGGAAATGATTGCATTTTGTAGAACGATGGCCACGTATACATGGCGCACTGTGAGGTCAAAAGGTTAGCAAACGTTGCGACATGTCACGATCTTGAACTTGGTTCGTTGCGATGGAGTGCTGTTTTGATCTTAGACGGCGTGTGGTTGAACATTGGGTGCGACAGATGGAAGCAGGAACGGGCAGCAACCAGATTACCGTCAGGCCACAAGGGGAGGAAAGAGGAAAGTAGATGAGAAGAAGAGAGGAGAGGAGATGGGAGACATACCAGGCCATCTTCTGGCCATTTATAATCGGCATCTTGATGGGCTAAAGAGTAATGGGACAATTTTACATCAGCCCGCGACGTATCAGCTGACCCGCCGTTGGGTCAGATGCGCCCATGCGTAGGCAGATAGTCGCGCGGATGGTGTAGCAAACTAGGCTGACAACGCTGGCCCCGTGACGCATGCCAGCTCGCTCGACTGGTGGTGATGCTGCCAGATGCGCCGGAAGTTCGCTGAACTGACAATGGCAGCCTCCTCTTAGCCCGCCAACCGAGGCTTCAAAGAGCGGGCAGAGCGAGCAAAAGCGGGTGGAGCGAGTTCTTTTCTGCTCTATCGTACATATGCCCACTCAGGTCGTGATGTCGAATGACCGAAAGTCCTGGATGACTCGTAGCGTTCAGACCGCAAATGCGTCAGACTGTCGGACTTTCGAGACGCGTCGTCCAAGGCTCAGCGGGCTGTGGTCGACTGACCACCTGGCGGTTGACCTGCAAGACGACTTGAGGCGAGCCAGGACGATTCAGAACAGACCCTCCTCCGGGAACAACCAGATCGGGGATCGCCTTCCCCAGTGGACCAACACTCCCGACGCTGCTTTAACGAGCGGACCGCCGTGTCTAACCCGTAAGCTCCGGAGCAGAAGAAGAGGAATTTGCTCGCGGCGTGGATCCTTTTCGTGCGGTCGTAAGGGCCGTTGACGGTTGGCACGCAGATCGAATCCGAGCGGTAGCCAAAATAGGTGACAGTATAGAGAGGCAGATCGGGCGGGACATAGAACGGATTCGGGATCAGGCCATTCCAGTCCGGCGCCCGCTCCGATTCGGACAAGAGAGCCAACTGGCAAGAGGGAAACCTGAGCAGAAGAAGCTGATCGGGCCGGCCGTTTGACTGACTACCCGAGAAGAACAGGCTGGAGAAAAGCACAGTCGGTTGAGCCTCGCTAGGTCGCGTGGGGCTCGGTGCCGCAGTGGCGATGCTCAAGCTGCGACAAATGGATGTTGGTATGGTACTGTATGACTTTCAAGGGTGAGGCGCGCGCCGGTTGGGAAAGACCTTGTCTCGTCTCAGCCTGGGAACCCGGGGTTCGGACGGGAAGCTTTTGGTTCTCCCTGCCGCCCTTTCCTAGTCACGGGGGTGTGCGGGTGTGCCTCGTTCTTGCTTCGAGAGTGAGAATGTATGTATAAGCGTTCATTCCAGGTTCCCCGAGCTGTGTGATACCCTAAGATGACTCTCCTAGGGCCAGGGTCGTGCATGCAGAAGGAGCACGGCGTTTTGGTAGTCGGAGAAACTGAGCAAGTTTCCATTGGCTGAGTGGATGGGCCCCGAAGCACACTACAAGGAAATCGACCGGTTCACCGAAATATTGCCGCCCGACTACCAGGAAGAGGCGGAATAGATTCCCTCGTCTCAAAGACTTGCTATGAACTGGACTGATGTGTTGATGGTGAGATAGTATTGAGTTGAGTCACTCAGTCAATCATGCGTTGCAGTTTGGGAATAATATTGGCTGCTAGGTCCTACTACGTCTTCACGAAGGGAGCCTCAGTGGCCGGATTTATGTCCGGATTCCTCGGATGCCTGTCACCTCAGGGTTAGGGATGTAGTAAGATGGCCACCATGAGACATGCATTTATTAAGCCATCAAAACGTCTCAAAGTGGAATGGACAGCTGATGTGAAAGATGTTGTCAGGACCAAGAGTGCCGAGCCTCCCACTCTCATCAGAACAGTCGACCCTTATTGGCGATGTAGCATCCCAGCCCCAAGCCCGTGGAAACCATCCTGCAGCTTGAGCGGCACGCATCACGCAAACGTAATGTATAATGGGTGGTATTGCCGAAACTAACCCTTCCTCACACCTCGCTTCCCAAGCCGGGCTTATAGTCCGAACGTAACCCCACGCTCGTCCTTCCTTATGTGGCCCCTTCTGAATCAGAATCGGCAAACATGTCCATGGCGCGCACCCGCTTTCTAGTGGGCGCCGGCTTGGAAGCTGACATTTGGAAGCCGCCAACGGATTTGCTGTCTTGCTTGGGTGACAACGGTGTCCCCGTTGTCACATCGCCACCGGGCAACTCCTTTTGAGACCCATCATCGTCTGGTTCGCCGTCGAGATCCAGATCGGAGAACGCGTCGTCCAAGCTGGGCAGGTATTGCAGACGAACAGAGTCTAGTTCGTCTTCGGATCCGTCTGCGTACAGTATGTTCTCGACGTAATCTTCTCCCAGATCCTGGTCGACGGCGGGCTTCGTGGAGACCGGTAAGAACGCGGGACTATCACCACCGTCAACCGCGGCAGCATCGACCGTCTTCCATCGCCCCGTTTTTCGTTCCGGTTCGGCTGCATCGGCAGCTTTCTTGAGTACAGGCGGATCCTCGAAACTCCTGACAAAGGACTCGTGTGTCTCGATGGGGAATACGCACCAGCCTTCCCACAGGCTCAGCACAAGCCCTACGCTGCGTTTCCATTTGTCGGCACGCAGACGGCCCCAATTAAGCTTGTCTGCCATCATGCCCAGCATCTCAAAAGTCTTGCGGCTTCGGAGCGCCACCTCGAACAACTGCCGGTAGCGCCAGGCATGGCGTATCCCGCTAGTGGAGGAAGAGGACAAGATGTCGCTAATGACATAGAGACCGAGGAGCCGCGCGGCGCTCATATCAAGCCCATCCGAGGCGGGCTTGTCCTCTGCCGACGGCGACGTATCCCGCGAGTCCTCTTCCCGCTCTTGTTTCTCTTTTGCTCCCTGTTTGTAGTCGGGATTTGCCGTTGTGTATGCGAACGGGTGCTCAACGTTAGAAACGATCATATCTACTATTTCATCGGCGCCCCGGCTGGCGTGGGTGATGGCGAAGGCGGTTATCCGCGCGATGTCCCCTTTCCTGATTTTGGATAATGTGGTTGGTAGCCGAGCTAGCAAGTGTGCTAGCTTGAACTTCTCGATAGGGTTCAGAAACGTGTCTTCCTGTTCGACGGCGTCGCCTTGTCGAGCCTGCTCCTCCTCAAACTCGTCGTCGTCGGCCGATTCGTAGTCTGAGTCCGAGACGAACTCATCGACATCTGTCGTGTACTCGTACGCCAGCCGCCGTTCAGGCACTTTCCACGCATGGCTCCCCTCGAATAGAGGGAGGTACAAGGGTTTGCTGCTCCGTGTCGATTGTGAGCCTGTCACAATCTCCCAGAGCCTCCACCGATACCAGATGCCACCCTCACTGCGCGCATCCCAAATCCAAGCCCACTTCTCGTCTCGCTGCACGTCTGGACGGGACATGAGAAGAGCTTCAAACTCTGGGCCGTGTTCCAGCACGGCCTCTATAACCTTGTGGATCATGCGTAGCTGCTTGATGTCCCGCGGTGCACGAACAGGAACGTGGAGAATGGCGCCCCTGCTGAGCGGACCCCCCACCGGAGGGCCGTATGACGAGGGAGGCGCGAATGCGCGACCATGACCCATATGATGTGGCCCAGGCTTCCCTGAACGCTCCTCGACTCTCTTTGCGCCAAACGGATGCGATACGGCTGTCGAGACGGGCAGCGCAGACAGGCCGGATGATATCGCGGCAGACGAGAGATGCCGGTGCAGGGACAGGAAGAAGCCGAAACCGAGGTAACGGTTTTGCAAAGCGCTCACGGCGTTATCGATCTCTGTCGCCGGCGTCTCTTTTGACAGTGTGACAATGGCAGATATCGACTTTCGTTCGGTCCCACTGGGCCCCGAAGGCGGCACGATTTTGACATTCTCGACTGTCAGTTTGGACGGGATCAAGGACTTGATGAATGCGGGTGATGTTCCAGGCGGTATGTTCGCCAGACGCAGGGTCGGCTTTGAGGTTGCCTTTTCTTCGGCTCGGTCGGCTGTTGCGGTGTCTCCCTCGTCGTCGCTGGCATCGAAGGCCTTGGACACGGGCAGCGCGCCGAAATCCCGGTCGTCGAACCCTATTCTCCCGCGCCCCCCGTCCGATTCCCGCTGAAAGCCATCGTAGGACCTCTTCTTCCCAAATGTAGATGGTGCAGGCCCCAGGCTCCCTGGGCCACTCTTCAGCGAAGCGCCCTGCGGGACGCCAAAGTGCCGCTTTCCCGTGCCGCCCCCGAACGGTGTCCCGCTTCCAAAAGATGGCCTCTCCGGCGCGCCGGAGCCAAACCTCGACGACGGCTGTTTGGATCGTCGCAGAAAATCATCCTCTTCGTCATGTGCAAAGCTTTTGACAAAGTCCTCGTAGACGGCGGCTGTCTCTGCCTCTTCCCGTCGCCGCTTTGCCTCGGCTTCGGCCCTCTGGCGCTCGAACGCTGACTGCTTGCCCGGCTTTTGGAGTTTCGCCTCAACGTCAGGGAATTCGACGATCTTCTTGGTCGACGACATCGTTTCATCGGTATGTATGTCGGCTAGCCATGTAGTGTGCGGCAGTTCTAGGTGAGTTGTTTTGTCATACGGTGTTGTGGGATAGTCCAATGAGATTTCCAAGACGGGATGTCTGGTCTGTGCTGTCGAGGGCCCATGATACTTCGCATGTGACGCACTCTACTCGCAACCATTTCGAAATTGACTCATCGTCGAGCAGCCCGAGCTACTTCGTTGTAATCTAGTCTACTAGGTACATATTTAAGATCATGCAAAAGCTCAACAATCACTAGATTTAACCAGCCAAAGACGCCGTTGTACCAGCGGAAGGAGAGTCGAAGGTCCAAACCTCAAATATCCGCCAGCCGCGACCAGCTGCAAGGCGGGGATCCTATGTCATGTGGGCCCGCCAAGAGCAAGTCATCGGCTCATCTGCGTGATGATCGCCGGACGCGGAATGCTGCTCACAAAATGAAGACGAGCCCTTCAGATGAGCAGTTCGCAACTGCTTCACAGTATTTCCCAACATAAAATACGATCCCTCGTATCACGGCAAAATAACTTCGAGCTTGTTCTGAAAGAAGTGTCTATCTACAGCGGGTGACATCGCTCTGCTACCACGAGTCTGCGCCATTTGTACTCTTCCCCTCTGTTATCTTGTCTGAACCTGTCAGACACGCCCTTCCCCGCCCTGAATCCCGAGCTCAAGCGGTTCTCATCGTTTCCCCTTCCCCTTTGCCGAAGACGATGGGTTTCTCCACATCCGCTTTAATATTTAAAATACTGGCCTATCTACCTTCGAAGCCATGTATTCTAACCTGTTGGTCCTTGACAAGCGTCCGGGCTGCAACAGGGCTCCGAATTGGAAGAAAGATCACGCAATTTCACACAGGAAGCACCAGCATCTTCGTGGGGTGTCTGGTGATTATTACTACGACACCAGCGGGCCATCTGTTGCGGCCACAGAGGACTTGAACCCTTGTTAGACCGCCGGTGCTTTACCGCTCCTCCGTGTCTGAAACCCTATTTAATTACTTGCCCATTATTCCTCATTGTCTCAAATGGGTTCTCTTTCCTCCCCCTCTCCTTCGTCTCTTCCCTCCTCGTCAACCTTCTCGCCTCCTTCCTCGATTCTCATCATCGGCTCAGGAGTCTTTGGGCTTGGCACTGCACTAGCCCTCGCCCGCCGCGATGCCTTTGCCCGGTGTTCGATAACCGTCGTCGACAGGTCGGACCCGTCTCAACCCGGAGCGACCTTTCCCTCCCCGGACGCCGCCAGCGTCGACACCAGCCGCATCATCAGGGCTGACTACGCCGACCCGGCTTACGCTGCCCTGGCTGACGAGGCCCAGGCGGAATGGCGTAAGCAGGACAAGCCCACCGATCTCGGTGCGGAAGGGCGCTACAGTGAGGCCGGCTTGCTCTTGGTTGGCGACGTTGCGCCGCCTGCGCCAGCCGCGGGCCCCGCCGGCGAGGGTCTGAAACCCAAGCTGACGGGCATGGATTATGCCCGCAAGAGCTGGGCCAACGTCCTGTCTCTGGCCTCAAAAGACTCCCAACTCGCCGCCCGTGTCCGAGAGCTGCCCAATCCCGACGCCATTCGTGATGCTCTGGGAACAGGTGGCAGCACCGGGTCATGGGGCTACATCAACCACAACAGCGGCTGGGCGAACGCAGCCGCCTCGATGGCATACCTCCTTGGCCAAGTCCGCCGCACCGAACGTGTCAACTTCGTCACCGGCACTGTCATCTCCTTGGAACACAGCGAGAACACTGTCACCGGCGCCAGGCTCGACGACGGCCGCGTCCTATCCGCCGATCTCGTCATGGTCGCGGCCGGCGCATGGACCGGAGGGTTAGTTGACCTGGCCGGGCAAGCAGTCGCCACCGGGCAGGTCTTGGGCTATCTAGACCTGACCGAGGCCGAGCAGGAGAAGCTAGCCAAGATGCCCGTCGTCTTGAACCTCTCCACGGGGCTGTTCGTCATCCCTCCCAAGGACCGAGTCCTGAAGATCGCCCGGCACGCCTACGGCTACATTAACCCGGTCACTCTCGGCACAGCGCCGCCGCTCCCGCTATCCCCTGGATTACCGCCCCACCCATCGGTCTCCCTCCCGCGAACCTCGGTCACCGACCCGTCCCTCTCCATCCCGGCCGAAGGCGCAGCCGATCTGCGCCGCGCGCTGCGCGAGATGATCCCCTGGCCGGAGCTCCACGACCGCCCGTTCAGCAAGACGCGCCTGTGCTGGTACTCGGATACGGCGACGGCCGACTTCCTTATCGACTACCACCCGAACTGGAAAGGCCTCTTCGTCGCCACTGGCGACAGCGGCCACGCGTTCAAGCTCCTACCCGTCATCGGCGAGAAGATCGCCGACTGCATTGTGGGCAGCTGCCCGCCCGAGTTCAAAGGCAAATGGGAGTGGAAGGCAAAGACGGCCGCCAGCCCCGGCATCACACTGTTCACGGAGGACGGTAGCAGAGGCGGCAAGCCTGGCCTTGTGCTGGCTGACGAGCTGGCCAAGTCTGAGGCGGTTGCCGCTGCGACTACGTGAGGGAGCCTGCGCGGGTCACCAGGTAAGGGCACCTTGGGACTCGAGGAGGAGGGGACAAGTGCAGCCACGATCAGGTAAGCTCACAACACCAGATACATCACAGCAACTTATGGGCACCTGTTAAGTCAATAGATCATTTTTGACGGCAGCAACAGACCACAACTCAAGCCGCAATGAGCCCACCCATATCGCTGATGGCCCCAACGATCGACCCGCGCCGAAGAGCATAAGGCATCGCGTGCATCGCACGTAGGAACAACAGCAGGGGAAAAAGCAAGACTCAAAGCTCGGCAATAAAGCAGTTAAGCAGGCGCCATTCTCACCCGGTGACCCTTTGCCCTCATATCCCCCATGATGTTGGTTGATCAACCAACTAGTCTCTGGCTGCGCGACCACGTGATCATCCGCAAGCCCATTAAACGGCTAACTGTGCTTTTTGCACTTGCCGCGATGCGCAATCTCTCTCTATGGGATAGAATCGCCCGAGCGCCTGCATCCGCCTCGATTCCGCGAGGGGGAAAATTCCTGGAAAGAGAAACGCCACTTTAGTAGTCCGCCCCACCTTCCGAAACGCCGGTGCAATGCGCAGATTTTATGGTGTTTTTGGGGTGTGGTTTTTTTGGGTATGATTGTCGCAGTGGAATCATGACCGGTAATCGTGTAATGACAGATCATCAACAGGTCGTGGGAGGACGTAAACCGGTAATAAAGTTTGGTTGGGAGGCCATGACGGGTGTATGGCGTAACACCCTCCACGTGCTGTCCGGGCAAGTTGTTCGTGCTTAGACCTTGCGGAAGTCTGGTAATGGTTAGCATAATACCGAGCGAGCTGCAGGATCAAGAGGGCAAACGAACCTTGCAGCACAGGGTAGATCATCTCGAATGCCTGGTAAATCTCCTCGCGCACTTTGGCACCGGTGAGCACTATCTTGCCGCTTACGAAAATGAGCAAGACAATCTTGGGCTTGATCATGCGATAGATGAGACCGGGGAACAGTTCGGGCTCGTAAGAACTGAAGTTATGATGCTTCGACGCGAGACCCTCCAGACGAATCGGAAACTTGATGTCGCAAGAGCCAACGATGTTCTGAATCTTGAAGTCGGTGAACTTCGCGTTGAAGCCGAGCTTCTGGATGATACGCGCATACTTGCGTGACGCAAGCTTTGAGTCATCCTCTGACTTGGCACCGGTCACAACCATCTTGCCGCTCGCGAAGATGAGCGCAGTGGTCTTCGGTTCGCGAATGCGCATGATGACGGCAGCAAAGCGCTTGGGGTTGTACTGTTCCATGTCAAAACTGCGCGGGTCATAGACGGTCGAGGATAGAAACAGTAAGCGCCACCATTTTCTCACTTGAGAGAACGGCGCGCCCGGTCTCTCGCTCAACACGTACCTCCGCATTGCGGGCATGAAGCGCGATCGTCTTCAGGTCAAGACGGCAGTCCAGATTGACCGTCGCGACAATGTTCCTGAGCGGGTCAGCCCACAGTCACATCAGCGCAAGGTACTCGACGAGTTTGCCTACTGGAGCGTGGGGGTTATGCCACTCGGCCCAGTATGGCCAGCTCCAGGCGTCGCAGCGGGGGTCGCGGGAGTCACCCCAGAACCGTTCGTGGCTTGGACGCCCTGCTGCTGAACGCCGTTGGTCGCCTGTCCGTTGCCTTGCGCAGAAGGATTCGCGATCTCGTTTGCGCCGCCTGGGAACGACAGCGAGCCAGGCGCAGTGAAGGCCTTGGCTTGCGCCGCGTTCGAAGGGTGTGTCTGAATATTCTCCATCTTGTGGGAGAAAGACGAAGCAGACAAGAATTTGGGCGATGTATTCCCGCTTCCGCGAACAGTTCTAGATAGACTGTCAGATACGAGTCAGAAGATGTAGATGGACTGCCAGGAAAAATGACGAGCTGTGAATATGTGGATGTGACAACTAAGTCGGTTTCGCGATGAAAAAGGAAGTGGTGGCCCATAACAAGAATGGATAACGCCTCGTGCTTGCAGGCTTATCAACGCTTATCGCATGTGACTTGGCCTGTGCGTCGCCCCGCTGGGTTTTGTCACGCCCGTGAATATGATATCGTGAGGTCGCTGGCGTGGGAAAAGAAAGATGAAGATGAGAGGGGAAGGGAGAGCATACCAGAGGTGGGAGATGGACAAGCTAATGTGTCTCCCAACTGTTGTCCGCCCACAAACACCCTCGAGGCCGGTCGAGATGTCTCAATCAACGACCTGGCTGAGGGTTCCCAAAGAACAGTTGATGATCTGTCCGCTGTTCTTGTTAAACAAGTCGAAAGCTGCTTGCTCAGGTGCGATGCGGATTGTAATGACGGAGTCAACGGCAAGCCCTAGGCCAGAAATGAGGGAACGATCGCCTGTCCGTCGACAGATTAATCTCCAACTTTAAATGAGAGAGTGCGTCCACACAACGCAGGTACCGAGATAGAAAACCGTTGGTGTCAAAAGGAAACTTTGACTGCAACGGCCAACGTTGACGTCGTTGGATTTGTAAAAAGTGGAGCTCCTGTGAGGCCAGAGGTGAGGGGGCTGTGTGGGGACAAAAAGTGGCCGGAGGCAGGTAGCAACGGCCGGGCGGGACGGAGGTCGAAAATCGAGATGGGGGACTCAGCGGCTACTTATAATTTTCGGGGATTGCGCAATCCAGCCTGAGGCGGCAATGCCTGGCCTGTGGCGGTGGGTCCTCATCTTGAATGCTCTGTGCGGCCAATCAGAGGACACAGGCGCAGTGTTTTATCTCCAACACAACCAATCAAAGCGGGTTTTGAAGGCCCTAGACCGTCAGTCGTTCAACAAGTCATCCCTGCGCTGTCCTGCGAAGTACTGATACTTCAGTGCAAAAAATGCAAACAGCCCGCTCGCTTTCTGCAGGCTGCAGCTGGGGGTCCATTCGTTGGATATCCGACACCAAGCAAGGCCCAACCACTTCACGATTTCGACCCCTCGCGCCGTACTCCATTACCAATTCCTGAAACACTATGCCTCCTTTCCGCTATGCGCTGCGCTGCACTCTCTGCTGTCACTTCAGGGGCTGAGGCAATCCGGAACACACAGCAAACCATCCCCAGTTTCCTCGCCCTCCTTTTTTTCCCTGGAGAAGTGGAAAGCTTCTTCGAAGCATCAAGCTTGTTACGTGAGGCGAGCAGCGGCTTTGTCTTTGCGGTTACTACACTACTCCGGCGCCCCCGGCGCATTATGATCGCCACCGCGATCAAGCCGTGCGACCGGTCAACCCGAAGTCTTCAGTAATGATCGATGACGACGACTTTACTACGAACGACCAAGGTACTTACAATTGGAGCGAAATCTGCTTTGTCGCCGGTGACGATAAAATTGAGCTGCTGCGGGTTGCCATAGCCATCGCGAATGCAGACGGCATTACGGTCTTGCAGCTTCTTCCGCAAAGCAGCCGCATTGAATCCCGTGATTCAGGCAGCAACTACGACTTCCCTCCTCAGCGGCTGGTCGAGATGCTGTTCCGCTGACGCCAGCGGCCCGAGGCATAGATGGTCTCGCGTCGTTGCTGCGCGGCCCAGGCGCTTCAACTGGCACTTGCACTACTTACATTCCGACACCGGAATTGAAACCGCTACTATGAGGCTCTTTCGTGGGACAACACCACCGACATTTATTTGCTGACAGAATTTAAGTTTCTGGCCGACGGATACGGATGCTTGAGGCGACTGAAATTCGCAACGTTGATGCTAACCACCAACTCGATCGGAGATTGGCGAACCTCGGCCTAGACTTTGCTGTGCTGGATTTAGTGGACTACATCGAAGGCCGTCGAAGACTCGAAGCAGCAATCAGCTAAGCTCTGCAACATCCTTTCCACCATCCACATCGACCTGCACCCATGGCGATTTCCATATCGATTCAATCACTCCACGCCGTCTATTATGCCGACGCTTGACGATGCAAACAGCGATATAAAACCAGACGCAGTCAAAGCCGTGTTGCGTCTTGGCAGGTCTGGTTACCTCTCTCGCCGGGCGCAGGGGCAGCCGTGCCCTGTTTGTCAGGGGCTCGAACGCCACGCTTGGACATGTACCGGTACTTGTCAGGGCGGGAGCGGGATGTTGCCCCGTGCATCTGTGTGGCCCGTGTGGCTTCACATTTCGTCCAACTGCAACACTTCTCGCTCCCCCCTTCAGGATTGAGCCTTGCCTATGAGTCACCTCCTACACTGTGCCCTCATCTCCTCCCTAACCTTAGGATTTGCGGCGGAACGGCCAGTAAGGCTCGCAGTGGTTAACCGTTGTTCGCTCCGGTAGTCTTGGTAGGATACCTACTGCGGAACCTTCTTTACTCTTTGATTTTGGTATGCGGGAGGCAGATGCCGAGGCGGTTGCCAGCTACCGTACCTCCTCTATGTACCTACCAACAAGCGACCAAGCCTTCCGCTGCCTACGTCTGTCGCTCGCTGCTTTTCTGCCATGCTTTCGGCCGGACAAGTCGACGGGTCTCCTGCGTTTTTATTGAGGCCGTGTCCCCCTACAACTACAAACACAACCAACCAGCTAAGAGCCAGAAGAGGGTTGCATAAGAAGCTGAACTGCCGTGCGAGGGTACCCTACAGTATGTAGTTATTAGCGCTTAACACCCACTGCCACCATAACGATACGCCTTGTCTGATTACAGGCTACAAGGAGCATGCAGAATGCCAGAAAGAGAGTCTTACGAAGTCTTTCGTATTAATATGCATGAGGATGCCATCATTTTAGCCCAAGCAGATGGGGGGGAAACACTGCATTCCTGAAGTTCTATCCGGTGCAATGCTCTTATCGGCGATGGTGCGCGATCCGTCGGTCATCGCGCCGCGCCTGTGGGCTAGATGATTGGCTCACTCGGCTCGACACCCCCACTTTTTCTTGTCTGTATGACGACACCACGACGCGCTCATCGCGTCCAGATCGCGATTTCACACTGAAAGGGGGTGGAAGCTTCGATGTGGTCTGGGCAGACGGCAAGACCGGTATGCCATGTACCTGTATGACAGTATGTATTGTACTTTGCACAATACATGTTAATGGTTTTGCTGTTCAATGGTATTGCAAGCTCGGCTCCTGGCAGTTTCATGAATGACCCTTTGGAGGGGGTCGTTTTCCTTATTCATGTTGAAAAGTCCACGACTCAGCGCCTATATACACTCTGATTCACTCCCGCCCGCGGCCCCGGCAGACTCCTGGCTCGTTCTTTTCGACGCTGATTCGAACAAATGGTGCTACAACGAGAAGAAACCCTCCAACCACCAGCCACGTGTCTACACAGTCTCTAATCCATCCCGGTAGTAGGACGCAACGAAGCCACCAACACCGCACTTACCATCCCATTCCCTTAGGTTGCCACATCTTGTATAGAGAAGACAGAAGAGCCGTACAGCCACCCCTCTTCATTCGTGCTTTCAGGTCTTGTAGTACTTGGGACCCTCGCCGCCCTGTGGCACCTGCCAGTTGATATCCTGGTTGGGCGCCTTGATGTCGCAGGTTTTGCAATGAATGCAGCTAAGGTAAGACTGCGTTAGCATCTCGAAAAGAGAGAAACGGGTCCATGGCCCAGAAAAAAAAAGGAAACTTACTTCTGCGCATTAATCTGGAACCTCACCCCTTCCGGCTTAGACGCGTCCTCGACATACTCGTACACACCCGCAGGACAGAAGCGGTTTTCCAAGCCCTTGAAGGCCGGGTACGTCTCGGCGGTATGCTTGTCCCAATCCTTGACCTGCAGATGCACGGGCTGGTCCTCCTCGTGGTTGGTGCCCGTGCGCGACACACTTGTAAGGATGTCGAAGGTGAGCTTGCCGTCGGGCTTCGGGTACTCGATCTTGGGGCACTCGTCCGCCTTCTTGGTGGCCTGGTGATCGGGCACCTTGTGCCGCAGCGTCCAGGGGACGCGGCCCTTCAGCACGAAGGCCTCCAGCCCGGAGTAGAGCATGCCGCCGTACACGCCGAGGGGTGTGTGGAAGGCCGGCCGCATGTTGCGAACCTCCTTGAGCTCCTGCCAGATAGACGACTTGCGCAGCGAGTCCTCGTACTCGAACAGGAAGACGGAGCCGCCGTCGTCGGTCTCCTTGAGCGCGTTCCACGCGGCTTCGGCTGCGAGCATGCCCGACTTCATGGCGTTGTGCGTGCCCTTGACCTTAGGCACGTTGACCAGGCCGGCGGAATCGCCAATGAGGGCACCGCCGGGGAAGGCCACCTTGGGGATCGACTGCAGGCCGCCTTCGATGAGGGCGCGGGCGCCGTAGGAGATGCACTTGCCGCCTTCGAGCACGCTGCGGTACAGCGGGTGCTGCTTGAGCTTCTGGAACTCGCCGTACGGGGACAGCCACGGGTTGGCGTAGTCGAGGGCGGTGACGAGGCCGATGCTGACGAGGTTGTCGCCAAAGTGGTACATCCAGGCGCCGCCGTACGTGTCGTAGGGCAGCGGGTAGCCCATCGAGTGGGTGATCTCGCCCTTCCTGAACTTCTCGGGCTGCACCTCCCACACCTCCTTCACGCCCAAGCCGTACGTCTGGGGCTGGCTCTCGCGGCGCAGGTCAAACTTCTTGATGACCTGCTTGCTCAGGCTGCCGTGGCAGCCCTCGCCGAAGAGGGTGACGCGCGCGTGGAACTCCATGCCGCGCTCGAAGGTATCTTTGGGCTTCCCGTTCCGTGCAATGCCCAAATCATTGGTCGCCACGCCCTTGACGCTCCCGTCGGGCGCGAAGAGCACCTCACTGGCGGCGAACCCGGGGTACACCTCGACGCCCACCTCCTCCGCGCGCTCGCCCAGCCACTTTGTGAACTCGTTCAGGCTGAGTATATAGTTCCCGTGGTTGTGCATCTGCGGCGGTATCGGGACGGGGATCGCCATGCTGCCGGTCAGAAAGCGCATGCTATCCTTGCCCGCCGGTGTCGCGCCGGTGAAGCGGTTGTCGTTGCTCTCGTCGAGCCATTCCGGAAGGAGTTCGTTGATCGCCGTCGGCTGGATGACCGCGCCCGAGAGGATGTGCGCGCCGAGCTCGCCGGCCTTCTCGAGCAGCAGCACCCTGAAATCCTCGTTGCCCGCCTCGTTGGCCAGCTGCTTGAGCCGGATGGCCGCCGATAGGCCCGCGGGGCCGCCGCCAACGATGCATACGTCGACCTCGTCGCTCTCGCGCTCGATGCTTGCGGGGTCGAAGGCGTCGTCGACATCGGCGTAGAAGCGTACTGGGGTGGTGGACAGTCGCCTGCGTGTTGTTCGTGCGGCCAATGAGCTGCTACATCTTGTCCGGACATCGGTGCGCCGTAACCGACTGGGAGTAGCAGAAGACAGACACCTGACAGAGCGCGCTTGTCGAAGCCGTGTTGTTGATGCGGAGGCGGAGGCGGGCGCCGGGGCTGCCGCGGCCCTCCGGCAGAGGCTGGATGTGAGGCGTGCAGAGGCCGACATCGTTGCTGCACGCCTGAGAAAGAAAGAAAATGGAAGTTGCCCGCCCAGGTATGAACCCGCGGAAAGAGGGGCAGATGTGTAGGGGAGCACCAGACAATGGCCTTCTAGCCACCAACAACCACGCCTGTCTCTATCCTTTCACGGTGAGGAGCGCCTGTGTTGTTTCCCTCCTCCTATCCGTTACCTGTGCCGATCTTGGATATTCTCTTGCAAATGACGTTTCCGGCCGAAGCCGCACCACCCAATTGCGTTTTTGGCATTTGACAGCGGGTCCGTGCATGCTCCGAAGCGGATCCAGTAACCCGGCGCTGGGCCCCAGTTTTATCCGAGGGAAGCCGAGCTCGGCTGTCCGCCGTCCTACCTGCATGTGAACTTCCAGCATTGAGACCCGAGTCGAAGCATCAATGGATGAAGGAGGGTTTCTATCCCAAACTAGCCCACAGGGTCGTCTTGGTCGGTCTTCTGTGTGCACCAAGAAGCATTCTCTCTTTAAGGGCTGTAGCCAGCTGGGAGCGTGGCATGAAGCGATGGGCCTTTACTCTCTGTCTCTGTGACACAATTGGTTGTCATGAGCATATCGGGTTCAATATCAGCTCGGGATCTCGCATTATGCACCTGCCTTATTACCCACTACAATCAATACCCTCACTCATCACACTGCCATGTGGCATGGAGGGTAAGCGGTCTCGGTGCAGACCTAGCCCGCCTTCACGCAAACTTTCTTTTCCCTAGGACCTCACCCGACACCAAGCTGTTGACGTTCTGGTCCGGTATCTGATAGCGCAGCTCCCTCTGCTGCCTCTTGACCATGGCCCAGAAGTCGTAGTTGCCATCGTTGCGCTCCGCCCGGTGCGCTTCCCTCAGCCGCCTCATCTTCTCCTCCCTGCGCTTCCTCTTGGCCTCCTTCCGCGACGCCGGCTCCAACCGCTGCGCGTAGAGAGCCTTGACCGTCTTCCACGAGCCCTTGAAGCCTTTGTACGTGGCCTTGAAGGCGCGCTGCACGCGGTAGCTGAAGGCGGCCACGAGCGACACGACGATCAGGAGCACGGACGCGGGGAGCGAGATGGCCCCGATCTCCTTGATGCTTGGGATCCGCTCATCCTGCCACTCAATCGTGTTCATGCCGAACAGGCCGGTGAAGAAGGTCAGCGGAAGGAAGATGACGGTGAAGGTGGTGAAGATCATGACCGAGAGGTTCTGGCTCGCTGCCAGCTCCGCTTGCAGGCGGGACCAGCGGACCTCGTCGACCTGTGCTTGGCGCTGCACCATCTCGAGCATCTTCTCGTACTGTCGGAAAGGGTTAGAATTCAACCGCCCAGCTGCCGGGACGCTCTGATGAAGGGGGGGGGGCCTCCCTCGACTTACATCATTCCTCGTCGTCTCTACCCTCTTGCGCATCTCGGCAGTCTGCTGCTTGTAGTCCTCGAGATACTCGAGCGCCTCGTCCAGGTACTCCTGCCCGTTCTTGGTGCTGTCTCTGAAGGTATCGCTCGTGTAGATATCCTTCATCTGGCGAATGGTCGACTCCTGCGTGTCAAAGAGCTTCTGCAGCGTGTTGAGCTCGTCCTCCAGGTCGCGAAGCTCTAGGAGAGCCGAGGTGTTCTCTCTATTCTCCCGTTCGGATCTTTCCATCTCGCGTTTGTGTCGTTTCTTAATGCCAGCCGGGCTTTCATCCTCGGCGTCGTCGGGATCATCCGAATCCTCCAGCTCCTCCTCGCCGTCAACACCCTCCAGGTCGAGAGCGTGGATCCGGAATTGCTTCATGTTCAGCGTCATCCGTTCGGCCTACGCACGCAGATCAGCAGCCGTGCATATTCTTCTGTCTTACAGACCACGCCGCGGAACGGTTCAAGGAAACGTACCAGCATCCCAATGGCCTCGTCAAAGATGCGGAATATCTCGAGGTCAGGGTGCGAAGACCGATCGAGAAGGACGGTCACGGCGTGCCACACGACCAAGGCCGCCAGGTCCAGCGTGTTTTCCGTTCTCCCCGTGAGATCGCCATTGAGCTCGTTGTAGACGCTGTTACGAAGGTCTGCCTGCTGAAAGAGCGTTCCCTCCGTAGGGGACGACTCCCGCCGGGAGAAGAAAGTAGTCAGGGTCGCTAGAATCGAAAAGTCAGAATCCCTCAACCCCGAAAGCTCCGGCTAACCTGCGGCTTACTCATGTCTATAGACCACAGCCACAGCTGGTCGATCATCAAAACACAGCCGTTCTTGAGCTCGGGCCCAGGCTCAACCCCAAACGAGTCATCGTCTGCGTCGTCCGGGCTGCTGGAGACAGACCCCCCTTTCGCCGACGGTGCTGAGCCTCCAACAAACGACCGGATGGAACTGTCATCCGAGATCCGGCTCCACCGCGATGATGGTTCGTCCTTCTTGGTCAGCTTGTACAGCATCTGGTCGTCGTCGCGAGAGTTGGTGTCCCTCAGCGAGTGGTGCCCGAACTGGTCCAGCGTGCGCCGGCAATTCAGCGGCGGGTCGTAGCCGATGTACTCCCAGATCACCTTCAGCTCGAGCGAATCCTGCTGCGCCACCCACTTCGGCACCGGCTTCGCTCGCCCGTGGCTCCGGCGCTTGGCGATCAGCTTCCGGCGTCGGATCATGCTGTGGTACGTGTCGAAGTGCAGGTAGGGGATGTACAGATAGAGACAGTTGGGCATGATGCCCACGGGGCTCGGGATGGATAGGGGCGGGAGGATCCGCGGGGAGGCGATCCGGTCGGCGGCCGAGAGGTACTTGCAGAGGGATTTCAGGTACGCCGGCTGGGAGTCCGAGTTGCGGTTCTGCACCTGCTTGGATACCCAGTTGTCGTAGTCGAAGATCCGCGAGAAATCGCGTCCTTGGGTCTTTGCTATAGTCGCAAAGATTTCCTATTGTGAGGCATACAGGACAGCGTCAGTGCCTCGAGCTCTAAACAGCGAGAGTGAGGGGCCGCCGGTTTCCAAACCTTTACCCAGACAGGATTGTTGAACGGCATGTGAATCCACACGAACTTCCTCAGTGACGGGTTCGGTCGGCAGAAGGCGGCCGTGCCTGTGAGCTCATGCTCCTTTATCAGTATCTTGGCCTTTTGCTGAGCGAAGTATTCTAAGGTATGCGGCGCGTCGGGGCTTAGGCCGCTGCCGAGCAGTAGTGCTGGTTCCGATGCAGTGGTGCTGACGCTCGTGAGGCTCTCTGGGCTTCCGGGCCGGACAGGTTCCGTGTGAGCGTGCGGTACCCCTAGAAGCGGCGGTCTGTCCGAAGGTTGCGTGATGACAATTTCCGGGGAATGAGGGGTGCTACTACTCTGCAACGACGGGGCCGTGGTAGCCGAAATGTTCCGGCCGCCCGTCCCCGTTCCCGATTCCTCGGCAAAGGTTTCCCGTTCGGAGTGGCGAAGCTGAGGCCGTCGCTTCGGCTTCTCATGAAGCCGTTCCGCTAAGCAACGCTCCGGCCCTTTCCTCAGAAAATCCCTGAAAGAGTGAGTTGTGGAATAGAGGCGGATAATGGGTCCGGTCTCTGCGCCGGGAGCCTGTGTTGTGCTGTACGGCCGAGCTGATCCCGTGGAGTCATCTGGATCCTCGTAGAAACCGATGACTTCAACCTTGACGTGCGATCCCAGTTGCAGCGGCGTGTGGGTGTAGGCGCCGCTGAGTTGCGCCGCTTTGTTTATGGCCTCGGACAAATCAGCCAGGTAGGACTCCATGATGCCCGCATTGCCGGGCTCAAACAAGGCGAGGTGCGCGTGATCGCTCTCAACGGCATAGACGTCTTCTTGCCAGACATCCAGGAGCGCAGACTTGACGGACACCAGAGGGGCCCCGAACCGGACGTCACCAGGAAGGCCAGCAGCAGAACCTGAGAGCAACGACTCCTGGGTTTCATAGAAGGACCAAAGACGCAGTTCGCTTGCCATGTCCACGAACAGGTCGTGGAGGCCGAGAAGCTGGAAGTTGTTGACTCGAACCTGGCGCGTCAGGGACTGAGGAAGAGGCGCATGGAGGTGAAGGAGGTCTTGGATGCTCTCCTTGAGGTGTGGCGTGGACATGTAACTTGAACCTCGGTGTGGCGTGCCTTTGTCTATTAGCATCCCGAATGCCAGGGGTCCTATAGGCGTTGGGCACTTGCTCACCAAAGAATGTGACCCCGTGGCAGCTGTCTATAATCTCCTGGTATCTGGGCATCTTGGTCGCCCTGACCAAGGCACTTTTGACTACCAAGCCACCAATGCTATGGGCGATGAAGAATAGGGGACGCGACGGCTGGTCGAGGACTGTCAGCGGTAAGAACTCATACAAGTGCAAGCAAGCACGCACACCCACGGCTTCCTTTCGGACTTGCTCTACCTGGTCCAACAGGTCTTCTGACAGGGATTCCAGCGTCATGCCCTCCCGCAACGCTCGATGTCTGTACAGGAAGACTCGGGCAATACTCGCGGACATACGAAGGTCCCTTGTAATCCAGGGGCTCGGTCTGCTACACCGGCGCAATGAGCTGCGGGATCCGACATCGTGCGACCCGAGATCTGATGGGTTGCTGGCATCGCTGTAGAACTCGTGGCTGTAGGTCCAACTCCAGACAGGGTCGGCGCCGGGACAGGGCACCGCAATGATATCAACAGACGTCTCGTTATGGCCGGTACCACCCACATCGCCACTTATGTCGACGAAACCAGGTCCCAGCTCGGCGGGCAGAGAGGGCGCATGGCTCTCCTGGACCTGCCTTGCCTTCTCACTCACGACATGCTCCTGGGACAGCGAGGCCGTGGGGACGTCGTTGGTCTGGATTTGCTTGTGGTCTCCCTCCATCCTTCGCTGGGCTGAGTAAAAACCGAGCCGCAATCGAAGGGCGAGATAAGTTCCCGTCGGTCACAGCCAAATGACAGATGGAAAGAAGTGAACGAACTACTAGGGGACCCGCTCGAATTGCGGCCAAATGCTTCCAAGAATTTCACCAACTTCGGCCTCAGCTAAAAGAGCGGGACACTGCAATAACTAAGGTAACTATGCACGCGGCAAGACCAACTTGGAAGAAGCCATGCTGATTGCAGGGTGCCCTACCTGCTGCATGAGGGTTGGCCTTCCGCCTCCCCAATGTGGAAGATGGATCATGGGGCTCTGCGGGAAAGAGCCCTCCATTGGCTGCATCTCCGGGCCCTGCAGGCACAGATGGAGTGTAGCGAGCGTCGGCGTGGGATGGGCGGCTGACAGCCGCTCGTGACAGGGGTTGTCCCGTGTGTCGGTCTAACCCGGCCTGGTTGGCACAGAAACCTGCTGGAGTAACTTGGGTACTAGTGGGTAGCCGTTGTCCTGATGAGGCTGCCGGCAGTTGAACTCTTGATCTCTCCTTACGTGAGCCACAGCAGTTCGAAGGCAAGAGCAAGAGGAACCCTGGATACATAAGAGCACTGAGTCACTGACCGATCACCACAGAACGAGACAAAAAAAACTAGGCGGGAATCTGAAGTAAGAGGTGAAGCGGTGCTGATTCTTACCGCCAATGCTGGGGCCGCATCTGTAAGGTCAGGCACCCTACGCTACCGTACCCCTTGTTAGTTGTAGGTAAGGTAGGGCAGTAAAACTGCCAGTTATGGGCGAGATGGAAGAGGGGATTTCGGGTGCCTTCAGATTAGCGTGCACAGCTCGATGGCATTTCAGGTTGAAAGCGAACGTGCAAGAATCTATCTCTGAAGAACCGAATCGGTTCAGAACTTCAGAGCACCCATGATGACCCACCTCGAAATGTTAAGCTGGCATGGTCACGTGAATAGTGGCGTCCTGGCCTGCTGGATGTCTTTCGCCCAGTCCCGTCGAGACATCGCCTTCCACATTCCATCTGCGAAAAGAAATTCCCCAGTCTTTCCGTCACACCTCAGCCGCGAGAGAAACCCCACATTTCATTGCTTCCGGCAAAAGGTTGACTGCCAACCTGAACCCTGGTTTGGCCTTTCGCATAAGGTTACTGACCGGGAGCACTGCAGTGAGCACGGACTGCGACCGGGCCCGCCGCGGGAAGCTCCAGTGACCCATTCTTTCGACAACCTCACACGCCGAAAAAAGCACTGCCCGCACGACTTGTCCCAAACCAAACCAAACCAGCATCTATCAGAACCGTGACTCTTGGCTCGCTCCGTCGTGCACACATCGCCCGACAGCTCTGCGACTCTGTCCCACCTTCCACAATCGAGCGCCGGAAGCTGTACCGGACGCCGCCGCCCTCTTCTGCTCTGGCGAAGTCAATCCGTCGATCGCGCCTCGTGCACCATCCACACCCCACACTATAAAGAAGAGAGGAAGTGGCTCTGTCCGACAGGGGATAGCAGCGTCGTCCTTCCTTTCCCTCTCCGCCCTGGTAATCCATGGTCCCTCCACCCAGACCGGGAACATTCTCGCCAAACCCAGGAGCACAACCCATCTACACTGGCATTTCGTCCCACTCTCCCCATAACTCTCACGCCGGTGCGCTGAGTGCGGCTGCCAGCCCAAGTACGAGCAGCCCCACTGGGTCAAACTCCCTGACCAAGATTGCAGTCGCCCAGGTCTACCTTCTTCTGAGCACCATCAAGGAAGACAAGGACGATCCTCGCAAGTGGGAGTCACAAATCGAGTCTCTACGGAAGGTAATGTGGTCGCCCCGTTGTTACCCCGTCCATCCCCCGCATTCAGACATGGCTTGCTGACGTATCGCACCGTGTCACAGCTGCTCGATGAACACGGCATGGATGTCTTTACCAGATACTTCGCGCGACTGGTGGCCGCAAATGCCTCACAGATATTCCCCGGTCCTAACAGGCCGGTAGCAAACCCGGGAAACTACCATCTCCTCGTCGCCGAGATGCGGAAGCTGTCCCGAGACTTCTCCCAGGCAAGGAAGATCGCCGAATCGATCGAGACGGGCACCGAGGACATCTTCCGTGACTTTGACCTATCCACCTTTATGGAGCATTTCCAGCTGGATGCTCTCGAGAAGACGCTGCTGGCCCTCGCCTTTAAGCTCGGGCTCAGGGCCGACCTCAAGGCCAGAGGTGAGCTTTGACCTGACCGCGCGTGCACCGCACTGCTTGCCGCGCCCGCTGCGTCACTGACTGACATTGACTTCTCTCAGCGGATGCTATTTTGTCGACTAATTTCCCATCCTTCGTAAACATTTTGAGCCGGCCGACCGGAGATCATGCCGACCTCGAACCCGATTTCGTTGCCGAGCTTCTCGACCGCTTCATCCAGTGCCACCCCCCCAACTTCAACGCCGCCGCCAAGCGGGAGTTGGAACACAAGGTGCAGTCCAGATATGCCCAGTCCCCCGATTCCAAGCCGCCGCCATCCCAGGTGCTCGCCGCCCTCGACCTGGTGCGTATGCTTGCCGACAAGCCGCCCAATGCCCTTGCGCTCTATATCCACCGGACAGGCGCGGCCTTCACCTCGGATGAGAGGACCTGCACGGGCTATCTGCAGAATCGGCCGGCCAACGTCCATCTCAGCGAGGAGCAAGTGTCGGTGGCCCTGATGTACACCACCATCAGCCAGACCCCGCGGCACAACCCTTCGGTCCTCGTGGCCGCCATCAGGCATATTCTATCTGACAGTTTCCGGTGGCAAGACGTCGTGTCGTACTTCGATCACAGCGGGGCTCGGGTCACCTCGGCCCAGTTCTTGCGCCTGTACAACGCCCTGCTGCCGATAGCACAAGAGGACAGTGAGAAATTCAACATTCAGCGGTTGTGGGGCGGGGAGTGGGAGAATCCCGAAACACAGCTCTCTTTCATCTGCGCCTTCGCATCCCTCAAGCCGGAGCAGCTGGACGCAACGACCATTCCTGACTTGAAACCCACCTTTACACTAGAGGAATACGCGCAGTCACCACAGCCGGTACGGGAGACGGCAGCCTATGCTGTCAAGCATCCTCTCGTCTCCGAGGCTGCGCTTTCTGCGGTATTCAACGTTGCACTGCACTCGATGCACGCCTCGCAGAGCCTCGAAGCCAAGCGTCTCTTCCAAGACGTGGTCGTCCCGAATCTGGCCATATTTGTCGTCTCGGCATTTGGAGTACCGAAACCCTGGCCGGCCATGGCTGAGGATACGCTGGTCTCTCTGTTTGACAACTTCCTCCAGAGGACGCCGGATGCAGACTTTGTCATGGACAGCCTCTGGAGACGGGACAAGGAGTGGGTCAAGACAAGGCTCATCGACGCCCATGTCGGGAAGCCCATCAGTTTGTCGCTCATCTTTGAACATGCAGTCCGGCAGAACTGGCTCGAGGAGTTGGTCTATCTTCCCAATGGGTTTGGGATTGATCTTGCCGCGTTGGCGCATGCCGAAGGATACCTCGACCTACAGCAGTGGGCGCGGAAGCACGCCGACCGGAGCGCCGAGATGGCAAGGGCGCTTCTCCAGTTCTTGATCATCAAGGCAACGTACGAGATGCAGTACCAGCGCCCTGCAGAAGGCCAGCCGCCCGTCAAGGCGCACACAACCCTGCAAGTCAGGACGGTCCATGCACTACTGCAGATCTTGGAGGAGTTCCTGCCCAAGACTCCGGTGCCCGACTTGATCATGGCGCAACGGACCTGCATCACGGCCTATCCAAGGCTGATCAACTATGGGGAAGGTTTTGACGACATCATCGATGCCAACGGGCGCGACGGCAACGCACTGCCACTGGCCGCCAACGCCAAGATGGAAGAACATTACAAGATGATGTATGGCGACGAGATCCAGGTTCGCGACGTCGTCGAGATCTTGGAGCGGTACAAGCGGTCTCGCGCTCCCTTGGACCAGGATATCTTTGCGTGTATGATCCACGGCCTGTTCGACGAGTATACACACTACGTCGACTACCCTCTCGAGGCCCTGGCTACGACCGCGGTTCTGTTTGGTGGTATAATATCCCACAAGCTGATCTCGGATCTGCCGCTTCAAATCGGCTTGGGCATGATTCTCGAAGCCGTCAGAGACCACCATCCCGACGAACCAATGTACAAATTCGGCCTACAAGCTCTCATACAGCTATTTAAACGCTTCCCCGAGTGGCCGGGCTTCTGCAAACAGCTGCTTCAGATCCCAGGCCTTCAGGGGACAGAGGCGTGGAAGAACGCGGAGGAAGTGGTTCGGGAGCACGACGAGGAGCTTGCGCGCACCCGTAACGGCGGTCATCCCCCGGGGATACTTGGTGATAAATTGACCAACGGCAATGTGGATGACGGCCCTGGATCGGAACAACACCCGCCACCGTTCGCCTCGGTCAACGTAGACCCGCCTCCGCAAGGCGTCCTCTACGAAGATCCTAGTGAGGACGCCCAAGATAAGATCCAATTTTTCCTCAACAACGTCACCGAGACGACGTTGCAAACCATCATCAAGGACATCCGAGACATGCTCGAGGCCAAGCACCAGCAGTGGTTCGCCAGTCATCTAGTCGAGGAGCGTGCCAAGATGCAGCCAAACTATCACAAGGTCTACCTCGAGCTCGTCAAGCAATTCGAGGACAAGACGCTTTGGGCGGTGGTCCAGCGGGAGACTTACAGTAGCGTCTCGCGCTTGCTGAACTCGGAATTGACCCTCCAGAACTCGACCGATAGGACGTACCTTAAGAACCTGGCCGGCTGGCTCGGGCTCTTGACCCTCGCGCGCGATAAGCCGATCAAGCACAAGAACATTGCCTTCAAGCAGCTTCTTATTGAGGCGCATGATACTAAGCGCCTGATCATCGTCATCCCTTTCGTGTGCAAGGTTTTGCACCAGGGCGTCCACTCAAACGTCTTCAAACCACCCAACCCGTGGTTGATGGACATAATTCATCTATTGATCGAGCTCTATCACCATGCAGAACTGAAGCTGAATCTCAAGTTTGAGATCGAAGTGCTCTGCAAGGAATTCAACCTGGATTACAAAGCCATTGAGCCATCCGGGGAGATCCTCAACCGAGCTCCCGTTGAGGAGGTGGGCGACATGCTGGGGCCGGAGGCTCTCGAGAATTTCGAGAACCTGTCCCTCAACGGAATGCCTGGTGTAGGCAACTCCCTCGCAGCGCATCCGGCTTTTGCGATCCCGGACCTTGGGCCCAACCTCTCGATTCCGCAGACCGAGGTCATCAGCTCCGCTAAGTTGCACGAGATCCTGCGTCAGGCCTTGACGCGCGCGTTGCAGGATATCATCCAGCCGGTTGTTGACCGGTCCGTCACTATCGCTGCGATCTCGACACACCAGATGATCCGGAAGGACTTCGCAACCGAGCCCGACGACAATCGGGTGCGGACAGCGGCAATCAACATGGTCAAGTCGACGGCCGGCAACCTGGCGCTTGTCACATCTAAGGATCCGCTGCGCGCGAATCTCACCAACCACCTACGCAGCCTGTCCGCTGATCTACAGCCGGGGTTGCCTGAGGGCATCATCATGCTGTGTGTTAATTCCAACCTGGACCTGGCCTCAAGCGTCATCGAAAAGTGTGCCGAGGAGCGCGCTGTCCCGGAAATTGAGGACTTGATCGCTCCAGAACTGGAGGCCCGACAGCGCCATAGACTCCAGCGGCCCTCCGAGCCCTACATCGACCCTGGACTCAGTCGCTGGGCCATGACAATCCCTCATCCGTTCAAGCTCCAGCCCAGCCTTAGCGGTCTCAACGCCGAGCAGATGGCTATCTACGATGATTTCGCCCGCCAGACGAGGGCGAATGTCGCCGCCACCGCCCCGACACAAGGCCCGTCTGCGTCGGACAGCAGGACCATAGCGAGCGAAGCCCTCGCTGACCAGTTCAACGCTGTTGCGAAGCTGCCGGCTCCTGCCGAGACCCCGTCCATCCCCCACTTGGGCACGCAGTTGCAACACTACCCTCAGGCTCACGTCGGGTTGGCCAACGGGCGGCCGACCGGAATCAACCAGATCGACTCCCGAAGCATCGCCGAGAGGGTCAACAAGCTCCTGGAACAGCTGTCGTCCACCGCTACCAACTCGTCCGACGAACACTTCAACGACCTTCCCAGGCCTCATCCGGTCCTGGATATCGTCGATGCCCTGACCCAGCTGATCATCACCACCCAGCAATCCTCGGAAGAGTTTGCCGCATACGCCGCCAACCAGGTCGCGCAGCTCCTCTTCCGCCAGCCGGAGGGCACGCTGCTGCTGGAGAGTTTGGTCCGTGTCCTTGAGACGCTTCGCAAGATCGCGGGCCCTGTCATCAGCGAACAGATCCGCCAATTGTTCCATCAGCAGCCTGGTGAACTCTTCCTTAACCTGCCCCTGATCACTGCGCTGCTTGGAACCGATCTGCTCGACTGGAGAAACATCGATGCGGCGACGGCGAAGGTACTGCAACAGCGCAAGGAAGGGTCGATCGACTTCCTCGAGCGGCTGATGGATCTCACGCTCCTGAATGATGCGCCGCTCGCGCTCTATGCCGACTTTGTGCGCAGTCTGGAGGAAGCATGGCAGTGGATTACCGAAGATCCGGACGTGCCGGCCGGAGCCCGCTTCAAGGCGAAGGTGTTGGCACCGCCGGCCGACCTGCCCGCTGGTCTCACCAAGGAGGAACTCAGCACTATCCAGCTCGATCAGATGGACTATGTGTTCGACGAATGGATACACCTCTGCAACAACCGCTTTGCCACGGAGAGGTCATCCCAGATCTTTGTGCAGCAGATGCACTCGCGTGGGCTGGTCAGCAACAGGGAAGACTTCCTCCTCTTCACCCGCCAAGCGCTCGACAGGTCTGTCGAACGCTTCGAGCAGTGCGTCCAGTCCGGCGCCTCCGTGACGGAGGGCTACCAGGCCATTGAGGCCCTGGTCAAGATGGTCATGATCTTTGTCAAGGCCCATCAAGACAACGAAGAGAAGGGTCGATCGACGGGGGTTGCCTTCCTGGACTCGATCCTCGCCCTCGGCGTGTTGGTGCTCAACAGCCATCACGTCAAGCGAGGAGAGAGCTTCAACCAGCGCGTCTTTTTCCGCTTCTTCTCACTCATTCTCCACGACATCGCGGATCTGGTGGGTCATCTCCCGGAGAACGATCATCAGCAGATCATCCTGCGGTTTGCCGCCCGTCTCTTCGACCTCCGGCCGATGCTGTACCCGGGATTCCTCTTCGGCTGGACGGACCTCGTGACGCACCGCAACTTCATGCCCGTGATCCTTTGCCTACCTGAAGGGGCGGGTTGGGCGCCGTTCACGAAGTTGCTCACACAGCTCCTTTCGTATCTGGGCGAACTGCTGAAGCACTTCAACGTGTCGGATCTGGCGAAGGAGATGTATCAGGGGGTGCTGAAGCTGCTGGTTATTCTCCACCATGACTTCCCCGAGTACCTGGCTGCAAACCACGTGGAGCTGTGCCAGTGCCTCCCGCCGCATACCACACAGCTCATCAACTTCATCCTGGCTGCAACCCCGGCCGCGTTCAACAAGCTCAACGACCCCTTTCAGCTAGGACTCAAGGTGGATAGGATCCCCGAGATGCGGGAAGCGCCGCCCGACGCTTCGTTTGACTCGGCTGGCCTGCTGCGGGACATCGGTCTGCTGGATATCTTGGACCAGGCGTTGAAGAACGGCCCGTCCGAGGATGCGATCGCGCAGATAAACCACGCCATCAGCAAGTCGAACGGCGAAGAGACCACGTTTGGCTTCGTCCCGGTCGCGGTGAACCGCCCCGTCATCGACGCGGTGGTCGCGCAATTTGCCCACTTTGCCGTCGCCCGCGCGGCTAACAAGACCGATACGCCCATCTTCGTGGCGGGCGCGTCGGACATCAAAACGCTGCACATGCTCGTCAGCGAGGTGTCGCCCGAGGTCAGGTATTATTTGTTGAACAGCATTGTCAACGAGCTGCGGTTCCCGAACGCGTCGACCAACTACTTCAGCCACGCGCTGCTGGAGATCTTTGGTCAGGACTTGTCGGACCCGGAGGAGACAGACATCCGCCAGCAGATCATGCGCATCCTCCTCGAGAGGGTGGTCGGGTACTGGCCGCAGCCGTGGGGCCTGATGATTACTACACTTGAACTGCTCAAGAATGAAGAATATCGTTTCTTTGACCTGCCCTTCATCAAGGCGGCTCCAGAGGTATGCCCGCCCTCTTCTATCTTAGTAGTCTGATCGAGCTAATGGACGGGGCTTCTAGGTTGCTGCCCGTTTCGCGGATATCCTCCGTGCCGCGCCCTAGTGTAAGGCGTTAAGAGCACTACGATCAAGCGCTGTGAGGCGGAAATGGAAAAGGTTGAAGAGTGAACTTGGTGGAAGATTAGATATTTGAACCTGCGAGGAGGGCGTTCCATGCATGCATGCGGGGCGGGCGTACGCTGCGTGGGACGAATGACGGCTCCTCATCGAAACACTTCCAACATGGAAACCCGGTTAGGACCACGGGATATAAAGCAAGTCCACAACAAGCTGTTTGCACGGGGGGAGTTTAGGCTGATGCATATCATGGGATGGAGTTAGGGCAGCTAGTAGAGAGGAACCATGGCTTTTCTGAGACATTTCTAGGTACAATACCGATGCAGGGGAGCAGTTGACTCTAATCTTCTGCGGCGCTGCTGGGCTGGTTGGCTTTGTTCGGGGATGACGCGTCGGTTGTGTTACGTAGTTGTATACTAGTAGTATTTATTCCGAGGGCGATGAGATACTTGTGATGTCCATGCCGCGGATGAACGAAGGTTGTTGTTCTATGGTGGTTTCGGCTTCATCTATTCTTATCATGCTAAGCCTATGACTTTCTTCTTAGTTGAGTACTAGCAATTACCTCATATGGGGTGTTGTGTTGATCTTCTCTTTCGTCTCAATGGTTCCGCATCCTTATTTCACGCAAAGCCTCTCTCGCTTCCTGTCTTGGAGATGAAATTGTGAGAGCAAGTTAGGGCCCCAGAACATACCATGCAGGGGCCAAGGGCCGGCTTCAAATATGGTACATCCAACTTAGTTTACATATGTAGGTAGGTTCGTGCCGGACTTGAAATTCATGACTTTTTGAATCTGTATAAAGGGACATATCCAAGTCCAGTTGAACCTACCTATTGCTGAGAACTGTTATTAGTGGTTATATATAGCCTAATGGAGACTGTGAAGCAAACATAACTGCTGTGTGTAATACAAGAGGGAAATGGCCTCAAGTAAATGAGATAGACACAGCGGCTGATCTTTGAAACTTGGATGCCGTGTTGGTGGCACAACATTAGGCGTGAGCGCATCATGGCGGCGAGCATGTAAGGCCATTGGACGCATCGGCATTTCTGAGGCATATACGGATACTGGACGGATGATCCGACCCCCAACCACCTGCGTCTCTGTATCACGGGTCTGATAAGTTATTTGAATGCATTTACGGGTATTTGAGTTGTGATCAGACCTCCCGCAGGTTGGATGTAAGGGAGATGTCGCATACATACTAGTCGGTGTAAGTCGCGGACTCGGCACTCCGAGAGCTTGAGAGTCGAGACGATTAAGTCAGCTTGCTGCAGCCATCCATGTGACGTATCAACACAGCTCGTCACTCTACATGTCAGCTACTGTAGTTATGCTCAGATTCGAGGTGGTAGATGGGCAAACATGCCTCATACTAGTAGTGTACAGTCAATCCCGTGAACTTCCAAGTCCTGTTACCCCAAGAAGAAAGGCAGCACCGCCGGACAAACAACGGACCAGACAGTGAATGAAACGGCATTCCAGCGGGTCCAAGCGGGTCTCGGCCAGAAAGGGGAATCGCTCGTGTCCTGATTGGCCAGCGGGCATTTTTGTAATGCACTAACCGCAGCTGCACTAGTGCGGCGGGGAAGGGATGCAGACAGCCGTGGCAACGGTCGGACGGGACCTTTTCGTCCGTCAAAACTTGGATCTTTTGATTTTAGTAGTTAGCGCAGCCAGTTTACCTACCGCATATGCTCGTAGCACAGAGCTTGGGTGCTTACTGGTAGGATTACAGGGCTCTCATTACTCTTGACTCTTTACCTATGCTAGCAATTCTGACGGTTTACTGTGATATTTACCTTGATTTGACCTGTCGCGTGTTATCTACTGTGGTATGCAACATTCGGTGTTGGGCGGTGAGAGCTGCAGAGGGTGGGGTGCATCCTCGAGAAAGGAAGGCGGGGCCTCTACAGACGGGAGCGAGGGACGAAATTCTGAAATCCACTCATCCTTCAAGTTTAGCTAACTCGGTCGGTGTTGGGTGTGGCGCCGCCCTCCTTCTGGCCTTCTGGAAGGAAAAGACCGCTGTCCGCTGCCGGGTCGTTCCCAGTGCTGCCTGGATAGTTGCCTCTTGCTGTTCGCTTGCCGTTCAGACGTCGATTCTACAGTTTGTTGGACGCTGCCGAGAGGCGGGGAGGCTGATGTCACAGTGATCGGTCCGAGCGCCGCCCAGCCTGCCCAAGAGTGTTCATCATAAACGGGATGACGGCAACGAAACGGAATCGGGGACCAGCCGTCGCCGTCATTCTGGTTGAAGATCTGATTCCGAATTCCTTTCGCAGCTCCATCGATTGGTTCCTGGAAACAGAATGCGCGCCGCCTCTTGTGTCAGTGGAAAATTACTGTGGAACCGTGCATCTGGATGTCTCCGCTCAGCTGAGCTTCTGCAATTCTCTTCGTTTGGTGCGGCTTGCGGCTTTCTTGCATTCCAGGCACGCCAGGTTGCTTTCTCGCAGCTCGCTTCCCGCGCTCTCACTGATCAATCTCTGCACGAGTCCGGCCTTGCAGCCACACACGGCCAAGTGCTCACTCCATAAGTGGATGATACCGCCTCCTACCCCTTGTCATGAGCTTCGATGTGGTTGGTCGTATCTCCAAGCCTTGGCACATGGAAGGCGGTCGCGCTTCCACGTCCCAAACGGTGTCCACCCATACTACCCCCAAACGGCAAAGAAAAAAAGTTACGGCAGTCGCCCGGGTGTCCCTCCGTCCCCCCATCCCTCCGAACCCTCCGTCTCGCCGTTGTTTTCCCTCTTCCTATTCCTCGTGTATCCCCTTGCATGAGCGGTTTCCCATCATTTCCAACGATTCTGGTTTCTGTCTCGGTATCCGTGTGGAAGGGTTCTGTTTTATTGAGCTTGGGTGGTTACACGGTTGCAAGAGACGTGCATTGGTGTTTGTCGCTGCTTAGACAATCTGCTGCTGTCCGCGATCCAACCTTCGGTGCGAGGCCACGATCGAGCAGTATCAGAGCGCATAGCATAGCAGGGAAGCTTCAGGCTCGTCACAAAACCGATAATCAGTCCCGGGTCGCATCTTTTGTTGCTCCTTTGCCCTTGCCGCCCCCCTTGGCCACCATGCGACCGTATAATACCCGTCACAAGACGCTTTCGCTGCACTCGCTGGGCATCCACGTCCCTGGGACCCATGCGTCGCGCACTGCCCCTGCGAATCGAGCCTCCTCCAACGACGCCTCCTCAGTATCCATGGGTTCGCCGACCTCGCCCGCCAAAAAAGACGAATCGCCCAAGAAGAGGCTCAAGCGCGCTTTTAGCGAGTCGTCGGACGATGCGTCGCCGCTAGAGCGGTTACCCAAGAGACGCGACGATGCGACCAAGTTCCAAAAAACCACACCGCCACCGTCACCGCCCGCCGCAGCTATGGAAATGAGCGAAGATGAAGAGATGGTCACAAGAACAATTGATATGCAGGGAATCAATGATGAAATCGTCGAGGCGGTCATCACACAGTTGCAAAACACGGGGAATCGGCCTCATCTGGTCAAGGAGCTTGCCACGGTGTTAATGCAGCAGCTCAAGATCGTTCAACAGTTCGTGCCTTCCCCTCATCCCCCTTGCTAGTCCTTCTCTGCAGCTGTATGGTTAACGCTCGCATTCCCGTCTGCTACAGATCTGCAAACCCGGCTGCAATAGTGTCCTCACGGTTAGCGACCTACCTCAAGCGGCCCGGCTGGTCGGCACTCTCACCGTGCCCGCTCGCGAAGGAGCTCGAGTCGGTCCACCCGCGCCGCACCTACTTCTACCTGACAACCTGCCCGCGTAAACCGCTACCGGATCCCGCTCAGCTGTCGTTGTCGACGCAGCTGGCCCACAGCCGTGCCATCATCACGCCAAGCCCGTCGAGCGCGGCGTCCACCTCGGCGGACGAGTCCGACTTGGAAAGGCGGCGTGAGCTCAGCCCCAGCCCGGAGGTTGACCTGTCGAGCCCCGAGTTCGACGACATGGACGATGACTTCGCCATGCCCAGCACGCCGATCGGTTCCTTCTCCATGCGCGGCTTCTACATGCCGCCGCGTCCGGCACACAGCGGGTCCGGCCGCCATGGGCGCGCCACGTCGCCGCCTCTGGAGAAGGACGAGAAGGAGTTCACCCAGACGGCCGACGGCCTGCAGAAGAGGAAACTCAACGGCGACTTGCTGTCGCTGAGCAGCGCGCCGATGCCGCCCGTCGAGCAGACAGTGAGCATTGATCTCGAAAGGGACGAAGGCTCGCTGTTCGGTGGCAGCGTACCACCCATGTCGTCGTTCGTGTCTAGCCCCGCGATCCGCCCGTCTACCTTGTCCCTCAACTTCGGGAAGAAGGACGCGGAGGCGGATAGCTGGGCTAAGCTTGAGGGCCTGCTGGAATGGGACCGCAGTCCGGAGAGCATCGAGCTTGAGGAGCTCGATGGTCTGCTGGACGATTACTGAGCTGGATTTTCCCTACTCCCCAACCATATCTGACCGGCTCGTTGGCCTCTCGCCGACGACGCGGCAAGTGTACGATGATGAAAGCTGGGCGGGTGGTTCCGGCAGCTTTGCGATGCTGTTATCTGCGATGATCTCCTTTTTTCTCTCTCTGTTGTTTCTGGTGATTGTTCTTACGATTCGTTCCAAGGGGCGTTCCATCAAGGCCAGGTCTTCCCATAGACGAGGCTAGGTCCAACGGCGTTTATGACTTAGCTGATGTGGGTTGCGAGTTGGCGTTCTGGATGGTGAGGAGGTCTTGCTGAGTGGCGGCGGCATTTGCATTGCGAGTTTTAACGTTTATGACGGTGGAAGTTCCTGCATTTCTGTTCCTCGTTCCGATTTCCGGTTTCTCCCCTCGCTCGATATTCGGTAGAGAAAAGTTGAGGTTTTGGCTCAATGCGGAATGAAATCCGGGCCGGGGAAGGACGACAAAATCCTGGAAGGAGACAAAAGTACCTTGCCTAGAGGAAGAGGCAGACGAAACTTTCGGAACAGACTGTTCAGACGGTGCAGCCCCATGGGGGTTTTGGCTTTGATGCTTGTATCACTACTCTACACTCCACGTCATTCTGCTCTGCTCTGCTTGCTTGGGCGGCTAGGGGTGTTGTCTACACCTAGAGACAAGAGGGCGAGATAGTTCGTGGCGGTAGGACTAGACGATGGACGCCATAGACGGAGGTCGTCGTATCTGGACACGTCCATTTTGTGGGCGCGTCCGCTGTCATCGGTCGAGATGAATGACGATGGGACGGAAGCAAAATAATCAGTCTCCAATCAAGAGCCAAGAACTGTGGTGATTGCTGAGTGAATGCAGGCCGGAAACTCCTAACACAAGTATCTATCTACAACAGGTCCCATACAGGTGTCCTAAGCCATCTCGCCACATAAGTATGTATTAGTAGTACAGATTTAGTGCAATAAGTATGACCCGACGGCTTTCCCGTCTACGCTTTCTCCCCATCGCCGCCGGTTTGCGGACTCTTCACCCTTAACTCAATCCAAAGGGTGGTCCCGAATTGAAGCCGGCCCGGCCGCTTTACCTCCACCACCTCAAGACCCGGGACGGTCTGGGCTGCATTCCACACGAGTCGCTCGATGTCCCTGTTCCACCAGCATCCGAACTTCTGGAAGTGCGCCGGCGCGTACGCGTCCAACTTCTTGTTCACCCAGTCGTAGAAGCCCCGGCCGTGCTCGAGCAGGATGATCCGCCCGGTATCAGGCTGCACCTTGGCCGCCATATTGGCCAGTAATGTCGCCGGGTCGGCCACGCTGCAGAGCCCAAAAGTCTGGATAATCGTGTCGTACTTTGCGGCTGGCTTCTCCACTGGGCCCTTTTTAGGCCCGACGGGCGGCGGAGAAGGCAAGCCCCTCAGGGCGTCCCCCAAAACCAACCTCACCCGCCCATTCAGCGCCTCCACGACCGGCAAGCCTTCCGCCCCAACGCTATCCACTCCCAGCGAACTCAAGTTCGGCATCGCCTCCACCCTCCGCTTCCGCATGATCCTCTTCAGGCCGGGCACCGACTCCCGGATCCGGTCCCGCGCAACATCCATCACATCGCCGTTGACATCCACCCCGGTGAAACTGAGCACCTCGCCCTCGAGGCTGCCCACCACCACCACGTCCTCCTCCCCCGCGCCCCGCCGCTGCTGCTGCTCCCTCAGCGTCGGCCCGCCCAGCCGCCGCGCGTCCAGCAGCCGCACCAGGCGCTCCCGCTCCCGCTGCGCGCGCGCCTCCTCCTCGTCCTGCGACAGCGACACCACCTCGCTCCAGTCGTAGTACGCCAAGTTCCGCCCCGTGCCGACGGCCACCTCGAGCACGTGGCCCCGCGCGCGCGCCGCCAGCTCCCGCCGCAGCGGCGTGATGCCCCCCAGCCACTCGGGCCAGTCGAGGCCTTTGTCGAAGGCGCGAGCCGTGGTGGTGGTCTGGAGCTTGGCGGGGAGGCCTGTGGGCGGGGGTTGCTGGGAGGGATCGCTCGGCACGGGGCCCGAGGGGGCTGTGAGTTCTGGGGGTTGTTGGTGGTGATGTTTTTGTTCTTTTTGTTCTTGTTGTTGCTGCTTGTCAGTTTTGAGTGTTGAGGTGAGAAGCATAGAGATGTAAGTGCCGATGGCGAGGGCGCCGAGGCAGGCGCCGAAGAAGGGCCATTTTCGTTGCTGGATTAGGACGTCGAGGGATTGGGCTTCTGAAGAAGAGGATGAGGGTGATTCCGGTGTGGTAGGTGCGTTTGGGGGTTTCGGTTGGGTCCGTAGATTGATGGGTTGGGGGGGAAGCGGCCGCGTAGGCCGGTTTGATGGCTGGAGTTTGCGGGATGAGAGGGTAAAACTTCGGGAGTATGAGCTGTGGGAAACGCTGTTGAGCTGTGGAGGGAGCTGCACCCTCGGAAGCATCCTAAGCCGAGATGCCATGACAATGACTTAGATGTCACCTCGTCATCTCAGTGAGCTTCCAAGATGACTCCCAAATTTGCTGTTCCTGGCTTATCCACGTATGATAAGTGTGAATCGCAGACTGATGAGTTTGAGCTGTTTGGTCAATCGTCAAATCTCACACAGCAAGGGAATGGAGCCAAGGCCGATGAGACCCACAATTGCCTGCCGGCATCGTCTACCTATCCCGGATTCCCGGTTCGGCTCCAGGTTCCCGGGTTCACGCATCCGCGCCTTGCGCTGCATGACACGAGTCATCACGACTACAATAATAACAAGGCTCAGATTCCCGCATTGTCCAACGAGGACTGCACATTCAGATGGCGACACAGCAAGACTTACAGGAGCTCCTCCGGCTGCTCACAGTCGGGCGGAAAATACCGATGATGCAAGCCATGACACAGATCAAGGCGCTCCAGGCCGCCGATCTGAGGAGGTAAGCGTTCACGCTTGACATCCGGGCCCTAGAGGCCAGAACACGGCAGAAACCGGTGTTGCGTGTTTTGTCTTCTCTGTGAGCGACACCCGGCTCATGCCGCCCCCACAGCATCACACAGATTGCGGAAGCACCTCTCGCAACAGTGCAGGCAGCCCTCAAGGATGACAAGGGTGCCAGGGCACTCCAGAATGCATGCAAGGCGACCCTCAAACGCGGCCTCACAGCCCCGGGGAAACGGGAGGCGCCAGACTCGGCGGCTGGCCCAGCAAAGCGGGCCAAGACCGACCTATTCATGACCGGCCCGGTGGAGATGACGCCCCAGGAGTTGGAGAAGTCGCTCGAGCTGCCCCTGTGCATGGACGAGGAGCGCATCTCGCAGACGGTGATCGAGACCAACAGAGCGCCGCTCGTCCTTGCTTTTGCGGTGGAGCTCTTGCGGTACACCATGCCCGAGCAGCCACTCTCGAGCCGACTCAGCTTAGCGCAAGCGGTCGTCAGCGCCAACTCCAGGTCAAAGGCCGTCAGCCTGGGGTTGGAGAAGGGGCCGAGCGCGGATGACGAGGGCTGGGGCGAGGGACAGCCGCGGGTGAGGGTCATGGGCAGGGAAATTGCCGTGCTGAAGAGGGGAGGCTACGAGTGGCGAGGGGAAGAAACCGTGGGCGAGCAGGCCGGGGCCGGGGAGGAGAGTGCTGTAAAAGCGGGCGGTTCACTTTCGGGGACGCAAGCAGGGACGGAAACCCAGGCCTCCTCAGCAACCGCCACCTTCGAACCAGCCGCCCGATCCACCTGGGCCGTCAGCCAGCCCGTCAGCCTCAAAGACTCAACCTTCGTCGCGCGCGCAACCCACATCAGCGACGCACCGCAGCGCAAGATGCTCATGCAATCCCTCCTCGACGACGTCCCCTCCCTCAAGACCGCCACACACAACGCCTGGGCCTTCCGGCTGCGGCCACCGCCCTCCGCCGGCCCCGACGCCCGCGTGCGCGAAGAGTCCTTCGACGACGGCGAGACAGGCTGCGGCGACCTCATCCTACGCGTCATGCGCGAGTCCAGCACGGTCGACACGCTAGTCGTGCTGACCCGCTGGTTCGGCGGGACCATGCTCGGCCCGGACCGGTGGCGGCTGATGCGGAAGTGCGTCACCAGCGTGCTGGGCGAGCGGCTGCGCAAGACGGGCGCCGAGGTGACACTGGGCGGCGAGGCGCTCTGGGGCTTGGATCTGGAGGCCACGAGGAACAAGACGACTACCACGGTGGGCGGGTACGGCAGTGGCACGCGAGCGCATCAGGTTACGGTCACGGGGGGCGTGATGGGGGGCATGCACATCCATCGGCCTGAGGCGGCTAGGGGGTATTTGCTCAGGAGTTTTGCTACCAGTACTAGTTGTAGTAATAGTAACACGGCGTCGGCGCAGGAGAAGGACACGGGGAAGAGTGCTAATAAGAAAGAGAAGAAGACGCTGAAGGCGTTGGAAGCGGAAAAGGAGGAGAACCTGGGACTGCTACTGGGCGCACTGAGGATGCTATTCGACAGCTGGGCGGATCATCTCGATGCTGCTGAGCTGGACAGGCGCGCATGGGGCTGGTATGTTGCGGTGAGGCCTGATGTGGAGAGCGGACAGGCTGGCTGGGGCGCAAAGGGGACGGTTAAGTTGAGCGATGTGCTAAGGTTGAGGAGGTCGGGCGATTGAAGTGTGGTGTGGTTAAATCAACGAACAGTATGTGGGAGTCGCACTCTTTAACTCTCTCATATCATACCCGTTATGGAAATTGTAAGGCTAAGTCCAGTGCGTCGGGCATTTTTAGAGAAATACAACGCTGGGATGGGATTCCAAAACAATGGCCTCCAGTCCAATCGATCCAACATCAGCTGCGATCATGATTGAATCGCTTGGGAAGTGGTCTGTAATAAAGAAGTCGCATTGGATGGATGCGTGTCGAGTCCGGTGTGGGTGGGTCTTTGATGCAACATGCAGCTAAGCTGACAGCAAGACATCACTGTTACCCCTGACAACCGCCCGCCCTACCGCGGCGCCAGGGAACGTCAACAACCAAGTCGCTCAGCTGGTCTTGCATGAGCGGTCACATCACTGCCTGTGCCACGTCTCTGAACTTTCCACATACCAATTTTTTTTCCCAATTGGAATTCCTTTGTCTGCGCTCTTTAGCCGCAAACCATTTTTATCGCCGTCGATTGCGGCTTCTCGACACAAGTTCAAGGCAATTTTCTTGCCCGCGGAATCCTGAAGCGGCAGACTCTGGAAATTTGACCATTATTTGCCTGTGCGGTGCGGAAGATATATTGGGTCGATCCCGGCTCCGCTCTTGCTCCGTCAGGCGCAATGCCGGCCGCTACAAACGACGTACCGGCCGTCGCCCTTTCCTGTACGTCTTGTAAGATTATGATCTTGACTTTGTCTTGAGGGCATACGAGCGGGCGCAATTACAGACAGAAGCATCTCTGAACTCAATAAGCTGACCACACGATTACAGTCGCCAACAACTTCTGGGGCAAGGATGACGCCGGCGTCCAACCACTCCTGGAGCGCATGCACAATGCGAAGCAGACGTGCGATGAGCTTCGCGCTTTCTACAGTGGTGAGCAAGAGGCATTCTCACAACCTCAGGATATCCCGCCCCCCAGCGAGTCTCTCTACTAACAGGGTCTGAATAGCGCGCGCATCCCTTGAGGATGAATATGCGAGGAAACTCATGTCGCTTTCCCGCAAGTCGTTGGGATCGCAAGAGTCAGGCACGCTGAAGACATCCCTCGATACCGTGCGCGGCGAGGTCGAGTCCATGGCCAAGCAGCACCAGAACGTGGCTGCGCAGATGAAGAGCGAGTTGGAAGAGCCACTGGCGGCGTTCGCTGGCGCCATGAAGGAGCGGCGCAAGATCGTACAGAACACGGTGGAGAAGCTGCTCAAGACCAAGATGCAGCAGACTCAGTTGGTCAACAAGGTAAGCGTGTGATCGGAGGCTACCGCGCCGGACGACGTCTCTGACAGGTGCAGACGCGGGACCGGTACGAGCAAGAATGCCTCAAGATCAAGGGCTACCTCGCCCAGGGGCACATGGTCATGGGCCAGGAGGAGAGAAAGAACAAGGCCAAGCTGGAGAAGACACAGATCAGCCTGGCAACGTCCAACGCCGAGTACGAGGCAGCCGTCAAGGCTCTGGAGGAGACGACCGCCCGCTGGAATAGGGAATGGAAGGCGGCCGCCGACAAGTTCCAGGACCTGGAGGAGGAGCGCCTCGACTTCACCAAGAGCAGCCTGTGGACGTTTGCCAACATCGCCTCCACCGTCTGCGTCAGCGACGACGCATCGTGCGAGAAGATCCGCCTGTCGCTGGAGAAGATGGAGGTCGAGAAGGACATCACCACCTTCATCAAGGAGAAGGGCACGGGCCAGGAGATTCCGGACCCGCCCAAATACATCAACTTCTGTCGCGGAGACGTCGACTCGCAGTCGGAAGCGTCGGAAGACGAGCACTACTCGGTAGCACAGTTCCCGAGGAGCATCAATCCCGCCTTCCGCTCATCCTCGCCCCAGCCGTCGACGTTCGAGTCTCACCACGACCCTAACTCGGCCTTGGCCCGGGACCTCGGCCACGGCGACCCCCAGACGCAGATTCCGCAGAGCTTGGAGGCAGTTGCGACACCTCAAAAGGCCCTGACTCTGCCGCAACAGCAGGTCCAGCAGCAGCCTCAGCAGCCTCAGCAGTCTCAGCAGCAGCAGCAGTCACAGCAGGAGAGCCTGAGGTCAAGGAGGGGCCCGCCCAGGGGCTACCAGCCTCCGAAGGCCAGCAACTTGGAGTACGATCCGAACGAGTTCGCCCCTGTTCCTCACGATCCGTACCCCATGGACGGCATGACTATGCTATGCAGGCCTACCGCCTCGGACCTGAGCACCGCGCCCTCGACGTCCTCTGCGCGACCCTCTAGCAGAGATTCGCACAGCGAGACGTCCTTCTCCAGCCAGGAGCCGCCACAGCCCGCGTCGCCCGCCAAGCAAGAGCAGCCCCCTTCTGCTGCAGCATCTCCCGATAAGAAGGTTCTTAAGAAGAAGAGCGGCTTTTTCCAGAACCACAGCCCCTTCCGACGGAAGAGCATGAAGGAGGTGGCGCCGCCGAACAGGAACACGTGGAGTGCCTCGAATAACCACAGCCGGCCGCAGCTCGCTGCTGCCCGAGCCAGAACCACCAGATGATTGCGGCCGAGCGGAGCGTCAGCCCCGATCCAATTGCAGCGAACGCAAGCCTCGCGCTGAACATCGGGCAGAATGTCTTCGCGGTCGAGACACCGGAGCGCCAGAAGCAGGCCGCGGCGCCAGCCACGCCGGAGGACGACCCGATCGCGCTGGCCCTGGCCGAGCTGAAGGGAGTGACGACCGGCAGCAAGAATGCGTCGACGAGAGTGTCTGCGGACCACTACCACGGTATTGCTACCCCCGCCCCTGGCGCCAGCCCGTTGTCGCGTTCCGTGCCAGGTCCTGGAAATAACAGCATAGTAGCAGCCGCGATGCGAGGCACGCCGCCGCCATCCTACGACCAGCAGATCCAGGTCCAGCGACTCGGGGTGCCCCCGCCGGCCGTGACCTCCAAGGCGATGAAGGAGTCATCGCAGAAGTTCCAGCAGCAGACCCGCAGCCTGTTCAGCTCGTCCACCGACAGACCAGGGTCCGGCGGCTACGGCAGTCCCATGTCGCGCCCCGGCACGCGCCGAGGAAGCAGCGACGTGCCCCGCGCCGTGTCGCCGGCCGCCAACCGCAGCGTGTCCCCGCGGCCGGCATCCCGCGCCAGCCCTTACACCCGCTCCGCGTCCCCGGGCCCCGCCGCCTACGCGGGCAGCCAGCGCGGCTCGGTCACGCAGCTCGCCATGACGCCCAAGCGCGGCTCGGACGCGTACAACAACAACAACAACAACAACAACAGCAGCAGCTACCGCGGGGGCTCGCCGAACGAGATGGCGCGCGCCGCTTCGCCGTCGCCCTACAGCCCTAGCCTCCGAGGCGGCGGTGCCGCCTCCCCGGCGCCCTACAGCCCCAGCCTCAGGGGATCAGTTGGAGGAGGAGGAGGGGGGAGGGAAAACGAACAGCACCATGCGCGCCCGTCGAGTAGCATGGACATGGCGGTGCAGCTTGCGCCGGCACCCAACAGCGGCAACACCGCGTATGGACAGGGACAGGGACAGGGACAGGATGACGGGTACGGCTCCATACGCGGCCGACACAACCGATCCAACACGGCGACCAGCATGCGGGGGATGAGCTTGTACGAAGGGGCCGGGCCGGTGCAGCCGGCCTCGAGGGCTCGGAGCAAGAGTGTCGCGGATCCGAATCGGTATACCAGGGACGGGAGGCCCATTCTGCATTTTGGTGAGTTTTCTAACTACCTAAAGTGTTGCCATTCCCCCTTCGGGTTGGAAGAAGAAGGAAACAAAAAAAGAAGTTGTGGATGTCATTGCTGACGCAAGGAATGTCATAACTCAGCCCGAGCATTGTACATGTACCAGGCCGCCATCCCGGAGGAGCTGGGATTTGCCAAGGGTGATATCCTGGCGATCCTGCGCCACCAGGACGACGGCTGGTGGGAGGCCACCGTGCAGGGCGGCAACGGGCAGGTTGGGCTGGTCCCGAGCAATTATTTGCAGCCTTGTTAGTTACCTAGAGATGGGACTGCGAATTGGGTGGAGCTAGTGAGTTGAATTGAGTCGTGTTGAGGTTGAGCGGCAGCGAGCGTTTCTGTGAAAAAGCATCCATCAGCGGTGGAGTTGAGGGTTTGAGGAGGTGCAATCTAATCTTCTTGTTTTGAGAAACCTCCAATCTCGTAAGGGGGGGGCGGAGGGGGGTGTTTGACTTTTGATTTTTGAAGGATCTGCCGCTTTGCTTTGGAGAGCGTGTTGGCGTGTTGTATGATCTTCAGCATGGACATTTTATGGAGCAGACTGCTTTTATATGCACAACACTGTCCCCGGTGTCGTAATGAGTGAAGCTAACTATGGCGAGGAGGATTATGCTGACCTGATGGTGATTGTGATGGCGCACGACGAGGCAATGCATGGACAATGCGAAGTTGGGGGGCGGCAGTTCTGAGGAAGACGCTGGTGGGAGATTCTGGGTAAAGTAGGTACCTTGATGTTCAGTACACGTAGGCAGCACATGTGGTGCTGCTCAGCTCTCAATGCCACCCCGTTTCTGCCGCGTATTCATATGCTTGTTGCCCTCTCAGTTCGTTGTTGATTAAGTAATAGTGGTTCTATGCTCCTAACCTACTGCTAGTTTCAGTCTTGGTAATCGTTACAGTCTCTTGATGCCTTCTTGCTTTCTCCTCCCGTGTTTGCGCCCTACCTATCTCTTTCCGTTCCGAATAATGGCACGTACCTTATTGCCAGTTCTGAATATGGGAGATGTAGATATACCTTGCGAAACCATTTATGCCCCAGTCTCAACACTACCACAACACGGAGTCATCAGCTGACTGGTCCGCCATGTTGTCTGTGTTGTCCGTGTTGGCCATGCTGCCATAATATCGGTGACTTCGTGTACAGACGAACAAAATGAACAACACGGCGAACTAGTCAGCGGATGACTCCGTGCTGTGGCAGTGTTGAGCCTGGGGCATGTTTTCGCAAGTGTGTTCGAGGGCTGTAGATATCTGTATCAACAGGACGGGATCAGGATAAACACTCCCTTCTGAGTTCTCAGTGGCCACCAGGCGCTGCTTCGCCAACGGTTATAAATTCTCTCTCATACTTACTCACTTCTCTGTCTTCACACTTAGTTTCGTCTACTTCGAAGAGTCTTTGCTCCGTTGTGAGGTTTCATTCACTCAACGTAACCACTCTCCCCCTTCACTGAGGGACAGGGTCTGGCATGTGCGGGCACCGCCAAGACATGACATCAGCGCGGCTCTCACTCAAACAGTAGCACTCGCTCAGTTTCATGCGTCCCCACTTCAATTAAGCTCACCACCCGCAGCGGCTCTGAGCTTCATCCCTTGGAACTCACAACCCACCGTCGCCTATTAAAGGCGGCAGTGTCCATTCGCAATGGTAAGTCAGCTCATTCCGCTGGTTGGATTCACTTTATATTCCTCAACCTAACTTGAAGCGTAGCTAACAACACATCTCAAGGATTTGGCCGAGACCAAGCACAAGTTCGATGCACGCGTACAGGGGCTGCGCGCCGGAGGACAAGAGACAGCGCTCCGGGCCTCTCGTGCTGTCCGTGGCGTTTCTGAGTCCGGAAAGGTGCAGAAGGTTGTTCTTGGCTCAGTCTTGTTCATTATTGGGGCTGCGTTGCTCTACGTGCCAGCAGCGATTTCGTATCTCGTCCTGTACTACAGATATATTCCGGAGCTGGTAACGACAATCCCAGTGCACTTACAATATGGGTGAGTACACTGCCCCTTTTCAGGTTTACTTTCTCAGAACTTCTCAGCTGATATAAGCGCGCCAGTGTTGGCCCGAACCCTTTTGGCATCGCCTCCCTGGGGCAGTTACATGCCCGGCAGCCCTACGACATCACCGTCTCACTCACCCTTCCTCGATCTCCAACGAACATCGAGCGCGGTAACTTCATGGTCGCGCTCCACCTGCTCAACCCAGATCCCACCGGCGCCAACCGGCGCTCTTCATCCTCCACCAACGCACCGATGCTCCCCTACGTCCCGCCTGCAAGGGCGGGCAAGTCCCCTAAGCACGACGACTCGGTGAAGGAGGAAGAGCAACCGGACCTGGACATGTCGGTCCAAGCAACCCGTATCAACCTCCCCGCCTACCTCGCCGCGCACAGCATCCTCCACACGGTGACGCGCCCCGCGCTGGTCCCCTACGTTGACCCGATGGCCTCGCTCGCCAAGCGGCTGCTCTTCCTCGCCTACCACATGCTCTTCCCGCGCCGCGCCACCACCGTGCACCTCGTCATCCCCATGGTCGAGGCGCTTGCGCTTCCTTCCTTCCCGAACACTCGCCGCGGCGGGCAGGCGCCGGGCAGTCTGCTGCTGGAGGTGCAGGCGGGGCAGGAGATCCAGCTGTACGAGGCGAGCGTCACGTTCGCGGCGCAGCTCAGGGGCTTGAGACGGTTCATGTACCGGTGGAAGGTGACTGCTTTCGTGGTGGTTACGGGGATGTTTTGGATTGGGGAGTTGGTGTTTACGGGGATGGGGCTGTTGTGTCTCAGGGCGTGTTTTGCGGGTGATGGAAGGGGTGGGGTCAAGGTTGAGGGCCGAGGTGGGCGGGAGGTTGTTGATGGCGGTGATGTCAGTGAGCTGAGTGGGGAGAGTGGTGGGGAGAGCAGCGGTGATGGGGACGATGGGAGGAGGATGCCGGTCCGGAGCGAAGGCGCTTGGACAAGAAAAGGCAAGGTTCTCAAGAAGGAAGAAGAAAGTGTGGAAACGCCGCTGTCTAGGATACCTCCATATGATGGCGGACAGGACGCCCGGCCTGAGAAGGATGATCAGGTTGAAGGCGGGGCGGGACTGAGCCAGGGGAAATGGAAAGGGAAAGAGGAAGAGAAGTTCAGCTTGGAAGATCTGGGTCTTGGCACCAGCTACAGTGGCCAAGTGACCAAAGAAGGCGCGAGGAGAAGGAATATCTCCGGCCAGGAGCTATCAGATTGAACCCAAAGCTCCAAACGGCTCGTGTTTTGGCGTTTGGTGTTCAGCGGTTCAGTCGGATTTTGGGTTTAATTCTGTTGATCCTATTCAAATCAGATAATCATGTCTTGACCACATATACATGTGCGCTCAATTCGACGGCTTTTTGTGATATGTTACAAGGCCACAACGCCATATGGACTGCCCAGGAGATGTCTCCTTTCCCAAATTTTTGTTGTGTACTTCGTAGATGACCACTCGGTGTCCACACGGTCCCCAAAACCGCACAAAGCCATAGTACTGTAGGAGGGGAAACCTAGAGACCATTGATGAGCCTCATTTGCCCTGCAAGATCGTGAGCTAACTTAGACCTCCATGGTGCCTGAATCTCCTGCGGCGGTTCCTTAGCGCTATCAGGCACCATGTGCTGCATGCCAACTCAATCACCAGGTGCTGGCCAATGTGTTGGCTGCTTCACAGCGGCGCCCAAAACGGATCCAATTCGAATGCAACTTCCATTGATGGTCGAGGATATGGTCCGTGCACCACAGCTGCGGCTCGGCTTCACCTGGCGTCCATGCTCCTCACTACACTAGCTCCAGTCGTCACCGCTTACCGTTTTGTTCAGCTTCAGATTCCCGATTGACCTTTGGGCGGACAGGCAGACGAACGAACGATCTGAGTAATTACCTGGGTCAGTTCGCCATTCATCTAAGGCAGTGCTAGGAAATAAGACAATACCTTTGTCTTCTGACGGCCAGGGCTGTTTCTGGCCCCGACAGGCCCTGGCGTTTGCACCGGAGACGGCCCAACCCCTCCACCGGACCGTCGTTAGTTTAAATCTCTGGCTTGCCAACACAGAAGCACCCGGAATCCCTGCTTCAGCCAACCGGCCGGACCTGTCACCCAGAGCTCCTGCACTTGCCGTCGCCGTTTTGAAACACAAAGAGACAAGCTTCCTCCCCGAGTTCGGTGCTGTGACAGAAACTCTAGGTTCTACGCCATTGAGCTGCATTGCCGTTCTTGCGTAGGTGTGTGCTGGTGCACATTACCTGAGCAGCATAACTGTCCCTGGTTCGGTCACGAACGCACGGTTCGGGTCTGGCGATACTTCTGTTCCTTTTCTCCTCTCACTTTCTTCCTTGGTCGAACGACACCGACCACATTCCCGCGTTTTTGAGCTCTTTGACCGAAGAGCATCACCTGCCCTAAACTCCCAACCAGCCGGCGATTCCCCCCCTCTCCGCCACTTGACACAGCGCGGGGTAGTAGTCGTCGTGCAGCCGCAGATTGTGGGGGTCTCCGCGACCTCGGCGCAGCCCCGAAAAGACCATCATGCCCTGCTTCAAGGGCATCGCGGTGAGCATCCATGCCAATGGAGCCCCGCTGCCCGAGTATGGCGTGCAGAAGCAGTCGCGCATGTCGCGCATCAACACGTACATCCCGGTTCCCCAACCGCAGCTGGCCGGCGAGTCCAACAAGCCCGAGCCCGCCAAGTTCGCCATCTCCATCACGTTGCTCACCCCGGGCCTCGCCATACCTTATTCGGCACCCAAGGCGACCCCGACGAACCCTTTCCCGACGCCCCAAGTCGTCGGACCGCTACCCTCGAGCTCGGGAGACCGCGGTAGCAACCGTGGCTCTGTCATGCCCTACATTCCCATGACCAACAGCGATAACGAGACGATTGCTGCTTATATTTACTTTGATGGAAGAGCAAAAGAGGAGGTTGCCACGCTGCTGCGGCCAGGAGAAGAAACTTGGGTCAACAGCCGATGGGTCCAGGTGCCCGAGTCGGAGGGTGGTGGCCTGGCCGAGCGCGAGTTTATCTTCCGCGAAGTCGGCCTTGAGCGATGGTTAAACGGCCTCGATCTCAAGGGCCACGATGCCGCCGAAAAGCTGGAGCGCCGGAGACAAAAGTTTGAGAAGCGCAGGAGACGGCAAAAGTCACGCGCCGAGCAGGACGCGGCCGGCATGTCCATGGAGAGCTCCGGCAGGCCGCTCGGCACCCTACGGTACGGTGCCGACGAACGGTCTCCCGTCGAGGCCGTCTTAGACGAGGATTCCATCTCATCGTCGGACGATGACGAGCCGCCCGAGGCTACTGGTCAGATCAAGGTTGCCATGTTCCGAGTCATCGCCTCGGGCGAGATCAAAAAGGGCGAGTACTCTCCTCAGTTCGATGCCCACGACGATTCCGAGGACGAGGACAAAGGAGGCTCCAACGGCATCGACGCGGACGTCGAGCACACAACGAGCTTTGCGAAGCCGAAGACTCTGGATCCAAAGACGATTAGCACCCAGACTGTGACGGGCATCGACGGACCGGACAAGCCGTATGCCGTGTTCACGTTCTTCTACCGCGGCGAGCGTGAGTAGCTGAGGTCACAGGGCCTTCATGCGTAGCCTCTCACTAACTAATTGTCAGGCCAACTCCAAAAGATGGGTATCATGGCCCCTCCAAAGTCCCAAACCACCTCCCCGGCGCTTAAGCGGCGATCAGGGCAGCTCGACTTCTCCAATCTCGGTCCCCTCAAGACCACTGGCACCGTGGGCTTCTCGACATTCCGAGACAAAGACAGCCAGCCGAAAAGGCGCAAGTCGCGTAACAGTAACGGGGCCAATGCCATGGATGCAGATAGCGACGAAGATGACGAGGACGAGGACAACAGCGGGACGATCCTGAGCAAGATGGAGGACGTGGACTCTAAAGAAGACAAGTCCAAGCTCGGGCCCGAAGACGCAAAGTTCTCTGGCGAGCTCGCCGACGGGGTGAACCGTATTCGGGTATGTCACACCCCCTGTAGCTTTCCTTCCCTTCTTCCAGAATCCAACTGACGTTTTCTGTTCCCCTGTCTAGCTCAAGCGCGCGCACTCCGCCGAACCAGATAATGCCTCCAGCCCGAGTAAATCCCCGAGTGCTGGCGTCGCAACCCCACCCGAGCTGGCCCCCAGTGGACTTGCACCACTTGGTGGGCCCGCGGGAATCTTTGGGAAGAACCTAGCAGAGGATGCTAATACCGTTGGAAGCCCGCTGAAGAAGGCGCGTCCGAGTGTGGGCGCCGACGCGGGTCTTCCTGGCAATGTGGCTGGAAATCTGGCGGGCGCCACCGCGAGCGGGAGTTTTCCCTCCGCGCTCGGCGATGTACTCTCCAAGGCACAGGCTGCTCAGACAGGCCAGGGTGAAACGGGGCTTGGAGGGGAGGTGAAGATGGAGGAAGAGGAGTTGTAAGATGGGGGAAGAGGAGCGGGCCAGTGTGAAGTTAATGTTCGGCTGATACTGTTGGTGTACCGCATGGATCTCTGCGACGGCCTCTCGTTCACCGAGTAGACCCTGGACGGTCAGGATTCCTTCCGTTTGATGGGCAAAGGAAGTGAAAACAAGGGCGTTTGACAAGCCACTCCGCGGCTCTCTCCGGGTGTTTGTCCTTCACTGGCGGTTTGCCACTGCCGTTTACAAGACAGAGAACGGCGTTCGGATGCGGATGCATTACCTGGCTTCAGGGATGTCTAGATCTCTGGCCACCTTATCTATGCAGTATAGGTACGGCCTTCATCTGTACCTATTGTTGACTAGGGCATCTTAAATGGATGAGGCATCAAATGCAAGGCATCACTGCTACCTGACATACCAAAAAAGAACGGCATATGGGCTTGGGACTATGAGGTGGGTTTACAGCATTGTCAGCGAGTTAGGTCTTGAGGATGGAGTTGATGGTAGGTAGGATCAGCTCTTTGGGCGTTTCTTGTTGCTGCAACAACCACTTCCGCTTTGGGTAAACATCATGCCTTTTACGACCGTGGTCCGCGACAATGGCCCTGAAGACCTAGTCGATTTCTCGACGGATATGAATTGAATTAAGCATAATATAGGCTCGAGAGGACAAAGTTCAAGCCTGTCATGCTGAAGACACGAATGGCATCCAACGTCAATGGCCCTCCTCTCGCAACTGCCCGAGTCAGGCAATGATGCCGAATTATTATGCAGCCTAAGCCGAATATATAAGTCCCTGTTATGTCTCAATGATTAGCGTCTGTGAGCCCATCACAAATGTCCACAGGAATGCCATTAAGAGAAGAGTGTCAGACTGTTGAGCTTGATTATTTGATGGATCAACATGGAAAATTCAGTTGGCCGTTCTTAATGGAAGATTGTGTCATCATTGAAAATCAGCTTGGAGTAGAGAAGAAAAGATATATCTTACCAGTCAGCACACGAGTTATTCGGGCGGTTAGAGGGGTCTGTTCCCAGCTATCGTGGCTAGCAACGAGTCCATGATCGTGATGAAGGAAAGGTCAAGAAACTTTGAGAGGCTGCGAATTTTGGGTTTTCCAGTTTAACTTTCCAAGCTCAAGACCCACCCATGGTAACCCCGGCACAGCTGGTTTCCTGCCTCAGGCTGAAATCAACCCCACCATGTTATGCGCCGGACTTTGGTAAGGTAGCGATCGCAAACTTCCATGCACATCCACCAACCCAGCACACCTACCTAAGCTACATCCCGTCCAAACTCGCGCTTGAGTTGCCTTCCAGATACCAGCGTTCCCGCGAAGTTTGGATTCTCTTAAAGACTTCCAGAGTACCTCAATCAATATGGGTGAGTGCGAGATTAGAGAGAATCTCCTTTCCGGCGCAGTCTTGGGAGAAATGAGGGGTTGCTGGCGTTGTTTACCCCGCGATCCCTTCAGTCGCGAGGTTAGGTCGCAGAAGCACGGTTGTCACTGACAAGACTATAGACTTCCAGGGTATTGCGAGTAAGTGCGCACCGAACTGAAGCTTATCACGGTGCTTCTCGAAGAAGACGAAAGAAGGCGATGGTCCTGACATTTGGCCCTTTTGCTTGCCCCGCTCTGCAGCGCAGTTCGTCGACCACTACTACAAGACTTTCGACGCCGACCGCAGCGGCCTGGCCAGCCTCTACGTACGGAAGACCCCGTGTACGACCAGCGGTGAAGCGAAGAAAGCTGATCTCGATTAACCAAAACAGAGGGAGAACTCGATGCTCACATTTCAGGACTCTCAACACCTTGGAGTCAGCGGTATTGTCGAGAAGCTTGTGGTAAGACATCACAACGGGTTTAGCTTTGCGTATGGCGAGAAGCATGCAGTTGCTGAGTCGTTTATCATCAGAACCTGCCTTTCCAGAAGGTCACGCACCAGCCGACGACTACCGACGCGCAACCCACTCCCAATGGCGGCATCATGATCCTGGTGTGTGGACAGCTTCTGGTGCGTGAACACAATAATAACCTGCTGGTATGATATCCCGTTTCTAACACCTACGCTCAGGTCGACGAGGAACAGCGGCCCCTCCCCTATGCGCAGGCGTTCCAGCTCTGCCAGGACGCGGCTGGCGGGTGGTTCGTCTTCAACGACATCTTCAAGCTGGTTCTTGGTTAAGCAGCAGGCTCCGTGATTTGCAGCGTGCCTTGGGCCGTGACGGGCTCTGCCTAGACGTAGACATGACTGCGGAGGTCGGCACTTGTTGGTCCGGTACGGATGTTAAGGACGGGACAAGGAGCTACGGCTACTCGCCTTTGGCTCGGGTGCCTTCGGAGGAGCATAGACGGGCTCTGCAGTGTGGAAGATATGGGAATTGTCTATGGCCATAAAGCGAATCTCGACGACCTGACTTGGGTTAATACCAGACGAAGTTACAAAAAGGTGGCTGTGTCAGTTGGTAGTTCGCGGCAGTTGTGTGCAGTGCCCTCGTCTTTATGGTTGCTCGCCGGACCGCCGCGTCATCCTCCATACGTCAGCAGAGCTCACAACTTAGAGAGGCACGAGAGAGGTCATCTTATATCCAGCTACCTATTGGCGGCGCACCGCTCTTCCAAACGTTCTAAAGGGCCGATTTCCTCGTCCGCACAACATTTACCAGCAGATGTATATCGTATGACCGCTGGGATAGATCAAACGCTTTGTTCCGCAAGCTTTTTCTCACCAAACCCAAACCTAAGATTCTCAAGAAGGCCTGACCTACAAGGGACTCGGCAACAAGTGCCAACAACAGTGGTAATTAAGTGGCGCCCAGAAGCATAGCCCCACAGACCCGGAATCCTCCACTCGGACCCGTCGGCCGCCAAAATGACAACATGCTGCTAACTGTTTTCATCCTAACGTAGCTTCCGTAGTCTCCCTCAAGCTCGCAATCATAGCAACCTAGCAAGCAACTGCACGGCCAGTTGTTTCACAATACCAATTTCATTGTGCGTTTGGACTGCCTCTGCGGGACAAAGGGCGGAGATCGCTTATCGAGATACCGATCGGTCGATCCATCCTATCAATTGTGCTTAGAAGTGGTCCCGGCTCGAGCCGCATCGCATCGCATCGCATCGCATCTTCTCAAGCAAGCAACGGCACATCATCGCACGACCGGCGCGGCGGGAATAGGAACTGTCTATCACGGCGCTCTACAGGCTCAACTGTCCTCTCGACGTAGACGCTGAGCTGGGAATTGAAGAACTGCGGGAACGAACGGTTCCGAGGCCATCACCAGATCTGTTTACTTGGAGTCCGCTTCAAACACCGCCAAGATGTCGTTGAAGGACGAGTTCGCGACGCGCAACTTCAGTACGTCTCCCATCATGCGACGCTCCTATCGCTATGAATAAGACAAGCTTGTCTTGAGGACGCAATGCTAATGGGTGGTTTGCTGCGCAGGTATCTACGGGCAATGGTGAGACCCTTCCCCTTCATCCGGCTCGAAGCAACCGACGTGGTTTCGGTTGTCGGAATAATCGACGACGACATTCCTCAACACCGCCGAGTACCGGGAGGAGCAGGATTCCCCTAAAGACCATACAGCTGACCACCGAGTGCCATGCAGGTTGGGTATCCTGACCATGATCCTCTGTTTCGCCCTGGGGATAGCAAACATCTTCACCTTCCACGTCCTGCTCATCATCTTTAGCGTCTTATGTCTGTATGTTCGCACCCCTATGCCTCCTCCCTCCTGCTAGAGCACCCCACTCGCTCTTAAAGACCTTCCATTCTAACCGTTGCGCCTAATGTCTGTTCGTCCAGTGTGTCCTCGTTCATCATCCTCTTCATGGAGGTGCCACTTCTCCTGCGCATCTGCCCGACCTCGCCCGGCTTCGACAACTTCATCCGCCGTATTTCGACAAACTACATGCGCGCCGGCGCCTATGGCGTCATGGCCGTCGTGCAGTGGCTGTCGATCATCATCGCCGCGAGCTCGCTGATCGCCGCCGCTATCCTCCTAACCGCCACCGCGGTCTGCTACCTGCTTGCCGGCATCAAGGGCCAGGCGTTTGTGGGCAGCAAGACGCTCGGCGGTGCGGGCGTGGCGCAGATGATCGTATGAGGTGTCAATCGCGATTGCGATAAGCAAACGAGAATCGAGGCAGGGGGCTTGGGATAGCGCATGAGGTATGGGAGAGAGGATGGGGAAAGAAGGACATGCGGAGGGAGACCTGCAGTGCGAGATGGAGCAGCTGGACTGGAGACTCTGAATCTTAACTTACCCTTATGGGGCTGGAATAGGGGAGGGGGGAAAGCGAGACATGCTTGCCTCCGCGCTAGCTGCGTGAGACAAGGAGAAGCATGATTTGAGCGTCGGCTTGCTAATGCTTGTATATGGCTAAAAAGGAGGGGTTTATGGCGTCTATGATTTCCTCCAGGGGACAATGAGGGTTTATCCAGTGTAGGCTTAAGTCTCCTTTCGTGGTGAGCGCTGTTCAATGTTGTGTTGCGGTTTTGCTGTTGGCTGGGAAGGCGAGGATGATCGGTATTTTTGCAGGTTCGCGTCGCTGATCCAAGGGTACTTGGGATGTCACTAGACATCCACCGGACCCTTCCGATGGCCATATACGCCATCCCAGTTGTCCGGTTTAGCCGGATTCTCCGTAGCTATAAGGTACGCAGCAAGCCAGGCAACGCATCAGCACTGGCCCAGCTTCTTTCTGCTAGTTTACACTAAGTTATACGATCACGATTTGGGACTCGTCAGAGGAGAGGTCTGTGGAGCTATCAAGAGTAAGAATTCTTGGGGCATTTGTTGCTCGGGCGAGTCCAAGTACAAAGATAAGGTTCTTATCGGATATAGTGTCGATGATAGCCTATCGCTTTCTACTGTAGAGCGTTCAGTTTGTTATCAACCAAGGAGATAAACAGTCAAGGTCGTAAGCTCCGTTTGAAGCTACAGAAGCTAGCAAGGAGGTTGGAGATACGAAAGGGGCATGCCGCCTGGTCTACCGTAGTTTTCAAACCATGTTGACATGCCAATGTGTCCTAGCCACTTGGCGCATCAACCGCGGGCGAGTAGGCCGGATAGAGTCGGCCATCACGATGGCGTTTTGTGTGACATCAGCTTATCCACGGGAAAAGAGCGAGTCGAGAATCCCAACTCCACACATGAAGCACGTCTTCGGAGATCATGGCCCGTACTTGTAGGACCTAACAAAAACATGAAGTACAGCTACGGGGAGTTACTTGTCTCAGACTGTGTACCAACGCCAACTTCAGGTCAGCAACAGAGCGCATGAGCTGCAATGGAGGCATTGCGTCATACCGCGCAGCAGTTCAAGCATACTGCGTACAGAGTTACCCCAGCCTATCAGCGGTACATGACCGATTGCTGCGGCATTTCTTGTAGCAGAGAAGCCGAGTCCGTTCCGTTTCTGATCCGTTAAACGGGGGTCTCTGGCACCGTTCGGTAGCAACGCTCGCAGGGAAACAGTCCAAAAAGCTGTGCCGCCTCGGCCCCTCACAACGATCGCGTTTGCTTTGAAAAAGCGGTCACCGAGGGAGTTTAGGCGCAAAGGCGGGGTTCACCGCCATTGGATCGGGGGATAGGGAACATGCAGAGATGATTGTGCGACTTGGGACGACGAACCGTACCGTCTCAAGTCCGGGCCAACACGTGGAGGAGGAAGAAGGACTTGCAGGTGCCAGCGCGCTTCTCATCTTCTCATTAGAGTGATAGCGAGAAGCTCAGACCCCGCCATGTTGGATGCCCCGCCATCCATGTCCAATTCCTCAGGGGTTCTTGTGTCAGCAACTCCTGAGGTGACACGAACTGAAGGGCCTGGCAGGTATTGGACAACTCAAAAGACGTGCCGGCTCGGAGTGTAGATTGATGCATCGCTAGCTGGTAACATCCTTCTGTTGTCGTTTATTAGCGGCGGCCTAGATACCGGTGAGTACCTATGTGCCGCTCCATGCCAGTAGGCCTGCAGAGCAGAAAAACTCTTGGGGTCATTCGCATTCATTGTCTCCAAAATTGAACATCAAGCCGCCATCATCGCCAGGGTCAGCCGCAGTTAGCGGTGGAGATGGTGGGGTCGACGAATTCAGCAGATTCTGGACTCCGTATCATACTGTGATATTGACTGTGTACGGTCTTAAAGTATCCTAACGAGCTACATGGTACAATGTAGGTTGAATTCTTCCTTTAACACTTCAACCAGAAGGCTTCGGAGTCAGGAAACGCAATTGCTCTCGAATTATCCGCTCCAAGTCGCTCCCTTGAGAATTCACGGCTGTCTGCAGCAAAAACTACGCTGGAATGACGACTTGTTCTCCATTGAACCGCGCCCCTCTTTTAAGGGATGTACGAACCAGTACTTGGAAGTACCGGGTGACCCACCGTTGCCAGGTACACCCAGCATTTGGGCTTTTGCATCGCCCGTCCAGTGGATTCCACATCTTCCTTTCGCGATGCGCGAAGAGTCACTGGATCACCCGCTTGGCCTGCTGATGGCGTTCTAGCCCCAAGGGTTACGAGAATCCCTGTTTGGCTGTTGAACACGGCACAATAGAACAATGAGGAATCGTAGCACGGACACGACGGCGGTCCAAGGTACACGGTACGTACCGGTTGAGCGAGCAAATGACGAATCCCCGATAGGTCAGGTACCTTATAAGTGAGGTGGTCAGCGCTCCCGCCTCCCTGCATCGTGGCCCAGTTTCATCATAAGCTTCCAGACCACCCTAATAGCCAACAATCCCACGACTCTTTTGTTCCTGGACTCGATTGACCTCCAGCGTCTCTTGAGCGTTGCTCATCCTGGATTGCCTGGACATACAGACCTCCCAAGCACCGGACAGTTGTTCCAAGCTCTTTAGAGCTCTCGAACTTGTAAGTCTGCCCCTCCATCGCCTTTCCCCTGCAGATGAACCCAAACACCAAAGCGCCAGCCACCAAACCTTGAAAACCAAGTGGTTTCTTGCCGTTTGCTGGCTGGCGTGTCGTTGCCCCACGTTGCTCGCTGTATCGGTTATGTTCTCAACCTCGGCCTGAGCGGGAGCAACAGTGGTTGCAAAGCTGCCGGAGAGTGATGCGAGAGCTCCCCCCACGATAGCCACCGAATTGTGTTTGCAGCCTCGAAGTATCATGTAATTGCATTAGCTGGCGATTTGTCTTTCTTTGCGCTCTTTTCTACATCCTATTATTGATCGTATCGTGGCTCATACCTTGGGGGGGCTGCCAATCGCTTCGTTATCAGCCGCGAATCGAGCTGTTGCACTTATTGCACCGGGGCACTTATTGCGCAGACACAACCGTTGCAGCAAGTTTCTCAACCTCAGTCCCCCTGGTTGCTAAGGAACCGTGGGGTGTTTTGCCGCTCAAAGCGCGATTATATTGCTGCTCTTTGTGCTCGCCGGGATTGTTGTGCAGTGGCTAACTGATATTCAAGTCGCATTATTCTAGACAACCTTTTCGAAACTTCGCGAAAAGGCCAGCCACCAACTCGGACCGTCCTTCATTCCTTACTTCTGTCACCGGGCTGCATTACAAACAGCAACAGCAGTCCTCCAGTGGCCTATACATCCCAAAGTTAGCCGACTCTCGCCCGCCATGTCCGCTGCAACGGCCAAACCCCCGGCCATACCTCCTAGGCCCTCGAGGGGCCAAGAAAAGACATCGACATCAGGTCCAATGGTTCCTCCTCGCCCCAACCGGCGCTTCCAGCGCTCTGTCAGCCCCAACCCTGACCGCTTCGCTCCCTCGCCACTGAACGACACCGCTTTCCTCAAGCCTGGCAAGTCACAGCCTAGCTATTTGAGCAACAACAGCGACCCGATCCCGCGCTCTACCTCGGTTGATCTGCCCTCGCTGGGGGAGGAGGGCAAGGAATATGCCGGCCTGGCCGAGGAGCTGAGCTCGTCCAATGAGGGGAGCGCCGATCCCGAACAGACGCGCACCGTCCCTGAGGACCTCAAGCTCCACGCTCCCAAGCCGTCCTTGCCCGCCGAGAGCGCGAAGCAGCGCGTTATGGCCGTGACTCGCACCGACAGCGAGCGTGCTGCCTCATTCGGCATCGGACGACCTAGCAGCGTCGAGGACTCGACTCCCGCCCTGCCGTCCAACCGCAGCCTTAAGAAGAAAGCTAGTACGACCAGCCAGCTCTCTGCGGCCTCGAGCCACCATGACGACGAGCACGGCATCCCCCAGATTGGTCAGCAGGTGCCGATGCTGAAGTATGCCGGTGACGTCCAGGCCCCATCGCCAGCGCCCGCTGCCGAGGGTGGGGCAGGCAAACACCATAAGCGTAGGACATCATCTCGTGGAAACCTGCCGCCCGGTAGCTACGGGTTGCATGGCCACGGCGTTGCGCCGCAGGACAAGCTCGAGAAGGCTTATTACGAGAAGCACCCAGACCTACTGAAGAAGGAGCATGTGCCGCACCATTATGACCGGCCCAATGATTTCTCCATGAGCAGAGATGACCTCGACAAGATCGTCAAGGAGACGGCGAGCCGCGGCTCTGGACTTGGTCAGTTCGGCTGAGACAGCCAGACCTGACACTATTGGTAGCTAACCCGGCGCTTTGTAGGTGTCAAGAACTATGCCGCAACCCCCAGTGACCAGGTCGGTTGGCAGGCCCTGGAGGAGACGGCCTCTCGGATAGCGTCCCCTGATAATACCTCTCCGGAACTCAAGACGACGCCTATCCACGTCGACGAACCCGGCCGTCCGAGATCTGTAATGTTTAGCGACACAGAATCGGTAAACGCCGAAGAGGTGGAGCGCCCATACAAGGCTCCCATCCTGGCCGAGGACGAAATTGCCAAGGACCCTTCGGGCTACGACCACCAGCCTGCTGTCGAACCTCCGGTGCACGGCGTGGAAGAGCCCTCCAGTCGCCCGACAAGCAGGCCCACCAGCTTGTACAAGGAGACCTCGTTTGAGCTGCGGTCTACGCCTCTGGAAGACGTGGAGGAATACGAGCCGCTCTTCAAGGACGACGAGAAGCAGGAGCCGAAGAAGCCCGCGGAGGAGGCGAAGCCCAAGAAGAACCACCACAACCACCCGCACCGCTTCCCCAGCGCTGACATTTGGGAAGATGCGCCGAGCAGTGTCTTCTACACGGCCGAGGTGTCCACCCCAGAGCTCTTCGACGAGCAGGAAAAGCCGGTGCCGTCAACCGTCCCTCCGCCGAGAGAGGGCGAAACCCCGGCTCAGGCCTTCGCCCGGCACCAGGAGGAGCTTGCCGAGCGGGAAGCCCGCGGCCAGAAGACCAACGGCTTCCTCCCGCTGCTCCCCGCAGCAGCCAAGACACAGAAGCCCCTGTGGGCGCAGCACCAGAAGCACCTTACGCCCGAAGCTGCGCCCCGTCGTCCTGGCATGCAGCAACGGTTCCCAAGCCGCGACGTTTGGGAAGACGTGCCCGACAGCCTCAACCTGCAGACCACGGTGTCCACACCGCAGCAAGAGGAAGAAGTGCCCTCGCCAGCGGATAATATCAAGCCGCCCGAACTTCCCTCCGAGCGTCCGACCCAAGCAGCCAAGCCGTCCTCCGAGCCGGCCGCTGGGGCGAAACCCTCCATCCCCGACCGTCCCAAACCGAGACAGGCATCGGTCGACGACAAACCCGCCATCCCGGAGCGGCCGAAACCGCAGATCCCCGCCCGACCGGCCAAGGCCGGTCCCACATCGGGCGGCCTCGAGCCCGCCGAGGCCGCTGCGCCGCCCCCCAAGCAGAAGCCGGCCGTGCCCGCCCGTCCCATGGGATCCAAGATTGCCGCGCTGGCGGGCGGGTTCATGAACGACCTCAACCGCCGGCTGCAGCTGGGCCCGCAGGCGCCCCCTTCTACTAAGAAGGAGGAGCCGGCGGAGGAGGAGGAGAAGGAAGAGAAGGAGAAGGCGCCGCTCAGCGATGTGCGCAAGGGGAGGGCGAGGGGCCCGCAGAGGAGGGCTCCTGCTTCCTCTTCATCTGCGCCGAAGGCGGAGGAGGAGAAGACGGAGAAGAGGGAGGTGGTGACCTTTGCGTTCTCGTCCGCGGTCACTTTCTTTGAGATTGATCCCGATGAAGGGACTGTTTCTGTGCATGCTGGTGGGGTGAGCGAGGCCCAGCCTGCTGAGAAGTCTGAAGAGGTGGCGGAGGACAAGAAGAACGGTGAGGAGAAAGGGGCTGGCGTGGCAGAAGCTAGCAGCGTTCCAGGCGCCTTCCCGGCTGAGGAGGGGGAGAAGAAGGAGGACGTCACGGCTCCGGCTCCAGCTCCGGCTGAGGCGGAGACGGAGAAGGAGCAGGCGACGGAGGCTAAGGCTGAGGCCAAGGCTGAACCTGAAGCTGAAGCCGAGTCCGAGAAGCAAGAGACCAAGTCGCTTGCGACCAACATGGCCGGGGAGACGCTGGTGTCGGAGCAGATCAAGAAGGATGACGAGCACCAGGAGGTCGAGCCCGTGAAGGTGGTTGAGAACTAAACGACAGTTGGTGGGTGCTGATAGACAACTGGGGACCAACGCGTTGTTGGGTCGATGATTTTGTTGTTCTTGGTTCTCTTGTTTTGATTCGTGCTGCTACAGCGAACGCCGAAGACAGACAATCCTTTGATCCTCCAGGGTTTCCAGTATCACAGACGAATAAATCGGCTATGAATAGATGATACGGTCGAAGATATGGGTATTGGAGCACTTTGTTGTATTGAACGATGCATGGGCTGGATGTCTTTGTTCAGTGTCGTTCCTCATTAGGTTATCGAGCGGTAAGAACTGAGGTGTATCTGTCCAAGCTCAGCGTTATCATTATTGTACTAGTAGTAGTGTCATCATCAATGGAGAACTTTTAAAAGCCCGTCCCTTGTGAATGTGTTCGAGGGGAGTGACTTAGCTAACCCCTGAGACCGAGGAAGACACTGCACGTTACAAACCTCCCAGCCTGTTCATTAGCACCAAGACAGACCCCCCAGCATACGAGCTCGAATGATAACTATCTCTCGATTCTGTCCTGTCCCCCCTTCCCTTGAGATAAGCTTCTGTAAAACGAAAGAGTGTCGCCTTGCCGACGCTCTTTCGGCATAATAATAACTCTTCACTTGCCGCTCCACAACCACGGTCATTTCCCCTTGCCCAGCCGACGCTGACCACACTCAGCACCTAGGTAGTATATGATTCCCTTTCCAACCATGCTGCCATCACATACGACCACAGCTCCTGAAGAATTTGGGATCCCGTCCGCTCTCCTCTAGAGAAACCAGGAAGCGCAGGATCAGCTCAGGTCGGTGACGACTGGGGAATCCCCTGGGTTGTATATTTTTGCTCCTCACTGCTACTACTCTTTTTACCGTTCATTCAACCAACGGGAAGCTTATTTACCAAGGCAGGAAATCAACTGTGTGCTGAACCAGTAGCTACAGATTTATAGTTGTTCAAAGTCATGCCTCTCTGAGGGCAAGCAACTCTATTACTAACTGAACCATCCTCCGTGAGGTAGCCATATACGAAGGAGTTGAGCACCCCACCTGCCCCCCCCCCCCCCCCCCCCTTTTTAGCTCACTTTCCAGCCTAAGGTGCCTACATACTTTGATCTGGGTACCTATCTCGGAGACTACCGGCCGTCCCCAAACAGTAGGTAGATCAAAGCAAGTCTATGACTGTATCACGGTTGGTGTTGCCTGTCTGCTTCTCGCCACAAGCATCATACTAGTAGTTGAATGAACATTGGCAGAGTGCCAGTGTAACTGTTAGTAAGCTCGCGCGTGACAGTATCACGCTCCGAGACGTACACAGTAAACTGAAAGGCTGAAACAACATATATATGGGTCTATACTCTATAGGAAGGGGGTGTCTCCATGGTGTGACAGCGACAGAATGGAACATCAACCATCATGACCTCGTATCACCATGACTCAACGCTTCTCCCTTTTCCCAATAATCAACCATAGGCACTTGCCACATCAATTCCTATCGATGACACCACTGAGATACAGGGGGTGTCTCGACACTGTCTTCGTTATACCACCGTGAAGTGCTGGACAGAACGGCCTGGTCCTCACTTAGAGATTTGATGCAGGACAGGTAGTCTAGCCCTAGCGTGCTTTGCAGATCGTTGACTAGTACCCTTTCCACTTTGGCCGCGGCCTATGGCCCTTATGCCATCTAGCCAGCCGCCGAAGCTCGTCCTGGCGGCGCGAGACTTCGGCGAGGAAGGCATCCACGTCTGTCGCCTCCGACGGGAGGCTCTTGAGCACGAGCTGGATCCTGCGATCGAGCGCTTCATAGGCGGCGACGAGCTGGAGGTGGCGACTCATATCGAGGGCCCTGTCGTAGCGCATGACCGAGCGCAGGAAGGCGACGAGGTCCCTGCCGGCGGCGAGGTCGTCGAGCGTGAAGCTGGCCTGCTTCAGCCTGCGGAGGGCGAGGAAGTAGGACACCCTGAACCTGCCCCTCAGCCGCTCGCAGATGGAAGCGACGGTGGCCGTCGTTGTCTGCAGGCGCTTGCGCTCGTCGGCGTCGAGCTCGTCCCGGTACCAGACGTGTACTTTCCCCCGTAGGCAGCGCCACCACACCCTCCGGATTGCGTCGTCCTGGGCCGAGGCCAGGTTGGTCAGCTGGTCGCAGAAAAGGAAGACGTCGGTGAAGACGAGGACGTTCGCGTCTGGTGATTCTTCCGGGAGTGAGAGGTACAAGTACAAGTACACTGCTACTCAAATGCTTGACAGAAGGTTGGACCCCGGAGTAGAAGCCGTTTGTCAGCTTGGGTCGGGTGTTTGAAAAGAACAATGGCTGGTTCCAACTTCCACTGGAACAGGCAAGAAAGAACAAGCATTGACTAGGTGGAGTTTGCGGGCTGCGTGTGGCAGGGAAGAAAGCCGGCAGCGTCGATGTCCTGAGAGTTTAGGCGGCTGTGCCTTCCGACAATGTCGACCGATTCTGTCGCTTGTCCCCAGGCGGAAGCTGGACCAGAGTCTCACGGCAGGATCAACCCAGGGGCAGGTCAGTGGCAGCTGGGGGTTCGGAACCCCCTGGTGGTTTCATCCCATCTCTTTATCTTCAAGTGCCGTTCACAGTCTACGGAGAACGCAGCCACTTAGTGTAATGGGATGAATTCAATTATCATGTCTGTAAATGTAATGACGGGCCTTTGAAGATTCATATACATACCCTCAATTGAAAAGTTCAGCCTTGGGACTCCTCTTGTGTATAGCCATGCATCAGATAAATGCATTCATTCCACGGTCTAGCTACATAGTAAGTTACCAAAACCTGGCATATTACCATGTAAACAGTAGACATAGGCCAAAGATGAATCAAACATGGCTTGGTAACGTAAATATAAACTAAACATCGGTCCGGTGTTTTGTTTATTTGCGTTATTGCGAGCGTCGCCCCTAGATCTAGTCATCGGGCACTTGAACGCCAACCCAACAACCTGGAAACCAACAACTCATCCCTCATCACTCTTCCCCCCCTTCCGCAGCCCCCAACCCAAGTCCCAGCGTCGGCACCCACACCTCCAACCCTTCCTTCCCAGCCCTCAGGCCCTCCGACGCCGGAATCACCCTCAACACCTTCTGGAAGTACTTATCCCTGACGACCAACGCAGGCCTGATCCACATCCCACCTTCTTCTTCCTCCGCTCTCTCCGCCTCATCTTGCCCTTTCTCCCCACCCAAACTTTCGTCTCTCACCTGGTGGGTTACAGCAAGTGGCAGCAGCCGGTACGCCACACTCCTCCTGGACACGGGGAGCAGATTCAAACTCGTCTGCTTCGGCCCGGAAAATGCAAACTGCTCGCTCGGTTCCATGGACAGCCCAAAGGTTAGGAAATGGCTCGACGCGTTCTCAATCGTCACTGTCAGCGTGATCATCGTCATCATCGTCATATTCTGACTGCCTCGATGATGGGACACACTGGCCAGCACGCGCGGCTCCGTGCCAAACAGGGTAAACCTTGGGATGGGGAGGGTGGTGGTGTTAACCGAGACCGGGTCCGCGTCCGGGCGGGTCCACTTGATGATTAGGGAGATGTCGAGCGGGGCGGGGCTGCGGTCGTCGACGGTGGCTTTCTGGGCGACCAGGTCGAAGGCGGCTTCTTCGATGGTTTTCGGGTGGACGAGGCGGCCTGTGCCGGAGGCGGGGAGGACGCCGGTGCGTTTGGTGGAGGAGCAACGGATGGTCGGGGTTGCTTGTTGGATGGTGATATCGACATCGGTTACGCGAAGCGGTTCCGAGGCGAAGGAGGCGTAGCGTGTGACGAGACACCATGCTTGCGAGATGCCTTTCGGAGGCGCGGGGGCGTGGTTGTCGTCGTCCCCGTTGCCGGTGTCTGGGAGCGGGACGCCTTCCGGGTCGAAGAGGCTGGGCCAGGGGTCGGGGTGCACGCGAGGGAGGAGGCCGTAGTTCGCTTCGAAGGGGCTGACGATGTTGAGCTGGAACGCGGCCCTTTGGGAGATGGGTGTGCCTGGGTTGGTGGGAAGGAAATAGGTGACTTTGAGCGTCAGGTCGAACCGACTGGAGCGCTCGATTGGAGGTAGGCGGAGGCAGACGGCCATGGTATTGGAGCTCGCAATGGTGCCCATCGGGACTCCTGACAGTCTGGCTTCTTCGCTGCGGGCACTGGAAGATACTTGGTCCTCGTGACCCGGGATCTCTACGGCAAAGGCTGGTGGTTTTTCCCCGAACAGGAGCACATCTAATCTGGCAAGAGCCTCAACGTCTTCGCCGTTCTCAGCCTCGAACCTGAGAGTGATTGGCTCATCCGTGTAGTACTGCTCCCTCCATATTGGACACCTGATCTCCATTTTGGGAGGCCTAGGCAAGACATGGACGGCAAGGGGATGCGGGTGAGGGAGGGATTTCATCGCAGATCCGGAAATACACCAGATGCTGGAGTTACTCCTCTCCTGGAATTTTAGCGACTGCCGCAAGGTGAATGCCTCGGACTCGACGTTTAAGGTGAGCGAATCCGCCCGTGTCTCACCAGGCTCTCGTAGGGGTATTTCCATGTTGAAGACGAGAGTCTGACCCGGGCGCAGGGTCAAGTCGGCAGACCCAAGGAGGGTGACGCCATTGTTGGCTTCGTCCGGCGTAGATGACTCGGGTTGTGCATCGCTACCAATATGCTTGGCCAGGGGAACCGTGGTAACTGTCGCTTTGCTATGTGTATGTTGTGATGCTTGCTCATTTTCCCGGTGCCGCAACACAACACCATCCAGGCTGCCGCTGAAGCTGACATAGACGCTCTGCAGAACAACAGGCGCTGATCCTTGGTGTGCGTTGGACTTGATGCACAGTTGGCTGCGGACGCTTTGCCCCGCCTTACCCTCTTCGTTCTTGAAGAGGAAGGACGCGGACACGAAGGAAATAAGTTGGCCATCCTGGATCGATACGCTGGGCTTGGACTTGAGAGGGACGTCTTCCAGCGATTTCGTAATGTCGTAATGCCAGCCTGGCCGCTTTGTGAAGTCTACGAGTGGTTAATGCTGTCCAGACAGAGGCGGCTGGCTTAGCCACGAAGGCGACATACCTCGAGAGAGCAGCTCCCAGTCAGCCAGGAGCACCAACTCGGCGTCTCCAGCTTCTGCAGCCGCGGTCCGGAGGGCCCAGTTCAGCTCCTCGGCTATTGGAACCCAGCCCTCAGCCCTGAACGGCATGTCCTTCCGGATCGGGCGCAACAGCTGCACGATGTTCTGCCAGTCCTTCGCAACGGCAAGCTCTCTGGCACATTCCAGCGTCACCTCGGCCGCAAAGCGTGCCTGGCGCCGCTTGAGGAACTCGGCGCGTGCCCGGATCAAGCGGTCAACGATCATTTGGCTATGGTCTACGCCTGCACGGCCCAGCGGGTATTCTTCGTGGGGGTCAGGGCACATGTACGTGTCGTATGCGAAGGCAGACTTTGCGACGTGGGAGGCCGGCGAGGTGCTCGGCGATCTCCGATCGTCCTCTGGGATGGCGCGAGCGAAGGCCTTCCGCGCTTGCAAGTGCTTCGCCGCCATACGGTGCCAGTAGCCCGTGTGGTGGAGCAGCTCCCAAGGCTGCAGCCGCTCTCCCATGATACTCTTCTCTGGCGGAAGGTAGAGCCGGAGCGTGGTCGGCGCGAGCTCTGGTATGTCGGTCTTGTCGATGAGATCGGCCATGACGACCGCCCAGCGGGCCTCCCACGCTTCCCAGCCGTAGTTCTTGGTGCCCCTGCCTTGCCGTTCGACAAGGTCCGCGATCCTTTCCCGGTGAAACTGCCATCGACGAGCGGCTGCGCTGTGCTGGCCGTTCCAAAACAAACATCGGAGACAGCGCACAGAAACGACATCTGCTAGAAACCTGGCTTCGTTCCACCGCGGACTCCAGCTGGGAATCAACTCCATCACCTCGGAGCTCAGAAGGTTCTCGTAGGCTTGTTCATACGAGCGCAGAGCAACGTCCATCTCCAGGCGGTATTCGGCAAACATAGCCGATTTGAAATCGTAGCGGACATTCCACCCGGCCAGCGAGAGTGTCTGCGAGGTGCCCGAGGTTGGCGGCACCGTCGGTTGAGGTACAGTCCCTCGACCCCTTTTCTTGCGAGAATGCCTTCCGAGATCCCGGTAGTACTCAATCGACACGGTGTAGAGTGTGGTGAGCATATTCTCAGCCACACGCTCGAGCTCCTCTTGGGAATCAGTGAATGGCACGAGGAACAGCGCTTTGGAGTCCAGCCCTGATCCCCGGCGGATGGTTTCCAACCGCTCTTGGACGCCGTCGAAGGAGGCAGCCGAGGAGACATGGTCGCTCAGGAGCACCACCGCCAGTCGCGTCTTATAACCGGACTGGCTTAACAAGGCCCTGATGGTGTTTATATCTGTCTTGATCTGGTTGTCACAGAGCTTGGCAAGCGTGGGGTCGGAGACTAGCGCATAGAAGCAGAGAAGGACACTTGGGACGAGCTCCTGATGTTTGCGAATCCATTGCGTGTCGATCAGGCCGTCTGGGTACAGCGGGGATATGGGACTCAGGGGCGAGTACGGAGAGTGCAGCACGGGGGCCGGGGTCGCGGATGGCGAGGGAGCTTCGATGCCTTCCGGCAGACGGGCACGGCGCGGCGGGAGCAGCAATGACTAAGGAGGCGGCGCCGGATCAGATACAGATATCTACGGTAGCAAGCTACCTAAGCATCGAAGCACCCACTCTTTCAGCGGTTTTGACTCGAAACCGGTATTTCCTCCCAGAGGCATCTCGCCCGTTACAGGGCAACTCGGATGCATCGCGGTCTCGGATGTAGCGCAAGAGCGCATGCGCCTGGTCCGAATCGAGGGGCGCGAGGTCAGATCGAATGAGGACGGCCTGTTCTTTAAGACTGGCGCCCAGCCCGGCATCGTAGCCACTGCCTGTCCTTGTCCCCAGCGTGAGCAGGAGGGGCACATTGTGATCCAAGCTGCCGGCGGGATACTCATCCATTTGCGATGCCAAACCTCAAGGTGATTGACGCCGCCGTATTCCCTGTGGAAAGCCGATGCTTGGTGGCCCGAGCCGTATCAATTGCTCGGGAGAAGTTGTGCAAGCTCAGATCAACTTGGAAACTCGAGGCGGCGGCGCATATCAGGGACTGAGGCTTTCATCCGCAGTTCTGGCTGCAGTTCTATCAAATGAATTGGTGGAACAGGGGATTGGCACCCCAGCTTCCAAGTTCCCACAGACCCCTACCAAGTTGTTATCTTATCGGTCAGTGCTCCCCTCACACCCAACTCCTGGGGCTCTCCCATGTCAGAAAGGCCGCACCCCAAATGATGGTTCGAAAGATGAAGAAGTCAACAAGTACAATCACTTCGAAAAGAAACAGAAAGGGAAAAAGAAAAAGGAAAAAGGAAAAAGAGATAAGGAAGCCAAGCTAAGAAGAAGAGCAAGGTAGGAAAGAAAGAAAAGAAAGCAATAAAGAGAAGAGAGGTTAGTCGCACCTGCCTTAGTTATCGGGTAATCGCGAGGCCTGTACAGCTTAGTTTGTCCAGAGGAAGGTGGGCTACTGTTTCTACTTGGCATTCGTGACGCGCTCCACGACGCGTCCCGGCATCTTAACGCGACGGGACTTGTCAATTAGAAGAAGCACACCCCCGCTTCCCCAAGTGCAGGGGCAGACGAGCGACATTGTCTTGCAGTATGCTGCCTTGTTCTCGTCCGGACTGTCACCAGTGCACACTGCTGTACTCGATCCCACGGCATTAGCCCGTGTATACATGTGCGTGCACTTACTTTGCAGTACATGCATAGCGTCAGGCGCGATCTGAAGGCGCAATGCCTCTCTACAAGTCCTTCTCTGAACAGAGCGCGGCTCCCGGGGTAAGTTACCGATATAGTCTCGCGGTGAGATGTTTTGGATATGGGCGCTAAGAACTATGATGGCAGCGCCGGCGACCGCAATGGCAGAGATCGAAGAGTGGCCCGGCTCCCCAGACCACCGTCCCCCCTCGCCCACTCCCTGTCTCCGAAAAGACGAAGAACAAGCTGCTCGCGTACCAGTTCGAGCTTCCCGCTCCCCGAACAGACGCCGAGGACACGAACTCGAAGCACACAGCACCTCCGCAGCCAGCCAAGGTCGGCAGCGCTGTGACACCAGCCAGTCGCTCCACATGGCAGGACCTGCTGGGAAAGCCTGGAGCCCCGACGGAGGACGAGAATCAATCCCCGAATGAACGCGTCCTTTGGCGCAACGACCACGATGCCAACCAGCCCGTTGCCATGTCCCCGCTGCTCTCACGAAAGGGCCGCAAACGCGCAAGGAGCTCGTCACCCGTGTCGTCCCCTGCTTCGAAGCACACCACGCCCGCCGTCGACGTCAAGAAGCTGGCCGAAGTCCTGAGGACGCCCAACGCCGACCCAGCCCTCGAACTATGGGACCGCTTCTCTGTTCCCGGCTCGTGTACTAGCCCCTCCGGCCTGACGAACCCCCTGCTTGCACAGCTCATGGTCTCGTCCTCGCCTCGTCCCAAAGAGGGCGGCGGATCGGGCAGCGCAAGACCGTTGAGGAAAGCTATCAGCTGCGGTTCTCACTGGCCCAAGCGGCGGAAACTTGAGCGGACCGAGTCGGAGGCGGCGGATCCGGTTGCGGGGAAGTCGCAGCCAGACTCGAAGTTATCCATGGTTTCGGCCTTGTTGGAGACGGTCACCGAAGGAATCAGGAAGTCGAAGTCAGCCCAGCCGAAGTCACCCTCGCCCCGGCCGCGCCCGCAGGGCCAGAGAAACTCGCCACTCGGTCCGGGCCCCGTCAGACGGTCACCTTCGCCGCGACAGTCCGGCAGTTCGCCGTTAGCCAAGAAGTCGACGCGACTGGAACCGGAGGGAGACGTCGCTAAAGTCCCTTTAGCCGATAAGGCCTTCTCTGATTACGGAGATGACGACTTTGACGACGACAAATTGTTGGAGCTTGATGCGAGCATCCTTGAGCAAAGAGACGATCCTACTCTGGTTGTCTCCTCCGAAGGACCGGACCAACAAGCTCTTACCCTCGGTGATCATCGAAAACTCTCACCGGCTGCCCCAAAGCCTGTCGACGACGAGTTTGGCGATCTGGATGATGACTTCTTTGACGGGGCCGAAGACTTGGTCGCCGAGGTGGAGGCAAGGCACATGTCCCAGAAGAATACCCAGGATCCCTCCCAGGGGCAACGGCACGATAGGTCGGCCAAGGCCTGCGGAGGAAAAGGATATGACGATGATGATGATGACGCGTACGGTGATGACTTTGACGACGATATTGACTTTGATGCCGTCGAACGCGCAGCAGCACAGGCCGCCTCCTGCCCCTCCCCCTCCAATGTACGTACAGCAGCGTAGCCAACAACGATAGGGGTTTACGGAATACTAAAGGCATTGGATAGCCCAGCCAGAAGCCCAGGGCAATCCAGCGGTATCTGATTACGAACGTGCTTGACAGCTCTTATACCGATGAACGCGGCCGGGAACAGCCCGAAAAAGTAAGGCTTACTCGCAAATTGTGCTCTTGTGTCATGCGCTCTGCTCACAACTGCCCAGATATTGCTCGTGGAAGCGGAGAGAACCAAGACTACGAGAATGGTCCATCTCAGGGGTGACTGGTACGACACACAAGCGAGCACCAAGGCATACGTGCATATTATCGGCGAATTTGAGCCTTCCGGAAGATGCGTTATTGACAACAACCACAATACCCTCATCCTGCACCCTGACCAGCTAGTCTCGTCCACTGTTGTAGCCGACTCCTTTACCTGTATGCGTCGCGCTGTTCTTCAGGACCGAGTCAAGGCCACCAGCGAGGCAACGCCTGCTTTGGTCTACGGCAACATCCTGCATGAGGTCTTCCAGGAGGCCTTGATGGCGAATAGCTGGGATCTGGGCTTTCTGGGGTCTGTTATTAACAAGATCCTGCCAAAGCATCTGGAAGACCTCTACGTCATCAAGGTCAGCTTGGAGGACGCCCGCTCCCATCTGCTGTCCAAAATGACGGAGCTAAGGTCTTGGGCCGAAGCCTTTGTCGCGGCAAACCCAAAGCCAAATGCCTTCGTCCAGGGCAAGAACGGCGAGCGGGTCAACATGTGTGTCAGCAAGCTGCTCGATGTAGAGGAGCACGTCTGGTCGCCCATGTACGGCCTCAAGGGAAACATCGACGCTACGGTGCAGGTGACGATGCGAGACGGGAAGGCATCCAAGACGCTGACGGTGCCCTTCGAGGTCAAGACGGGAAAGAATGCCACCGCGAACCACCAGGCGCAGACGGTGCTGTACAACCTCCTTCTCTCGGACCGATACGACATTGAGATCGCCTACGGCATCCTGTATTACATGGAGACCTCGCAGACGCTGCGCATCCCCGCGATACGGCACGAGCTTCGCCACATGATCATGCAGCGGAATGTCCTGGCCTGCTACATCCGAGAACGGAGCGTTCAGCTTCCGCCCATGAAGAGGAGCAAGAACGCCTGCGGCAAGTGCTACGCACAAGCGTCGTGTTTTACCTACCATAGGCTCGCCGACGACGGCAACGGCGAGACGAGCGGGCTGAACGAGAAATTCGACGAGCTGGTCAAGCACCTGACTCCGACTCACAAGGAGTTCTTCCTGAAGTGGGAGGATCTCCTCACCAAGGAAGAAAAGGAGAGCCAGAAGCTGCGCCGCGAGCTCTGGACCATGGTCAGCACCGAGCGCGAGAAGCTGGGCCGCTGCTTTGCAAACGTCATCATCCAGGAAGGGTCGGCGCATGAAGACAAGCACCAGGCCAAGATCAACCGGTTTTCCTACACGTTCGTTAAGGAAAACCCAGCGCCCGGCTTTTCGTTCGTAGATTCGCAGCTCACCGTAGGAGAACCCATTGTTGTCTCTGACGAGCAGGGCCACTTTGCACTTGCGCTCGGATACGTGACGGCCGTCAGGAAGCAGCAGATCAGTGTCGCCGTGGACCGACGCCTCCACAACGCCCGCATTCGGCAGCCGGGGTTTGACGCCGTGGACAACCAGGTGTTTGCGAGCATCATGGAGGTGGCGCCCGAGGGAGCAAAGCCAGAGCAGAGCCAGGGGAAGATCAAGGAGGCGCCGATCCGCTACCGGCTGGACAAGGACGAGTTCAGCAACGGCATGGCCACGGTGCGGAGCAACCTCGTGCAGACCATGGCCGACGGCCCCTTTGGTTCGGCCGAGATCCGGCGGCTCGTTGTCGACCTTGTCCCGCCGAGGTTCAAGACTACGCCGACGCAGTACACCATTGCGGGCAAGGACAGCCTGAACGTTGACCAGAAGGCCGCCGTGGAGAAGGTCATGAGCGCAAGGGACTACGCCCTGGTGCTCGGGATGCCCGGCACGGGCAAGACCACCACGATCGCCCACATCATCCGGGCGCTCATCGGGCAGGGCAAGACCCTTCTGCTGACGTCGTACACGCATACTGCCGTCGACAACATCCTGCTCAAGCTCAAGCACGACAATATCCCCATCCTGCGGCTGGGAGCCCCCGCCAAGGTGCACCCGGAGGTCCAGGACTTTGCCACGCTGGCCGGCCAGCCGATGGGCTCGTTCGAGGAGATCCGCCGAGCATGGCACGACACGCCGGTCGTGGCGACCACCTGCCTGGGCATCAACCACCCGATCTTCAACGAGCGGACCTTCGACTACTGCATCGTAGACGAGGCTTCGCAGATCACGCTGCCCATCTGCCTGGGGCCGATCCGGATGGCGCGCACGTTCGTTCTCGTGGGCGACCACAACCAGCTGCCTCCGCTCGTGCAGAACGAAGAAGCCCGGCTCGGCGGCCTCGACGTGTCCCTGTTCAAGCTGCTCTCCGACACGCACCCGCAGTCCGTCGTCAACCTCGAACACCAGTACCGCATGTGCGAGGACATCATGACCCTCTCCAACACGCTCATCTACAACGGCCGCCTCAAATGCGGCACCGAGGCCCTGCGCTTCGCCGAGCTGCACATCCCGGACATGGACGCGCTCCGCGCCCGCCACTTCAGCGCCACCTCGTTTCTCTCGTCGCAACAACAACAACGACAACGGCAGCAATCCGGCCCCGGTTCCAGCCACAGCCTGAGTCCATCCCGCCAGGCCTCCTTCTGCCCGAGCCCGCGCCGGAGCGCCTGCTGGCTCGCCGACCTGCTCGCGCCCGAGGCGCGCGTGCGCTTCGTCAACACGGACGGCCTCCTCCCGCACGCGCGCGAGCAGGCCAAGGGCAACCGCATCGTCAACCCGTGCGAGGCGCGCGTCGTGGCGCAGCTGGTCGACGCCCTGCTGGCCGTCGGCGTGCCCGCGCGAGAGGTCGGCGTGGTCACGCACTACCGCTCGCAGCTGGCGCTGCTCCGGCATTCGCTCCTCAGGAAGGGCGACAGGGATGGCGGGGTGGTGGAGATGCACACCGCGGACCGGTTCCAGGGCCGCGACAAGGCGGTTGTCATCCTTAGCCTGGTGCGGAACAACGAGAACTGTGCGATCGGCGAGCTGCTGAAGGACTGGCGCCGTATCAATGTCGCCTTCACGCGGGCCAAGACCAAGTTGCTCGTCGTCGGCAGCCGGGCGACGCTGGGCGGGTGTGGCGAGGGCGAGATGCTGGCTAGGTTTGTGAGGCTTATGGAGGAGCGTGACTGGGTCTATGACCTCCCCCCCGGGGCGTTGGACGCGCATTTTTGGGAAGATGCTGCTGTCGCCAGCGGAGCGGTGGTGGTGGGGACACAGGGCAGTGTTGGTGTTGTTGGTGGCGCGGTGGCTGGTGCTGCTGCTCTTCCTGCTGTCGACCCTGCTGGGAAAGGGGTGGACCGTACGACTAAGGGAGCAAGGAAGGCGGCAGCGGCAGCGGCAGCGGCAGCGGCAGCCACAACCGAGGCTGCGAGCGGTGTGATCGGGGGGGAAGAGAACCGCCCCGCGGGCCAGAAGCAGCCGAAGAAGGCCGCTAGGATCGGGGAGCGCGCCATGCTCAAGGGGAAGCCGGTTTTGCGGGATATTCTGAATGACATGATGGATGGCGGATACTAGTACTGAGAGTACTAATTCACTTGGTGACGGGCGGGGGACCGTCTGCAGCTTTGTTTGTTGTAGGGTGTTGAAGATTCTTTTTTGACTTCGCTCGGTCCGAGTCTATGGGCATGTCACGTTATGCTTGGTTGAGCTATGTTTGCCTTTGGCTGCGTTACTACTGGACAGTTGGAGCGTGTAATGGCGGCTTGGAGAGCGCGGCCTGATAGTTGGGGGATTATCTATCTGGGTGGTAGCAGGTACGGGTACCAGGTACGGCAGAAATATGATGGATTGCTACACACTCCTGTTGACCGTTTCCCTGCCATACTCACTCGAGAGTCTTGGTGGCCATTACTTTGGCAACAGAGTCTGGCGACAACTCGTCTAGTAGTACGTCACCTAGGCTTCATCCGAGCCGGCACCTGGAATCAAAATATGAAGGACGAGCTGGGAGTTCAGGAAGCGGTACATATGAGAGCGAAGTAAGACGCTCGCAACTTTGTGCAATCTCATCGAACGGATGACAGCAGAACCCAACGGCATGCCTGCAGTGACAAGATGAGCATGGCGTTCAAGTCCTATGACGGCATTTGGGGTACAGTAGGGAATTCATGTTCCGGCCAACTTTTGCAGACTCAGGCAAGCACCGAGAGGGAAGGAGCAAGAGCAGCAGACCCGGGAGTTTCTTACATCTCGCCAAACCGGGAAAGGAATCCGAACACTCCGTTCCTTCCTTCCACTTACATCGATACTGGACCCATCCATTCCCAACGCTGTTATGTTCCTTCCTACTAGGTAGTGGTTCGCCAGTATACTGTTCTGAAAACACCGGCTAACCTTACCGACCTTCTCTATGTATCAAATCGCAGCTGTATTCAGCAGTGATTCTCGCCCGCTTTATCTTCAATCTACCAGGGCCAAAGTAAAAGCCGTTACTCAGTATGGATCAGATCAGTGACTTGGATTATGGTCCCCCGGAATCCGAAGCCGGTACGTCGCAGACGTTACAGAACGTGCTGGCCTTTACTGATGCCGTCTGCCACAGAGTATTTGTTGGAGGTGTTTGCGGGCTGGGAAAGTAGAAAAGACAGTGAGAATTGGACTTGGGGACTGCCAAACGCGCCACCAGACACGAGGACCACACAGACCGACGATCACACCTGCGGACAAGTCGGGCACGAACCGGAGGTGAGGCGGTCCGACGTACTAGCCGACAACAGAGATGACGAGCAGTGCGGCGGCCCTCATACCACTGATGGCCCCGGACAAACACTGGCGGACTCTTCCCCCGGGGCGGAGCAGTCCGAGGCATGCCAAGGACAGGATTCTGACGCGGACGCCGAGGGAGAAGTTGAACCTGGATGGGGATGGGGAGAGGAGCAGCAGCCGGCGGCTGGGGCGCTCAGCGCGGCTGGGGGATCAGATTCCAAACCAGACGGCGACCATCACGCCACCAACCCGAGCGGTACAACACGACGGCAGGGATGTCGCGAGTATGTCGACTGGCGCAAGTTTTTAAATGAGGGTAGATACGCTCCGACCTTCGACAACAAGACCGCGAGAAAGATCGACGAATATCTCGCCGAAATCCAGAACTGGAGGAGAGCACATGATTATGGTCCCGAGCCTACTAGCACTGCTGGCGAATATTTTGCATTCGTAAGGTGGCAAACTGCGGAAGATAGGCTGCTCCTCCTTCTCGTCGGCTGGCGGGTTACCTGGGCCGCAATCACCCAAGTAGGTGTTGTATATGCACTACTACTATGTACAAAAACACAGTAGTTTCCGTTTCCCTGTTGTTGTACACTTGAACTGACCATTGGGGCCTTCTCGACTAATAAGGGCTTTCTGACTTGGCGCACCCGTCCTAGTTGCAAATCACGCCTCAGAGTTCTGCAAAGCAGGGCGCCGAATCTTAGGCAGATGGCGAGCTTCAAGAGCCCGAGGGGGGCCCGCCCACATCCAATTGGCGCAGGTTGTTACGATAGCCCGACGGCCGACGGCATCGGTTTTCGCACCGTGACCGCCAGACTGAAGCAGAGATCAGCACAGCCTTCTCGGCCGAATTGTTAAAATCAAGACGGGGCGGGACGAAGGGGGAAAACAGGAGAAGAGCATGAGATGGTGGACCCAGTAATAATGAAGAATGAGCTGCTCTTATTGCTCCGCCAAGGACGGGGTGTCCTGTATCGATATTCGCGAGGTGAGTGTGTAAACCACTGAAACATACTAGTAGGAGCCTTATTAGTTTCTTTTGAAACTCAACTGACATCGGATTTCTCTCGCAGTTCTTCCCTTTGAAGTGGCGCGCGACTGCGGATGCCTCTGGGATCCAATATAGTAGACCGACGGGGAATGCTTCTTCAAAGAGTGAAAAGAAGAAAGAGTGCAAGGCCACTGGATGATGGCACTACGCACCATTGACGCCGACCCTACCTTTGTCGACAAGCACCGCTAGTGACGGCCGTTCCCAGGGGCCGGCCCAAAGGGATAACACAGCATACTCCGTATGATAGAAGCTATGGATAAGCTCAGAAGGTTCTGATAGGCCTCTTCTGGTTGCAAGGAACAGCGTCGAGGATCGTGTGTTTGATTTGCTAGGGGGCGTGGGTTGTGCAGTGTACTGGATCACAAAGAGAAGGGATTGCTTGCTTTGGTAAGTATACTTTGACGCAGCATGCTGTATGCTGAGGGAATGGGGCGTTCGTTGTTTTTGTCTTTTATCATTCCGGTCCTAGATATCAACGGCCAACCGTGATACCGTGGGATTCCGCAGTCAGCTACCTGCTCAACATATCGCTTTGCTACAGATGACGAGATATTAGGAGCCTGCAAGCACCCAACTCCCAAGGCACAAAAACTGATGTCGGTTTATATGATTACTAGTATTAAGTATTATGGCGGTTAGCCCCTGACACTTCCGGCTCTTTGGCGCCTCGTTCAGTCTATTAGATCCCCTAACCACATAACCGCAGAGAGGCATGATGATCCTGTTGAACATATCGAATCGCCACATTCGTCTGTATCCTACATTTCCAGCACGAGACATCTCTGAACAGGCAGAGTCTATCGCTAATCTTCCGCCTTCCGTTTCACCCCAGCCCATGGGAGGAGGCAAGGTCTCGGTGCGCGACGTGGCCGAAGCGCCCCCGGCGTCTCCAGCCCCGACGACGGTGGCACGCTAGTCCGCGGGGGCTACCATCCGCATGATCCTGTCGTAGTCTTCCTTTAGCGAGGTCCCCAAATCGGATCCGAACCCCTCGAGCACTTCCCGCGCTTTCTTGACTCTCGCTTCCCACCCATTCCTCGCCAGACCCTTGCCGACGACCTTCGTGACGACAAGCGTCTCCGGGTACGTCGACCGGTCGGTGGTGTGCGTGCACGGGCTCCTGGCGCGATCGAGCAGCTGGTGCAGATGCTGCCGGCGCTTCTTGCCGATCTGGACCCTGGCCACGGACTGGGTCGAGGACCGGAGGAAGGCGTCTAACTCGCTGCAGTCGGAACTGGTGCAGTTATACGAGTTGCAGTTCACGCCGGGTACGGTCCAGTTGATCTCGGCTGGCGGCTCCGGGCCGACGTAACGGTCGATGTAGGTCTCGAGGATGGCGAGGATGAGCTGGTGGTACCGCGGTGTCGTGAGGGGAATCGAGGCTCCGTTAACCACCTATGTCCTCTCCAAGATCCTCGGCACGGCTACCCTCAAGTTTGGCAAGACACTGCTCAATGATCTCGGCAACCAGAGCCTCAATTTCAGGGTGAGGTGCTTCTTTCAACGGCCACAGGGCCGACAAGCAGAGTACGTTAAGCTGAAGGGATCGTTTGGAGAAGTGTTGAAGAAGGCTAGAAACCGTCAGCGGTAAAGAACCTGGATGATGATGATGATGATGATGATGATGATGATGATGATGATGGCAATAATAGAGCTCGCACCTTTCTTTGATCTCGCCGAACTCCAACGTGCCTGACGTGGTGGCCAGCCTCACCAGTGACAGGGTCTCGTTGCTCACGGAACTAGCATCCACCCAGTTCAGCACGTTACGAAGCAGGGGGTACTCTTGAAATTTGATTGCAACCCCCAGAACATCGCGGGCGACCTTCGCTTCTTCCATGATCCGGTCATAAGAGCGGGACGCATCCCTGGCGTTGGGATCCGGATCCCGAGCTATCTTGGCAAGTAGCTGCGGGATCTGAAGCGCCAATGTCCTCTCGTTTTGATAGGTGCAGTTCGTTGCATAGTAGCGCATCATGCTCTGTGCTTCATTTTTCCCAAGTTTTCTGGTGAGAAAACGAGCAAGGGATTTGCGGGGGACGAGAACAGTGACCTAGGCATCCATATGGTTTGTCAGCTCACTCACTACCTTACCATTCAGAGCGCGGGGCAGACTTACACTTTTGCGATACCAATGGGTGGCAGTCGGACCCTACCATCATGTCAGATAAGGCCGGCTTCCGGGGGGGGTGTATCCAGAGCTGTCACATACCAAGTTGCCCATATACCCTTGATAATCCTCCCCCTGGTCTTCCGCGTCTTCAAAATGGGTCGTCATAAGCCGGAATGACGTTGTTTGTAATTTCGGCATCGTCAAGCTCGATGTTGGAGTTGAGAAGCCACCCGCTCAGAGTCACAAGTCTCTTGATACCGTAATCGGTGTCATAAACCTAAATCTGGTCGAGCTCGTGCCAGTTCTTGCCGCCGCCCCCATCGTCCTCATCCACGTCCTCGTACCACTTTCTCTTGTACCCGTGCCGGGACCAGTCCATCTCAACACCACCCTCTTGCGTCTTCTCCAACACGGCAAGAAAAATGTCGAACTCCAACCCCTTGGTTAGTTGCATCAGACACTGCACGCGAGCGAGGTCTTGGAGCTTCAGAGCCTTGAGGGAGATGCTGGCCTCGGTATACTCGTGCTCCAGCAGGTAGTAAATATGGTTGTCGCTGCTCTGAGCGCTGTCGTCTTGCTGCTGACCGCAATCGAGTAGCCACCTCTGCAGAGCAGTCCGGAGCTCTTGGTGCTCGTTTTGGAGCTGCGCAGCAGAGGGCCGCTCAGCAGGCTGGCCTGGAGCATCAAATCCAGGCAGGATGGCGAGGTTGAAAGTCAGGACACATCGGTAACCCGATGTGACGGGCAGGACTTCATGATGGACGTCGGAGTACCAGCACAAGACGGATGGCTGAGCCGCTGCGGTACTGAAGGTGTTCGTCTGGCCGCAGTGCTTTACGACCGCATCCCCCCCTTTCGTGTGGGCACGGGAGGCAGATCACGAGGGTCCCAAACATGTTGGGGATTTTCTCGGTGCTGTTGTGTAAGATAAAGAAAGAAAGTCCGTCAGCCCAATTCAGTCAGGGTGTGGAGATGAATGTGGAGGATAATAAGGACTGGATGTATCGGACTCAGTGTGGGCTCTGAACATGGCGCCCTTTTCGTAGATGAGCATCTTGTAGAGCTCGGCTCTGATGGGCGTCGTGATGCCCAGCGTGGAGTGGACGAAATTGACGGCACCGTTCAGTGTACGCTCGTAGGCATCGCCGTGGAACTCGAGCTGGGAGGCGTCTAGTTCCCACGTGTTGCGCACCGCCGTGTCGACAATGGTGTCGCTTCCCTTGCCATACGGTGCCTGGCGGGGACTGTGCGATCAGCTGGCGCACCTGCTCCTCCTGCAGGGGAAGGTTGATTTTCCCGACGCCGTGGACTGACAGGCCGAGGTCTTCGAAGCCCTGAATCTCGGCCATGCCAGCAAAAGAACCCTCCACCTCGATATTGTCGAGGGCATCAGCGATGTCGTCCAAGACGCTGGTGCCTTACGATTCACTCGCCGCTTTGCCAGCATCAGTGAAAGGGTTGAGTTGGCCATTCCCACGAATCCCACCCACATCCGGGGCGAGTCCTCGCAATTGGGCCATAGTATATTTGAGTTGTCCCTGATTTCAGTCGGAGTTTGTGTCGACTCTCCGAGTCATGAGGGAAGCTTGCTTTTCCACCTCTCTCAAGGAGACGCGTTAGTCGGTGTGTGAGCGCGACACGGGTACAATAATCAGGGGGCAACCCTAACCCCGACGGATCTCATGTCATCACGATAATCTCTGTTCCCTGGCTTTTAGTCCTGCTTCTTATCGACTGCTGGCGGTAAGAGAAATGGTTTGTTGAGCTACGAGAACCGCTTCTTATTGCCTCTCTGTAAAGCTACCAGCTTTGATATTATTTGGTTTTCTTGAAGCTAGTCCGGTGTCCCGCACATCAGATTCTTCTTTGTCCTCCTTATGTTTCCTCGTTCAGCATGCTTTATAAGATGGCACACAATCAAACTTGTTACCCCAGAGTTTATACAGTGAACTAAACGAAAGCATGAGTATAGAAATAAGGAAGGACACGAGGAGGAGGAGAACGAACAGAAAAGAGAAGAAGAGAAAGTAGAAGAGCAAGAAGAAGGGACTAAAGGAAAAACGAAAACGGAAAAGAAAGGAAACGAAAGAAAGGTTAGAATAGAAGGGAATGGGAGAAAACGAGGAAAGGAAAGGAGAGAGTAAAAGAGCTAATCTATTAGAGTACCTAAGTCGGGGTTATATGGATAGAGTCATGTGATAAATAGGACTGAGCAGCATAGTCCTGGCAAAAGACTATCTCTACTAGCACTATGTGTGAGGGAAAGGTTAACAGATAAATTCAAGTCTATAGACTAGATAGACCGTTGCCTCCGATTGTTCATGATGCAGGCAATATACATAAAGATTTGATACATTTTCAGTTGATTACTTGAGGCTTATAACAATTCTTCATGTCTTCTGGTATTTCTTGGCCCCGGCCCCTCCGAATCTTGGGAGATATTATCAATACACAACGAAAAAACGGTGGTAACAAAGATTGATTGGAATCTCTACGCTACGCGTAGTTACCATCTCTCGGATTAAAGATTCTGATTCTACAAGTTCAGTACATCTAGGTGGTTATCCCTTACGCACGGCATGTACCTGTTAGGATATTACAGTTAGAACGAATTATTCACTCCCGCCAACGGAATCTTTCTTCGTCAGAAGCTCAAGAACGCTTTCGATCGGGGATTCTTAGTTCTGATCCCAGATGCCGAGACTGAACCCCAAAACCTTTCGGCGCCGGAGTTGACGCACTCAAGAGAATACCGAGTCTAGGTCCTAGAGACGCGACGAGGAAATACATGATCAAGCCAGTACTCTCCCAGAGGCTATACCCGCTCCATTATGGGACGTAGGTTGGCGGAGCTAAACGGACGCCGTCTCCGTTTCCTAAACGATGCGAGGCCCAAGGCCCGCTATATCTGGACACTAGTGGACCTTTCTATACGCTACCCCCCAGCTAACATGGGATGGGTCGGTGACAAGAAAAACGACTCACTGGTCCGGGATGAGCTCGTCAAGGGGACAAGATGCTGGGGAACCTCCGGAAGATATGTCAAGAAGGACCAGCTCCTTGGTTTCGTCGAGGAGGTCGGACACGGCATCAGCGACGTCAGCGATATCAGTGTTATTGCTGAATCAATTATGGAGCACGGTATCGAGGAGGAGGAGAAGGGGCATCCTAATCCGGAAACGGACCCGTTAGTTGTGCTGATCGTAGCATCCGAAGCGGTCCGCCGGGCACAGGTAACTGATAGCTCTGACTATGAGGGTGAGCTAGCGAGTGAGGATGATGATGAGTGAGGGAGAGCAAGGCATGGCTTTGTTCTAATTGTATTGTACCTGTATTTCCATGCTCCAATCATAGCAGAGAGGTTTTGCGTTCTCATTGAAAAATATCAAAATGGGCCTTAAGGACCGAGCATCACAGTCCCAAAGGGCCACCTCAAAATAGCTACTCGATTACCGAACACCGGTGTTGTTTAATATCTAACAATCGATCATTATAGCACGTATCTGAAGTAGGGGTTCTCCATGTCGGTCAAGTCCTGAAACGCCAGCTTCGCGCGCTCCACCTCGTCCTCTGCCACAGCAGCCGCCTTCTTCTTGTTCGCCGCCTGCAGGACGACATAAAGCGCTGCCGAGGCGGCAATGCAGATGATATAGCTGAGTACCCATCCATCCGTGTCAACGACATCATTCATACATGATACAGGAACTTGGCAAAGACAGCAGGGGAGGGAAAGAAAAAAGAAACGTTCAGCACATACCAGATGATCAGCCCCAGCCACAGCTCCGGGTAGTGCTGCGGGCGGGTCTGCGACTTGACCAGCTGCGGGCCGACGATGTTGCCGACGCAGTAGGCGGCGAAGATGGTGGCGGCCATGAAGCTCTTCTTGGTGTGCCCGGCCACGTTGGACATGCCGACGGTGATGATGAGGCTGACGGTGCCGCCGAAGAAGCCGGTGATGGAGTAGCCGACCACGGGCGCGGCGGCCCGGTACGTCCACTCGCTCTTCCAGATGAGCGCGCAGCCCGCGATGACGGGCAGGCAGGTCAGCACGAGCATGGCCAGGCGGATGTTGGGGATCCGCGACCCCAGCCAGCCCGTCGCGAGGATCACGACGAAGCAGAGGCCGCCGAGCGGGAACTGGAAGAGGATCGAGTGCAGCGTGCTCCAGCCGAACGTCGACACGATGAGCGGGCCGAATCCGCTGACGGCGCCGTTCATGGTGTACCTGGAAGTCTCTGTTAGTTTTAGTTGCACAGTTATTGGTTGGGTTGGGGGGGGGGGGGGGGGGGGGGGGTTTCTAGACTTGGGAATCACATACGCGGATGCCATCATGATAAAGATCAGATAAACCTTAACATCCAGCAGCGACTCCTTAACCTGCGACATCTTGATCTTGGTGCAGCGCACCCCCGTCTGGCTGTGCCGCAGCCTCTCGACCGCCGCAAACCTCTCCTCCTGCGTCAGGAACCACGCCGTGACGGGCGAGTTGGGCATGGCAAAGCAGAACACGCCAAATAGCACCGTCAGGGCGCCGGCCAGCAGGTAGATGTACTGCCAGCTGCGCAGGCCGCCGCCCGAGATCTGCGCGAAGCCGTAGTTGAGCGCGCCGCCGATGATTGTAAACAGGCCCGTGCTGCTGAACCACCAGCTCTGGCGCAGCGACTGCTCCTGCTGCGTGTAGTAGCCCGACACGATGCACATGAAGCCCGTAGGCACGATGCTCTCGACGAAGCCGAGGAAGAAGCGCTGCGCGTAGAGCCCCCGGTACGACGTGACGGCCGCCGTGAGCATGCAGATGCCGCCCCAGAGGACGACGATGCCGCCGAGCACGCGCCCGATGTCGAAGCGCTGCAGCGCGAACGACATGGGGTACAGCCCGGCGAGCATGCCGAAGTAGAAGAGCGAGGTGGCCCACGAGAGACGCGAGGTGTCGACCGTGGGAGGCACCGTCGAGCGGTCGATCACGGTGAGGTCCAGGTCCGTGGTCATGCCGAAGAGCACGGCGGAGCCGAGGATGGCCTTGTCATAGTAGACGATGCCGTCTAACGCGCAAAGTCAGCGGGCTAGCAGTCTTTCAGTAGACTCCCCGGGGGCGAACCTACAGCCAAAGATCATGGCAGGAATCAGAAACCAGTCGATTTTGCGGACAGCCCCTGCAACCACGACAGGGTCGAGGGCGTGCTCATGCTCCCCGACCATGGCTATGGCCTCGTCCTGTGCCAGCACGTCTCTGGCATTGTCACCGGTTCCAGCAGGAGCCCCTTCCAGGTCCTGGCCTAACGGCCCAATGTTGTTCTCGCCGGTCATCATGACCACCGGTTTAGCAAGTACTACTAGTAGTAGCAATAGAACCTCCCTAATTTTCACGGCAGTGTTCTCGAAGCGTCATCGCTGTAGAAAGCTTCTGCGTACTAGTAGTTAACCCTCATCATACTCCGGTATCGCATACACTACCACTTGTTCCCAAACAAAATATATCTCATTTGGTGCCAAGATTTATCCGCGCGACTTAGAGGACTTGTACGGGGGTTCTGTTGGGGGGATGTCAACTGGCTGGATCACGGCATTGCTTGATCCCAACTTTTCTCAGGCCCCACCACCCTTTGCTGCATTCAGTCTAGTCTTGACAGCTTCCTACCACTGACAGTGCGACTCCCGTGTATAGCCGTGAATAAGCAGCCGGATAAATCGTTGTGGAGGAGCTGGGCTTTTGAAATGTCATAAGAGGTCGCACTGCCGTGTGGATTGTCTCCTTACTGCTCCTCTCATCTGCTGAGCTCATGGTCCTCTCTCGCAAGGCCATCATTGTAGGGATCAAACCCCATACGCCGTTTCGCCTCCCTCCTCATCCTCCAATGTTCCTCACCCTGCAGCCCCGTTGTCGATGTCTCCTCCAAGAAGAACATCAGGATATGATCTGGGATGGCCAAGTGGGAAGTCTGCTGGAACTCCTGCAAGCTCGTGAGCCGTATCACCATTTCCAGCAGCGACAGTGACGACGCAATCGACCCGAACGGAGATCTCCTCACGTAGGATTTTGCCGCCTCTTCCTGGCTTCTTAGGAGGTCGGCCGATGCCTGGTTGTCGAGCTCTAGGGGAGGGGAGCCGACCCGAAGGGATATATGCCGCATCTGTGCCACAAGCTTCGAGTCAACCGAGAGCTTGTTGCGCGCCATGGGAGGGCTGCCAATCAATGCCCGTCGTGGAGACCCTTGAGTGCTAGGGTCATCAAGGCCGGCCTCGTCTTCATCCTCATCATCCTCGCTGTTGTCCTCTGTATAGACCTCCAGTGCCAGCCACTCCGGGTCCAAGTGCGGAGGCAGTTGACTCTTCTGCTGCCCGTCCTGACTCCTTGGTGACTTGGTAGCATGTTCTGTTTCCTGCCACAACTGCCGGTCTACATCGTCCTGCTGATCAGAGCCGGAAGACTCGTCCACGGTGTCGGGCTGCGACACATTCACTGCCTCCCCTTCCTGCTGCTCCTCTTCTTCCCCCTCAGGCTCACCGAACCACTCCTGCCGCATTGTGATCGGAGACTTGGCGTTTATGTCCCTCTTTAGCAACAGAACCGGGTTATTGTCCCTCTCGTCATTGTTTCCGATGTTGAGGATTCTCCCGGTGTCTGTGTAAAAGATCTTGGAAATCTGGTGTATTGGGATGGACTCGCGTATGCCGGCCATTGTCACGTCGTCAAATGGCCTAGGCTTGAATTCATCGCCATCATGGAGTCTCCCGTCGTCCAAGTCCTCAATGATCTCCAAGTGGTATGCATACCCATCTGACGGCTCAAATAAAGGCACAGAACCAGGGGGTTGCGTCCCATCCGCGCCGCTCGGCTGGTAACCCTGAGTAGGATCAAACACCCAGTTGACTGGCGTACGACAAAGTCGTACTCGGGATTTGTGCATCACCTCCTGCCAGATTGGCTTTCTCTCACCCTCGCCGAGACCATAAGGGTTGTCCGCAGGGACGTCACCCTCCGATCCGGCAGGAGTTAGAAGTGAACGATCCCGGGCGCCAGCGCCAGGCCTAGCCTGGGAATGGCCAAGGAAGAGCATGTAAAGAGACAGAGTAAAGGAAGGTCCAATCTGCATGGGCCGGCTGGGATCCATGACGAAGTGCGCATCCGCGAAGGAGAGCAGAGCACTAGCCTGCATCATCCTCGAAGGCGAGATACCCGGCGTCATCCTCGTCGACATCTTCTCACCCGACGCAGTAATGGCGAGCTGGAGGAGAGGGATGTCCCTGTCGATCCGCCCGAGAAGGTCCTTGATGTGTCTGATGATGAGCAACAACTCGGCATGGCGTGCTTCCGACATTCGGGCCCTTCGGGCCCCGTCGACAGCATCCTCCTCAGCAATGGCAGCATTCTCAAGCCGCTTTCCAAGGCTGGCGATTTCCCGGCGAAGCGATTTGGCGAGGGGCACTGCTGATTCCAGAAAGACATTCCCTCGGCCGGATCTGCACTTGTGTCAGCGTCACTGACCGATCCTCCTTGGACACTCATACCTTACTTGAACTCGATCAGGTCTAGAGCCGGAGACAGAATCTAGGAGATAGAGGGGATTAGCCGACAGAACGCATCATAATATCGCCAAGAGTAACGAACCTTGATCTTGCTGTCAAGAAGCTTCTGTAACTCCTTGAGCTCGGCTCGAACTGCCTTGTCATTGACTGACTTCACGAGGCGTGAACATTGCTGGACTGCATATCTGGAGGTAAGGGCGATCCCAGTCCTGATGGCGTAATTGAAGGTCTGGGCCCCTAGCGTTTGCAAGAGCGCGTCCATATTCTCTAAGCTGGCCCATCATGGAGTTGCTGAAACGGTGGGCGCCCACATGTCGGTGTGAATAACATCGATGCCCGAACCAGGATGATTTCAGGTTTCCTGTTTGTTTGGATACATCGAGTTCAGCGTGTTCGCGACCCAATTAGGCACCCATAGGCATCCATACAGTGACTACTTCTTCCTGTAGCAAAGCTGCGCACTGTGGGCTGGTCGAGCTGAAATCTAACCACGTACTAACGAACCACTACCTACGTGCTAAGCCGTGCAAAGACGAGGTGGGAGACAGTGTGATTACAGTCTTCTCACGGTGCGTTCTAAACTTCGAGTTCCCAAACCCTCTTCCCCGCCACAAAGATGGTGGGGCAGACACCTGCAAATCTTCATTGTGTTCACCTTCCCGTCACCGAAAGAGCTGGCATTGAGTCACGCAGTTGGCGACCGGTAAGAGCAGTATCTATACGCTTCGCATGCTTGAAAATTAGACTGTCTAACATATATTGGCGACGCAGTTGACTCAGCTTTCTGTTCTGCCCCGCACGAGCCTAGACCAAAGGTCACCACCCATTCGACTTGTTCGGACACAGTCGACTTGCCGTTCTTTAGCACGAACGAGGAAGCGTGGACGATATCGAGCCAGGCGCATCTTTTGACAACATGTCCAACGTTCAAGATTCATGGGAGGACGACCCGTCCGCTCAGGACGAGAACCTAGCGCGCCAGACCCAGCAGCAGATGAACATCGGTGGTCAGTCGGCGCAAGGAAGTTTCAGGCCTGGTGCCGCTTCTTTTCAACCAACGGCGCAGACCTTCCAACCGGGCCAGGCATTCGGTGGCGCCGGCTACTACCAGCAACCTTACTACGGCGGCCAGGGATACTATCCGCAATACGGCGGCCAACAGAATTTCGGCCAATATGGTCAGCAGGGGTACGGTGCCGTCTACGGCCAAGGTGGATACAACCAGCAATACGGTAGGAGTGGACAAGACGTCTCGTGAGTTAAAGGAATAGACACTGACAGTCCCGTCAGGCCAACAGTGGCAGCAGGGGTACCAGCAGCAGCAATTCCAGCAGCCACAGCAAAACCAAACACAGCAGCAGGCTCCTAAGCCGGCCCCGTCCATCGCGAAGCGGCTGACGGATGCGCCAGCCGCCGCGGACGCGCCGAAGCCTACAGTTGCCAAGGAAGGCGGCGCGAAGGTTCTAAGCATCGGCGGCGACGCGAAGCCCAAGGCTAAGGTCCTGTCTATTGGCGCGACCGCACCTGCTAAGGATGAACCGAAGAAGGAGGAAGCAAAGAAGGAGGAGTCGAAGAAAGAGAAAGAGGAGACCAAAAAGGAGGAGGCCAAGAAGGAGGGCACGGCGGAAGCAGCGGCCAAGGTTACGGCATCCAAGGCGATCGACAAGACGGATTCCAAGGCAGGCAGCGGGAAGACCTCGCCTACTCCGTCCTCCGGCCGCTCTAGCCCCTCGCGGGCCGGCACTAAGGCTGCTGCTCGCGATGCAGACGCGGTCGAGAAGGAACAGGCGGCGGATGTGGACGAGGAGACGCTCAAGGAGATTTACGGAAAAGAGCACGTCAACATTATCTTTATCGGTCACGTCGATGCGGGCAAGAGTACTCTTGGCGGTGCCATCCTCTATGTCACCGGTATGGTGGACCAGAGAACATTGGACAAGTACAAGAGGGAGGCCAAGGAGCTGGGCCGTGAGACGTGGTACCTGTCATGGGCTCTCGACTTGACCAACGAGGAGCGTGCCAAGGGCAAGACGGTCGAGGTTGGCCGCGGGTTCTTTGAGACGGAGAAGCGGCGGTACAGTATCCTGGACGCGCCCGGGCACAAGACGTATGTCCCGCACATGATTGGCGGCGCGTCGCAGGCGGATGTCGGTATCCTGGTGATCAGTGCGCGGAAGGGCGAGTACGAGACTGGTTTCGAGAAGGGCGGCCAGACCCGAGAGCATGCCATGTTGGCCAAGACTCAGGGTGTCAACAAGCTGGTCGTGGTCATCAACAAGATGGACGACCCGACCGTCAATTGGTCCCACGAACGCTACCTCGAGTGCACGACCAAGCTTCAGCAGTTCTTGAAGGGCACCGGGTACAACATCAAGACCGACGTCTTCTTCATGCCCATTGCTGCACAGCAGACCATGGGCATCAAGGACCGCGTTCCCAAGGACGTCTGCCCGTGGTACGACGGCCCCTCGCTTCTCGAGTACCTCGATGGCATGCAAGCGCTAGAGCGCAAGATCAACGCGCCTTTCATGATGGCAGTGGCCGGCAAGTACCGTGACATGGGCACCATGATTGAAGGCAAGATCGAGGCGGGCGTGGTGAAGAAGGGGATGAGCCTGATCATGATGCCCAACAAGCAGAACGTTGAAGTGGCGGCGGCCTATGGCGAGACAGAAGACGAAGTGTCCATCGCTCAGTGCGGTGACCAGGTCCGTCTTCGTCTCCGCGGCATCGAAGAGGAAGAAATCCTGCCCGGCTTCGTTCTTTGCTCGCCCAAGCGCCTGGTACACAACGTGTCGCAGTTTGAGGCGCAGATCCGCATCCTGGACCTCAAGAGCATCCTCACGGCCGGGTTCAACTGCGTGCTGCACGTCCATGCCGCCATCGAGGAGGTTACCTTCGCTGCGCTGCTCCACAAGCTTCAGAAGGGCACCGGCAGGAAGAGCAAGCTCCCTCCGTCACACGCCAAGAGGGGGGACAGCATCATTGCTATCTTGCAGGTGACTGGTGGCGCCGGGTCCGTCTGCGTGGAAAGGTTCGAGGATTACCCCCAGATGGGCCGTTTCACCCTGCGTGACCAAGTCAGTTCATTCTTCCTAAGGCTCAAGATGTTCAATCCGTTTGCTAACTCTCGCTGTAGGGACAAACAATCGCAATTGGCAAGATCACCAGACTCATCCAAGACGGCAACGCTGCTTAAGCTCGATTATATGTGGAGGTCGCAGGTTGCATTACGTAGTCATGATAAACTTAGATGTTTGATGATTTTAAGAGGAGTTGGTCTTGGAAAGTATGCGTTCCGCTTGGGTGCCTACTACGCCTATCGAGCTATCGTGGCACCGGCTGCAGTGATATGTTGTTCCTCAGGGGCTCAAGATGTGAAGTCGACTTAGTAGACGCACCCTACCTTCTCTAGTCTCTTACAGTACGACTTCTTCCAACGAAGTCTGCTGTCTGCTGAATGCTCCCCTCGCGATTTCCGGTCACAAGGGGAGACAAACCGAAGCCAGACAGGTTGGTACCTCAGATACTATACGGCCTGGCTGGATTGCATGAACTCTGGATCCGCAACGAACACACTCACTTGCCTTACGTCAAGCGGGGCGGGTTTGAATCGGAGCGGGGACAGTCCGTGGTCGGCAAAGACTCCCAACTTTAAGGACGACACCTCCGCCCGGAAGGGTTTCGCAGCCAGTGTAGATTCCCGGACACTGAGAGGCTAAGCTCACGCCTTCGACGAAGACACATTTTCCTGACTTACTAGTCCCCATATTCACAGCTTCAGAGCTGCTTAAGAAAAGCAACAGGGGACCTTGGAGGGACCCAGCGGAGCGTGCTTGAGGTCATACCACGCTCCCGAACACAGCATTGTTCAAAACACGGGAAACAATCTTCGTCACAACATGTCACAGACCGCAGGATCTATCAACCCTGGGGAGCTCTTCTCCGTTAAGGGTCTCGTGGCCCTCGTCACAGGGGGCGGCACCGGTAAAGAAAGCCCAAGCTCCCCTCCCTCAGTAAAAGCACTCACTGACCACAAGTATCGTCCATCACGTACCAGGGATCGGGCTCATGATCGCCCATGCCCTCGCCGACGCCGGCGCAGAGCGAGTATACATCGCGGGCCGGCGCATGGACGTGCTGCAGGAGGCGGCGGCGGCGGCGGCGTCGGCCAACCGCGCGGGGGTGATCGTGCCGCTGTGCTGCGACATCACGTCCAAGGCCAGCCTCGAGGGCGCCGTGGCCACCGTCGAGCGCGACAGCGGCTACCTCCACCTGGTGGTGTGCAACGCGGGCATCGCGGGGCCGCAGGTGCGGCCGCCCGTGGCGGGCGAGACGAGCCTGGAGGAATGGCGCCAGCGGCAGATGGAGGACGTCGAGGGGTTTACGGACACGTTCCGCGTCAATAGCTCGTCCGTGTGGTTTACCGCCATGGCGTTCCTGAAGCTGCTGGACGAAGGGAACAGGAAGCCGTTCGACCAGCAGGTGAGCAGCCAGGTCGTGGTCGTCAGCTCGATCGCCGGGTTTAATAAGCATGCCACGGGCGGGTATGCGTACGGCCCGAGCAAGGCGGCCGCGACGCATATTGCGAAGATGCTGAGCAACGTGCTGCCGACGTGGGGGATCCGGTGAGTTGTTTGGTTGACTCTGTTGCTTCGTCTCCGAATTGGGGTGTTGGTCGCTAACAAGGGGTTCATCAGGGCGAACTGTATCTGCCCTGGGCGTAAGTACTAACCTCCCTTTTCTTTGCCGTCGACCCTGCTGTGTTTTGCTCAGATCTAAAGCCGGTCGTTAGTATTCCCGAGCGAGATGGCGGCACCTATCGTTCGACGGGCCACAGGCGGCGGGGAATTGGGGGACGCGGACGACAGCACGGTCACCCTGGACACGAGCGTCGTCCCTCTGGGCCGCATGGGCGATAACAAGGACATGGCGGGCCAGATTCTCTATCTTACCTCACGGGCTGGTGCCTATCTGAACGGAAACACCATTGTCGTGGACGGTGGCCGGCTAGGGACCTTCCCCAGCGCGGGATATTGATGGAGGGATACGCATCGCCGAGGAGTGCAGCTGAGATTGGGGCCTGCTCACCTTGTCTTGACTCGTTATCCACCAGGTAACCTGGAGGCGAGCATATTCGATTCATGTACATAGAAGTACTAATATACATACTCACCACGCCCGCCAAATGCTTCCGTACAAGACAGGTAGCATACCAGTAGCTGTTCCGGCTGGATCTGACTCGGCCAATGCTTCACCATGCAACTATCGATCGTCGACCGCGATGGAGCAATCATGATTCCGGACCGCGACTCGACAGTGGAATCGGTTTGAGTCTTTGAACTTTTGTGTTCTCGTATCACTCTGGCCATTGAACTTGAACTACTAGTACTGTGCATTTGAGCTGAGAAGATCTGAATTCGGGACAGGCTCTGCGATTGGTGGAAGAAATAGAAGCGGCCCAAAAGGAGAAACAGAGAATAGGAAAAAAGAAACAACGATGCCAGTACGGTAACTGAGCTGCGGTAATGTGCTCATTACTCTACCGGGCGTTTGGATGGAGTCTCTCATGGATTTGGTTTTGTCGAACTTCGCAAGCCACCTGTAATGATAACAGCGGCTGAGCTGTGTCTTGGCGGTGACGCCCTGCAGCGCCTGGGAATCCGGGGCATGTGGAGAGCTCATCTTGGCTGTACGGGCATGTATGTACTTGTACACATGACGTCACCTACCGGACTTCTCAAAAGTCTTTTTCCTTTTCCGGTGCGGACGATCCTGTTGCTTATGATAGGACTACTAACCATTTGTTTGCGGATATTATTCGACTTCGTTTTGCAACAATGGCTTGCGGGCAGCTAACAGTGCAGAACGATACTATTTGGTGAGGGCAGTAGGTTTCGTAACGTAGTGATACCCGATGACCCTTCATTATCGATAACGTCACGAATGACTCCGCAATACTCCGTCCTGCAGCTGCAGTGGGAATGGAGTCAGGCCCACTCCGGGGAAGAGAGGTGTAAGTCAACAATAGCTACCTACCTACCTGGCAAGGCAGCTTAAGTTAGAGCTTCCTGATTCTGCACTTGTTGTAATGGTCAAGTTAAACCCCAAGGAACAGATACCCGTGGGGAAGATAAGCTCAGTTTCAGAACGGGCTATCGTTCCAGGCCAACGCGCAGAATAGCTACAGCGGTCTCCGTGGCAATCTGTCACCGTCCTAGGACGGATTGGAAGGCAGACATGAGGGCACGAAGTCAGCCGAAGGGTTGGTGCAAAGAGCCATAGTTGCTCCTTCCACTCTGATCTGCGGATTGCCGCTACCCGGCAGCCCTTAGTTGGCCAATATCGCAGGAAAGAGGGGTAGGTCGGCAAGAGCAGGAATGGATGATTGCCCTCTGCCTCGGGTGGCCGGGCTACCACCCAATTCTTCCTGCACGACGCTGTCCTACCCTCGGCCTCGACAGCCTGCATCAGGTACATTGTATCTCGAGTTGCTTAGTCGCATCCCGCATCAATGCGAACAATGTCGTACTTTGGTCAATGTGGTGGTGTCACACCGTGCGGGTGACCTCGATTCATGCCTCAGTGCGAGATGTCTCAGAGGATCAGGAGCCTTGAAGGCAGGTTTAGAGTTCCTTTAACTGGCGTGGTGATGCCTTTAAAACTTCCAGGACGCGCCACATCCCAAAGACCGTGTTGTTCCTGCGACTACCAGGCATGGCCCGTTGACGAATCCCGTGTCAGACACGGGACCGGTCGTGTTGAAATACAAAAATGGATGATGGGTGGAACCCCTCACAGATACCATCATATCACCAGACGAACCGTACCTACCCCAAGTATACACAGTAACAGCACATACAGGTTTGTCGCACCTCGTACCCGCCTCATCGGGGACTGACGCTTCGGAAGCGTTTGAACTTGCGTGGCCTCGGTCCCTGCTTTGTTCGGGTCTCTCTAGTGTTTCCGGCCCACGCCTCCTCTTCCTGTACTACACATCTTGGACATCTCGGATAGAACCTCCTTCTCTCCGAGCAGAGCACAGATAAACATTGACCAGCAAGAATCATATACTCCTTTTCACCGTTATCCGACCGAATTACCCACGGCTTTCCGGTTATCCCACTTAAGAGTCCCCGCCGCCCGAGTCCCGACGACCTACCTACACTTTGGAGCACGAGACCCCGCCCGAGCTCCAATCGCCCGACAAGCCATCCCAGACCGGGGAAGCCTTAATAAAGCGGCGTCTCTCAACCGGCCAGCAAAACGCACCCGTTTGCACGCATACAAATCGCTCCTCGAAAGTACAGCTGGTTGTCTCACGGCTGAGCTTACAGAGTACCTGGTACGTTTTACGCTCCTGTTGCAAGCATTGAGCCAGCTCCTGGAGAGCTTTGCCATTGCCCGTTCCCGTTGTAGCTCCGTGGCCCACAAGTGTGGCGCCCGACTGCCGAAGCAGCAATCCCAGGGGACCCGCGAGTCATTCTGCCGCACGCAAAGCCGGCGCTCCTGTGTTCTCCGATCTCTTTACCCACCGTGCTTCCAACATGCCCAAAGGACGCTCCGGTCCCAGCCGATCACGTCGACCATCGGCTTGCCAACCCGTGCCAAAGACCATCTTGGCGCCGCCAACATGTACGCTACGGACCATTGTACGGTCTATGATCCCTGGGGCTCTGACGGCATCAAGCTCGGCTGAGCTCTCGAGGAGGGGAGCTGGATGTTGTCTGGTCGCATGGTTTTCGGCCGGCGGACGAAACCCCCGCCGTCCACAGCTAATAGTGAAGGCAAGCAACGGGCTAACTCTGTCTTCGCAACCCGCAGGTGCGAAATTCGTCGCCCTGAGATTACTTAGTATACACTGTTCGATCTTTTGTGAGCTGGCGGCCTGGTTAGCACCCCATTCCCGGCATCCACACCTCTCGCGCAACCGTCAGCCATGACGAACACGGTCAGGCAGGCGACCGAAGCAGCACGGACTAAGGGCTCTGAGGTTATCGGCACGGCCAAAACCATGAAGAACGACGGGGTCGCGGTCGCCACAGACTTCCTCCACACACCGTTTATGCGGGCGGCCCTCCCCTTCATCAATGGCGGAATCAGCGGCATGGTCGCCACGACGGTGATCCAACCCGTCGACATGGTCAAGGTGCGCATGCAGCTCGCGGGCGAGGGTAAGGCGGGCGGACCGAAACCGACACCGCTGTCCGTCACACGCGAAATCATCGCCAGCGGCAAGGCCCTGGATCTGTATACGGGCCTGTCGGCGGGCCTGCTGCGGCAGGCGGTGTACACGACAGCGCGCCTCGGCTTCTTCGACACCTTTATGGGCGGACTGGCAACCCGCGCCAAGGCCAAAGGGCAAAGCGTGGGCTTCGCGGAGCGCGCAACGGCGGGTCTCACAGCGGGTGGTCTGGCGGCGATGATCGGGAACCCGGCGGATCTCGCGCTGATCCGCATGCAGAGCGACGGGCTCAAGCCGATGGCCGAGCGCAAGAACTACAAGTCGGTCATCGACGCGCTCAGCTCGATCGCCAAGAGTGAGGGCGTCGGGGCGCTGTGGGCCGGGGCGGCGCCGACGGTGGTGCGCGCCATGGCGCTCAACTTTGGCCAGCTGGCCTTCTTCAGCGAGGCCAAGGCGCAGCTCAAGGCGAGGACGACGTTGTCGGCCAACGCCCAGACGCTGAGTGCGAGCGCCGTCGCGGGCTTCTTCGCGTCCTTCTTTTCCCTGCCCTTCGACTTTGTCAAGACGCGGCTGCAGAAGCAGCACAGGGGGCCCGACGGGAAGCTGCCGTACAACGGCATGGCGGATTGCTTCGCGAAGGTGGCGAAGCAGGAGGGCCTGATGAGGTTCTATCGCGGGTTCGGCACATACTATGTTCGCATTGCGCCACACGCGTAGGTCAACTCCTCAACCTCCCCGGGGTAGTGATCCCTTGCTCATTCGAGAGTGTGTTTGCTGACTGTTTCTGTTTCGTAGGATGGTGACCTTGATCGTGGCCGACTTTCTTGGATTCATCACCAAGTAGGAGACCGTTGGTCTGCATCTTGGCTTGGATTTTCTTTCGTTCTTCTTTTTTTGAATCGTTATTGGCGTGGTATCAGGGTGCTGTCCATACCTGTTTTCTCTGGAGTTGGTAGGTCCGGTTTCATTATGGGTTGTGCTTCTGGGACATGGCAGTTGGTATACCACATCTGGAGGGACGAGGCCATACAGAGCCTCTGCACTGGTCTGAGTTGTTTGACGCAAGAGAGTTCTCAACTTATTCTACGAATGGCTTTTCGAACGCCGGGAGAAAATTATCGTGACTGCTGGCCCGTGCCTTTGCCATCCACGCTTGCAAGTTGGAACGGCCCTGACAAGCCTTGCTTGCAGGCCGCAGCTGTCAGTCGGACCGTGCCGGACCGATCTAGAGCTCGGGGCGCAGTTGCCGCATTTGGTCGCCACCTAGGTACATCTTGACCTTGAAGCTCTATGCATCCGTACTCATATTCCGACCATTTCCACTACAATTTCCACTACAGAGATTCGGTTTAATCTTCGTAAGGCACGGCAGAACCCGTCCTTCAAGTGACTTCTGAAATACACGGCAAGGTCCGGATCACCAAGACCACGGACTGAGTGAACTTGTGAAGGCCGCTTCAAAGCAACCTGGAACTGTGGGGTCAAAGCATCGCGCGCCGATTTTGAGTGAAACAAGCAGTTTTGGACAGCTTCCCTTTTTCCCTGTATCTGTTGAAAATGTGATTGAGGGCCGGCCATGGATGCGGACTGGGACGAGGCAAGTTTTTTTTCATTTCTTCTCTTCCGGCATGTCGCCATGCATACTGGGGCTTCGCACGCTTGAGTGAAAGTACTCCGAGCGTGTGTGGATGCTGTGGGCGCGTTCGGCAGTGCCCCGCGGATATTGTCTACTTGGAGCTTCGATGAAAACCCCCCGGGCCAATGTTCGCCGACCAGACGCGACACTCCGAGTCGCCTACAAAGTATGTGATGTCGTGTAGCTTAGCTGACCGTGCAATGCCTCCGGCCAGGTCACGCGCATCGCCTTCCCGGCGCCCGGCACCAATGACTTCCCCCGACCGGCCACAACGCTTGCCTTCGACACCATCGCCGAGTTACTATGGGCAGGCAACGACCGGGTATGTTTTGCACATGACTCTGGTCAGTCCGCATGCATCATCTGACAGGGCATTTCCAGGGCCGCGTCGCCTCGTTCTATGGCCGCGATCTGCAGCGGTACACTGCGTTTAAGATCCAACCGCCGCCCGAGGGCCCCGTTCGCCATTTCCTCTTCCATGACAAGGGCGTCATATGCCTCGGCTCCCGATGCGTACATATGGCAATGCGTAGGGGGCCTGCTCTGTGGAGCATCCGGTACGGTTGCTTGATTCTGTGTCTGGGAGAACTGGGGTCAGAGTCGCTGACCTGCCGCTCGGCGTTAGGCACGATGACATGAAAGACCTGCAATGCATGAGTTTTACCTCTAAGGGCGCCTCCGAGATCATCGTTGCCGGCTGGCAGGATACCATGTTTGTTATTGACGTTGTCAAGGGGGAGATTGTCAAGCAGGTGGGTTTCCCCTTTCCCCTTTCCTTTGACTGGCTTTGACTAGGGCGTGCTACTTACGCGTAGAGCGAAGGTCCCTACAGAACATCACTATTCGATCATGAAAAAAAGCAGGTACATATGCGCTGCCACTCGAACCGGCAGCGTGGATCTCCTCGATCCCGTTTCTTTCAAGGTCATCCGCACTTGGCAGGCCCATGCCTCCTACATAAATGACATGGATGCGCAAAACGACTTCATCGTCACCTGTGGCGGCTCCCTTAAGCAGCAGGCAGCACAGACATACATGTTGGATCCTTACGTCAACGTTTACGATCTGAAGAACATGACCTCGATGAAGCCCATGCCATTTCCGCCACTGGCCGCCCACGTCCGACTGCACCCGAGGATGCTCACCACTAGCATCGTGACGTCCCAGCACGGCCAGATGCACGTGGTCGACATCATGAACCCAAACACGAGCAACGTTCGATACGCTAATGTCATGTCGTTTGTCAACTTGTTTGAGATTGCGCCTTCGGGGGAGGCCCTTGCCATGGCCGACTCGGAGTGCAACATACATCTCTGGGGATCGCCGACCAAAATCCATTTTACCGACATGGCGTTACCCATCGAGACGCCAAAGGCAGAAGAGCCCGCTCCCATGCTCGATTGGTCGCCCGACACGTAAGTCTCGCCCGGTGATTTTGACCTCCTCGCCCGTATCTCTGCTGAAACTCGCTCGATTTAGGCCGCTGAGCTCGGTAGGCCTGCCCTACTACCGCGAGCCACTGTTCTCGGCCTGGCCTGCCGATATCATTTCCGATGTTGGCGCTCCGCCGGTGCAGCTTGACCCGGCCTTCCTCGCCACCCTCAAGCAGACAGAGTGGGGTTTCTACGGCCGGAACACGCGGGGCTTGCGGCGCAACCAGGTTGAGGATACGCGGGCCTCCAGCAGCAAGTCGTCGGCCGGCATGCGGGCGCCCAAGTTCTTGAGCGAGAAGGCACGCGAATCGGCCATGTCGTCTGGTGTGGACCCCGCCTTCGACTCCAGGGCCGAGCAAGCAGCCGAGCCATCGTCGCCGAACGAGTTCGAAAGCCTGAAGCCCGAGGCGCCGCCAATGTATCGGAACTTGGAGATCAAGTATAGCAAGTTCGGCGTTGACGATTTCGACTTTGGGTAAGCCTTATGTCTTCCAGCCGCCAGCTCGTGATGCAAGGAGGCTAATTTATGTTGCTCATAGGTACTACAACAGGACGCGGTATGCTGGTTTGGAGAACCATATCCCCAATTCATACGCAAATTCCCTTCTCCAACTTATGCACTATACACCTCTTCTGCGGAATATGGCGCTGCAGCATGCCGCGACCGCATGCGTAAATGACCTGTGTCTTCTCTGCGAGCTAGGCTTCGTTTTCGACATGCTACAGAAGGCCCAGGGCTCCACGTGCCAGGCGACCAACATGTTCAAGGCACTGAGCGGCACTCCTCAAGGTTCGTTTCCTTTCGTATTTCTTGTTGTTTGCTTGGGATATACGGCAAGCGGCCCAGCTGGAAGTTGACTGACATTTCCGAAGCTGCACCTCTAGGTCTACTAGAAGAGGAAACCCATGTTCCACAACTGTCCTCGATGGCTCAGGGGCTGAGCAGGTTTCTGTTCGACAGGATCAGCAACGAGTACCGGAGCATCCCCCCGATCTCGACGGCGTTGGAGCAGACCCTCTTCAACCTCGCGCAGCCGCCGAGCCCGGACGAGCTGGCGTCGAGAGTTCTGGCGACGTCGGCCGTGATCACGATCAAGTGCATGAACTGCCGCAGTGAGACGACGCGGCCCGGCACCGCATATGTCAGCGATCTGATGTACCCACCGCCCAAGCCAGGCGTTAGAGGCGGCGGCAGAGCGACTAAGACGACGTTCTCGCAGGTCCTCAAGATGGGCGTCGAGAGGGAGACCGTGTCTAAGGGGTGGTGCAGCCGGTGCCAGCGGTATCAGAACCTGCAGATGCGCAAGACCATACACAGCGTCCCCGCGGTCCTTGCCGTCAACGCGGCTGTCTCGACGGCGGAGCACCGCAGGCTCTGGGCGACGCCCGGCTGGCTCCCGGAGGAGATCGGCGTCATAGTGGACCAGGGCCAGTTCTTTTGCTTCGAGGGCGAGGACCTGAAGCTCCATCTCCAGCGCGGGATCCATAATATATCGGTCTACTCGCTGATTGGGATGGTTGTTAACATTGAGAGCACTGCGCCGCAGAAGACGCATCTTGTCGGCATGATCAACGGTGAGTTTGTGCCTTTTCTTATGTCCGTAATTTTGGTGTTTGGATGCGGGCCAGCTGACTTCGGTACAGTCGCACATGCGGATGCGACGCCCGCCGGGGAGAGCAAATGGCACCTGTTCAACGACTTCTCAGTGCGGCCCGTCTCAGCCGCCGAAGCATTGCGGTTCAACGCGGCGTGGAAGATGCCGGCCGTCCTCCTGTTCCAGATGAAGGCGGCGAACAACAAGAGCAACACGGACTGGAAGACAAATTTGGACACGTCCATCCTGTATCAGGACCTGAATCCGCACGCGGACCCCAAGACGTACCGCGTGCTCGACCAGGAGACGGAGCGGCCCGGCCCGGACACCATCGTGGCGCTCGACACCGAGTTCGTGTCGCTCAAGCAGCCCGAGATCCAGATGAACTCGGACGGCGAACGTGAAACGATCCGGCCCATGTCGCACGCGCTGGCCCGGGTGTCGGTGGTGCGCGGGCAGGGCGAGCTGGAAGGCGAGGCCTTCATCGACGACTACATCGCCATCCGCGAGCCCGTGGTCGACTACCTGACGCTATACTCGGGCATCACGGCCAGCGACCTGGACCCGCGCACGACGAGACACAACCTGGTCTCGCTCAAGACGGCCTACAAGAAGCTCTGGGTGCTGCTCAACCTGGGCTGCAAGTTCCTCGGCCACGGCCTGCGGCAGGACTTCCGCGTCATCAACATCCAGGTGCCGCGCGCGCAGGTGATCGACACGATCGAGGTCTTTTACCTGAAAGCGCGCCTGCGCAAGCTGTCACTCGCGTTTCTGGCCTGGTACCTGCTTAAGGAGGACATCCAGCTCGAGACGCACGACTCGATCGAGGACGCGCGCACGGCGCTCAAGCTGTACCGCAAGTACCTCGAGTTTGACGACGCGGGGATCCTGGAGCCCATGCTGGAGGATATCTACAAGGCGGGTAGGGCTACTAACTTCAAGCCGCCGCGCAGCAGGGACGACCCCCAGGTGATCATTCAGCGGACGGACACGCCGCCCGAGGGCAGTGCTGCTACGGGTGCTGGTGCTACTACTACTGGTGGTGGTGGTGACAATAACCCGACCACGCCCGCTCGTAAGGCGGCTGGGCTCGGGAGCCAATCGTCGTCGGGCAGCACGCCGTTTGGCATGATCCCTGTGTTTAATACGCCGGGGAAAGGTGGGTCACCGTTGCCGAGGTGAGAGTCGCGAGGAGGGGGGGATATTGGAGGAGGAGGAGAGGAGGGTTTGGGGGAAATTATGGCTTAGCGGGCAGGACTTGGTGAAAGTTGAAGAGCGGGCTTTGTATGCTGTGGTGCTTGGGTTGCTTAGCAGGGTGGGTGTCGGTTGTGATGAAGTAGCATAAGCATAGAAACCGGCTACTTATTCTAGTAATTACCCTACCTAGCCGGTCCGTAAAGCTGCTATATGGATATTTCTGGTTCTTTGCCTCTTAGTACTACTACGTACGTACACCGATGGGGCTTACAGCACTGCACCCAAAGTAAGTTCAAGTTGTGGTACTGTCCATGGATAGGGAAATCGAGCGCCTAGTTATAGGACTAATTAGCTTTCTAGGTTCTAACATTTGGGGGCTGCTTGGTGTTACAATTACAATAGGGTCTAGCCATCCCGTATAACATTAAGACACACTGGTTTAGGCCCTGACTACGAATGCAACTACGACATGCTATTGAACCTGGCACTAACAGAGTAAGATCTCACTCCGTTGATGCGCTACCTACTTGCCCCAGAAAGCTTTTGGGTCGGGAGACTTCGGCGCGAGTCACGCGCTCCTGCATCAACCTACCGTGTCTATATTGTCATTTGTCCACCAGACCAACGAGGCTGGTTGGTAGATACTTATGTTAGTGATTCCTGTGGCCTGCCCATTTCATCATTGGACTCGGCAACCATCTTCATAACCCAGGCCCAGCAAAGCGAAATGGCCGCCTTGTCGATCTTGGTTGCATACATAGCGCAAAACCATCCCGCTCTCACACTTGCTGTGCTGTTCGTGGGCTGTCTACGGCTCTGCCGCTGGTAGCTTGTCAAGGCGCATCCGGATGAACCTCCCATCATCCCGTCATCCCGTCATCCCGTCAAGGATTCCGGTTGTAGGGCATCTTCTGGGGATGGCGTTGCAGGGAGAGAGGAGATATGTGAAGGATCTCGGGGGAGTTCTTCAGGTTGTTGCCCCTGGAGTTATACCTTACTTTATGTAGGATCAATCATTAATAGTAGTAATTAACCACACTGATATCGTGTGAGCTCACAGCTTGCGCAACCCTGACAAGCCCATTCTTCACCCTGCCTGTGCGTCGGTCTGGCATGTATTGTACAACTACAATGCATCGTCACAGACCCGTCTCTGGCCGGCGCCGTCCAGCGCGCCATCCAGGACGCTGTCATTCACTCCCCTGGTGCCAACATCACACAGCGGGTGCTGGGACTGGAGGAATGACACGGTGGCCATCGTGCGGCAGCACATCATCGACCCCGGAGTCGGGAGAGCCCAGGGGATTCCTGGCGGTTACTATCCACGACTTGGTGTACCCTGAACTGTTTTAGCCCGGGCAAGACAAGGAACGAGCTAAGCCCTCGACGCGGCGAAGGAGCTAGGTGGTCAGAAATAGGAAACAGGTCGACGAGCACGCTCGGATCTTGCGCCAAAAAAAAGGGGGGGTGAAACGGTGGACCTCATCATCCTGCCTTATTACCGCTCGCTGTCCAGATGAAACCGGTAATAAAGAAGCCGGAAGAACGCCTGCCCTATCCTTATCCCTCGAGAAGCTGAAAACGGCTTCCCCAACGCTGCAGTGCGTCCTCTGCGAGTGGCCTGCGCCAGAAGTCGGACACCTCCTCGACCCTCCTGGCGAAAGAGGGCGTTTGTGGCGCTGCTTGTGACACGTTTCGACGTTGCCCTCGGCCCCGCCACAGCGCTAGGGCCAGGACATGGAGGAGTAAAAGGGGCAGCAAAAAAGATAAGGGTGCTGCCAACCAAGGAGGACCGTGTGTTACCGGTGCATGGCCCTAAAGCTGAAGGAGAGGGTGGAGGTTACTGTTCGTGTAAAAGGAGGGATGGCGGGTGGTAGTGGAGGGTTGAGGTTGTTTCCAAGTTCCCAGCTGGGCTTATAAGCGGACTTACTTAGTAGTTACTTGGTAGGTAGGTAATCATTAGGGTGATGAGGAATGAAGTCAATATGGAATTGAGAGAGATCGGTGAGAAAAAAGGAAGAACCTAAGAATCTTCTCACTCATCAGCTGCCATAAGTCCCCCAAAGGAGGAAAGCCAAAAAGGAGAGCCTGGTGGGCTTTGCTTCGAGGCCGAGTCGAACGGCTGATTTTGCTTGTCTCCCTCGTCCGCGTAACTTGCTGGAAGAGCCAGCTGACCAACTACAACTACCTAGGTACCTAGTCAGTCGGAAATGCTTGCCCTGAGTGAGGCCTGGTGGACTTTGGCATTTGGGATAGGAATGGGCACATACAGGAAAAGTCAACAATCTCAGGGATTACATGGAATACAGTGTGATCTACCGAAGTATAATTAAGTACGGCCTGATACCCCTACCAACAGTCATGGACTGACCAAATAAACTTCTCTTCGCCTTTGTCCCCGCAGAGCAATTCCATTTTGCCATATTCCGCTTGTACAATACAACGCGGCCAAGTCCTCCATCTTCCCTACCAAGCAGCATTCCACATCCTATCAGCCCCATCCCGATGTCCACCACCGAAGCTTCCCAGTTTGACCCTAGTGGATGTTCTCCAACGCCTGCGCACGCATGTACTTGCCCCTCACATCCTGAGGCAGCAGCTGGAACAGCCTGGGGTCGCCGCCCCTGCACTTGATGAGTTCCTCCGCCATGTCCGCAATCGCTGCCTCCTGCCGGATATCACCGTGCGTCTGCCCGCGCAGCGCCGCCAGGCCGTCGAACAGCTGGTGATCAAACTTGTCCAGCGCCTGCTGCCTGTTCTGCAGTCGCGCCATCGGATAGAGCAGGTACACGACGGCCGCGCGGTCCCAGTCCGGCAGCTTCCGTTTGACCTTGAATAGCAGCTGCGCAAAGCGGAAGAGCCGCTTGAAGTCGCGCTCGATGACCAGATCCGGGCCGACCCGGTTGACAAAGGCCTGGTTGGCCTCGGCGTAGTTGCGCGCCCAGACGAGCGCGAGGAACTCCTGCTGCGAGTCCTCGCGGGAGCGGAAGTCGAGGGCCTTAGCCTCCCAGATCCACGTCTCGGGGACGCCGAACTTGCGGAGCGCAGAGAAGGCGCTCGCCGCGTTGCGGGGCGAGCCGATGCGGTGCGCGTGGCGGCCCAGGTGGTCGCGCACGGCAGCCTCGCGCGAGCCCGCGTCCGACAGCTGAAGGAGAACAAACGTGGCGGGCACCCAGTGGGCCTGTACTGTCAACGCGGAGGCGAACGAGACACAAGCCATGTCGAGCTTCTCGGCCGCATCCTGCCCGAAGGAGACCTTGCCGGTCGCATAGATGGCCTTCGTCATGAGCCAGCCGAGCCGGTTGTCGGACCAGTCAAACTCTTGGTTGGCAAATGCCTTGAGCAGCGACCACAGAGCGCTGTCGGGCTGCGGCTCCTTGTCCTGCTCAACGTCGGCCTGGAACGAGCGAACTGCCTCCGCAGCGGAGGATCGCGTGGTGTAGAAAAGACGGAGACCGAATGACCGCATCCAATCCAAGTCGAAACGCTGGGAAATGGTAAACGACTCGACCCGGTTCTCAATAGGAACGCCCTTGACGCCCGCGCATACGCACGCATTGCCAGCCAGGAGCTCGTAGATGGCCCGAATAGGCTCCGAGAACTCGGCCAGGACATTCGACTCACGCCAGTCCTTCAGCTGAGCCTTGATGTCCTTGTTCTGCACCCCAATGCTCGAAACGAGCGTGGCAAGCCGGAAATCGCCCGCCGCGAGCAGGTGGCCGCAGGCATCGGCCACACGGTTGCCAGCTAGGCAGATAATGGCTTTCTCCTCCAGGCTAGTCGCCTGTGCAAGTGCGCGGTCAGTGGCCTCAGACACCAGCTGCCTCCAGTAGCCCGGCAGGCCCTGTCCGTTGTCGTCGAAAAGAAGGGAGGCTAGCTCCCAGGAAGGATCTCCGTGGGCAAGTTCCCGAAAATCGGGCGCAGAACCTGCCTGGGCGGTTTCCTTGCCGGAGACGTTGTCAATGTACTGTTGCAGACGGGCGAGACTCTTGGGCGATCCTGCCGACTCCTCCGCGACAGGAGCAGTACCGTCGATTGGCTGCAGGCTGGGTTCGTTATGGTGCGTGGTGACCAGCAGTTCGTTGGGACCCCAGTTGGGCCGCGGAACTGACGGGCTTTCCTCTGTGTCAACCTTGGGACGTTGCTGGTATGGCCACTAAAGCAGGGAAAAGTCTTAGTCTGTAATTCACACAAGAAAGATAGGTACAAGAGAAGCAAACACTGCTAGGAGAACACTAGCCAGAATTAAGCTGAGAGGCTAAGAGGCAAGCGAGACACCGACCTTCACGAATCCCTTCGCTGGCGACGCCTGCACCGGCTCCGTCGGGCCCTTTGCTTGCTCGAAAAGCGACTTCATCAAATCGATACTTGTTGCAAATCCCGCCCCATCGGACACGGGTGCGTTTCTCTCAGGCGCAGGGTTGCCCCGATCCTTCATGTCCCAAACCGCCCCCGACTCGTTGAGCGCGCGCAATGTCGCCCGATCCACCGTCCTCGGCGCCCGCACACTCGCTTGCAAGATCTGCGTCCAATCATCACCACCCGCCACCTCGATTCTCGTAGGCGCCGTCGACTTCTTGAAGGCTCGCATGCGTGCCCTCATGATTCCAGCGGGGACCTGCGCGTCGTTGTCGGCATAACGGGACAGCCAGAGGTCGTCCTGTCCTTCGACAGATCCCTGCTGAGAAGACGGTTCAAAGGCTTCGAGCTGGTAATCATCGGGTCCGTCAGCCATGCTTTCATCTTCGGGCCACTCCCGTGACGGCAAGGGGGCATCAGCCTCCTGGGACTCAGGAGACAGCGTACCCTGGCGTTGAGCGGTAACAGAAACCGCCTCCTCATTGTCCGACAGTGCGGCATCATCGAAAGCGCCAGGAACAGCCCGCCGGCTCCGCTTGAATTCGAAAGTATCGTCAGGGTCGGAAGGTGAGGCAGTGTCCTTAGCGACCGAAGGGCTCAGAATAGCGGGCGAAGCATGGTCCGGCTCTACTTCGGTTTCCTCCTCATCGTCATCTTCGCCTAAACCGTACGTCGTGAAATGTTCCACCGAGAACGTCCATACACCAGTTTCTCTGTCATAACTCTCAAAGGTCGTATCTGGAATCGCAGTCTTGAGTCTCTCAATATGCCGCTCGAGGCGCCGGCCAGTAGCCGCTAGACCGCCGCGTGGGTACGAGTGCTCCAGCGAAATGACCGCCGGGACGTTCAGACCCTTACCAACAGGGGGCTTCTTAGCCGCAATCGGATAAACGGTAGCGGAGCGGGGTTCCAGGACGACGATACCATCGAGGATTTCGTCGAGGTTGATATTGCTGAGGTCAACGGGGACCTTGAACGTGACGCTACCCACATTCTCGCGTCCGCAAGTGAAGTTGGAGACCCTCTGGCGTTGGACCCTGTTCATGGCGCGAATTTCTTCCGCCGTCGGCGACATCCAATAAGCACCTGCCTCGATGCTCGAGCCGGGCTTCTTCTCAGCTCGTACGGTAGCAGGCGACTGTGACTCCTCCTCATGGACAACGGCGAGTTCGTTGCCTTTGACCTGCTCCATTTCCGGGGTAACGTTGACAGGAGATGACTTGGCGCCATTCGCGCCGTTAGCGCTGGGTTGTCCGCCCGGCTTGAGATAGCCCGACTCGTCAGGGCTGGAGCCGTTTTCCAGAGCGGCCTGGCGGTTATCAGGGGTGTTTTCAACCGTGCTGGTGTCGAAGCTGACGCGCTTCGTCAGCTTCCGTGAGCCGTTAGCATCATCCAGAGCCTGTCTCTCTTTGTTCGGCGACGTGAACAGATCGCTGCGCATTTCCTTGTTGATAACCAGCTTCTTGTGGTTGCTAGCGCTGCCGAGGAGACGCATGCTTGAGTTAGCGGAGAAAGCGCCGGGTTGAAGAATGCTGTCCTCCACGTTCAAGCTGCGCCGCAGGTTACTCGTAGAAATACTCTTGCTCAGACCTCGGTTGACGCTGCTGGCCAAGAGACTCTGTCCGAATCCTCCAGGGGTGCTGGACACGCTCGACGGGCTTGCCGGAGACCCATAAGCGCTGTAGGAGAAGCCGTAGCCCCTCTTCTGGGGAGTGATCAATCGAGAGGCGTTGGCAGGGCTGAGCTTGTACATGGGCAAAATCGACCGGCTCTTGGCCTTGGACGTTCCAGATAGAGGGGTCGCGAGCGGACCTGGATTCTGGATCCTCTCATCCGGCAGGCCAGAAAATAGCGTTTGAGCACCATATGCTGAGATGTCGTTGATGCTCGTGCTGAAAGACTGCTGGGGTGCCTGCTGGCCTTGCGACGCGCCAAAGAGGGAGGCACCCAAAGTGCCTTGCTGTGGCTGCTGCTGCTGGTTGATGCTGGCGCCAAACAGTCCGCCGGACTGCTGCTGACCAGACTGCCCGCCGCCGAAAAGGCCACCACCCGTCGTCGTCGAACCGCCGAAGAGGGAGGGCTTAGCTTGCTGGTTTTGGCCTAGGCCACCAAACAGAGAGCCCTGTTGAGGCGCCTGGGTTTGTTGGTTATTTCCAAGGTTGCCGAAGAGGCCGCCGCCGGTGGTGCCAGTTTGACCAGTGGTGCTACCGCCAAATAGCCCTGTACCAGTGCCTGCGGGCTTGTTGCCAAACAGGCCGCCGCCTGTCGCGGGCTGAGCAGCCGTCGACCCAAATCCAGTCGATGTCCCGGCAGCCGTGTTTCCAAAGAGTCCGCCGGTGGTCCCCGTGTTTGTCGTAGTACCGCCGAAGAGGCCTCCGGGCTTCTGCTGCTGTTGCTGCTGGTTACCGAACAAGCCACCCCCGGTGTTTTGAGTCTGTGCCCCGAAACCCGTGCTGCTACCGAACCCTGTACCTGTTGACTGTTGTTGTTGGCCACCAAATAGACCACCGCCAGTAGTGCCAGTCTGACCGGTATTACCAAACAAGCCACCACCCGTGCCCGTTGTAGCGGTGCCCGTGCCGAAAGCTGGTGTCGTGGTGGATGTACTGCCGAAGGCACCCGTGCCTGTCCCCGTGCCAGTGCCGCCGAAGCTGAAGCCGGTGGGCTTCGGTGCCGCTGTGTTAGTGGACCCAAACAAACCGCCTCCTGTGCTGGCAGTATTCGATCCAAAGCCACCAGTTGTCCCGGTGTTGGTGGACCCGAACCCGCCGGCACTACCGAACAGACCACCGGTCTGGGCTGGCTGGCTGGTGGTGCCGCTTCCGAACAACCCACCACCGGTTGCAGGCTTGCTCCCAAACAGGCCGCCGCCTCCAGAGCCGAACCCGCCAGTGGTGGCGGTGTTGGTGGTGTTGGTGGTACCAAACCCACCCGTTGCTGGCGTGGTGCTCCCGAAGATACCCGCCCCAGTGTTGCTACCGAACCCGGTGGTGCCTGCATTGGTACCGAAGCCGCCCGTCCCGAAGCCAGAGCTGCCAAACGCGCCAGTGCCGCCGGGGCTGCCAGTCTTCCGGCCCTGGTTATAGTCCGCCAGCCTCAGCTCGTCTGCCGACCATTTTTTGTATGCATCCATGAACAGAATGTTTTGGAAAGAGTTACTTTGCGCCGAGTTAGTTTCCTTCTCCACTGTAGGAGAGAAGGGAACGACAGCGGTGCCAGGCGGGTCGCCCACGTTGGTGCCGATTCCAGGGTTTGCCGTGGCGCCGAAGCCTGTGGTGCCAGTCGTTGTGCCGCCACCGAAAAGGCCACCGCCAGTGCCGCCGCCGAAAGCCGACGTCCCGGCGCCAAAGCCAGTCGTCGCAGGCTTGCTGCCACCGAAGAGCGACGTGCCGCCGCCGCCGCCGAAGGGTGTGCTTGTGGTGCTTGTGGTGCCGAAGCCGCCGCTGCCAAATCCACCGCCCGTCGTTGCAGTTGTGGACGTGTTACTGCCGAACAACCCCGTTCCGGCGCTAGTGGTGGCAGGTGTCCCGAAGGCCGGTTTGCTACCGAAGCCGCCAGAACCGAAACCGCCTGTGGTGTTCGAACCAAACCCGCCTCCGCCGCCGCCGAAGAGGCCGGTGCCGGACGTGCTCGCATTGCTTGTTGAGCCGAAGGCAGGCGTAGCAGAAGCTCCAAAGCCTGCAAAGGTCAGTTGGTGTTGTCACGAGAGCTGCAGGGAGAAGGAGGCGCTGAATAATGGAACAAAAGAGCGAGAGTCGCATTGACAGACCTGTATTGGTGCTTGCAGTGTTGCTTCCAAAACCGCCAAAGGTGTTTGTTGTATTACTATTTTGGCCGAAGCCACCGCTGCCGAAGCCGAACGACATGTTGAGCGATTGTCGATTGATGGCTGTCGGGTGGTGGTGCGAGTGGACGAAGTCGGTCGGCTTTGGGGGAAAAGCACGCGAGGCACTCACGCCTTACGCGTGATAGTTTAGTCGTCGCAGGAGCGTTCCTACAAAGGAAAAATTATCTGCGACGGGAAGTAAGATGGAATTCACGTGTTGCGCAACTGCTGCCCGCGCTAAACACCGCGAACTCTGCCTCCGGAAAAGTAGGCGCGCAATGAAAGCGAAGTTGGCAGCTCGCGAAAATGACTGGCGGCCCGGGTTCCCTTTGAGCTTGCCCAACATATGACCGAGCCCGTCGGCCAATCAGAGCGCGTGACCTTTAGTGGACCGTGCGCGACCGCGAAAATCGCATTGGCCGGGAGACAAGTGAGTGCACAGACCAGGTAAATTTGCTGCAGTATTCAGCGAGCGCAATGGAAGGTGAAGAAGTACGGAATATAGTGATGGATGAGTTCCGCAAGAGAGGTTAGACGTTAGTACCGGCTCTCTATCTCGAAGATATTTATCTCCAAGCACAAACTACGCAGCGCGATTACGAATTCTGATCGGGGCTCGGGGCGACTAGTCACGTGGAACATGAGTCGTTACCTGCGTTGCAATTGATCGCGCTCATTGGTCTTGCTGGTCAGGATGACTTAACACTGCAAGTCTGCCTTGCGACGCAGGAACAAATCAGAGACATAACAAAGCAGTGACAGGAGCAGCCTGTATGCGAGGTCTCAGACGATAAAGGAAGGGACTTGAAGTGAACCGGGCTGATTGGCCTTTTGCAGAAGTGCCAGTCATAGACCTTGAAATCGCACGCCTGCAGCCTGTTGTGCTACCCGTGGACCTCTGTCACGCCTGCCTCGCCCTGTATTAATCCCCCGGGTTCTTGCAGTGCCGTTCCTGCTTTGCTCCCGGTTCCTCATTCAGCCTGGCTCAACCTGTGCAACCCTCAGTGGGACGACTTGTTGATATAGCTCTTTGGCTCCCCGCTGTAGACTTCCACTTATTATAGGCTTGGCGCAGAAGTGATCGCGGCATGGCCAGGCTTGACAGTGCCTGATACACTGCCAGGGCTCCTCTTTGGAAAGGGGGAACCGAAGTATGTACGTTAGAACCACTGGCACATTCCATAGATTTGCAGGTAGTACAAGGGGGTTCTGCTCCCCCAAGAATCCAGTCTTCCGCGCCAGTAACAAAGTAAATGATAAAGAGTAAGCTGTAAGAGTAAGAATGAGAATGAGTCTCAAGGTTCGTCCGCCGCCACTGCGACAGAATAGGAAGAAAAAGCATACAAGCCTGCCTCACCAGAGCCTCCGTTCCACGAATATGCCCACTGTACTGGTCCATCAGCCCAGAAAACAGTTTCGCCAGCGCCCGTATGCTGAGCACTGCGTTTCTCGGTGCCTCTGTCCCATGCAACCCGACAGTCACCCCTCTCCTCCTAATACCCTCCGTCCCTCACCAAGACTGTTTACACATCAACCGTCCCTTCCACCAGTGTCTAGAACTGAATCAAATCGCCTTGGCCGCCACCTTGCTGCTGCTGGCCTCCCGTCCTCCCAGCAAACGGATTATTACCACCGCCCATGCCCATGCCCATGCCTGCTGGACCCGTAGCAGCCGGCATCTGTGATTGCTGACCATAAGATACAGTCGGCATCCCCGTAAACTGCTGTCTCAGGAATGGATTGTTCCCCGTCGCATCTGACGTGATCCTGCCGAGCCCCGCACCAGCACTGTTCACGAACACGCCTGGGGCGGTGTGTTGCGCGGGAATGCGCAGGTTACCAGTGTTTCCGAATGTGTCCATACCGTCGCCGCTCGCGAGAAGCGCGTTCAACTTTGCCTCATGCTCGCTCAGTTCCCTTTGGGGCTGTTGTTGTTGTTGTTGCTGTTGGAACTGCTGGAACTGCTGCTGCTGCTGCTGCTGGTTTTGGAACTGCGGCTGTTGCATGTTGCTGAAAGGGGAGAGGGAGGAGGAGGATTGCTGTTGGGGCTGGAAGGTGGATAGAGTCTTTTGCTCAGGAAGCATGCTGAGAGTCGGAGTGGAGTGGGCTTTGTATCCTGTTGAGGGCCGTTGGGCGAAGGGATTGTTCGAACCGGTCGGCGTTGGCTTGAGCGATTGCAGGCCGTTATTGCTGCCGCCGGCCCATGGATTGTTGCTACCCGGTTGCAAAGCAGGCTCTTGAACCTGAGGCTGAAGGAATTGCTGTTGCTGGGGTTGGGTCTGAAGCGCAGTTTGCTGTTGCTGCAAGTATGGATTGTATCCGGTCGGTTGGGGCTGGAAGGGCTGAGGCGTCAGCTGCTGCTGACCATACGGGTCAAAGGCTGTCTGCTGCTGTCCAAATCCGTTGGTGTAACCATTCGGGTACCCGGTCGCCTGCGGCTGGAACCCAGTGTATGCGCTGTTCATGTAACCCGTGGGCTGGACCTGCATCTGGTTCTGGTCGATCGGGTTTGCGAAGAAGTCGACCGCGCTTCCTTGCTGATAGCCCTGGTTGAACCCAGTGAACTGCGGTTGACTTGTCTGCGCTGGTTCGTCATCGAACAGAGACGCAACGTTAGTCTCCTCCAGCTCCCGCCGGCGCCGCTCTTCCTCCTCTTTGCTGAGCTTGATGGCCTTGGCGAGATCGTCATCTTCATCTACAGCTGCCCGGCTCTCGCGCTTTTTCCTGTCTTCCTCCTCTTGGGCCTTGCTGGCTTCAATCGCCAATCTGTACTCCGCATCTTCTTCATCGCTGTACTGTCGGCGGGGCTGCCGCTGAGGCCGCGGCGATTGACTTTGGCTTTGCTGAGGGCCGTATTCTTCCAAACCGTTGACACGCGCCTTCCATGTCCTCCTATCGCTTCGCTCGGCTCTTAGCCGTTCCTCGTCGAGGATCAAGGAGGTTAGCTCTTTGGCCGCAACGCGAACTGCGCATATGTTAGCTCCTGCCCATGCGGTCTGCCCTTCGGCAACGGAAACCCCCACCATTTTGACCAACGTCCCTGCCGTCTTCGTCAATGTACTGGAATTCGCGCAGCGTCTTGATGATGAAGATATTCTGCTTGGCCCAGGTCACGACCAACTCCGACCCCTCGTGCAAGCAGTAGTCCATCACCTTCAGCGCCTTCAACACGTGCCGCCAGTTCTTGCCTTTGTCATTGAGCCGCTTGTCGAGCATATCCATAATTTCGTAGAACTCAGTCGACCTGAGCACGGAGAACGTCAGCGCTTACCGAGGCCGGCGATGGTATGGTCATCCCGCAGGATCACCGTCTAGTGTGCAACTTACGAGTTGAACGTCATTTGAGCGATCTCGCTCATTTGCGTCCCTGTCGGGCCCCATGGGTCATTGCTGGTCGCTGCAATCCAGTGCCGTCAGTAAAGCGATACCGGGCGGCGCGGCGCATCCCATCATCGAGTCGACGCACCTTCGCGCACTTTAATCTGGACACTAGAGTAGCCCTTTGTGACATTCTTGACGCTCCGAATGACTTTCGACATCTTGGCGTCTGGTGGAGAGTCGGTGTATTAGAGAGGCCTCGCCAATGCGATACGTTGCGCGGTGTTTGCGGCGTCAAAAGGAGGGGAGAGCAACTAATGTCGCAGAAGCAAATATGGAGGGTTGCGTGTCGAAGGTCGGCCGGGCCGGCGGTGCTACTGGAGCTTGGCAACCTCTTGAAAGACCGCGCGCCACTTGACCTTGAATTCAAGGGGTGAGTAATAGCTCCTGTCAGAGACGGTGTCCGGGAAACGGTGACGCTGAAGAGAAAGTCTGAATGGCCGGCGCGTAAAAGCGACTTCGTCAAGAGGGTCTTTCCCCTGAAAGTGATCCGGGAGCGTTGCCGATGCGGAAGGGGTTGGAGCCGTGCGCGGTGAAGAGGGGACGGAAGCGTGGTGAGACCGTGAGAGTACGGAGTACAGTAGGTAATTTGGGTGGATCGACAGTGCACGAATTACTAGTACTCCGTACACTCGGCAAACCCAGGGACGCGGTTCCGTAAGGAAAACGGAAGTCGATTATAATGCCCGTAGGAATGTGAAGAGCTGAATTGACAGGCACAGTTGAACCGCTGAGCCGTATGGAGGAGGGGGATCTCAAATCATTCAATTCTAAGTCCGGACAGGGTATTATACATTATCATTGGTATCTCAACGTGGTAATGTTCACAAAACCGGCCGCGTTGAAGCTGACGACAGTCGCCAAGCCTTCCAGAAAAAAACGGTCACCCACAAGGCAGCTAAACTCGTTTGGGTAGCACCTTGGGACCTGCATACCTGTCACCAGCATCATGACGTAAATGTGCCAGGCTGGAGATTCTGCATCCTGTAAGTAACTAGTTCTCTAATTCATTCTTGTCATGGAAGGATGATGAGAGCTAGGTGGATATTATTTGGCATTGCGATACAGCAACACCGAGGCAAGAATATTAGATAGCACTGGCGCATCTATACTTAACCTCCTCCCTTAATATAGAGCCCTACCAACAAACGACCGCCAGCTCCAGAGTGCTCCGCGGAACGCCTTCTAACCGTGCCAAAGATGCACCCGATGGGTGTAGTTGTACCAGCCTAACCCGACACGAAAGCATAAAAAATATAACCCAACATACACCATAAAGATAGAAATACAGCAACCTCAAAAGCAATAGATGATCAACGCCATGGTATCTGTTCCCCATCCTGCCCCCTCCTGCCCACTCACGCCTCATCATCAGACGTCCTGCATCTCCACGTCCGCATTTTCCTTCCCCTTCTGCGCGTTACTGTCCTCCTTCACAGTAGGCGACTGCACCTGCACCGTGTCCTTCACGTCGACACCTTCTTTCTTCCCATCCTTCCTTGCCGCCGCTGCTGCCGCCGCGAGCCGAGCGCGCTCCGCGATCCAAGCCGGAGGGAGACCAGGCCCACTGTCCGCATTCCCATAGTCGCTCTTCTTAGTGCCCTTTGGCCAGCGACCTGGCCCACGGCCTGTTCCGCCGGGCTTCCGTTTGCTCGTGCTCGTACTGGTCCGTGCCCTCGAAGTGGCGGAACGACGGCGGGAACCAACTGAACGCCTGGGTCTTGGCCGTGGAGTGCCGCTGGTGGCCCGGACGACTGGTGGTCGCGGAATGATGGCCCGGGAGCGGTCGCCGCCTCTACGGCCATTGATGGGCGGTACCACCTCAAATCTCGTGGGCGGAATGTCTTTGTATTGTTGTGTCCAATCCCCGGTGGTGAGTTTGACAGGCTCCGAGTCTTGCTGGGGTTTCTCCTCCGAAGCGTCGCCATTGGCGAGGAAGCCATTCGGCTCGACATTAGGGTTCACGATGCTGCCCATCTCCGCAGGCTCAGTCGACTCCAGGACCGCAGGTTCGGGCGTGGCCTTTGCCTCCTCGGCAGGTGTGGCTGGTTGGCTCGAAGGACCTGTTCCGTTAATTGGGGGTTCTTCTGCCTTGACAACCGGCTTGGGCTCATCCTCCTCTTCTCGCGGGGCAATCGCGTTCAGCGCCGGTCCCAACTCGAAGTTCGTCGCGTTGCTTCTGCCCATAACATATGGCGTCCACGTCAAAGCCTTCGGGTTGAGCTGCACGTACTTCTTAGCCTCCCATTTCGCAACGTACTCCCGGCAGTACTGAAAGTCGACGCGGAAGGCGTAGAGTTGCGTTTGTGGATCGCGGACTAAGCATCTCAGCCCTTCCAACGCCGAGATCACGTCGTCGGGTGTCAATCCGGTGTCCTCCGAGATCTTCTTGATGCTGAGGCCTGCTTTGCCCGAGTTTTCCTCAGAGAAATGCTCCAAAAGGTACCGGCACATCACCAGTCGCCAATAATTTCGATAAGAAACAAGCCCCATGTCTGAGAGAGGCTTCTCCGGAGACCCCGTCTTCTTCTCGACTCTGGTGAGCAGGTAGGAAAAGTCGATCAGGAGGTTACCATATCCTTTCCGCTGATGAATGGGTAATGTCAAGATACATGACACGTTGTTCTGACTGCTCGCCCGCTTCTCCTTTGAGAAGTACCCGACGAAGTGATAGCCCATGTCGTCGTACTCGCAGAGTACATAGAAAAGGAACGGCTCCACGTCGTAATACAACGTCTTCGATCCCAGAAAGAGCTTCGCTAGAAGGCATAGATTCTGGCAATAAACCGGGTTTTTGCGGCCGTCGACCTCGAAAACGGACACCGAGCCGTGCCTGTAAATCTCATCTCCCGGTGGGTGTTTCGCCGGACATTTCAGTTTGTGACGCCAAGCCACATAGTCCGAGTTCATGTACTTGAGACAGAACTCGCAGATGTAGAGGACACGGTTTCTGCTGTACTCCTCAGGGTAAGGGGCCGCATACCAGGTATCGATTTCCCAGCCGCCAAATTCGATGCATTCGATCTGGCTCGCAGGACCAGATGCCTTCTTGGGCTTTTTCGCCGGAACTTCGACTTCGGCTTGCATCCTAAGCAGTCGTTGCCTCCACTCCTCTTCCGCCTTTTGCTTCGCCTCGTCAAAGCGCCGACGATCCTCGGTTGTCGGCATGGTCTTGGAGGTATCCGCCTCCGCTTCCGTCAGGATCCCGCCGTACGGCTTACCCTTCAACTCGTCTGTTTCTTTGTCATAAAAGGAGTAAAACGGTTGCGAGTAGGCGCTCGGGGTAAACGGTGTCGCAATAGCCGGTGGTGGTAGCGGAGCCACACGGTTCGACCCGCTTCTTGAGGTTCGCCTGCGTGACCGGTCCAAACGCTTCTTCCGCCCTCTTGGCTTTCGAGAGACAATCTGGCGGAGCTCGGACGGGTTTACTTTAAACCTAACCACAATGCTGTTGCGCGTGCTCTTCACGATGGATGCAGGCCCGCTTGGTATTTTAAGCCGTAGAGATCTCGAAGCAGGCCTGGACGAGTCATCCTGTCCGGTTGTTGCATCGTCGATGGCTTGCTCGTCGAGGGTGTTCCTACGCCGCTTGCGGAGAGCCATGACGTGCTCGTCTGACACAACTGAGGATGTTGTGCGCTTTCTAAGCACGCGCGATCCATCCATGGGGTCTTCGTCAAGAACCAGCTGGTTGAAGACAGAGTGGGAGTCAGGCCTGACGGTGCCTCGCTGCGAGGGAAGTAGATCCCGCGCAAGCTTGGGAGCAGATGCACGCCTGGAAGCTGGTGAGGCATTTGCATCGGCGATCCCATTCAGGTCCAAACTATTGTCGGCCGTTCCCCCAGCGATATCTGAATCTGAGTCCTCTGCGCACTTGGGGCATCTCCAGTTTTCCGGAGCTAATCAGGTCAGCCACAGCTCCGCAAAACTTCAGACCCCATGGAAGCTTACCGTCTTCGCTAGACATGGCTTCATTCTCCCTTGCGCACTGTTGATGAGCTGCGTTGTGTTAGCCCTCTGTAAGGCAGGAAGGGGGGGGGGCTTCGGGGCAAACTGACCATTGTCGCCACACTTGGTGCAAGCCAGGAATACCTCAAACTCCTCGCCCGGGTCGTGCTCCTCGTCCTGCTTACAGAAAACGCAATGAGCCGCCGCAGTTTCGACTTCATCCTCCTCGTCCGCGTCATCGATATTGCCAGCCTCCCATTCCGCCGCGCTTTCGGACTCCGCATCGCTGACCATGGCCGAACTGGCAGAGTCCTCGCTGCTATCATCTTCAGCATCTGTTTCCCCGGGCCTTATCTTTACAGCACCGACGCCTTCATCTTCGTCGTCGTCGTCATCGTCAACCCCGCGGCCATTGGCTGCGCTCACCGATCTACGCTGCGGTCGATGGTACCGCGGCGCTTGATCCTCGTCCTCTTCTCCCTCAGCGTCCTCCTCGAAGCTGTCGTCATCGTCTTCTGCTTCAGAGCCGCCGCTGCCGCTATGATCGCCCTGTTCCTCCTCATCGTATTCGTCCCTCTGATCCCCATCATGCATTTCCTGGTCCCCATCACCGTCCACAAATTCCGCACCAACATCTATGGCACTTTGGGATCCGAGCTCGGCGGCGTCGCCCATTTCCACATCCCCGTGGATGTTCTCGTGGGCGAGAACCGCTTCCTGCTCCGACTGCATGACGCTTTGCTGCAGCTCCTCCTCCATGAGCTGAGCCTCCGCCATCTTTGTACTTTTGTTACCCAGCTCGCCCGCAGCGTCTAGGAGATTGCTAGTATTGTGAAGGTCGCCGGCGATTGTCGAGTGCGGCGGGAGGTAGCGCCGCGCATATCAAGAGGATGGTGACAGACGGATATACCGGGACTCATGTGGCGCGCATAACGTTCAGGTCATCAGTGTACGCGCAAGCTCTGGAGAAGCAGTGTTTCGCGCGGAAAGGTGCTCGACGGGATGCGCAAGAGGTCGGAAGTTGATGGTTGTCGCAACCACCGAGTGGGGCGGAACGCGCCAAATGAGGATCACAGACGAAGGATATCCACGAAAACAATGGGCAACGTTGTGATGGAATGCCAGTGACACGTAAAGCCAGGGAAAGTTTGTTGTAAAACGCTACCGTCCAGGGTCGAAGGATGTGAATTGGTTTAGGGAGACGAGTGTTGCGTCGCGGGTGCAGGTGTTCTGGGCCGCGGTCTGCAAAGCTACGGGTGCGCCGCTCAGCTGGGACCCACAAATGGCTTGTTAGAGGACCGAGCGCCTCAGGCATCAATTCCCGTCCACGACTCCACCCAGTGATTCGCCAATTGGGGCGCATCCGTGGGAAGCCAGGAACTTGAACCTCGAGTTTCCAAGCTTCGCAAGGTATTTTGCTCAGAAACCAACTGGTACCGTCGTCAGGGCTTCGTGTACGAATCGGTTTTTATATCCGCCTGCTGTCTTGAACACTGACGCTATGTAATAGGCCGACAATATACCGCCACGATGCCGGTTCCCTTCGAAACGCTGATTCCGTATGGCATCATCATTGCCGTACGCTTACCCCGAGCTGCTGCGCGAACGGATCCTGGCGACTGACGGGACCACAGATGTTTGGCGTGACGGGCGCCGGAATGAGCAAGATCAAGAACATGCAGAGCGGCGGCAAAAGGCACAGGTGGTCGATTGATCAGTGGGACAAAGTGGGTTGAATCGTCTTGGGTTCGGAAACCGCTCGGGCTATGGCTAACTCTTGGGCAGCAAAGTACATTCGCCCGTCTTGGTTCGGTGCGGAAACAGCCATGTGACTTGCTAACAGTTCTCTTTCGCAGTGATGGACCGCGACAGGAGACTCACCGGATACTTGCGGGGGCAAACAGACAACCCGATAGCGCCGCCCGGGTTCGAGCTCAACAGCCCCTGGAGAGTATGTTGCCCAACATATTCAAGTAAAACACAAAACTTACATCCTTTGTCCCCTAGGTCGAGAGACGAATGTCATAAACTTCGATAACATAGACAAGAGTACATGCCAGGGAGGCAACGTATACCAGGAGACAAGGGGTGCATCACCGTGGATCTTCTGTTGTTCCCAGGCGCATTCGCAATGTACAGAATGCTAGATTTGTATCTTGGCTCGATTCTTGTTCAGACCCTCCAGAAGCATGCAAGCCTGGCAGATTTCCTGACTTGACATGTAACCGCAGCGCTTGCAGTTCCCAAGTATCTGCCGAGTCACTCCATGAGGAGCACCGTTCTCACTCCGTAAGCCAAGTTTCACCTGTTGCCCATGCCCCCTCTGCTTGCTCTCGGCCATTGTCTTCGCAACATCGGTTTCGAGCCCTTCGTGTGCCTCGTTGTCCCTCAGTTGCTTGTCCATAACAGCCATCTCATTCCCAGCCGTGCGCCCGTTCTGCGAGCCGCACCCACCAATGTCGTCCTCAGCAGACGCGAAAGCACCGGTGTTCTGGCCTCTGCATGCGCACGAAGAGGAAGACTCTCCGGGGACCAGTCTGGCCATGTCCTCCCCACTCCGAACAATGTCCAGTATGGCGGTCGGACGAACTCTCTCCAGCTGCTTAATGAGCCCTCTCGCGCTACCACGGAATGCTTCGGGACTGTAAATGCACTCCGTGCTGAAGTAGTCGAGCTTCTTGTGATGTGCATACAGGACGATTTCTTTCTCATACGAGTACTTAAGGGGCTTGCTCCTCTTCACCTCGGACCGGCTGTCTCCAGTCACGATACTGGTGCTCCGCGAGAGACGCGCCAGATCACCTCGCAGGAGATTCATGAGGACCGTTTCGGCGACGTCGTCGGCGTTGTGGCCCGTCACGACGTGCTTGATGCCCAGCATCTTTGCGCCACGGTCCAGTGCCTGCCGCCGGAAGACGCCACAGTATGTGCAGTTTCCCTTCTTGCCGATCGTTTCCACGACCTGGTCCATCGTCCAGCCGTACAGTTCGTCATACCCGACCACCTTGAGAGGCATATCATACTGCACCGCGTTCCTCTTGACTGTCTCTAGCGAGTCGTCACGATACCCCTTGATTCCTTCGTCTATGCTCAAAAGGACTAGCTCGAGTCCATATCCGTGCCGCTCATTCAGCGTTTTGAGAACTGAGGCGAGAACGGTCGAGTCTTTTCCGCCGGATGCTCCTATGGCCACTTTCTCTCCGGGATAAAATAACTGCGATGATGTAATGGTATGATGCACTTCATCCTCGAAAACTGTGATGAAGCACGCCTTGCAGAGCTTTGCATGGTTCTTGGGCCTTTTGATGACCGCCCGCTCAGTCATGCAGTTGGCGCACAATGCGGGTGCCATGCTGGTAAGTGATCAAGCGTAGAGTGCTGGAATGAGATGCAGTCGTGATATGCGTTCAACACATGGTTTGTTCGCCGGTTGTTACACCCAGAACTATGGGCAAGTCTCACATGCATCTACGCTGGTTTGAACTTGTGAATGATTCATCAAGCCAGAGCGCTGATACTACATGCCTCTATTTGGAAGATAAGATAGCAGCAGCGAGCAGGGGTCCGTTTTGCCGAAGATTCCCCGCCTTACCCTACTGCTGGCCCGAGCGTTAGCAAATCCACACCTTTTTCTTGTGCGGGCAGCTCTGCCAAATTTCCATCTTCAGAATTCTTCTCTGGTCAACAAGCTCCGGTCCTGAGCAATCGCCCAACGACAAAATGGTAAGCACCTGATCGCGATAATACAATTTGCAAGGCATCTCACGATGCATACTTGCAACTTGCTCTCGAGGATCTTTCGAGATCCTGTCGAGTCGCATGATTCCGCTTGCTGGTTGCAAAACCGCGGGTGAAGAATGGCTTGAGCTGGCTCGTGGTGCGCGGTGACGCTGCCCGACCGCTCTCTAGAGTTCAGAAGACCACAGTCAATGGAAAACATTTACTGATGTCTTCTCCTCAATGATAGCCTCCGAAGTCTGGTAAGAAGGCCGCCCCGGCCCCCTTCCCTCAGGGAAAGGCTGGCTCCAAGAAGGCCCCCAAGGTAAGTATCTGCCCAACAATGCAACCTTGCTTTCCAGGATCGTGCGCTGACATGCGTGTAGAACCCGCTCATCGAGAAGCGGCCCCGCAACTTCGGCATCGGCCAGGACATCCAGCCCAGGCGTAACCTGTCGCGCATGGTGAAGTGGCCGGAGTATGTTCGCCTCCAGCGCCAGAAGAAGATTCTCAACATGCGCCTGAAGGTGCCGCCTGCGATCGCCCAGTTCCAGCACGTCCTCGACAAGAACACCGCTGCCCAGGCCTTCAAGCTCCTCAACAAGTACCGCCCTGAGACCAAGACGGAGAAGAAGGAGCGTCTCCTCAAGGAGGCCACCGCCATCAAGGAGGGCAAGAAGAAGGAGGACGTTAGCAAGAAGCCTTACGTCGTCAAGTACGGTCTCAACCACGTTGTCGGCCTGATCGAGAACAAGAAGGCATCCCTCGTCCTCATTCCCAACGATGTTGACCCCATTGAGCTGGTCATCTTCCTGCCTGCTCTCTGCCGCAAGATGGGCGTTCCCTACGCCATCATCAAGGGCAAGGCCAGACTCGGCACTGTCGTCCACAAGAAGGTAGGGACTTTGTGTCCAGCCCACATGTCTGATCCAGCGCTTTCTGACTCAAATCTCACAGACCGCTGCCGTTCTCGCCCTTACCGAGGTCCGCTCCGAGGACAAGAATGAGCTGTCGAAGCTCATCTCGGCGATCAAGGAGGGCTACCTTGAGAAGAACGAGCAGACCCGCAAACAATGGGGTGGTGGTATCATGGGCGCCAAGGCCCAGAAGCGCATTGAGAAGCGCAAGAAGGCCCTCGAGACGGCTATCAAGGTTTAAGGAAGCATTGCAACGGTCGGACGGGCGTGGCTTGCACTTAGGAATGGCGTACGGGAATACCAAAAACCAGATCAGGGTGAAATAAATTGCTCGCCCCCGCCACATGCGGGCGTTGATACCTGGTTGTTTTCTTTTTTCAGGTTGGGACAAACGAATGAATGCCATGGATACCCCAAAGGATGCGAGCTCAAAGTCCCATGGATGTGTTGCAATCACCTCGCTTGTGGACCTGCCCCTTGATGCTGCCCAGGGGTACGTGGTATGTCGCACAGACACAGACAGTCCGGTCCAAGTGGACCGCTCAAAGCAGTTTTAACTCACCGCTAGTGTATCTCCCTGGAACCCTGTCCCCCCCGATGCGGGGAAAGACTCGAATTGGTGAGATGGCTCAAAGGTGTTCGGATGTCTCATTAGGCAGGGAGCTGAAGGTCATAAACCTCAAAACTATGGTTTTTGCAGACGCTTCTGCAACACGGGTGAAGGATAACTAAGACTTGGCATGAATTGAGCCGGGAAAGGGGAAGATTAAAGCCAAAAGCGCCAAGACATCACCGCCAACCATCTAAGATCCTGGGTAAGGAGAGATCTCATCTCAATATCAATCTGGATCGCGAAACAGGATTCGCGCCCTAGCCTTGCCCAGCCGTCATTAACGATTCCAATCTTCTTCTGATATCAGCTGACCTAGTATTCCCAGTCCTTGACTGCCTATCTGCATATCCAGCCATTCCCATGTCTGTGCAGGAGACATGGCAGGTCAAGGAAGAAGGGGGAAAGAAAAGGTTTCACCCCACGCTGTCAGATATCGGACCGGGGGTGGGGAAGGCCATCCAGCCATCGTTCCTGAGAGATCCGCGGTCCCCGGAGACCGAGTCAGCCCCAGACCGTCGGAACAGATCTCCGACGGAAAGTGCATCTGGCTGGCTACCTTACGTTAAGGCAGGGTAGTAAGATAAGGTGGCAGACTCAAGTATTAGAACGGAAGGACCGCCGTTCTAGCCATGGGACCTAACTTGGCTTCTCACTCCCACTCACCGAACTCGATATCAACCCATACACGGTAGCATCGCTGTTCTCGCCGACCCCCACGCACTCACCTTCCATTGGGTCCTCAACAAACTCGCCCTGCGGTCTTGATTAGGTACATACTATCTAGTGCTTGGCTCTGCACCCCGCGACCTTCCTCTTCGCTTGTCACCGTAAGGCCGTTGATTCGGTCCATTCCGGCGGGCCCCCTAACCCATCCGAGAAAGGGTGGTTCGAAGGTCAGGGACTTGTTGCGCCACCCAGATACATATCTGCAGGTGTTCGGTATACCACCTCGCCGCAGGAAGCCGGAGGGGGGAAATTCGCGCTTATTACTGAAGTTCTATATCTCCGAGCTGGATCTCGGATATCCCCATCCTAGGGTTTTTGTTCGTTCTCTTTCGTTCTGTTGAACTGCTGGACTGGATTGTGTTGGTGATATCGCGACGAAATAATGGCCCACTACGGTACGTGAGGGACTGCCCCGTTTTTGAGTGCACACATGTAGACCGCCTTGCTGACCACAAGGCACGGGGAAAACAGAGGACAGCTTCCTCTATGCCTTGAGCTCCAACAACGCCTGGGCAAGCTACAAGGCCCATCAGAACCCCAACTTCTTTTCGAAGCTCGCCAGCGGGCAAACACCACAGATTCGTGAGTGATGCCTTTCCCCTGTCCACCCCTTCCTTACTTTGGGAAGAGCGCAGGCACCTACCCTCCCATATCCTCCATTTACTAACAAGCACGGCCCCCCGGCCCGTTCGTCCAGTCTGGCTCGGCTGCTCCGACTCGCGCTGCCCAGAGACCACGATCCTGGGCCTCCAGCCGGGCGACGTCTTCGTGCACCGCAACATCGCCAACATCGTGTCGCCGACCGACATCAACACGGCGGCCGTGATCGAGTACGCGGTCGCGCACCTCGGGGTCAAGCACGTCGTGCTGTGCGGCCACACGTGCTGCGGCGGCGCCATGGCTGCGCTCGGCGACGGCCGCGTCGGCGGCGTGCTGGACACCTGGCTCGCCCCGCTCAAAGCCGTCCGCCAGCAGCATGCCGACGAGCTGGGCGCCATCAAGGACAACCACGCCCGGGCGGTCCGCATGGCCGAGTTGAATGTCGAGGCTGGCGTGAAGGTGCTGATGGCTAATGTCGTCATTCAGGAGGCCATCAGGGAAAGGGGCCTGGAGGTGCACGGGTGCTTGTTTGATATTGCGTGCGGGAAGATGAAGGATCTTGGGTTTGGCACCTCGTCAAAGGGGGCGGCCGGTGTGAGCGGTGGGGGAGGAGGGGAGGAGGAGGTGGTGGTGCGCGGGAAGCATGCGCAGTTGGTGTTTAGGGACGGGAATGCATCGATGGCGGTGCGGTGAGCGCGTGTTGAAAGGGTGGGTACGTTGCTTTTGGGGTGGACAATGTTTGGGCGTGCTGGGTGTCCTTCGCTTTTTTTTGGGTCGGTTGCAGCGTAGCGAGGTCGTCTGTGTTACTAGGAGTATTGGGCTCTTGCTGTGGCATTGTTGCCTCATAAGGTATCAAGGTTATGTCTGTCGCAGTGTAATAAGCAACATTTGTAAACGTTATAGCTTCGCGTCCATTGCACATCGACCATTACGTTTAAAGGATTCTCGACGCAGGGAACATTCGAACCATGCTATTGTCGGAAAGAAGTAAGTCCGTGCACCCACCAATGGATCAGGCCACCAATGGATCAATTTTCCCCATCTGCCCCCCCTTTTCTGTGTCTACAGGAGTGTCAAAGATCGACCATTCCAGGCACATATCTTCAAATACATATCCATCCACCTCTTCTGAGGGTTCCAGCTGCCTTGCAAGTGTCTTTTTGACCTGCATTATCTGTTCAATTTGCGCAAATCGGGTGTTGGGGTCCATCCTAACTTTCTTCCTTTTCCTAGGCATCAATCTATCTACCTCGGCTTCTAATGCTTGAATCCTCTGTTGCTGACTAGCAAGCTGAATAGCTGTTTGATCAAGGCTTTTGCCAACCTTTGTAAAGAGTGTTCTGGCTACTGGGTCTGTTGCCTTAAGCCTCTTTAGACGGTAGTTAGATGCCACTAGTTTATGGACCTCCTGACTACGGCTTGGAGTCTTGACCGCCCGGCTGTTCGGCTTGCTGTTCGGCTGGCTGTTTGGCTGGCTGTTTGGCTGTTTGTCTAGCTGGTTAGCCTCCTGGTTGCTTGGCTGGGCTGGCAACAGTAGACGGCTCATCAAAGGCTTGCTCAAGTTGACAGGCCATAACCCTGATGACTTCCAGCCACTACGGACATTCCTTTCTGTAATAGCATCTGCCCTGGCCTTCGAATAACAACGAAGAAAGAGTCTCTTGCCAACGGGGGCACTGTCAGTCATCAGAGCCAAGTCGCTGATGCCACGGCGGTACGCAGCCTTCAGGGGAGAGAAGACAGAGAGGTCGAGAGGCTGGAGGAGGTGGGAGGCGTGTGGTGGTAAGAAAAGGAGGTGGATATTGTTGGAATAACATGTCCACATGAAGTCGTCGGTCTCGTGGCTCCCGTGGCCATCAACAACAAGGAGCTTTGTCTTTGTTGTTGGTGTTGATGGGCAGAAGATCTTCGTTAACCACTCGAGGGCAATATCGTTAGACGTCCAGCCGTTTTGGCTCGTCGAGAACCGCCAGTTGCGTAACGGATCAAGGTCTTCGTCGTCGTCTGGGAACTATTGATGTTGGATGTCTTTCCCTTTGAAGATAACTAACGGGGGAAGAGCTGCCCCTGCTGCTGAGATACACTCAACGATCGTTGTCTATACTCGAGATTCAGGGTGTTTCGACAGTGCTTCCTTCGTCGCCGATGAACTAACGCATAAGCCGTTGATCCCTATGCCCTCTATTATCCCTGTTTCGTCCATGTTCCAACAGTCTTGCGGGAGGATGGTCTTAATGACCGGGATCGCGAGGAGTCGGAACCAAGCCCTGATAACATCAATAGAAGCTCCAGTCAACCGCTTGATATCCATACGCCTATCTTTCTTTGTCTTCAAGACCGGGTATCTCTTGATGAACTTCTGGAGCCAGTGCTTCCCGACAGTCTGGTCAGATCCAGAGGCACGAAGGATACGGTTGGCGAAGACCTGGATTTGTCGATGTTTTACTGGGAGCCCCAGCGCTTCCTGAGCTAACACCCAGTCGGCCAAGTGTTTTTCTTGATCAGGGCTAAGCTTCTGCATCACCTGGGCCTCGTACTGGCCCTTTGGTTGGGTGTTGAGGACGAGCCGGTTGCGGAGGGTAGAAAAGGGGACCCCCCACATCTGGCTAGCCTTACGGATAGATTGGCCAGCCCGGACGGCCTGTATCGCCAGTTGAATGATGTCTTCGGAAACCATGGTGACTGACGAACTGAACGAGGGTAACAGTGCTCAATTTGAGCTTGTTTTGGTAGAACTGTGGTGGTTGGGAACAGATGGGTGCCGAATCAGGGGGTGGTAAAAAATTGATCCATTGGTGGCCTGATCCATTGGTGGGTGCACGGACTTACCTAGCAACTCGGTCCACAATACCTTATTCACACATAATCGCTCGCCGTCTCAAGCATTCCGACTTCGGATGCTGCTTCATGTCGAATTATGTCGGACTCGACATGTCAGCAAAAGAACGGGACGGTTAGGTTCGGCACGACGGCTCCATCCCCATAGCGGAGAAGCGGGGGATGGCTCCGGTCGGAGCCGGGGGTCTGGTATCCAATCCTCCGGGCTCCGAACCCGGCTTCTTCAGATTCGGCGACGGGCATATAGAGTTGTAAAGGGAGAGCTCAGTTCCTCAGGTCCATCTAGCGCCATCGAAGCAGAATAGAAGCAACACCTTCACACTACCACTCACAGACCCTCAAAATGACCCTCACAGTTCTCACTGACGACCAGATCCGGTCCCTCCTGGAGAACCTGACCGCCGACGAGCTAGAAGGTTTCCGCAAAGCACTCGCCTCCGCCCTATACGAATTCTCGACGGGTGGCACGGTGGACCAGCCGGAGCGGATTTCAGTGCACAGCAAGGCAACTGGCGCCACCACGCTGTTCATGCCGTCCTCTAATGCTGCCGGCAACGGGATCAAGGGTATGTATTGTACAATATATATCTCTCATTTCCTTCGCACCCTTTTTTCTTTCTTTTTTTTTTTTTTTTTTTTTTTTTTTTTTTTTTTTTTTTTTTTTTTTTTTTTTTTTTTTTTTTTTTTTTTTTTTTTTTTTTTTTTTGCTGTGGGTTTCCATCATCTCACTGTCCCCATAGTCATAACCCTCTCCTCGGCATCCAACCAATCCCCCACCACCACGGCCACCACCACGACGACGGCGGCAGCAGACACAAAACCCGTAATCCGCCCGACAGGCGCAGTCACCCTCTTCGACGCGCAGGGCGCGCCCCTGGGCCTGCTGCACGCCAGCACGCTGACGGCCTTCCGCACGGCGCTGTCGTCGCTGTGCCTGGTGCGGCAGCGTGCGGGCCCCCTCGAGACGCTCGCCGTCTTCGGCTGCGGCGAGCAGGCGTACTGGCATGTGCGACTTACTTTACTCGCGTGCGGGACGGCCGTGCGGAAGGTAGTCTTCGTCAACCGCAGGGCCAGCGGGGCGTCGAGGGAGGTCCTGCGGCGGTTTGGGAGCGAAGAGAGGGGGGTTCGGGCGGAGGTCAAGGAGCGCGAGGGGTGGAAGGGGTGTGTTTTTGAGGTGTTAACTAGAGAGGAAGAAGGGTATGAACGGAAGGTGGGGGAGGTGCTGAGGGAGGCGGATGTGGTGTTTTGCTGTACGCCGTCGACCGAGCCGTTGTTTGATGGGCGAGTATGGGCCTCGGAAGAGGCGCGGCGGAAGGGGAGGTTGATCGTTGCTATTGGGAGCTATACGCCAGAGATGAGGGAGGTGCCCGGTGAGTTGATCAGGGAGTCTCAGCGGCGAGGGGACAAGGAGGCCGGTGTGCTGGTAGTCGATACGATTGAGGGTGCAACCAAGGAGGCTGGTGAGCTACACGAGGCCCGGGGATTGCACGGGGAGCTTGTTGAGTAAGTCCTGGCTTCTCCACTTACCTGTGTGTCTGCTACTAGTGCCTTCCTTCATTCCCAGATAAAAGCTGATTGCTGACGTCCTGCAGACTTGGAGAGTTGCTCGTACCGGACGGGACTACACCCTGGCTCGACGGCAAGGGGAGCGGAAAAGGGCATCTGACACCATGGCTACAAACGGGAAATGTCATATACAAATGTGTTGGATTTGGCATAATGGATTTGTCCGTTGGCACACATCTCGTCAAGTACGCAAAGGAGAAGGGAGTCGGAACCCAGGTTCAGGGTTTTAGCGACGACGGCCTTGGGCAAGTGTATTGAACAACTGCAGGGCAGAAATATGGTAGACCTTGAATCCATGGGCTTCTTTTCAACCGCCGTGTTGTTCTTCACAGTATATATGTATGCTGTTTCTCAACCATCCCGGGGCCAGCGCTAGATTTGATGGGATTTTCCTTCAGGGGTCCAAAGCCGATGCTACGGCAACCATTCAGATCACCAACGTGGGTCGACGCCAAAAGTTAGTAAGTTCCATCTCGGACTCTGTGCCAAAGAACTGCAAACACCGTGACAACAACAACCATCGCCATCGACTAGCTGAAGGCGATCATCATTAAGCCCACCAGGCTACAGGAAGGGCAGCCGACTACTCTCACACCCAAGCGCACTGCAAAACATAGGGAGAATCTACCTATCTAATACCAAAGCCATGCCATTCCTCAAGCCAGCCCTACTACTGCACCTCATAATCGAAACGCCCGCGTCTCTCTCCTTCCTCCTGGCGCCCACCGCCCAACTGCCGGGCGCTTCCCCCGAGGCAAGGCTCATCCTGCGCAACTTTGGGGGCCTGCACCTCGCGACCAACCTGCTCTGTCTCGTTTTCCTGCTCCGCAAGCCCACGGCGGCCGGGAACGATGGCGGCGACATGGAGCAGCTCACGGCAATGAGCTGTGTGTGTCTGGCGACCTACCATGTCTGGCCCCTCTACCGCGCCTGGGCGCGCATGACGGGGTATGGGGGAATTAATGTGGGGAGGAAGCAGAAGAAGGTGCTGGGCGGGCCAGCGGTGCATCTCGTGGTTCACGTGGCGTGTTTGGCTGCGCTTTTGGGCGGTGGGTTGGTGACGTTGATGGGTCATTGAACCGATGGGGGGTTAGCAGAAGGTCGGGAATGATGGTATTCTGTGTAAGTATGTATTGTATCCAGCGGCGAGCCGACGGCAAGCTGTACGCTAGCTGCGGAACAGCTTGAGGCCTGCCTCCTCAATCTGTTCTTCCTCGTCGGACACGTCCTCGTCCTCTTTCAGCTCCATCTCCTGTCCAAACAGCGTCCCAAACAGCCTGTCTATCGCGTGTTCCTCCCAAGATCTCCGGTCCTCGGGCGCCATGAAGTTCTGCAGCTTCTCGTGTACCGTGTACCGTAGCTTTCTCCCCTTGCTCGCCCTCCTATCGACGTGTTTCCTGGTCTTGGTCTCCTTCAGCGCTGCCCACCGGACCGTTGTTACCGACTCCCCCGGCGCGCTAGTATCTGTGCTCCGCTGGTCGACGAGCTCCTTGAGGAGAAGCTGATAGAAGTCGGCGTCGTCGTAGATTTCCGGGTCCTCTTCCAGCTTTTTGGCGGCTTGTGCCGGCGCGCAGGAACGCGGTGTCCGCGCCCGCTTGATCAACCTCTCAGAGCTCAGCAGCTGCTCATCCAGGGCTGACACGAGAGACTGCTTTTCCGAGTTGACTAGCTTTCTGGTGGAGAGAGCCACATTGCTCTTCTTCACTCTTTCCGACCACTTGTCCAGAACCTTCCGCCTGTTGGAGAGCGCAGCCTCCTCCACTGCCTGCATGCTCTCCCATATCTCCTGGTTTGATGTGTCCAGCTCAATCTCGCGCTTCCTCTTCTCCCCGACCTTGGCTCTGGTGCTCTCGGGCAAGAAGGTGTTCCGAACACTGTCGATGGTGTTCCAGAGCTTGACGGCTGCCTCCTCCGCGGCGTGGTAGGCTTCGCTGCCGTTGTCTTGGTTGTCGTCGATAACACTGAACGAATTCGCCGCCACCAAGGCCTTTTGCAGGCGGATGCGAAGGTTTAGGATCGAGTCAAATGCGCGCCGCTGCAGGCGAACTGCCATCCCCTTCTCCGCGTCTGCTTTGGCGGCCTGTGTCATTGCGGCCACAATGCTTTTGTGCCCCTCGGTAGCCATCTTGCGCAGCTGCGCACGTTCGTCGTCGCCATCGTCCCATTTTGCACTTTCTCCTTCATCGCTATCCTCGTCATCCTCATCTTCCTCCTCGTCCTCGTCCTCGTCCTCTCCGCTTTCCTCAGAATCATCATGAGCTATCTCAACGTCACTCCCTTCTTCCTCTTCTTCCTCGTCCTCTTCAGCCTCCAGGTCGAAGAGACGTGCACCATCCTCGTCTCCATCGGAGTCGTCCATCTCGTCCTCATCGCCGTCAGACCCCAAGTCATGTCCGGAATCAGCTTCCTCTCCCGATGAAGACATGAAGTCTGCAGCGGTCGGCCGCTTTTTGATCCGCCCATTTGGCACCTTTGGCTTGGAGCTGCCGCGGAAGACAAAGTCCTTAAGATGTTCGTTGTCACTTTCGCAAAGGGCATTGTCGCTGCTGATCTCGCCATCATCGTCGTCAATGTGATCTGCTTCAAGATCTGCGGCATCCGGGTCGTCGAACTCTTCGTCCCCTTCCTCATCTGCTTCGCTGTCTTCATCGTCCTCCTCCTCCTCCTGCTCCTCATCTTCATCCTCGTCTTCGTCTTCCTCCTCACTACTCTCCTCCAGAGCGGATCTGCTGACTCGCGCTCCCCGATATTCGGGGCCTAATGAGATGGCGTCCTTTTGCCGGAGCTTGCTCTTCCTGAAAGGACTACGTCAGATGCTGGTCTCGAACAATGACACTGCGTATGTGAGCATACCCGACTGCAACGTAATGTTCCGTCCCCGCATGATCGTCGCCTGACTCTTCGCTGTCGCTCTCTTCTGCGTTGTCAGGAACCTCGTTCTCGGGGTCGAGATCTGATGGATCGCGTTAGCCGTGCACTCAGAGCTAGCTAGCATTGAGGTTCGCTGTACCCTTCGCGAACTTTTCCTCGAACTCAGCAAAGCGCTGGGAGCGATCCGCTCGTGTTGACGACATAGCTGCTAGGTTGCCGTCTGGATCCCTTGAAGGAGGCGGTTCTTGATGGCATCCCCACGTGGGAAATTTTCGAGGACGGGAACGGCTCAAGGACATTTTGGCGGTGGTACGCGGCAAAACGGAGCTGTGGGGGCATATTACAGGGGTCCTCGTGCACACATTCAGAACCCCTGCACAAGCCCCAGCAACTGGGAGCTCAGCAACTCCAATCCACTTCAAAGAACCTGGAAGCTGCCAAGCTCACCTGTAATAAGTACTATACTCATCATGTACCTACATACTATAGAAGACACATCATAGTACCTAGGTCTACCAGTGCATGATGACAGTAAGATGCCACCGTCCATCATGAGACCCCTGATTCCCCGCCGGCTCTTACATACAACCAAGACCGTCCGCCATGAAAATCCCCTGGTAAGTCGCTCTTGCTATTATAAGTCCCAAGGTATGTACAACAATTTTCTAACATTCCCCTCCCAGGGCCTCCCTGCGAAGGGGACCATCCCGCGCTTCCAGCGCGGCCTGCCACAGAAACGGCCCATCAAAGGCGTCTCGCACATCATCGCTGTGTCCTCGGCGAAAGGCGGCGTCGGCAAGAGCACCATCGCCGCCAACCTCTCACTCGCCTTCGCCCGCCTGGGCCTGCGCGCGGGGATCCTCGACACAGACATCTTCGGCCCGTCCATCCCGACCCTGTTCGACCTGACGTCGACGGGCCCGCCGAACCTGACGGCCCAGAACCAGCTGCTCCCGCTGACCAACTACGGCGTCAAGACCATGTCGCTGGGCTACCTGCAGGAGGACGAGGCGGCGCCGGTGGTGTGGCGCGGGCCGCTGTTGCTCAAGGCGGTGCAGCAGCTGCTGCACGAGGTGGACTGGGCGGCCGCGGGCGGCGTGGACGTGCTGGTGCTGGACCTGCCGCCGGGGACCGGGGACGTGCAGCTGAGCATCGCACAGCAGGTGCCCGTCGACGGCGCGGTCGTGGTGACGACGCCGCACGTGCTGGCTGTCAAGGATGCGATCAAGGGCGTGGGCATGTTTGGCAAGGTGGGTGTGCCCGTGCTGGGGCTGGTGCAGAACATGGGTGTGTTCAAGTGTCCGTGCTGCGGGGGCGAGACGTCTGTGTTTGGGGGCGATGACAAGGTAATGCATATGTGTGAGCAGCATGGGATCGAGTTGCTGGGGAATGTACCGCTGCATCCGAATATTGGGGAGGATGGCAGCAGGGGAAAACCGACAGTTGCGGCGGAACCCGAGTCGGAGCGGGCAGGCGTATTTATGGATGTTGCGAGAAAGCTGGCCGGAAAGGTTGGGTTGGAGGTCAGCTAGAGGCGTCTAGGACTGTGGCACAGGGGGTGCTGTTCGGACTATTCGCTTCTGGAAGCGGATGAGCTATGAGCCTGGAGATCTGTTATACTAGTATTGTACAATACGATTTATGTGAATATGGAAGGAAGGAGTATAGAGAAGACAAAAAAGCTCACCGGTAAACCGCCTTCGCCCGATCGAAGGGATCATGACCGACTACAAAAGCTCCAGCAGGGGGTTTACTCCGGAATCGAGCCAACGCCATCTCAATGTGTAGGCAAGTAAACATTGACGGCAGAGGCTCCTGCCTACTGCTTTCCGCCAATACCGCTTGGGCAAATGGTCCAGCGACTTCTTCAGCACTTGGGGTTCCGGTAGTGGTCGGTCGGGATGTCGAACTTGTATATATACTCCTGCGCAGAGCGCACATGATCGTCCTGGACCACAACCTTTCTTCATCACTCCCACTGGAACGGACGGTTCATATGCCGGTTGTTTGAAGCTGGACACGCAATGCCATTATACAGTACACGACCGCTTTAGACCCGCAATGTTATCTACCCTACGCTTCAATGAGCATTATAAAAGGAAGACGGCGAACATCTAGTAGCATGAGGGAGGACATACGGTATATTGAGTCAGCGCCTCATTACAACACTCTATTCGCCGGCCATCAGAGCGCTTGACCGGGATATAGAGGGTATCTCTTTATGTACCTATCTATACTACAACCAGTCTCTGTCCCCCTGGGCGTCCACAGCCAGCCAGACTGCCGAGAAGTGCCGGAGCGCACAAACTAAGCGAGGTTGGCATCCAAACCACGTTAGCATCCATCTGACAAATAGGAGCAGCTAGGGAGGAAAGATGGTAAACCGGATTCATCCCAGACCCGAACGCCAACCTATGGGGGTCATCCCCTTGCGAGAAAACCGAACGCCGACTGCCTTCGCTCCGGTTGCGATGGCGCTATCCTTGGCCGCTCCAAGCCGCGACGTCGTTTCTGAGAACACAAAAAGACCAGGTCAGTCTAGTCCAAATCTTCATTGGGCTGGTAGATATTGCGAGTTCTCGTGGGATCTTTGCGCATGGGTTGGCCAGAGCCTGTGAAGCCAACTATATGGGAAACCGTTAGCATATGGGTCACTGCTGGAAGCGAGGTCAATAATACTCACCCCGACCACGAGGACCCTCGGGGGTCCTAAACATGCTCTCCTTCTTGGCAGCCTTGCCAAACTTTCCCTTAGTGGTGAATTCCTGCCACTTGCTCTTGCCCTTTTCCAGCTCCTTGGTCGCCTTGATCTTCTTGAATTTAGGCCGCGGCTTGTCGTCATTGTTCTCCCCGGCCACCTTGTTCGCCGCCTGAGCCTGCGGATACATATCAGCGGCCGCGGACAGAACGATACCATTGTTCGATGACGTAGGGGTATGTGAAGATGGAGTGGCCGTGGTTGCCGAGGCAGCTGTGCCGCCGGTGCCGGTGCTCGAGACGGGAGTGCCGTCAGCCTTGCGCTTCTGTGCCATTGGCCGGATATCCTTAGCAGGCAGGGTCTCTACGGTATCGTAACTCTTGAACTTGACCGTGTAGATGGGCGCCTTGGACGAACCAGTCACGGCGGTGATGCGCGCCGGGTAAAAGCCCTTGTCGCCCGAGACCCATTTTGCCATGACATTGTCATTGACCTGGTAGGTGATCACCTCGGGCTCCTTCTCTTTCTCCTCCGCAGGGGCTGCCTTCTTGAACGCCGGATGGTTTTCGCGACTCCATTTCTGCTCGACTGGTGGTGGCGACGGCGCCTTTGTCGGGGGGTCGGTCTTGGGCTGAAGCTCGGCCAGTGAGTCGTTGAGGAGCTGGATCATCTGCTCCAGCTCTTGTTTGAGGTTTAGTAGTTCGGTATTGTCGGGGTCATCTTGAAGCGACGTGATGACGAGCTCAAGCTGCGCGAGGTGTTAGTCAAGGCTTCGGCTTCGGAATGTGATTCTGGGACTAGACAGACCTGGCTCTCATACTCCTTGCGTTCCGTCTCAAGTTGTGCGCTCATTTTCGATAATGGATAGCGCGCTCTACGTCGTCGATACAACAAACGGCGACGGTAGGAAGGTTCAAGTTCGACTTCGTACTAATGAAAGCAGGTTGCGAAGTGGTGGGGCTGAAATGAGCTGAGGCACTCGCAGTGAAATACCCAGTATACCGTATCCAGCTAGGTACGTACACGGTACCTGAGGTATTTGAACGAAAATGCGCTTACCCTGTAGTAGTTATTTCTTTCAGAAATATGTATTCGAGTTATTCCCCGCACAGCGATTGCCCCAAAAAAATACATAACGCCAGCTAGCATGACCGTGCCTAAGCCGAATGGTGGCGGAACATCGTGTACAGTCCAACCGGTTTCCTGTCGCCAGTTCCACGCTAATAAGAGTCATCCAGGGCTCAGAGGTTGTCCTATAGTGTACTCCGTATTCCGTAGGTATGTAAGGTATGTAAACTGTAAACTGCAGGACAAGCCCAAAGGCGTTCAGCCGGCTTGCCGCTCGCCAACTAAACCCGAGCCACGAGTGGGCCCTGTCATGATCTGGGGTAAGTACGATTGATTGCGCGCCAATCAGCGTCTCGTCTTTTCCACGCTTCCGTCACCGCTTTGGCTCGACCGCAAGCGACAAGGACCAGGCAGAGCCCTTCTTCACTTTACAACTATCACGAGAAAATAGCTTCCTCCGGCAACGTGCTTTCAGAATCCTAGGCACTCGCTAGCTTGCACCACTTGCACAACAGACAATCAGTTGGTTGTATAAACCCCAGTATCAGTCAAGACATCCCGATCGCGACTTACACGCCCGCACATTTCCTGAGGACGGATTGGCCCACCGATAAACGGCCACGGTGATTCTGCCGCGACGAACTGTAGCTCCGAACACTTCGTGTATAGTCGTTGCATATCCCAGCACCTCCTGCCCACTTCTTGGGAGCACTTGGGCAGAGCTGTTTTGGGATATCGCTTAGGGCGAAATAAGGCACAAGAGGACAAGCCTCGGGCCGTCATGGCGAACGACAGAGACGGTGATGCATTGGGTGTCAACCAATCAAAAAGGCCAGCAACAACCTTCGCCGACTTGGGTGACCAACCACAGCAGCAGCATACTGCGCAGCATCCTGGACAGCAGCATCACCGCGCGAGGAGTCAAAGACACGTTGTCGGAGGTGTCGCAGGGGGCCGCATGCATGCACGGGTTCCGTCTTCGAAGGGCCTCCATAAGCACCATGCGGCGACCTCAACGGCGAAATTGAACCGCAAAAGCGGCTCGCTTTCCCCGGATCGAGGAGCCGGGCTGGCTTCTGCGTACCACAATCACCGCCGCACGACCTCCGAGCTGAAGCTGTCACGCGATCCGCAGAAGAACGCTCCGCACAGCAATTTGAAGCGCAATCGCTCACAAATCGAGGTGGGAAAGAAGACCAAGTCGACGACCAACCTGCACCGGTCTCTGTCCAACCCTGCGGTCGCCAAGCTGAGGTCCTCAGAGGGTTCCAAGGTCCAATTCAACCTAGGCGACGAGGATAAAGACGACTTCGAGGACGAGGACGAGGGTGAGTGGGTTGACGCTAGCACGTCTGCCTCGCCTTTGCTATCGCGACGCGGTTCTGCTGTTAGCGGTGGCCAGACTGCCAATCCACCGGCAGATGACGAAGATTCCGAGGTCACCACGCCGATGCCACATCACGAAGGCGAGCGCACCCCGGTCAATGGTACACAAAGCGGCACAGCAAACGCCACAACGAACGGATCACAAAACGGCGCACACAGTCTCCCTCGCAACCAGTACTTAACGTCCAGAATCCTCTCAAGAACTCCATCGCATGGTGCTCCGCCCATGATGTCGACAGAAACCGTTCAAGTCCGGCCGTCTACGTCGAGGCCACACTCTCCCCCTGACGCGAGAGCGGGCCAGGGTCCTTCCCCTCCAGGGTCTCCCGGCACTACGACGCACGTGCGACCTGGCAGCAGCGGCAAAGCAGAGCTCACCTCTCGCTTCGTTGGGAACAATAGCCAAGAACCAGGATCGGGCATCGCTGGCGAGTCGTTCATTCAGGCGGCAAACCTGGGCGGATTGTCGCGAGCGGCACTGAATGGCAACGAAGCGTTAACGATGACCAAGCGACGCCCGTCGTCGGGGGCTATGTCTCAAGCTCGAGGGATTGACGCGATTACTGCTCGGCAGAACGCGGCCGGACACAATCTTAGTGACGGCGAAGACGAGGGCGCCACGGCCACGGTATCTCGAGTGAGGCGAAGTGGGGACTACGTGGTACCGAGAGATATGAACAGAACTCAGCAGAAGCTGAATCTGCAGCGAGCGAGCTCCAGCCTGGAGCCCGCTCACCCGCACCTGGGGATAGGAATAGGACCAGCAGGAGTTGGTGCGGCCGCGGCCCCGCTCATTGGGGTGCCAACTTCGTACGACTCGAGGGACCCCCGGATCAGTAAGATTCTGGAGCGGACGGGCATGGAGTACCTTACCGTGCGTCGGCACCTGAACCCCGTTGCGCGGTCGATCGCCCGCGTCATGCAGCTGCCCGATCTCGAAAACAGTCGACGGATCCCGCGCTCCGGCACGTCGCACCACGCTTCGAGGCTCTCGGAGCAGTTCGACCCGAATCAGCGAGAGCCTATCACGCGCAACTCCAGCATGGCGGACCTGATCAACCCCCGCAGTGGGAGGCGACCGCCCACGCCGCGGTCCGGTGCTTTCTCGACACTCCACAGCGCCAGCTCGAGTCTGGGGACTGATGATGGCGCAAGCAGGATGCATGAGCGGCAGGCTCTGAGCGGATCCAGCCTGGTGAACGGAGCCGAAGACGCAGAAACGATGGCGTTACTGCGCATGATGTGGGACAAGAACATGAACCTGAGTGCCAGCCAGGACTAGAGGGCTGGCAGGCAGCAGGGGATATGGTCGAGGACCACGGTGGCATCGCAAGAAGACGACGAGTTCGCCAACGTACCGCCGGCGTGTCTACTCGTCGAGCAGCCTACGGATTACTTCGCTGGATGGGAAGCGCTGATTGCATGAGGAAGAGCCAGGGGCATGCAAACACCCCCATATGGGCAGGCATAGAAAGAGATGTTTACCCAACGGTACTATAGGGCGGTTGCTTTCAGAAGCGAGCTTAGAGATTCGCTGCACCAATTCGCTGCACCAGTCTCAACACCTGGTGGCTTTTCGGTAAAGGACCGGGTTCTTTATCAACCATTCTACATGGAGGTATTAAAATGGGCTATGATTAGAGCATATGGCTTATGACTTGTTTTTCTCTCCTGGTGGCGGCCTCCTCTGGGCATGGGGAATGAATGGGGTTGGGCCCCTTCTGCTCAGGAGTTGCGAGAGTTGCTCGGAGAGGTTCACAGTGCGCCTATTAGGACTAGATCAAAGGGGGATGGATGCTACTTCTTAACCCTCGTTGACATAGGAGTCAGCGGCATAATAGAACAAACTAGCATTTGCACTGTAATCGCATGCATATGCCATGTCGAATAAATAACTGGAACTTTACCATCAATGCGGCACCAACACATCGTCGGCCTGTCGGGGAAGCAGTGACACCGCACAGGGAGGGAAGGGGATTCACTTTCGAAATCCAGCATAGACCATGGGAAGCCATAGCCAAAACTTGCATTGCTCTTTTAAGAATACAATGGCCATCATATCGTTAAGGATGGGTATACAAAAAGACAGGGCTTATCCCTCCTCCCCCCCCCCCCCCTTTTCGGGTTATTCCGCAACCCAGACGGCAGCCATGCCCATGCCCGTACCAACACACATAGACGTCACGCCGACCTTCCCGCCCGTCCTCCTGAGCTCATAGAGCAGCGTCGACACCTGCCTCGCGCCCGTGCAGCCGAGCGGGTGGCCAAACGCAATGGCGCCGCCCTTGGGGTTGATCTTCTCCTGCGGCAAGCCCAGCTCGTTGGCGCACCACAAGCACTGGCTTGCGAAGGCCTCGTTGATCTCAAAGATATCCACATCGTCCTTGTTGATGCCCGCCAGCTCAAACACCTTGGGGATCGCCTTCCACGGGCCGATGCCCATCAGCAGCGGGGGCACGCCGACGACGGAGGCGGCGACGAACTTGCCCAGGATGGGCTGGCCCAGCCGCTCGGCGGTGGAGCGCTTCATCATCAGCACGGCGGCGGCGCCGTCGCTGACCTGGCTGGCGTTGCCGGCGTGGATGCTGCCGTCCTTGGCGAAGGCCGGGCGGATCTTGCCCAGCGACTCGGCCGTCACGCCGTCGCGGATGCCGTCGTCGCGGTCGACCACGATCTCCTTCGTCTCGCCCGACTTGGGGTCCTCGAACTTGACCTTGAGTGGCATGATCTCCTCCTTGAACAGCCCCGCGGCCTGCGCCTTGACGGCCTTCTGGAAGGAGGCGGCCGCGAAGGCGTCCTGGCTCGCGCGCGAGATGTTGCGGTCCTTGGCCATCTGCTCCGACAGCACGCCCATGGGCACCTTGCAGTTGGCCGCCTCCGGGTGGCTCTCGAGCAGCTCGGAGAACTCCGACACGGCGCCGGGGCCGTACTGTGTGGACATGCTCTCGACGCCGGCGCCGACGCCTACCTCGATCATGCCCGCCTTGATCTGGTTCGCGATGTCGACGCAGGCCTGCAGGCCGGACGAGCACTGCCGGTTGAGCGTGCGCACCGCCGTCGACTCGGGGAAGCCGGCGACCAGGGCGGCCGCGCGCATCTCGGTGGCGCCGCCGCCCGGGGCGAGCACGGTGCCCACCACGACATCCTCGACCAGCGCCGGGTTGATCTTGGACCGCTCGATGATGCCCCTCAGGGCGCCCGCCATCAGGTCGGCCGCATATGTGTCCTTGAACGCGCCCTTCCCGCCCTTGCAGATGGCTGTCCGGAGAGCTGCTGTAACGACGATCTGGAGGAGAGGTATAATGTCAGCGGTTGTGTGGTTTTGCGAGGAAGAAAGTCCTGGAAATGCGCGGCATGCCCGGAAGGGCACTTACATCGTCGGGGTTCTTCTCGAGGATCTTGGCCTTGCCGCCGGTCGAAGCAGCGCCAGCGATCTGGTTGCCCAGTTGCGAAAGCCTATCGAGAGCTGAACGTTCACATGTCAGCCTTCAAACTCAAAGAGATTGGCCTGGAAGTTCCACCTACCACCCATTGTGGAAGTCTGCGTGGGTTGAACAAACAAAAGAGTTCAAGGAAGAAAGACTGAAAATCGGATGCTTGATGGCTATGACGAGGAAAATGGGATGAGATGTTTGTAACTTGTCTCGGAGCAAGTTTATAAACGGGCCAGATTCCGCCGGATGCGATGCCTCGGACAGTGGCGGCTCACGGGTCTTGTCTTACCCCGGTTTCTGGAACTCGGCCCAGGCGATGTTTCGTTGTTGCGGCGGCGGCTCCAGTGATGTCAACGAAGGCCGAGGCATTGCCAATTGCGGCTTAGCGTAGGCCGGGGTGCATTTCTCAGCGGTTTCACATGCCTCTGCGCCCTGCAGCTTCCCCAACTTTGTCCGGCTCCCCGATAGAACATCTTTGCTGGATGAAATATGTACCACCTCAGGTGATCATTACAGGTAACGTTTTCAGCTTCAAAACTCGAATTTTCACATGCAATTCTCTGCTTGCCTTGTGTCCCAGTCAATAAATCGCATTTAAATACGATGCTCCGGTTTGCAGCGTCCACAGCCCCCTCTCATTGCCGAGTTATCCAAGGCAAAGCTGTATCCAACATCCCTTACTCATGAGGCACACAATCCAGACCCCTACACATATATGACCGGCTCATTTGTGGAACGACTTGACCTTCTCAACCTCGTCGTAGCTGCCCATGAAGATGCCCGACTTGTCATGGATGTGCTCGGGCACGACCTCGAGCATCCTCCTCATCTTGCTGTCGACGGCTTGGCCACCGGCTGGTGCAAACAAGGGCGCGGTTAGCTCTCTCTATCTATCGCCAGGGTACTCACGCAAGGCATGATGCATCCAAACAAATAAATCAAGCTTACCATTCTCAAACACCATGGCCATCGGCGCGCACTCGTACAGGATCCGCAGCTTGCCCTTGGGGCTCTTCTTGTCGGCCGGATAGGCAAAGATACCGCCGTATAACAGGGTGCGGTAGGCGTCGGCCACCATGCTGCCGATGTAGCGCGCGCTGTAGGGCTTGCCGCCCTCGGGCGCCTCCTTGAGCGAGTTGAAGTAGTGCTTCACGTTGTCCTCCCAGTAGAGCGAGTTGCCCTCGTTGACCGAGTAGATGGCCCGCTTCTTGGGGATGCGCATGTTGGGGTGCGTCAGGATGAACTCGCCCACGCCGTTGTCGAGCGTGAAGCCGTTGACGCTGCCGTCCTTCATGGTGATGACGAGCTGCGCCGACGCGCCGTACATGGTGAAGCCGGCGGCCACCAGCTCCGTGCCGGGCTTGAGGATGTCCTCCTTGGTGCCCGTCGACCCCTCGGCCAGCTTGTGGATGCCGAAGATGGTACCGACCGACACGCCCGCGTCCAGGTTGGAGCTGCCGTCGATCGGATCGCACGCCACCGCGTACCGCGCACTCTTGCTGTCCTTGAAGTAGATGACGTCCTCCTCCTCTTCCGACACTACCAGCGCGCACCGCCCGCTCGACCGCATCGCCTCGATGAACAGGTCGTTGGAGATGACGTCCAGCTTCTTCTGCTCGTCGCCCGTGGTGTTGGACGACCCGGCCAGCCCCGTTAGGTTGACCAGTGTCGCTCGCCGGATGTAGTAGGCGATCGACTTGAATGAGAATTGGAGCGCATGGCAGAGGAGGCTTGAATAAATAGCAGCTTCTTGTTAGAAATACGGGAGACCGTACGAAGGAAGGGTTGTCAAATGTGTGTCAAGACATACGTGAAGTCTCCAGTGGCCTCCTTGTGTTTTGCTTGCTCCTCGGTGAGGAAGCGTGTGAGGGTGATGATGCTGGTGTTGACCGTCTCCGTCTCCGGCTGGCCGCTTCCGTCTACTGCTACCATCGTGGCGTCGTGTATCCCAGCTTCCCTTCTTCTAGTTGTAAACTGTCGGGGCGATGAGAGCTCCGCGTTCTACCCTCGTAATATCCAAGAGCAGCAGGAGCGTTGGAGCGATCTTAAACGTAGAACTACGATAGTTGTATGTAGAACGGAGGGATAAGAAATAGTCAAGAAGCCGAATGTAGGTCGTCAGTTTGGAGACAAACGGAAGTACTGGATCGTGGACAAGGGGGAAGAAGGTCAAGACAGTGAGATCACAAGGACATATCTCTTTGCTTGGGAGAGCTCGGCTAGGTCTTATTAGTGCACCCGAACCCCACGGACCGTATCTTGTAGGTTTCTGTATATACGCAATTGACGCAGCTCATCCGTTCCCGAGCTCCACGTTCCAGCTGGGGATCTTCCGTCCATACGGCCCATTCCCCTTCCCGCGCGCGAGTGCCTGGTCCATGAGCTAAGTTCGGGTTACTTCTCCCCGCGGGATGGATGGATGCCCCTCATCGGCCGCTGTCGGCAGAAGCACGGCTATGAAAGGGTTTGGCGGGGCTGGGCGGAGCGGCTGACATCAGAGGCCGCAAATCTCCAGTCGCCCGTTGTGGACCGGTAGTTATCCGGTACTGTACAATATTACACTAGACAAGATATCAGATGCCGATCAGGAACCAAGGGGGGCTGTCATTTGCCGTAACGGCCAGAAACAGACAAATATATCTCTTTCACTCTGTCCTGATGCATCATCCTTTCAACGGTGCATCCTGCAGTAGTAGCAGACAGCAATTCCGGTCGAGAGGAACCCGTAGGTACAATACCTTCCTAGGTCAGGGACATACTTTACCTATAGCAACCCCACCCGGACGAATCCCGAAAAGAGGATTTCCCGGGACGGCATGCAGCGCCCGGGATACTCATTGTCCCGAACATGGCCGCATCCAGATTCCAGACACCGGCATTTCTTGGCATATAATTCGGGGAAAGCAGCTAGAAAGAAGCATGGGCGGTTCCGAGACACAGCACAAATGCACAAATCAGCTATGCCACAGGAGGTCTTGAACTTCTCATGGCTTGATCATCAGGGGTTCTATGTAGTCAGATGGACTGTCCTCGTGACTCGCAGGATTCTTCGGGCCCCTTGCCTCGGTAGTGCTTAAGCCTTACTGAAGGGTCGACCCTAACCCCCTGGCTCCCGTCTCAGCAACTCGGGCAACTTTCCGCTGCACTAGAGAAATGGTTGGGGGCCCAATGTGTGTCCCGTAAAGAGAATTTGAAGAAGGCAACTCGGCTTGTATTGTACAAGTATTGTACAAGAAAATAAGGACTGATAGCCTCTGTGTGATAATGGAATGGGCATTCCTACCTAAGGTACTTTACTTCACCGATCCTAGGCGGCTCAAGGCTTCAGTGCCGGGCATATATAAGAACAAACTCTATCTTGATACCAGTCGTGAACCCTATGTGTATATTCCCCTCTAACCCCCAAGCACCGTCGTTTGCCTCTGAAATGCAGTAACCATTAAATCTCTCTCTCTCTCTCTCTATACGATACCCAAAGAAACCCCCTCGAGCCCCGTTGGTACCTCTGCACAAAATCATCCAGTATGTGGTAGCCAATCTCCATCCGGTGATGTCCCGTCAGGGAATTCCTGAGGTGCTCTTGAGGACCCTGGTAATAACGCAAGCTAGGGAGCAGGATCGACCGATCGTTGCATTTGTACGAGTACCCGTCGCCGGTCTCCAGCATACGGGGTTTCAGCGGCTTGGACGTGAAGGCGCTTTCGCCAGGCGGTTTTACTGTCCAGTCGTCGAAACCGAAGTTTGGGTCGACCCCGCCGGCCGGGCCGTGCGATGGGTAGCTGTCGGGCGTTTCCCTCAGCGTCGCCTCGACTACGCCGCCCTTGATGCCCATGTAGAAGTTGGCCGAGATGTCGGAGCCCCGTGCGAGCGACCAGACGCCGCCGCCATCGGGGGGATATCGTCGCGGGTCGCGGAGGAAGTACTTGGCATTGGGCCGGTAATAGAGCGCCGTCGAAAGGGAGTGGAAATGGCAGGGAAGCCCCCCGGCATGGTGCTCGCATCGGGCCCTGCCGTTGGATCTGGCGATGGGATGCGCCAGAAATGGTTGGGGCGGCGGCGGGAAGGGGCCAGTCCCAAGGCAAGGCAGCCCGGAGGTGTGGTAGTAGCCCTTCGTCCACCGAAAGTCGAAGACCTGGATCGCCAGCCCGCTTGCGGCCCCCGCTACGAAGCGCTCGGCGCCGTAGGACATCAGGCTTTCCGCGTTCCGCCAGGGGTTCACGTTGTCTTGGTAGACGGCGTCGAATGGGGAGGGCGTGCGTAGGTCCTGCAGCCTATTTCATGTCGCACTGTTAGCTCAGTAATCCGACTTCTAGCGCGTCAAACTTACCTACCTTATCGTGCCGTCTTTCCAGGAGCTGAGAAGCAGGCTTGCTGCTCCCTTTGTTCCTGCGTGGCGCCGGACCGGTTCCAGGGAGTTTGGACTGATCGTCCGGTCGTATTTGACACCGAACTCCTGCGCGACTCTTTCACTCTTCGCCGCTGCATGGAGAGTCCACCCAGAGGGCGTGAGAGCGAGATAGCGGAGGGGATCTCGAGTGCCGCTGAGAGCCAGGGCTATGCACTCTCTTTGTTCCATCCACCTGGCGCCGCCCAGCCTCACCGAATCTCCTACATCGTGGGTGGTCAAAGGCTTCGTCTCGGTGGCATCGCCGTCCGGAAGCTCGTAGATTCGGAGGCAGGATCTCCCGGCGGCAGCGAGTAGCCTCTTGCGTCCGATGTCCATGACATCCAGAGAGTTCGTCGTCTCCTGTTCCAGAGGCTTGCGCGGTTCGCTGCTCAAGTCCAAGCCAGGAATGAACTTGGCGATGCACTCGCCGAAGCGATCTCGCTCAGCCGACAGAAGAGATACCTGGCCATTGTGGCGGCTGGTGATGATGGCTTGTCCGCCGCCCCGCTGGACAATCTTGATGGCCTTGATGTCGTCGTAGCCGGAAGCAAAACCGAGCTCCTGTCCGCGGAGTTGGTGCCAGGAGGTCCTGGACATTTCACCGCGTCCTCGGCGCTCCCGGAACCGTGCGACGATATCCTCGCCGGCACTCCACACGACGAGCTCCTCTTGCGTGGCCGGGTCAAAGTGGGCATCCACAACCGACATGTACGAGGGCCTCTTGTTCCTGCGAGGCTCTTCACGGGGGATCACGGCCTGGAATTGGAGAGACCGCTTGTCCCAGCAGCGACTTTGCCACGTCATTGACTCGGCCACTTCCCGCCATGTCTGGCACTTTGCCGACAGCGGCGGCGCAGACAGCGACGGGAACTTGCTCCTGATGAAGATGCGCCATCCGTCGCTGCTCGCCAGCTGCTGGAGTGACCGACAGCACAGTGAGAGGGCTCTTACGTCCCGTGCACTCTCCAACTCGGCGAGGACAAGGAAGAGGACGTCATCGGGCAGGTCGGTCAATTTCAATTTCACTGTCATTGCGGTCGTTGTTGCAGAGTTGTGTCTTTGTTTCAGAGTGGGTGAGAAACAGATCCGGCACTGGTATGCTTCAAATTCTTTCCACCTTGTCCGTCCCCTGGGACTAGAGAGCAGCAGAGAAGATACTATGATATCAGAGGCCGGATTTACATAGTGTACGGAATACCTACACTGTGCAGGGAATAGGTAAGGTACGCCACCCTGAATGTGAAGGCAGCGGATACCCCTTGTTCGATTTGAATGGCGAGAAATTGCAAAGAATGCACTAGCCGTAAAGGGAAATATTGGCATTAACATTAGCCCTCCTCCCACTCCGATTGTTCACTGTTCAGTAGCAGAACCCCGATTTCCATTTCCATGAAGCTGGAAGCAAAAGGCATGGAGACTGGCGATACCTGGACAGGCACTGCCGGGGTCGTGGTATTCGTGTTCCTCATTTATCGATACGTGATCTATCCTGCTTGCTTCTCCCCTCTTGCCTTGGTCCCCAATGCGCACTGGTCCGCTCCGTTCTCTCGCCTTTGGATTCTCCGTGTTCGATTCGTGCATCGAGAGAATAGGACGCTTCACGGCGCTCATCGTCGGCTTGGCCCCGTAATCCGGGTCGGCCCTAACGAGCTAAGCATCAATGACCTCGACAGTGTCCGGTCTGTCTACCAGGGCGGTTTTGAGAAACCTGTCTGGTACTCGGTCTTTGACAACTATGGGTATGACACATGCTTGACAAGGAATGCGCAAGGGACAATCACTCACGCGCCGTGTCCCAAGCGTCCCGTGCATGTTTTCGGCCCGTTCCGCCGCCGAACACGCAGCACGAAAGCGGTTGATATCGCACGTGTACTCCAAGTCTTACATCCAGTCAAGCCCAGCGGCCTTAGCCCAGGCCAGGGCCATTATCTATGGCAGACTCCTGCCGATTCTTGAGGAGTCAGTTTTGGACACGGCAGCTCCTCATGGGATCGACATTTACTCCACCTTCATGGCAGCAACCATGGACTTCATAGCCGCCTACATCTTCGGTCTCGGGAACGACACCGACTTCCTGGCCGCCAAGGCCTACCGGGAGCACTTCCTCGAGCTGTACAAGGCTCGCAATGATTACGGGTACTACGATCAGGAGCTGCCCCGGCTCACCAGGCTCTGCCGGCGACTCGGCATTCCGCTGTGTCCCAAGTGGGCGGATGCCGCGAACAGAGAGCTGGGTGAGTGGTGCCGCAGACTCTGTAACAAGATTGAGCAGCGCCTGGACGCCGGATTCCAGCCCCGGAGGGGGTCTGCGGATGAGCCCATTGTGTGGAACGTGCTGGTGGGCGGGCTACGAAACGAGGAAGCAAAGCATGGCCCGCAGTCGATACTGTACCCTACCGCACTGACCAACTTCAAGCTATCCGTTGCCTCTGAGTTGTTCGACCACGTGCTGGCTGGCCAGGAAACAGCCGGCTTGACGCTGACGTACCTGAGCTGGCGCCTGTCCCAGTCACTGGAACTGCAGGAGCAACTGCGAGCCGAACTTCTGACCCTCTCACCCACCATGCGACTGACTCAGGATGGCACATCCGCAATCCCAGACCCCAGGCAACTGGACGGCCTTCCGCTGCTTCACGCCGTCCTGATGGAAACGCTGCGCCTTCACGCGCCGATACCCGGCGCCCAGCCACGGCAGACACCAGACTCAGGCTGCCGGATCGGCCCTCACCAACTGCCCGGAGGCGTCAGGATAGCAGCTCTCGCGTACACGCTGCACCGCGACGGAACCGTCTTTCCGGAGCCCGAGAAGTGGGACCACGCCCGGTGGCTCCCTTCTTGTGCCGACGACGAGGACAGGAAGCGGAGGAACAGACAGTTCTGGGCGTTCAGTTCCGGCGGCAGGATGTGCGTTGGGTCCAATTTTGCTATGCATGGTGAGTTGGGCCACAGAGATACTTGGCAAGTTGTTTTTGAGTAGTGTTAACGTGCGGTGTCCGATTCGTCAAGAGATGAAACTTGTTATTGCTGCGATCTACTCGAACTACACAAGCCACATTGTTGACGACGAGGGCATGGAGAGCCAGTCCGATGGGTACACTGGACGACCGCAGAACGAGCGGCTTTTCCTTCGATTTGAGAAGGTGGACTAGGCGTGTATTTGAAGTCACGAGCAGCAGGCAACTCAAGGACGGACGTGCACTGCTGCAGAGCGGCATCTTCTGATCTCGGGGTCGGGGTCGTGCGAAATTCATCTCTCGAGAGCTGGATGGGATCTGAAATTGAGGAGACACCTCAGGCAGAGCGTATTCAATTCAGGGCGTTGTTCTCTATCTGAGAGAAAACGTCTTGACCACAGTATATTCTGATGAGACGGCCTTTCAGGGCTATGATAGCTGGTCCCGGGCGACCATGGCCCATATATATCCCCAACCTCAGCATCATACATCCCCAACAGTGGCCCCCCCGAGTCTCAATTAATTAAGAGAGTTGCACCATTGTCAAAAAAAGCAGTATGCCAAGCTTCTTACCCCAAGGCTTATATAAGACGGGGGGATTCAAATAAAGAATGAATACAGGAAGAAGAAGGAGAGTAAAAGGAAGGTAAGAATAAAATATTAATATTATATTAGAAGGGAACAGAGGCAAAATAGAGGAAAGGAGGAAAAGAAGAGGAGAGAGAAGAGGGCAATGGAGCCAACCTCGAGCTTGTCTATCAGAATGTTAGAGTCGTGGTTATATAGGGGAGAAATCATACATAATATAGTCCCGCGGGACCGGCAGCACGCGTAGTCCTACAACATAAGGCTATCACGTGGCTATCTCACCCTCTGATATGCTTCCTTGCCAAGAGATCCATCGTCTTGGCAGCACACGTGCCACTGCTTCTTCTCTACTTTACCTATTCGGACATTGCGTTCTCTTCTTTACGCCACTGCCCCCTGGTGCGTGGGGCCCTCTCACGTCGCTGTAATATACCGTGGGGGCCATGCATGGCTGACGCGTAGACCACCATTCAGTATGTTGAATCCTCATTATCCAGCATGCCATTCCCTCACTGAGATCTATTTCAGGATCCTAAGTAATGCCGTTCTACTTGGGAACCGGCAGACAATAGTGAGACCTCCTTGGAGGGGTTGGGTGTGAGTTTACACAGTCCATTTACAAACTGAATCCATTCCCATGGCGCCAAGCCGCTAAGCGAAGCTTGTTTGACAAGGGGGTTGATCCGGGGCCCCCATTTGCCTCCCACCAACGATGCGAGCGCGGGGGAGCTCGTGGTGAGCGACACCCAATGGGATGCAAGGTATCGGACCGTATGTAGAAGGCGTAAGAAGCTTTGAGAGACACTTGCCCGAAATAGAAGGTAAAGCGGTAAACCAGCCATCTGATTATGGTTTTCTCTTTGGCGGTGCAATAAATTTGCTCGGCTTCTACGTCTAACTTCCTGATGTGATAAACTTCACCTCGACTTCGGACGGGAAATCGACTTCAGATGTAAAAAAATAGAGCAAGGTCCTGCCCAAGTAAACAAATAAACAAACATAGGGAGCGGTAGGTGAATCCGCCACCGGCTGATTGTCCTACAGTCAAGGGACAGATAAGTAGCTGTCCCACCTCCCTTCCCCCTCTGACCTTCTTCTCTTCCTGCAACCATCTTGGATCCTGCGCAAACTTTTAATAAGTTCGACATAAGTTATTTTATATTTTAAGAACGCTCTACTCCGTACACCTCCACGATGTACGGTCTCGGGAACCAGGACCCCACGGCGACCCTGGCCTCGCCGTCGTCTCCGTTGCCAGAGAAGTCCTTCTGGCGCTCCCTCGTCGCCGTCATGGCGTGCGGCGCGGGCCTCTTTTCCGATGGCTACATCAACAACGTGAGTTCCGTTGCCCCCCACCCTGCCCCGTCCATGTCGCGCTACGAGTAAACCCTTACTAACCCACGGCAGGTCATCGGATCAGTCGTCACCATTCTCGCCCTGGAGTATGGTGACGTTTGGAAGACGTCGAATGCGAAGCACTACCTTGGTGACATCGCGTTCGTGGGCACCGTCGTAGGACAGCTGGTCTTCGGCTATCTGTATGTTCGGCCCCAGCATCCATCCCAATTTTCTTATCTTTATTTCTCTTTCCCTTTCTTCGTTCTCCGCCTGTTTCTTTCTTTCTAGGTTCGCTAACGGTAGTACAGGTCCGATAAGTGGTCGAGGATGAACTCCCTCATCCTGTCGACCGTGATCCTGCTGATCTTCACGGCGCTATCAGCAGGATCCTACTACCACGGGGACGCCGTAGGCATGTTCAACATGATGACAGCCTGGCGTTTCTTCGTAAGTCTACCCGCAACCCAGCCTCTCTCTAATGCACAATAATATCAGGAGTAAATCTGACATTCGTATAGGTTGGTATCGGCATAGGAGGCGAGTATCCCGCTGGCAGCGTGGGTGCGGCTGAGTCGACCAGCCAGATGAAGTCGGGGACCAGGAATGCCTGGTTCATCATCTTCACAAACACCATGATCGACTGGGGGTTCGTCTTTGGTGCTTTTGTGCCGTACGTGGTTGCAGCCGCCTGTCAGAACCAGCACCTCAGCACGATCTGGCGCACCAGTCTCGGCATCGGCGCTGTTTTCCCCGCGGTGTTACTGGTCCTGCGTTTCTTCGTCGGGAAGGAGCCAGAGGACTTCCAGAAGCACTCGATGAAGCACGCCAAGACTCCCTACGGTCTTGTCCTGCGCTTCTACGGCTTCCGGCTCTTCATTGTCAGCCTCATCTGGTTCATTTACGACGTAGGTTTTGCCCCTGTGCAAGTCTGTCTCACCGTTAGAAGCTACGTTAGCTAACTCTGCTCAGTTCTCGGCCTATTCCTTCGGCATCTACTCGTCGACGATCCTGGCCAACATCTTCGACCAGGCGACGGCCCCGCTCACCACGGTGTTTGGGTGGAACACGGTCATCAACCTGTTCTACATCCCCGGTACGATGCTCGGCGCGCCCGTCTCGGACTTCCTCGGCCCGCGGTACGCGCTCGCGGGCGGAGTCACGCTGCAGGCGGTGGTCGGCTTCATCATGGCCGGCCTCTACAACCGGCTCGCGCAGCCGAGCATGGTGGGCGCCTTCGCGGTGGTGTACGGCATCTTCCTGTCGCTCGGCGAGCTCGGCCCGGGCAATAACATCGGCCTCATCGCGGCCAAGACGTGCGCCACGGGGGTGCGCGGCCAGTACTACGGCATCGCGGCGGCCATGGGCAAGATCGGGGCTTTCATCGGCACGTGGGTGTTCCCCTACATCGTCGCGGCCGGCGGCGGCTCCGAGACGCTGTCGGCCCAGTACCCCTTCTGGGTGTCGAGCAGCCTGTGCGTGCTGAGCGCGGTGCTGGTGCTGGTCGGCCTGCCGCAGATTGGACAGGACACAATCGCGCTCGAAGATGCCAAGTTCCGCGAGTACCTGGAGAAGAACGGGTACGATACGCGGCAGCTCGGGTTGAGGAAGGGAGAGATCATGGACTCGGTGGAGTGTGGGGAAGGGTCTGCGGTCCCGAATAAACCGGTCGAATGATGTATATGTTTTGTATTGTACCTGCATAGCCGGCTGGGCAAGGGGTGTTGTGTTTTTATATGGTAGGCATTGTTTCCAGTTCTCGATGAATATACCCATCTTCCTTCCTACGCTTGGTGATACAACTCGCTGTATGGACTCTGTGTGTGTGATACAGAGATTGCGGCCGGTTCAGCCACACAACGTTTGTCCGGTTTCAGTCTCGCCATCCGGTGGACAACAACCGAACGACTTGAAGCATGTGATGCTAGTTAGCTCATTTGGCCCTTTTTATCAAATGCACATGTACTACATGCCATAATTCAAGTCGCTGACTCCATTGTCATCTACCTTATACTAGCAGCTGCCAGTCCAACATTAATCAGTCCCGACTCCCGAGGCCATTCATTACCCTATCTTAGTCATAAACCCGGCATTAAAACTGCTGGCCAGTCGCAAATCGCCAATTCTATAAGCTAACAACACAATGCATCATGCCTGATCTCAGTCCAGCTCAACGCCCTCCAACGCCTGGCTTATAAATGTTTCTTCGTCTGCCCGCACGCGCCCCCTTACTGATCGTGCCTCATCCCCATCCTCTTGCCACCTTTGCTCCACGCCTGCCTCTTCCTCAGACAATCCCAGCATCTCACCACCCTCGCTTCCCACATCCCCATCGCCGTCCTCGCTGGCCCCACCCCCTTCACTCTCCGTCTCAGGCGGCGTCTCCATACCGGGCCGCGGCGACTTCAGCCCGCCGCCGCCGCCCAGGTTTCTCCGCAGCAGGCACATCTCCACCGAGATCCCGGGCCCGAACGCACACCCCACCACATACTCCTTCGCCTTGCCGCCCGGCGCCAGCGCATCCATGTCCTTCATGCGCAAGCGGTCCAGCACGCTCAGGATGGTGGCCGAGCTGCTGTTGCCGTGGTTGATGTACGTGTCGTAGCTGGCGCGCATGTGCTCGGGCGTGATGCCCAGCACCCTTTCGGCGCCCGAGAGGATGGTGGCGCCGCCGGGGTGCATGGCCCAGTCGAAATCGGCGGGCGGCGCCTGGTAGAGCGGGCCCACGGTGGACATGAGGGAGGTGAATGTGGACGAGAGGACGGACTGGGTCAACGCGGGCACGCGCGGGGAGAGCACGACTTTCCAGCCGAGCGGGTCCACGTCGAAGCCCAGGTCGGACTCGGTCTCGGGGATGGTGTGATGGTGCCAGCCTAGCAGAGTGTAGATCGGCGGTGGCGGCGGCGGAACCTCTGGGTCATGGGAAGGGGGGTGGATGTTGTTGGACAAGACGAGGGCGCCGGCGCAGTCGCTGAAGAGGGCGACCCCGATGCGGGTTTCTTGGAGGGCGTTGATGCTCTCGAGCTCGCTCCGGACGAGTGTGGTGCTGATCTCGAGCGCGACAACCAGGATCCGCGCCGGCTTCCGCCGCATGGTGTGGCCCAGGCACAGATCGGCGGCTGTCCGCAGGGCGGCGAGCCCACCGCTGCATCCCACGCCGTGGAGGAGGACCTTCTCGAGATTGGGGCTGAGCCCAAGCTCTTTCGCCACGAAGTGGTCGTATCCTGGGTTCGCCGAGTTCGTGCACGTGGTCGACACCATGTGCGTGACCTGCCCCGCGTCCACATGAGCTTCAGTGAGGGCTTTCCGTGCAGCATTGACCGCCAGTGGGACGCCGTACTCCATGAATGCGTTGTGGAGATCGGTGATAGAAGGGGGATTGGCATCGTTTACGAGGGGGTGGTCTGGTGTGCCTATGGAGGAACGCTGATCGATGCCCGTGTACCGGTTGATGGAGAGAACCTTCTGCATGCTGCATAAGGCGGATCAGTGCGATGTTCATAAAGGCCCAAAGGGGAAGAAGGTTCGGGCCGTTGTCTCACGCGGGCGAGTCTGGGTAGAAACGCTTGCTCAGCACCTCGAGCGAGCTGGGCTTGAGCGAGTGCGGAGGGTACTCGGCTGCCACCCCAAGCACCGCAAGACCTAGATCCTCGAACTCCGCTGGGGAGGCCATATCTGCGTGCTGTAGAGGGAGTAGCTGCTTTGGGAAGGGACAGCGCCGGCTAATTGACGCCTTGACGAGCCGTGTACGGGTATTCTCCTGGATAGGTAGTCGTTGAGCGCTCTGCTGCCGGACAGCTGGGCTGCACTGTGAGGTGGAAGGGACACTGGGGCACGTCACAAGCGGTCTGTAGCCGGCCAGAGGATCCGGTGACGCTTCGACCTTGACTGTCAAGGCCTCGTGGTCTTCAATTGACGCTGAAAGAGAGCAGAGGGCTAGGGGGTAGAAAGTAGAGGCTGGTGGCTGGTGGCTGATGGCTTGCATAGAAAGAGCGGGACATCCGCGTGCCAGAAGCGGGCAGGGACGACTCGACGAAACAATGCTTTCGCTTATATTTCGAGTGCAGCAAGTGCAAACGGGTCTGGCACTGAATAACCAATGGCCCTGAGGATAATGTCAGAGCAGCGAAGTGGAAATCGCAAATGAAACAGGCTTGATCGAAGCGACGCAAACACCCAAGCACCACAAGCAGGAAAGAACTCTCCCCAATGCGCTAATGCAAGGTAGTTTTGTGTGCCGTCATCACATCTAACACTGCCCAGTGCCCTGTATCCTGTCCCGTCTGGGCTGCCGTCTGACATATCGGGCAAGAATTCCGGATTGCAGCTGAAGGGGGCGGCCCCCATCGCTGTGAGCCACATTCAGTCTCAGAAGCGATTCGCAGGTTCTTGACGCAGGGCAGGCTCCTGTGTGAGCGTCAAGTGTTTTTGGCTGAAGCTGTGCCATCCTTGTCTGGTTAGGGTAGGACCATTCCGGTCTCTCTTCAAGGTGTTGAGTTTCAACACTTTGATAGTGTAGGGAGGCACATTCGGGTCAAAGTAGTACATATGTACGTACGGAGTACTGTGGTAGTGTCGTGCGTCAGCGACCGGGGCAAGCGGCAGGAAGCGGGAAGGAACCGGATCATCCGTAAATCGAGAACGTCACATCTGGAACAAAGTGCCCTTGCATTGGCAGGGCTGGTTTGACAGGGGCGAGAAAGCTGATGAGGAGCAATGCCATTGGTCAGCCTCAGGACTTCGGGCCGGGCTTAGCACGAACCGCGTCGGAGATCCAGAAGTGGAACCCGCTGTCCCGAGGTCCGGATGGAGGGGGCACATGGCAGAAGCCAAATCGACAAGGCTGGGTGGCAGTTGGCTTCTCCTACCTACAAACCACGTAGTTTGGTTTCATTGAATTGGCCGGTGTCCACGATGGCCTTGTAATAAAGCATTTCTGTATCGCCCTTGCCATACATACGCATACGATAACGTTAAGATGCTCGCTTAATGGAGAGCAAACATGAAACGACAGAAGTAGTACTCCATCTGTTGGAAAACCTGGAGACCTCGCTTCTGCAAGAACGGAGGCTTCTACATATTCCGCCAGCGGAGCAACAAGAAATCACCTTCTGATGACGGCCTGCCAGTTCCCCGCCCTCCTATCCATACAAATCACTCCTCCGTTGGGCGAGATGATACACACTAAACAACATATAAGTACAGGTATCACAGAAAAGAAAACAGGAAAAAGACAGCCGCCCATTGTAATCCTTCTTACACCAAACGGCACAGCAACCAACTTTCGCGCATCGTCATTACAGCCTGCCTGGCCATGCTCCCACGACTGGCCATACGGCGCTTCTCCCGGACCACATTTCCTTACGCCGTCTTCTTCCACTGCAGGTAAACGCCAATCAAACTGCTGAGCGTGCCCGCTAGGCCGACAATGCCGTCGTCGAAGGCGACCCAGTTGAGCGCCGAGAGCGGCACCGTCAGATCGCAGAGGTCCGAAGTAAGCTGAAGCCGGCTGGCCGTCCGCTCTCTACAGCAGAAAAGCTGTTAGCAACCGACCGAATCAAGCCTAATCCAAGGGGTGGGACTGAGACTCACATCGCGATTCTCTTGCTCTCCAGCACGCCCTCGCCCTCCTTCCGATCAACCCTCGCCTCGCGCTGCCGCAGCTGGTATTGCGTATACAGCTGGCCGAGCACGCTGCAGGCAAGGCCGACGGCCCAGAAGCGGTACGCCTCCTGCTGGAACCGCTTCGCGTTGGGACTCTTCTTGATGCCCGTCGCATCCAGGAGCGTCAACAGGTCCATCGATAGATAACCCGCATAGCCCAGCTGCCTGCCCACGGTGGTATAGCGTAGGACCGGGTCCATGGTCTTGGCGTCGGCGGCGACGGCGGCCGCCTTGAAGTGTTCGACGTTCTTGCCCGCGCGGAGCACCTTGCGGACGAGGCCGAACTGCTTCTTCATGGCCTCCCATGGCTGGATTGAGGTCTGCGGGCGGTTGGTGCGGAGCAGGTACCAGGCGTAGAAGCGCGCAAAGTACTGCAGTGTGCGGAGGAGCTTGTCGCGACCGACGGTGGTGGCGACGTATTTGAGGTAGTGCGAAACTGCCGGGTGGTAAATGAGAGCATCGGCGACCATTTTGGCGTCTTGGAGATCCCCTAAAACAACTCGCGGCTTCGATCGTCGTCGGAAGTCACAACAATGTCGAGATAAGACTCTGGGTTGACTTGCTCTTGAATTACAACAAAGCAGTTGGAGTAAATGGACGACATAGAGCTGTCGCAGGGGAGTGGAGGCTACAAAGGGATGGGCACGTTTCGCGCGACGACGCTGCTCACATGCCGAGGTTGCGTCCGGCATTGAGCCGCTGCACTGAGACCGAAGGAGGCTAGGAGCAGGGGAGCAAAGCGGGGCTCGGTTCACCATAGCCGTCAAGGTCTTTGGCGGGTTAGGGTTCACTGAGGTCTGTGATGGCCTCACCTCAGTTTCTGGGCAATGGCTGCCTTACTACTAGTAGGTGCTAGACTACTAGTACTTCCTATACCTAGGAGCTCAGTTTGACTACCAGGTACCTTACCTTACATGAATGATCCGTGATGTCGTCAAGATGGTTGTTCTATACTACTACCACGTTGGAATCTGGGGAAGGCCTCAACTGAGACCCTCCGAGTCAACGTTCTAATGTACTCGCTCGCAGACAGAAAGGGCCCTGCTACTTTCCCCTTAATCCTCACCCGTCAGGAAGACTATAGCTTTGAAGAAGGAGTAAATAGGCCGAGCCTCTCCCTTAGTGTCTCCTCAGCCTCCTTCTCAATCCTTGCCACCAGCTCTTTGCACGTGGGGATATCATGGATCAGACCAATGACCTGCCCGGCGGTCCAAACACCGTACTCGGGGTCGCCGTTGATGAAAACCTCACGTCCGCGCTTACCGCTAACATACGGCGCAATCTCGGAGAATTCCCCTGTTTTGCTCTCCTGCTCGACCTTCAGCGCCTGCTCCGTAACCTTGTTGCGGTACAGGCGAGTGGTGTTGCGCCAGCGCCGCAGCACCAGCGCCGTGTCGGTCTCCTCCGCCTTGACGATCTGCTCTTTGATGTTGTGGTGAATCGGGCTCTCGACCGTGCAGAGGAATCGCGTTCCCATGTTGATGCCGCAGGCTCCCAGGCATAGCGCTGCCGCGAGACCCTGGCCGTCGGCGAAGCCGCCCGAGGCAATGAAGGGCACCTTGAGCGTTTGCCGCGCCTTGCTGAGGAGGATAAAGTTCGTGATGTCCGATTCGCCGACATGTCTGCATTATGCATAAGTTTGTCTTGCACTGTAATCATCGGGTACGGCCGACTCACCCAGCACACTCAAACCCGTCGATGCTCAAAAAATCAACACCAAGCTTCACAGCGGACTGAGCGTGCCTGATCGTGGTGCACTTGTGGAGGATGATGCATCCAGCCTTCTTGAGCTTGGAGATGACCGGCCCAGGCGAGTTGCCCGCCGTCTCGACGATCTTGACGCCCTCATCAATGACAACCTGGGCATAGGCGCCATAGTCGGGCGGGACAAGCGCCGGGAGCAAGGTTATATTGACGCCGAATGGCTTGCTCGTCAGCTTTCTGCATTTGCGGATCTCCTGGCGGAGGCCCTCCGGTTCCGGCCTTGCCAACAACGTCAGCCACTGGAGTCCGCTAGAGAGGGAGCGAACGCCGCTATTCCAGGACAGCATGGTTCCCAAGGAACTGCAACCCTGACATACCAGATAAGTGCCGTGATGATGCCCAGACCGCCCGCGTTGGACACGGCGCTCGCCATCTCAGCAGTTCCCACATGCTGTTTTACACTGTCAGTCTAGTGTTTAACTCGGAAGGGGTGTCGGACTTGACTTGCCTGCATTCCGCCCTGCACAACAGGGACTTAAAGTCGCGAATAAAGTAATGTCAGTCCTGCTTGGTGTTCCGTATAGTTGATGACCCCCGGAACTCGGAGTACGTACCCGTGATGCCGAGACGGCGGGTCAGCTCCGTGTTGAAGGGCATCTTCGGGGACGGGAACACGGAGTGAACAGCTGGAGTAACGGCAAGCAACTGCGCAGGAGTCAAGTACGTGGCGAATGAACGGCAAAACGAAAGCTGGGCTTCAGTATCAACGAGTGATGTCGGGCGAATGAACGGAAAACCGCAAGGTGGCTCTCATATGCTCACCAGACAAGGCACAGGCACTCTGCGACATAGTGAAGGGGGGGCGTGTTGCTTGCGGCTGGTATAGGAGCCGAGGTAAGACTTGCTCCCCACCGGGACAATGACAAGGGGTCGAGAGTGTTACCGCCGAATACCATAACAGACGAGCTTGTAACCGTATTGTGTCGCATTTTTGCGTCTGCATTACTGTAATTTACGTCCAAACGGTGTGTAATTACAGACAGCCCTGTCACGATACCACTTGCCGGCTTGGTAAGTTGGTGCTGAGTCGGACTGTCAGGCGCAGTCAGCTGCCAAGAATCACAAGCACCAGCTGCCCGTTCTTCAACAGGGGCAGCGCGGATCAACACTTCAACTCTGAACTTCAGCATCACCTCTCACTAGGTGCTCTCAACAGTATGCTGCTTGTTGCTCTGTGGGTATCGGTTCAGAAGCAGCTGGCTCAGTCAACACATAGGTACCTGACTAGATGGACTTTCAGCCTCACTGGTCGACTTCGCTCTGCAACGCAGTGAGGACTCGCCATTGCGGGATCGTGTCAAGTCCATTCGACTCAACAACAGCGGATTGTCTATTCGTCTAGGACCTATGACCAAACGGTACTCCTTCGATATTGCTGTGGTAGAACCACATCTGCAACCCGCAATTTAGAAGGATTTACACGTTCCGAACCTGAATCATGATCTGGCAGTTTCCGCGTGACGCGTTTCTCTGTCGCTTCTACACCGGTCCCAAACCAAGGTCGGACATAGTTTGCCACCCTATGAGGTTTACCACCCTATGAGCAAGCACTTGGACCAAATTGCATGCCTGAATCGCTGGCTGCTTGGAACTACGCGCGTCCTGCGACTTTCACCTCTTTAACCCGACAGCAGAGCAGGTCAATGAGTGTGGAATAGAGCGCGGCGATATGTCTTCGGTATAAACCCTCTGGTGCCATTCACCAAGCATCCCTTTTTGCCCTATCCTCGTTCGGCCTCATCGGAACCCGCCATCTCCGGATCGACGCTGAACAAACAGTTACCGGCCATCTTCGGGTTGCACTAGACGGATCGCGGCAGGTGCCTCACCGACATGAAACACTTACACTGCCACAAGGTTGCGTCGGCATCTACTCGCTGCACAGTCCTTTTCCGTAACCGGAGCCGGAGCCGCATAGTTTCACCCGGTATATCAGTTTGCTCTTCTACGCCGGTCCATGGGCCGATCTGAACCCGCCCGCGTGTCACCCGACACCGGTCCTGCGTCAGATCGATTCGACATCAAGCCTTGGGTGAGAGACAGCGGCGAGGGATATGTCACGTTCAAGCGCCACTCCTTGTTTGCGAGTTTGCCGTGTTGATAGTTCTTCGAACATACAGGCGGGCCGGAGTGCCAAACTGAATCGAGACCGAAACCAATCATACCAGCAGGCCTTCGAGGGCAGATACCCCCTAGATCCATGCCGGAGGACCGGCACACCAACCGGGACGTTCCCGCAGCGACCAAGCAAAATTATTGACAATCTTCCAGACCAAGCCCCAGTGGGCTACGCAACCAGCCTTGTACATGACAGTTGCGCGGCGCGGAGAGGCGCGGAGCTGGTCGTCTGCAGAAGCCTCGTATTAGCATTATATAAGCGCTTGAATATCCTTCAGGCGCAGCTTCATCACAGTGACCTGGTCTCGGCCCATCCCGTCAAACCCCACTGCGTGCGTGGGTTCGGGGAATGAGGCTCAAGGCGACTACCAACAGTACCACGTTCGGACATATCAAAGAGGTCGGTCCAATTGGGACCGGTGACATCGTGTCCCATGCTGACATTTCCCCCTTCGCGCTTGGGGGTGCGCTAGCCGTCAAGTACCGTATTTGGTAGGCCGGTAAGGGTGCTCCATCGATGCACAACATGCGGGATGCCTGCAACGTCAATCGTGGAACCGTGCCCGGTGGACGCTCCCAACAGGCCGGTACCGACTGGTTGGTGTTCTTTTCCTAGTGTACACTCCCTACACGCCCGCAGCCATCAGCTCTTTAGAACTGCACGCCCCCGGGCGAGACCATTGTCTGGGCCGGATACAACGATGTCTCGGCACCCAAGCCCTTCCTAGGCCCGGTGATCTGGTCATACTGTTGCACAGTGATGTGGACTCGTGGATATAACCACGATGGAGAGTAAATGAAGCAAACGAACACAACACATCCGACGGGACCGATCAGGGCTCACCGACACCGCCGCCTGTCCAAGGCCGGGGTTGACAGTATACAGACCATGGCAGGCCTTGGACTGGCGGGCAGCGCAATCGACCATTCAATGCTGGCATCTTGACAACGAGTCCGCTGGTATTCTAAAGAGCTGCTGATGACACGGCCACGTTTCCCGTCCAATGACTCCTAGGCAAGTATCCATCACGGCTATCCGATTCGCTCTGTCACATATCAGTTTTGGGGTCAAGGTGAACGACTCGAGTTCCGTTGTGCTTGGCTACTCCCGACTTTGAACAACGCCTGCATCGGACATGCTGACAACGCACCCAAGCTGCTGTTCTTGGCACCCAAACGACATGGCATTTCTGCCCAGTCTCGAGCCAGTCCACAACTCCCCACTGCGGCGTCAGTTTTTGTTTCTGCACTTTGGAAACCCCTGGGCTCTGATGCTTGCGCGATAGACACTAGTCGAACCTAGCGCTAGATCATCTTTTTTATCCCTTGCGTCTTCCAGGCGTCTAGTTCGGTTTGGGTAGTTGCTCGAGTGGGCTGACAGCTCACTCAAACTTTTTTCCCCCACCGGGGTCGCATCATAGATGCTTTTTCCGCACACTCTGTCGTTTCGACTTCTCTTTGCTGGTGACACACGGGGACCGGTCTCTCCAATGCCCGGCAGACGGTTCTTGGCTCTCTGCGTTACCATGCGTCCACGCCGCCGTATGACTTCCTTTGCCTCCGACGTCAGAGGTATACATGCGTGTATATAGTACAACGCACACCCCTGGACCTTACCGTGTGCTGTTTCTTAGTCCCAACTAGGACCACAGTAACGGCAGCTATCGACAAGTGTCATGGGTTGCTCCGAGTCTCCATGGAAGCGGCCGTCACTGACACCGCACTTGCTGGAGGCTGGTCACTTGGCACACAGCAGCGGAGAACGGAATGGACCAGGGAGAAAAGGGAAAAGAAATCAAAGTGGAAAAGAAAATGGGAAAAGAAATCCTTAGTTTCCATCCACCGCCTCGAACAGCGACAATACGTAGCGCGTGGACCGGACAGCCCACCAATCCCCACATAGGGCGGTCATCACAGCTGTTGAAGACCGCTGAAATAATACCTGGCACTTTCCTCCCTCTCTCCCGCGGTTTCATCAACCGTCTTCTCCTTCAGAGCAGATAGGAAGCAGAGGGCTGCTTCGCGTCCTTTCGTATGTCTTTCCGTCTGTCCCTGGCCACGATGCACCATTCCGTCTCCTCCTCATAATCTACTCGCTGTTGTCCTGCACCTTCGCGAACAAACAAGTCGTCTCGGGAGTAGCAAAAACAGGAGACGGTACAAACCATACAGCAAGGGGTATGCACACTTAATTTAAGCACGTCGACTCTTCGAATCCCTTTCGGCCACATCAGCCCGTCTCGCAGACCGGTTGTCTGGAACCCAAGTGCTACCCTCCGCCGCGGACTGTGCCGATAATATAAAACGGGACTGAACCCGGAAGAACATCAACACTCGTTGTGTCCTTCACTTCATAACCACACTTTGGATCATACTTTCACCTTGGCCAAGAGGTTCAGCCGATCTTTGCGTACCTTACCAATTATCACACGCACCCCGACAAACACACACACACACACACACACACACACACACACACACACACACACACACAGAGACAGACACACAGACACACACACATACGATCATTGCCCTCCATAGCCAACACTCGAGTTGCCAATCCGGACGAGTCATCAGGGGTCTGGGAAAGATCGAATTCTTATTTTTTTTATTCCGCCCGACACCACAATGGCCTACAAGACCTGGCAGGACAAGTTGGAGGGTAGGATATCTTCTCGGTCTCCCCTTCAGCTTGACTAAGCTAACAATTTTGTACCTGCAGACGCCTGCCGTGAATGGAACATTGCGGCTCCCGTCTTCCAGATTGTGTCGGATAGGCGAGGTAAGGGCCCCCCTTCTCCTTCTCCTTCTCCTTCTCCCCTTTTGGCCCCTCACGCCTCCTCCCACGCCGATAATGAGTGCCTTAACCTAGACTCTGATATTAATTCTTGTTTTTCCAGGGGGACGCACTGCCTGGTCCAGCACGGTGACCGTCTACGGCTCGGTCCACAGCGCCCGCTTCTGGTACGACGGCAAGAACCTCAATAACGCCAAGGAAGATGCCGCCGAGGTCGCCCTGCAATGGCTTGCCCAGTCCAGCTCCAGCTCCAGCACCGCCAGCTCGCCTGCTACGAGCAGGAGCGGGTGGTGAATCAATTTTCACTGATGTCAGTCACCGCCTCCATCATAAAGGGGTCGGATGATGGCGATGATGGCGCGAGTTGGGGGGGTGAATGGAGTTGGAAGGAGGTGAGGGAGATGATTGGGGCGGCATGAGATTTGATGGAGTCCAGTGAGCAAGCGTTGAAGTCAAAACGGCCGTGGGGGTCCGAAGGCGTCAAAGGATGCCTCGGATCTTTCGCGTGTTGCCGCCTGGCTTCTTTCGCTGCTTTGCTGTTGACTTTGTCTCTGGTGCCGTCATCCGTCTCTTCCTCCCTCGTTCCTTTTCCCATTCTCCCGCGTTTCCACGAGGCCCCTTACCTCCGGACAGTCGACACATCATATCTTTACGGACTGCGACTTCGTTCGATGCTGCCCCCGGTTTCTCTTCCTGTTACTGCTTCGACTCATGGCCGGGTTTCTCTGCCCTACAGTTGCTGTACGATATTTGATACCACTTTTCTTTATCCCCTTTTATTTCCCCCTTCCTAGTACTTGGTTTCTTTTACCCCTCTTCCTTCGGAGTTGATGGAAATCGGCCATGCCACACGGCGCAACGGGGAACTTGTCACAATGCGGAACTCGGAATCAGTCTTTCATTTTGGTTGGCAGCTACTCATCACTGTTTCCTGCAATGTTTTCACTCCCTACTTTGGTGGCGATGTTTTGGGCTTCACGAGTTTGGTTACTGCATGTCGTGGCGACAAGGGGTGGGCAGGCATCCGCATGGGATTCTGGCATGGGCGTCCAAAAGGGTCCTGGGTGTTGCTTCCGACATGCAGCATCTTGCCTTCCGCTGTTCGTCTGGACGATGGGGTGCTTTGACTGGCGGGTTTGGGACTTGGAGACCCCCAGGGGCAGTGGGACACAAGAGCGGTCTGCAATGTGCATTTTGGTCGGCTGACCACTTGTCTGCGAAGCATCCCCTGGCCATACAGACGGACAAGGCGGCAGCAAAGAAGCAATGGGGATTCTGGATGACCGATAAAAGTGTATCTTCCTCTGGATTGGCTACTATGTAGGCATCGGTTGGCTGGGTTAGATTGGATCGGATGTGCTTGCGTTTACCCCCTTGTTTGGACATGCCATTTCGGGTCTCAGTTCTCTCTACAATCAATGACAGGAATCAATGGCGATATTCGCATTCCACGACCCTACGTTCTACAGCCAGCTGCATGCCTGTTTGAGTGAATTTCCATTATCCCCAGGGACCAGGTATTGTCGGCCACGTTAGGTCAAGGAAAAAAGCAATGCGATACACTAGAGAAAGCCAAGGCGGCTGATCAGCGCGGTAGTGTGGATTCCAAGGGCATCAGCCTCCGGCCAAAGCCAGCACGTCGGCAAACTGGACTCTCGCGACTCTCCCTGCTTTACCTTGGATCTCACCGCCAGATGCTTGGTCTAGAAGACGTTGGAAGCCGCATTCTCCGACGGGCCACTGCTTTCCTGACGATTGCTTTCCGACTGTAATCGTCGCTCGGACCGAGCCCCATCGGCTGGGGCGTGGTAGGTACCGTAGGTTTGCCACGTCAGGGAGAGAGGGACGCGATGTGTGGAGAGCGTGCGAGGAGCTGGCGGACCGCAGGCAGCATCGCCTTGTCCCGTGATCAGCGCCACTGGATGCATGGATGCATGGAAGGGAGAGAGAGGATTTGCTGCCTGGTTCTCCTGCAATGCTATGCAGTGACACCTAACTCTTGGTAGGCCAGCGTCAACCACAGGGTTTCAGACCCATGATATCTTCCATGAGCAGACTTGGAATATACACAACGGTATTCAAGTATTTACTAGTTTAATGCTATGAAGAGAGAGCGGGCCAGTCCTGCCCGATGTCGATTCGCGGAGCATCTGCGAAGTCTTCCAGGTTGTTCTCCGCCAGCCCTGCCTGCTAGCGGGGTGCAAACAGCGGGAGCGGTGTGTGGGGAGTCGGTCATGCCGCGTTCTCGGAACTGTATGAGCTAGGGTTTTTGACTAGGTCCACGATACCAACTGTCAAAGACATCGCTTATCAGAAACTCAAAGGAAACCAGTTTTCCAATTTGCCTTCAGGTACCTATGTCCGCCGGTCGTTTATGGCTGAACTGTGACGGTGCCGGCACCGACTGCCCGCTGTGGGGTAGAAACCTGGAACCAGAACCGACCCGGCACTGTATGACTAACCGGAGGCCAATTGTTCGAGAAATTCGAGATGGATCGAACAAGGCAGGTGGGGGTGGGCGCTTAGCCTCGATCACGGCTAAACCCCGGCAATCCTCCATTTTTTCCACAACGCTTCTTTGACTACAGTGACTGCGACAGCAATTGAAGCGCAATTGCCGATCCCGCGACAGACCCAACCATGCCACCACGGCTCAATATCTGGTCGGCCTATAGGGCCCTTTCAGTTCGGACCCGGGCTTTTGCCCAAGCTACACAGCCGGGGCCGGCCGCGCAGACGAGGGGGTTGGCTGACAACACGACATCGCGATTCCCCCCGAGCGCTTCCGGCGCGTTGCCGCCGTCTATGCTCCCGGAGAGCGAACCTCTAGCCTACACCAGCAAAGAGAACGAAGCCGCCTTAAATCAGTTGCGCATGATTGAGTACGGCCTTAGCCCGCTAGATCCGTCGGTAGAGGGCCACAAATACGGGCTGCCTGAGTTGCCGCTGCCGTCACAAAAGCATGCCAAACATCGCTATGACGCTGTTATCACGCAAGTTACGAAGCTACTCATGAGAGATGGAAAGTTAGCGAAGGCACAAAGGGTAAGACAATAGACGCTGGGCACTTGCGGCTGGTGAAGCAAAAAGGAAGCTTTCCTGACGGGGACTTTTGCAGGATATGGCCATGATCCTCAACTACCTCCGGACATCACCACCGCCGAAGCTCGATCCAGCGAAACCACTTCTCCCCGGCGCGCCCCCGGCGCATCACCTCCCACTAGACCCGGTCCTCTATCTCGGCCTCGCTATCGACTCGGTTGCGCCGCTGATTAGGATGCGCGGCTTCAAGGGCCTGGCAGGCGGTGGCAAGTCACTCGAAGTTCCCATGCCGCTACGGGCGCGGCAGCGGAGGAGGACGGCGTTCCAATGGATTCTGGACGTGGTCAACAAGAGAAAGTCGAAGGGCAGCGGTCGTAATATGTTCCCGCACCGCGTGGCGGAGGAGATTGTGGCCGTGGTGGAGGGTCGGTCGACGGTTTGGGACAAGCGTCTGCAGGTCCACAAGGCGGGCACCAGCAACCGTGCCAACTTGACGCACTCAGGCATCAAGGGCATGATTTGAGGAGGAACGGCCGGACCGGTGATGTGGACCTGGTGTTACGGACTTCTGCTATAGAATGGAACCCTCTGCAGGAACTGTAGGGGCTGATTCTATGGTGGAGGTCCTGATGTGCTGTACAATAGTTGTATGAATTGCTTGTTCTGGCAACTGTTCTTTGATGCTGCGCCTGGACACCCACACGTACACCATCATACAGTGCCGACAGCACTGTATGGACTTGGTACCCTAACATTGTGATGGGATGCGATACTCGCTGGGCCAGGGCGTTCGGAATAGGTATACATGGGTTTTCACGACACATACTGGCATAGGAGCTTCACAACGACTCGGTGCAACAATGTCGTCACGATTGCTTCTGACTGCTTGCGACTGATCTTTTTATTCTTCGTTCCAACGATCAAGGCTGTGCAGCTTTGTGCAATTCAGAGGCGGTTACGGATATGGGGCTAGCTGATCCGCCGAAGATTCCCCATAAGGGTCTCAGCCCTGCGACATTTTCCTCGAAACTTCTCTGCATTCGGCTCAGCATGTCGAACTTGTAGCAACCATTACTGGCTGAGGTACTTAGGTAGGGTCTCGGGTGTTTCCGCCCGGGAACATGTCGGTGCCTTCTTGGGGCAGCTAGTCTGGAGCTCTGATCAAGCTCTCACATGCCAGAGCCCACCACGCCCACTTTCTCGAAAGCCGGACCCACCTGTCTCCACCCCCGCACATCATCAAGGTTGGGCTGCCTCCCAAACTGATTGTGAGGGTCGTATCCAAACCGTATCAAACGCAAAAGTGTCTCCATCGCAGGCACCCTAATAATAACAGCACTCCTGTTCTTTCTTTCGATACTATCCAACGCTCAACTCTGCACGAATCGACTGATTCCCCACAACACTCCCGACGGGAAAGCGTCGATGGAAGTACGGCAACTCTGACCACGACAATACCTTGCATCGGCGTCTTGGTTTCTTGGCAAAGAGGGCCCAGAGTTGTCTTTCTTTGCAACCTCGACTCTTGGCGGCGGCCGCTCTGCGAAAAGCGGCTGGGCTGACGCCTCCGACAAGAAGTCAAGAGTGCTCAAACGTCGCATCTGAAAACCACAATGCTTTTGCGGCAATCCACGTTTATACAATTCCGCCCTCATATACTGCCGCGTTGACGACCACTCCCCACAGTGAACCTTGTGGCACGCCGTTAGAACCTGCGCACCTTCATCTTTTGGTTCGCGCCCCGCCGTACTTTGCACATTCCCGGACTACTCCACTCACAGCACTCAAGCAAAGTATACGCGGCCGACGCCGTCAAGACCGCTCGCCATGGCTAAACACCAGCCAATGTCGATGGAAGCGATGCTCGACGAGGAGCGGAGAGAAGTCCTCGCGCTTTTGGAGCGAACTTCGAACCCGCGACCGAGACCTCCCAGAGAGCTGGGAACCCGCTCCCCGTCTCCCTACACGCCGCGTTCTCCAGTCCGCAGCATGCTAGACATTGGTAATGACTCTGGGCTTCATTCTCCAGTTTCCCCGAGAAGTTTGAATACTAAGCCGAGACCTGGTCCTGCAGCGCCTGTGAGGAGTATGCTCGATGTGGACAGCCCGCCCCCAGCACCAATCCGAAGTATGCTGGACGTTGATAGTCCGGCCCCTGGCGCGAAGCAAGTGGTTTTTAGTACGCCTTCGTCACCGGTGGAATCAAACTCCCGAGCCCATACTGCCAACACTGCGCATCCAAGGAGCTTATCGGACGCTTCTTCGAGGCCCGTTGACTTCGGCCCGAGATTAGGACCCGCTCGGGTGGTAGATCCGACCGCTGACTACCAGTTTTCTGGAATCATCACGCAGCACGCGGGCCAAGCTCTCCCCAAAAGGGTCACACAAGGCGGCAAGCGGTCCAGTGCCATGGCCGAGATCATGAGGGGCAACGATGTCTCTGGCCTAGTTCTTCCTGGGGATAGAGGGCGTCACCATTCTACCTCTGGACCCTCACGCCTGGGAAACAAATCAAAGTCGCCGCACAACCGCATAGGCATGCGCTCGCATTCTCCTCGTGCCCCACTCATGGGACGCACCTTGAGCCCGGCCGGACGTGGGGTGCTCAACGATCCCGAGATCGTTGCCTACAACAACGCTTATAGACGCCTCTCGGATGCAGCTCTGGCCCTGTCCGGAGGGAGTCTGTCCGAGTTAGGGAAACGGAAAGGTTCGAACTACATGACTGGGAACGGCAGGTTGGTTAAGGACTACCTGGGTCCGGATGGCGAGCCGCTAGTGGAAGACAGCACCGACGACAACGGAAGTTCGTCTGACGAGGAAGGACAGCGTGGGAGGAAGGCCGCTCGGAGCTCGGACAGTCGAACATCGCAGAGCGGGTCTGCGTCACCCGAAGCCCAACGGCAGGTCAAGAGCCTGTTGGCAGCGGCTGAGGAAGAACGTAGGTGATATGGCAAGCTCCTGGAATCCTCCCTTGCGACGAGGCGCTGACGGATGTGAACAGGTGCTCAAGTGGCCTCGCAGCAACCGGCATACCAATACAGGTCTCTACTTGACGAGCCAGAGATTACCGTGACGAATCCATCCGGCGAGCGAGTGAAGCACAATAAACCGGTGATCCACCCTGCCACGAGCTTTGACAACCCACCGGGGTCTGGCATCAACACGCCCCTGGATTCAGACACCGAGCAGGATCTCACCGACATCAAAAGAGCGCAGAAGCTATCCTTTGCGATGACGCAAATCATGGATACGCCGGAGGCACACCGCACGATCCAGATCATCACACGTGGTGAATACTCGAAGCTTGTTCAGGAAGCCGAAGAGGAACACCGGCCTCCGCGGAAATACCTGGTCGCCACCGACCTCAGCGAGGAGTCGACCCATGCGCTCGAGTGGGCCATCGGCACCGTCCTCCGCGATGGAGATACCCTCCTAGCGATCTACTGCGTCGACGAAGAGACGGGCATCGGCGGCGGCGACAATGCGCAGGTTCCTGACGAGCCGAGGGCGATGAAGGAGCAGGCGGCAGCGATTAACACGGTCACGTCCAGCAAAACACCCATCACGGGGAGCGGCACCAACCTTCCCCTGCGGCCATCACCCTTGATCTCGCGCGTCTCAGACCCGGGGTTGGGGAATAGCGTATCCCCCGCGCCATCGCTCAGCAAGGAACGCAGCAAGGCCGAGGAGGAGCGGTACCGCGCCGTCCAGGCAATCAGCGACCGGGTGACCAAGCTGCTGCGCAAGACGAGACTGCAGGTGCGGGTCGTTGTCGAGGTGCTGCACTGCAAGAACCCGAAGCATCTGATCACCGAGGTCATTGACCTCGTCAACCCCACGTTGGTCATCCTGGGGAGTCGGGGAAGGAGTGCGCTTAAGGGGTAAGCACCTTTTTTTCGCTGCTGTCATGACTCGTCTAGTGAGCTAACGTCCCCTAGTGTCATCCTGGGCTCGTTCTCCAACTATCTGGTCACCAAGAGCTCCGTTCCTGTAATGGTGGCGAGGAAGCGCTTGAGGAAACAGGGCAAGTACAAACGAGTGCCCGCAACGCATCAAATCAACAATATCCATAATCCGGCGGCCAGGAGTCTGGCGAATGCGAAGATCGATTGAGAACTGGTAGTTAATGGAGAGAATGGAGGTGAAGAAAAAGCAAAAACGACTGAACAACGACTGAGGAGTTCGGGGGTGTCATGATGGCAACTCTCTTAGTCTGGCGCTGTCGATCTTGTTTACGGCGGATAACGGATGACTACCTATCCATGGGTATTCGAAGCTATGCTTTTGGGGAGGGAAGTCAATGTGGTTTTTGTTCAGAGATGTTAGTCTTTGAGATCCCGTAATGAGATGATGATGTTCATGCCCGGCCGAAGCTGGCTTGGTTACACAGCTTTCCTATATGTACCTGAGCCGGTACATAGGATGCTACTGCTTAGCTAAGTTGCGGCATTGGTTGGGCGCCCACTAGATGCACGGGTCCGTCTCAATTATGTAAGCACAGTTGATTACGTAAACATAAAAAATGCTTCTATCGCAGCGTTGACCCCGCGCCTTCCCTGAGCCCCTGAGCCCCTGAATGCCACCACCAAACTATAGTACATCTGAATACCGCAAAGGGCATGCCCTCGAGGTTCTTGTATGGCCAACTACGTGGCACTTTGTACACTTGCTTGGAGCCTGACGGGGCCGGGCCTGGGCCTCAACCACTTCAAATTGACTGGGCTCCCGCTTGGTACTGGACCTTGGGAGTGAGCTTTGGGCCCGAACTGGCTCAATAAGCTGACGAGGTTCAAGAAGGAGCTGTGGGTTACCTTCGCGCTTCAAATGCCAGTGTGAGTGGAAATGGCTAAGAAGAAGAGCCTCGCCTTGAAGACTATCTAGTATATGCAAGCATGGTAGCCCATATACTCGAGAGAAGGTGCCTGTACAAGTAGGGGATGGAGGAGGGTCTGTCATTGCAAGCAGCTTCCGCTGCTCCTCGACCTTCCTTATTGCTTCGTGTGATACTTAGCCCCGTACTGCTTTATAGAGTACTACTGAAAGCTCAAGAGGAGTACGAATTTGTTGCTTTGCTTGGCGTGCTTGTAATTCAGAAAGCTGGTTCTAAAAAGCTAGTTGGATTGCTTTCCAAGCATCAAAGAAATCGAATATTGACCTCTTTAAGTAGGACTTAAGGAGGGAGTAAATCCCTTTAATATATAAGGTAGCTATATTGCCGAAATAAGCTAACTGGTCGACCTAAACACGAATAAGCTTCTCCTTGAATGGAATAAGCCATGTTACCTTGATATACCCAATCTCTTCGAGATACTAGGGAAGGTACTTTTGTTGTATTTCAGCAAGGCGTTTAGTATAGTCTTCCTCGGTCGGCGAGCTGATAATCGAGTGCCAGAAGTTATAGAATTCCTTCCATTGCTCGGCCTTCTGGAATGCTGGTTGATATCGTATAAGGACTGCCTTGTTTATATGCCAAAGACAGAAGAGTATTGTAGCAGATGGGAAGAGAGCTGAAGCTATATTTATAATTGCAAGGCAGCGGTCTATAAGAATAACAGATAGGAGAGAGGTATTGCATTGCTTGTAGAGTGACTTTAGCCGCTCAAGTACCCAAGTATAGTCTTCCTCTACCTCGCCACTTGTCACGAGGGCCGTCGTTCAAGGCCAGGGTCAAGCCTCTGGTGGTAAACTGACTGCATTGCAAGAATATTGAACTTGCAGGAGGAAAGGAATCCTCGAAGACTGCAAGGTGCGAAGAAGTCTAAATACAGGATGTGGAGCATGTGCCCAGATGTGGAATGTGGGGCACCAACCAGGTTGACTAATCAATGGCCTGTGCCATGGTACGGTGGGTTCCACCGTCACACCACTTAAGAACACAAACGCGATATAAAACGACCGCTGAGCTATATCAACGCCAATCATATCCAGGAGAGGCATGCCGTACTTGTTTGTCTTGTATATATAATCAAGGAGGAGAAGCTCAGGGTAAGCCTAGAGGTAGGCAAGCGAGTCAAGGTGAGCAAAAAGAACAGTGTGACGAAACCACAGGCAGTCCTGCCTCTGAAAGGGTTCGCCGGTCGAAGGTATCTGCTGGTCGGACTGTAGGTCTCGGTGAAGCCAAAAGGTTCACAACAATGCAAGTCGCAATGTCTGCACAGTAATGTAGGGCTACTTTACTGCTTGTAATTGCTCACTGAGGAAGCTAGCTATCTGAATGAGAGGCAGAATGGTAGAACTATATACAGCTTCCTCCCCTAGGTATCCCGTACCTAGATCTCTGGAACATTTGGAACAATTGTCGTTCCCATTGTTCCATCTGGAACAACGTTCCTTGGCGTTGTTCCCCAGGAACAATCGTTCTTGGCATTGTTCCTGATTTCCCTAATCCTCATTGGTTCCTTCTTCCTCGTAATGATTGGGTACGGGCGCCGCCCGTTGACCATGCAGGTCGGCCCCCACCGGCCTCTGCAGGTTAGTTCATGACACGATGCCCCCTCTCCAGGGCTGTTCGTCCCGAAAGCCCAAGTCCGTTTCAAATAGTGCCAACATCCCACGTTGCAGGTATGTCATGTTGTTCCTCCTTCTTCTTCCTTAAGAAATGCTGACAAGATGTCTGGTCGCGTGAAGAAAACGAAATCGAGAGCGAAACCGGAATCCAAAGTCAAACTTGCCGAACGCAGCGACCTTTTATCCATCATTCTTCGTACTGCGACCATGGCGAAGAGTCCTTGCTCATACTGCAAGGCTCGCGGCCTTGATTGCAAGTCTTCCGCCGACGCATCCTCCGCCTGCTACGAGTGCGTTCGCAGTCATCAGTCTTTCTGCGATGCGCAAGGCGTTACTGTACAGCAACTCCAGCGCATCGTTTCCCAACATGATAAGTTGGAATCCGAGATGGAAAAGGCGGAGGCCGAGCGCGCGGCCCTTGATGCAAAGATCAATCGCCTGCGTCTTCAGAAACGAATGTGGTTTGAGAAGATGACGCGGGCCATCTCTCGTGGTATCGATACCGTGGAAGAACTGGAGCGGGTAGAGCGTGAGGAAGCGGAGGCGCTGGCAGCGGCGGAGTCGGCTTCTGCCCCTCCTACTTCGTCAACCCCTCCTCGATTGTCGCCAAGCTTTATGCCGTTGTGGGACTCGGTATATCCTAACGTTTCCTTGGAGCCTTCTCTGATGGTGGATTTTGGGTTGGTTGGCGGTGGTCCGTCGTTCTTATCCGAGCAGGGTTCCTCTGGTGAAACGACGTCTTCCCAAGGTGGCGGTGGTTCTTGATGGTGGCCAGGTCTTGGTTGTGCCTGCCGTGCGTGTCGTGTTATAGTGTGGCTGCCTGCAGCCGTTCTTTTCCTTCCTGGGGTTCTTACCCCGATTCTTGTTGCCTGTTTCCCGACAAATGAAATGGCTCAGTGGTGCAGCTTGGTTATCACACCCGAGTGAATGCTTCTGGGAGACTATGGGTTCGAATCCCATCTGGGCTTCTTCTCCACATGGGTCGCGTTACCGCGGGGTGACGCGACCCGGCCGGAGATTTTTGTGCTTCCCTCCTGGTCGGTCTGGGTTCTGTCGGTGGAACTCCTTTAGTTTTTCCGTGCAGTTGAGGTGTTCTGCTGGTTCCCATGAATTGTCTTCTGGTCCGAAGTCGAGCCATTTGATTAGGTACTCTAGCCTTCCGTTGGCTATTCGCGAGTCCAAGATTTCCTCAACGTCCCATTCTTCTTCTTCGTCCTCGGCTTCGATGTCCTTTGCAACCCGTGCGTTCCTGGGTGCTGGTTCGAGGAGCGAGATATGGAAGACGTTGGTGCGTAGCTTCATCGTTGATGGTAGCGAAAGTCGATAGTTGGATCTCGAGATTCTTGCGTCGATTTTGAATGGTCCAATCTTCCTGAAGTCGAGCTTCTGGCTTGGCCGTTTCGTTCTCAAATTCCGGGAAATGAGGTAGACCATGTCTCCTCTCTCAAGGCGAGGTCCCTCGAGCCGATGTTTGTCGTAGTACTCCTTCATCCTGAGTCTGACGAACTCGAGTTCTTCTTTTAGCATTGCATGCAGTGCATGCATCTTCTCCGCCTTGATTTTTGCCCTGGGTACCGTGACATCTGGTCCCTGGCGTAAATCTGCTTCGTAACCAAAGTTCGCGAAGAACGGAGTGACCTTTGTTGTCTCCGTTGGCGTTGTATTGTATGCAAGCTGTGCCGCTGGCAATAGATCAACCCAGTCGTCTTGCTGGAAGTTGACGAACGTCCTGAGATATTGTTCGACGATCTGGTTGAGCCTTTCTGTCTGGCCATCTGTCTGCGGGTGGTATGCTGTTGAAAGCTTGCTTTTCGTGCCCAAACGCTTCATAAGCGCTTGCCAGAACTTTGATGCGAATTTGGTGTCTCGGTCTGTGATCCATTCTTCCGGCCACCCATGAACTGCTGCGATGTGCCGATAGATCGTATCCGCAAGTTGCTCTGCTGACCATGATTCTTTGTATGGGAAGAAGTAGCTCCACTTGGTGAGTCGATCAACCACAGTGAGGATGCTGTCATACTTCGTTCCGGTAGTCGAGTCTTTCGAAAGCGGTAGTTTGGTGATAAAGTCCATCGTCACCGAACTCCATGGTCGTTCTGCAACTGGCAATGGTTCCAAGAACCCGTATGGTTTGTGCCGTGCCGACTTGCTTCTATTGCAGAGGTCGCATTCCTGCACAACAGTCTTGACTCTGGTCCTGAGTCCTGGGAAGTCGTAGTGTTGCCGAACCTTGGCGACTGTTTTGGCGATTCCCATGTGTCCTCCGAGTTTTGACTCGTGGATTGTCCTGATTAATTCCGTTTGATCCTGTGGTGCGACGTAGGCCTTGCCGTTGTACCATAACGCTCCATCTCTCCAAGAGATGCCTGCCTTCTCGTCTGCATCGTTCTGCTTCCGGTCTTGGAAGTCTTTTCCTAGCCGTTCTTCCCTGAAGACTGCGCAGCATTCTTCAAACGGTTGCAGAGGTTGTGTGCCGGGATCTTCGTCCTGTCGTGGAAGCGTGTCGTCATCGAGATCTTCCATCGGTTGGGGAGCGTGCCGTAGGGAACCGTCTGGCTGTTGTTGAAGTAATGGTGGCGAGGCTTCTGGTTGGCTGTTCCTGAAGT